AAGGGCGACTGACTGCAGACCCGTGGTCCAGGCGGAACGAGGATCGCGGTCTGTGCGTGCTCGTGTCACGATAAGTCGTTGGAAGGGCGGCGGGAAGGAAAATCAGTCACGTAGAGTCACCACTGCCCTGCGCCAGTACCTGGTGCGGGTACGGCAAGTCCTGGCTGGCTGCCGATAACGCCTGCGAACGTGCACGTTTCGTCCCAACACCTCGAATCATGCTGCTTACAGTCGGACATGCAGATCTTCACGCAAGCACACTGCAATGAGCGCAGTTGAACGACCAGTGGTATCGTCAGCGTTGAGCAAGTCTCGGTGCGTTCCGGTCCGGTCGCGCGGTGTGACCTTCCAGAAACGGCAACGGTGAACTGTAATTTGCCGACTGGTGTCGATGACATCAACTCGGTCATGCTCTAACAATTCGCATCTTCCTCTCCTCGTTGCCCGCGACACGACTCGTTGCGCACCCAGTCCACTCTCTGTGCTGCGTCCCAGGCTCAATTAATTACCTCTGACAGGCCCGGCCCTGTTCAAGTCGCCTCGCGGATCGACCTCCCCACCCCCAAACCCTTTCAACGATCCACATTGCTCCGTCCTCCACCCCTCCCCTTCTCCCACATCCCCATCAACAGCAATGACTCACGACCGCCCCGACCTCGCGTTCTGCCAGCGTCTGCCCAAGGTGGAGCTGCACGCGCATCTCTCAGGCAGCATCTCCCGCGACATCCTGCAGAGCATCTACGACGCGTCGCCCAAGGAACTCCAGGAACGCCTGCAGCCTCCCGAGGAGGCGCTCGCCGACCCCTCCCAGGCGCAGGACATCAACACGTATGTCAGGTTACCCAACTCCCACTGACGCCAGGTTCTTCTCCCACTTCAACAACTACATCTACGAGCTGGTGAATACGCGCGACGCGCTCGCGTTCGCGATTCCCGCCTTGCTGTCCGAGTTTGCGGCCGACGGAGTGACGTACCTGGAGCTGCGTACCACTCCTCGCGCGCTCTCCGACGCGTCAGCCGAGGACACGGTCGAGCTGATCCACGACGAGCTGAAGCGGTGGAACGACGAGAACGCGATGCGGGTGCGCCTCATCCTCTCGATCGACCAGGCGAAGCACGACCGCGCCGACGCAGACTGGGTTGTCGACACGGCCCTTCGCCTGCGCTCGTCGGCCTACCCGCCCCTCGTGGTGGGCGTGGACGTGTGCGGCGACCCGAACAATGCCAAAGACCTGACGGCGCTGGACCCCGTCTTCGAGCGCTGCCAGAGGGAGGACCTCCCCGTCGTGGTGCACTTTGGCGAGATCCCCAAGCAGGCCGAGAACGGCACGCTCGACGTCATGCTCCGCTGGAACCCCAGACGGGTAGGACATGCGATCCACCTCCCGGACGCGGTACGCGATGAGCTCGTGAAGCGCGACATTGCCCCCGAGCTGTGTCTCAGCTGCAACGTGCTCGCCAACATGCTGCCGGCCAAGGAGAACGGGGAGAAGCCCAGCCACGGCGACCACCACTTCGGGTGGTGGTGGAAGAATGGCGGCAGCATCTCGCTCGGCACGGATGATGTGGGCGTGTTCGGCGCCAAGAGCAGTGATGAGCACTACCATGCCGCTGAGCACTTTGGGCTGAGCAAGGAGCAGCTCGTCGAGCTCAGCCGGAGGGCGATCCAGGGCGCCCTGGACCGGGACGCGATCAAGCCCGTCGAGAGAGAGCTGGACTCGTTCTCGGTGCTGGAGAAACTGTAACTGGGCGTTCGTTCGTTATATACATAGAGAGAGTGATGGCTGAGAGCCACGATGTACTATTTTGTCTTTCATTTGCCTACAAGTTGGCCTTCTGCGCCTTCTCCTCGTCATCTCTCCGCTTCATCGCCTTCGCGAACGTGGGCCTTGCCGCAATCTTCTTCATCCACGCGACCGTCTTGGGTCCGTACTTGTAAGGCCCCTTGCCATTCCCATAAGCAATAGCAAGGGGGAAGTACATCATGATGTCGCCTGCGCCAATCTTGTCGGTACCCGTAAAGTTCTCGTGGCTGCTGAGCCACTGCTCGACGTACGTGAGTGCGTTGTTGACATTCTGCACCGCGACTCCGAACAGCGCCTTTTTCAGCTTGTCCACGCCCCTTTTCTCGCTCTCGTCGGTCAGCGTCGCCTTCAGACCGGCCGACACGCGCGCAGTCACGACAGTGGGCTGCAGGTTGAGCATGAGCGTGCCCTCGGAGAAGGTGGACCAGAACGCCGACGTCGGCGACTCGGGGTACTCGAAGCTGGAGGGCGCGTTCGCGCCAAACTTGCGTACGAGGGCGGAGACGATCGCGCCAGACTCGATCACGGTCTCGCCGTCAATAACCGCGGCGGGGGCCTGGTGTTAGCAACTTGTACGCGTCGGTCTAGCCTAAAGAGAGTCGCTGAAGCGGGGAGGCCCAGAGGGAAGGTGCGGAGGAAGGCGGAAGGGAAGGCGCAAAGGAAAGACGCGGGGGAGGACCAAGAAAGACACACCTTGCCCAGCGGCACGGCCTGGGCGAGCGTTGGCTCAGCCTGCCCGCCTTATTGCGGAAGTGGACCTTGACCTCGTAGGGCGCGCCCATCTCCTCGAGGAGGAGGAAGAGGCGGTCGGAGCGCGAGGCCTGGAGGTGGTGGACTGTGACTCCCATGGTGATGTTGTGAGTGATGGAGAGGATGCATCGTCGATGGGTTCTGGCTTAGCAAGCAAAGTGTCCGAGACGCGCACCTGACACCTGAACACTGCCCATCGATCGAGGAGTCCGGGCAACTCGTGGGCCGGGCAGACCGTTCGGACCCGGCTCGCTCGGTGGTGACTGCCGACGAGGCGCTGGCGGGCTCCTCGGCGGTCTCCGTGTCTTGGCATGAGCTGTATGATCGACGCAATCGTGGGAAGACAGTCCCGGCCATGCCCAGACCATGGTCTCATTCCAAGTGTGGTTCCCAGGTCAAATCCGGCCCTATCCGCCTTTTCAGTGGTTCCTAATCCACAGCTATATTCGGCATTCACGGCCATTTCAGTGTGAGCCCTTCACCATGTGTGAATGCCGAGCCCTCGCCGTACCCAGGGCGAGGAATGGTCGAGGTTGGAAAAACGCATAGGGGAATACGAATGGGCTCCGAATCCACCTCAGGGTCCTCGTTCCTATCAGCGTCATATCCCTCTTCTCCGCCTCGCTCGTCTCCGCTCTTTCGCCCAAGTACGGGCTCCGCAAACATTCGGACCTTGCTGCTCTATGCGATCACTTCAGGGCGATCCTGGGTGCGGACATGGCTTCTGCTCGTGCAGTGGGGGGTGGGGCACTCACCAGACCGTGTCTCGCATCTCGAATTCTGACAATTCTGGCAATCGTTCCAAAACTCACACTCTCAACATCTTGGCGTCGCGACACTCACGAGCATCTCACGAAACGGCCCACCCACATATTGACATCGAGTGGTCTGGGCAGTCTTGGCGCGTATCTCCCACCGAGACTTATATCTTCGACGGAATAGTGGAGCTGGTTACGGCAACGACTGAACTTTCCATCACCCAGTGCCATTGTTGACGCACGCACTCCACCGCACCACTTTCGGCTTCGACCGACAACTGGAACCTCTAGACAACTCTCTTCGAGCTACTTGAGCAACGTAGAACACATCGATTCTCCACGAGCTACCTATCCAACGACCCCGCAGCCACCGCCACAGCCACGGCCTAGCCCGTGAGCCCTCCCCTACCCCAACTCCTCTCCCCCAGTCCCCCCAGTCCCCTCTCCTCGTCCCGCCCTCGACCCCATCTCGACTCCCATTCAAAGCCATGATTCGACCAAAACGCAACTCGCGATCTTCAAATCACTCGCACGAATGCCACCAGTGCATCTCCCCTCCCGAGCGCTCGGCGAGTGGCAGGCGGCTCTCCCTCCCCATGTCGCTGCTGCAGACGCCGCACGTCCCGGGGCCGGCGGTGGGGACTCCGTCCTTTGGCGCCGTCGCGCGCGTGCGCCCCGTCGACCACCCCTTTACGGAGGAGCCGGGGGATATGAGCGGGGATCAGTACGTTCCCACGCCTCCTTCTATTCCGGCACGTGAGTCGACGGAGTACATGTCCGAGAAGCCCGGACAGACGGTCACGCGGAGGGCTACGGCGCACTCGCCGACACTTGCGCCTTTGCCTCCGCCGGCGATGGAGGGGGATGGCGGGGGTGGGAAAGGGCCAGGAGGGAGAGAGAGGGGATCGACGTCCTCATCCTCGTCCGTGCCCCCGGACGAGAAACCGTATCCGGACCAGGAGACACACCACGTCCCGCCCGACATGAAGCCGTACCCGGAACCAAAGAGGACGCGCGAGGATCCCGAGCTCGGCATGGGGCTGGTGAACGAGTACGAGCCGTGCACATTCCATCGGTGGGCGATGGAAGATGTGGCCTCGATGTCGCTTGTCCCCTGCCTGGTCACGCAGGCACTCTCGGCGGGAGTTCTCGACGCGACGACGTACGCCGATTTCCAGACGTTCGCATCAAACCAGACCGGAAACGCGATCGTGCTCACGCTCGCGGCGGTGGGCGCGGCGCGGGCGCTGGTCCTCCTCACCGGCGTGAGTTTTGCCGGCTTCATCGCCGGCGCCTTCCTCATGGGCCATCTTGGCAACTTCCTCGGCCCCAGGCGCCGGTACTGGCTTCTCATCAGTATTTTCTGGCAGTGCTGTCTCCTCATTATCTGTGCTGTGTTTGTGAGCCCGCACGGGCCACCAGGGACCCGCGTAGGTGCAAAAAATGAGTGGGCCGTCCTCTTCCTCTTCGCTCACATGTCCGGAGCTCAAGTCGTGATGGCCAGACAGTCCGGATGCGCGGAGTTGCCCTCAGCGCCGATGACCAGTGCCTTCGTAGACTTCGTTGCGGACCAGTATCTGTTCAGAAGTTGGGGGAATCCGAAGGCTGGGCCGAGAAACAGACGAGTGATGTATGTGGTGGCCATGTTGGGCGGGAGTTTCATTGGCGCCATCCTCCACCGCTGGACTGCGAGCTGGGTCGTCATCATGGTCACGGTCATCCTCAAGGCTATTAGCGTGCTCTTGGTCTGCTTTGCAAGCCCGGAGAACTAGAAGTGGCCCCCCGAGCTCATCCTGCCCGCCGAGTTGCCACGAACCACTTCGCCAACTTCACCTCCACCTCGCGGCCGGTCACGTGTTTGCATCCGACCTCCACCTCCACCCCGCTACTCCGCAATATCGATCGACTCTGGTTGACTGTACCTGCGCCCCATTCCGTCCTTCCTTTCTCACATTGCATACTCTTCTTAGACTTTGTACATCATCTGCATAACGTTGATCTACCCACAGGCCACGACCACGGTATTCTCAAGCAGTCTGTCTAGCTCCAGATGACAACAGACCACGGTATTCTCAAGCAGTTTGTCAAGCTCCAGATGACTACAGAAACAGAAACAACGGTACATCCAACAGCAGTGCATCCAACAGCAGCAGAGGTAGGCTTTCTATGGTGTCGAAAGGCAGTACGTAGGGAAGACAACCTCCGAAGGCTGCTGAGGAGCCCAGAACCTCTCGAGGTGAGCTTCAGGCCTTAGAGCTACTGATTTTTGGGGCCTCGGAGTCATCGACTGCGTGTCAAGTCAGCTATAGCTCTGAGGCCTGAAGCTTACCTCGAACAGCTCCTCGATCCCGCCGGGGATCTGCGCGACGCGCTTGCCTATCCTCATCCTCCTCGTCCCCTTCGGTGCCATCGACGACATAGGACTCGTGCAGCTCAAGGTTGTACAGGTCGTCGGATGGTCGTCGGTGGATAGTGGAGAGGGGCGACCTTCATCAAGGTGCCCAGAAAGAGCTCGCCGACGCGCTGTGTACGTCAGTCATGTGATAAGCTGGGACAGACTAACTTGTTCAAGGCGTCGCTTCTTGATAGAAGCAGCGGTCTGCTTCAGGAGCGCGAAGTAAGTCGGCTTGACGTTGGCGAAGCCCCGACTCGACAACCAGAGCGACTGGTTGGCCGCCGTTTTGTAGCTGAGCCCCAGCTCGTCGAGTCGGTCGCGCGAGCTCAATCGGTTACCCTGCTTCCGCCCCACGTGGTAGACGAGCGCGTCGGGATCGTAAACCTTGAAAGAAACTTGACCGTCCCAGACACAGTCGAGGAGGTCTTGCGCGTCTTGGTCGCAGTGGGGGCGATCAAAGGCCGCGCGTGCCCCCTGGATGTTCTCGGGCCGCTGCGAGCCGTCCTGCACCGCCTCCAGCACGTTCGAGGTGTCGAGCGTCTTGAAGTAGATGACTTCGTCGCGGTCACCAAAGCCCATCGGCTGGTCGTGAGGGCCAATGAGCTCGATTGCCTTGAGGTATTCGAGAGTGATATCATGCTAGTGGCTGTAGGAGAGGTACAGCGTCCGCAACGCCCGAAGCGAGATGCCGTCGAGCCAGATATCGCGAAAGATCTCGAAGTCGCGCTGCGCCGCGGCTGCGTCGGGATAACACTTGTTTGCCGCCGTCACGCCGACGAGGTGGTCGCCGATTGCCTCAAGGGCATAGAAGTCATCCGACGGCCGTCGGTGCATGGAACTCAGGGGAGACCGAATTAGAACCGCGAAGAACAACTCCGCGCAACGCTTTGGGTCAGCCACGTCTCGATGGGCTTTGAACGTACCTGCTCCAGTCGGCGGCGCTTGACCGAGGCGTCCGTCTGGCGGTGGAGGGCGTAGTACACTGGCTTGTGTCCGGAGACACCGCGGCTCGCCAGCAGAACGATTGACGAGAGGAGGGCTTGCATGCGAGAGCCAGAACGTCGAGCCTGTCACGCGACGAGTGCGGGTTGTCGAGCTTGCGGCCCACCTGATACACGCGAGCGGTAGGGGAGTAGAGCTCGAAGGGGACGTTCTCGCCCCAGAGCGCACGGAACAGCTTCTCCGTCTCCTCAGTTGGCTGGCTCCTGTCCAAAGCCTGCTCAGCCCACCTCCTCACCTCGGGTCGCTGGGAAATGTCAACCACCTCGGGGAGCACGTTGTCGACATCGATGAACTTGAAATAGATAAGCTCGGTCCTCTCCTCGAAGGCGATCGGAGCGTCGTCGATAATGGCCTCGACGGCGCGCAGGTACTCGACCGTAACGTCGATCTGATGCGTGTACCCGATGTGAAGTGTCTTCAGAGCACGAGGCGAGAGGTGGTCCAGGTAGATGTCCTTAAACACAGCCAGGTCGCGGTGTGCGGCTGCAAGAGAGGCGTAGCAGCCGGCCGCCACAGTCACCTCGGCAAGGTGGTCGCAAATGGCGTCCACGATTGCATCGGGGTCTCCTGGTCGAAAAGAGCGTCGTCGAACGGGAGCACGGCGGGGAAGAAGCGCCACTGACCGCTCTCCAGATCACAGATCAGAAAACCAATCTCCTTCTCGAGGCGCGCGTCGTGCTCGTCGGCACCGGCTGCCACGGCGTAGGCCTTGATGTCCGACAATACTCGAGCCAGGTTCTCCCTGAGAGCGGTCAGACCCGTGCTGCCAAAGATGATGTTACGTACATGGAGTTGGACAGTTTCTTCTTGGTGGGGTGCAGAGGGGCGAGCTGGAGAGCCTCCCTGCCGGGATCGGCTTCGGGGAGGGGAACAGGCAGCGTGGCCATGGGGATGTTGTCGAAGCGCGCTATAGTCAGCGGCTGTCAGGCCACACCTCGACAAATTACTTACGGTGCACTTCGTAGTCGCACATTTCGGCTCGGATGAGGAGATGCCGCAAGAAGTTCTGCTTGTAGGCTCCGTGCTTGCTCACAAAGGTGTTGTCGTCGAAGGCGCTAGACCCAGGACGACCGAGCAGGTGGACGAGCGTGCTCGAGATGATCGAAACCACGCGGGACTTCTCATCGTCGAGCTTCTTTTGCTTGTCCTTGGGGCGGAGGCCAGCGCGCTCAATCTTCTCCATGTTGCCGGCCCACTTCAGCAGCAGATCACGCAGGTCGGCTAAGTAAGCGTATGCAAGCTTCCAGCCGCTGCTCAAGATCAAGTGCAGTAGATGCCGAATGGTGGGGTCGGCGAGGTCGAGGAAAGTGCCGTGCTTCCCGTCTGGGCGGGGAAGAGACACGGGACGAGGACGGTCAGAAGAGAGCTGGCCACTTGTGGTGTACTCGGCGTAGGGAGCTACACATCAGCAACACACTCCACTACTCTTCGCACTGCGAGAACCGGCTAACGTACGCTGGAGGGGATACGTCAGGAGGTGATTGATGATATCACGAGGCCTGATGTCGCGAGTGGCACTGCCCCCAGCTGCTGAGACAATGACACATGTCAGGTCCTCGAGGGCGTACACGAAGATGTGACCGATGTAGCGCATCTTGTTGACTGACGGCCACGCGTCGATGACGCTACGCACTCCAGGCGGCTGGAGGCGGATGTACTCATGGTACGAATCACGCATCCAGGCCATGGCCTCCTCCCTCGTGTTCTGAATCTCGTCAAGCTCAATCACCTTGCGCAGCCTATCCTTAACCAGGGCGTTTGAGAGGTCCAGAGCTTCCATCTGGATGTCCCGGTGTCCAGTCAGGGGCGGGTTGACGATGGCGTGGTATGTAGGCGTAGCTGCAGCCGTTGCCGGTCCCGACCAGAGAATATGCGTCGAGGTTGAGCGAGGTGGAGGTAGAAGAACCCCAGTGAAAGATGGAGCTTCCCACTTGCGATGTACTCGTGGTAGGGTCCTATTCATCAGTCTCACTCTCCGCTGAAGTTGACGCCGTGAGAACACTGTAACGTACGCTCGAGAGGATATGTGAGGGAACGACTGATTGGAAGAGAGGTGCTGGTTTGGCAAATAGAGATGCTGCTCTGTCATGCTCACGAGCAGGGATGGTCATGTGGAAGAAAGCCTTCGGAGACGCCAGGCTGGCTGGGCTTTTATATGCAATACGCTGGTATACTGACGGCGAAGCAAGTGCAAGGTTGCACCGCAGAAGCGTGCGCACGCAAAGGACGTCAATCACTCCCCCTTGATCTAAGGTGAACTTCGTTAGAGGAGTGATGGGCGAGGGGTTCGAGGGGCATTGGTTCGAGGGGCATTGTCACAGGCCAAGAGCTCAAGCGTGCCATTCTGCAGGATTATCACGCCCCAAAATGCTTCCTGCTAATCTGTGCTTGGGCTTCGCTTCCACTCGCTTCTGGCTTCCCGATAGTCGTCAAGCAGATCCCAAGAAGCTCAGAAGTCTTCTCTTGCGACCTTCTGAGCCGCCCGCGCATTTGTCCAGACGTCCAGACTACAGCCTTCCGACACACCTTTCGGGACACACAAAGCTTGCAGATCGCCACAAGGCACACGACTCTGACGTCAATGCACGTGACACCCGCTTCTTTCTTCTTCTCAACCCGAAAGATCAGCATGCAGCGCGGACATGCACTGCAGCGCTAGCTCTGCGCCCCCTTGCCCCCCAAGATATCCCTATGCTCTATGATTCTGCATTTCCAAGCGTGATGTAACGTTGTTGGTTGACGTTGTTTTTTGTACAAATCGCCTTCACCGTGCCACCCCTCTAACTTCTACAGACAGCTCGCGCGCGTGTGCTGCGAGCGGACACTACTCCCTCCGCGCTTCCTCCTGCAGGCGGTTGATCTGGACTGATGAGGCCTGGACCAATCCAACCTTGCGCGGCTCAGCCTCGACCGTCGGCGATCACCGCCTTAGAGGCCGTTGCCAAACGGCACCTCGTGGAAGAGGTACGAGACCGACTCTCCAAAGTGACTCCGCCTGATGGTCTCGGCGAGGACGGGGGAGACGTCGACGACCTCGATCTTGTCGCACTTCTCGAGGTTGTCGCCCTGCGGGATCGTATTCGTGATGACTAGCTTCTCCATGCCCGACTCGGAGATGCACTTGAGCGCGGGGCCCGAGAGAATACCGTGGGTGACGATGGCGTAGACCTTGGACGCGCCAGCCTCGAGGAGGTTGCGGGCGGCAAGGCCTAGAGTGCCGCAAGTGTCGGCCATGTCGTCGACGAGAATGGCAACCTTGCCCTTGACGCTACCGACGAGGACCATGCGGGACACCTCGTTGGCGCGCTTGCGCTCTTTGTGGAACAGGGCAAACTCGACGTTGAGGCGGTCGGCAATCGACGTAGCGCGCTTGGCGCCTCCCGCGTCCGGGGAGACAATGACGACGTTCTGGACGTCAATGTTCTCCCGGATGTACTTGATCATCGACGGCTCGGCGTACAGGCTGATGTCAGCTAGAGTCGGAGAGGTAGCTCACTTGTCAACAGGGACGTCGAAGAAGCCCTGGATCTGCGAAGCGTGCAGGTCCATAGTGATAACGTGGTCGCAGCCGGCCTCGCGGAGCATGTTGGCGACGAGCTTGGCCGTGATCGGGGCACGCGACTTGTCCTTCTTGTCCTGGCGCGCGTAGAAGAAGTGGGGGATGATGGCCGTGATGCGGCGAGCCGACGCAATCTTGCACGCGTGGATCATGATGCACAGCTCCATCAGCGAGGTGTTGACCGCTCCCGCGCCCTGTCGTTAGCGGTTGTTCGAGAGGTCTCGTGCGCAACTCGTTCGGAGCGAAAATTCACCGCGGCTACCACCGGGAATCACGACAACTTCCGAGCAGTCGTACTCACCGTGTTCAGGATGTAGACATCGTAGTCACGAACCGACTCGACAATGGTGACCTTGGTCTCACCGGAAGGAGGCTGGATCACGTTCGCGCGGGACACCGGGATGCCGAGACGCTTGGCGATGAGGTGAGCTAGCTCGGGGTGGGAGGTACCTTGCTATCAGCTGAAGTTCATAAGAGCGCCGTCATGTCGTCTCGCTGGAGCTCAGACGATGGCTGAGGTGGGCGATAGGGAACCCCCTGGGGGCTTGACCCATGAAATGACCGCCCCAGCCAGCTCCGATAGACAATGCGGCCCCGGATTTGCTCATGCAGCGTTCGGAACGCCGTCCAGCAGCGGCGCTCATTGCTGTGGGCTTTGCCGTGGACGTCGCTGAGCTCCGCCGGTGCGGCCATCGCTGTCGGAGCTGGGAACCGGAAGTCTCGGTTCCAAAATTCCACTGCTTGGCACCGCAGCCCCGCTTAATGAGGCCTAAGGCACCACAAATTTGTCCCACCCACACGACTCCTTGCAGAGCTCGCAGAAGCACACGGAGCTGACAGTCGTACTAACCGGTGAAGAGCTTGATGGACGTGTTGACGGTCGACATCTTGGTGTCCTTTGCAGGGCGGGCGGGGGTGGTGGGAGTGGTGGTGGATATGGTGAAAATGTAGCGACGTGCGCCTTGAGCAGATGCCTGCTCGTTGATGTAATCGGAGGGAGTTTTAGGGGAGGGGAAAAGATAAAGTTGGCGCTTGGGTTGAAATGAAAGCTTTTCAGAAACGGTTATCTGCGCTTTCAAGTTCGGTTGTCGCCTTTTGGAATGACCGGAGTCGAGAAGATGTCAAAGAGTTTGCTGGGTTGCAAGAGTGGACAAGAACACACACGCACGATAAAAAGTTGATGCGCGTAGGAGGAATGGTGGTGTTGCACTCCGGCTCGCGGCCAGGCAGCGCGAGGCAGTCCGGAGCCTACCCAGCCTGGACAGGCCAGACAGGATCTGGCAGCTCATGGCGCCTAGGGTCTCTTCAAATTTCTGAGCCACTCACAGCAGCGCCGTACCAAACCATGCTCATTTACCTGCCGGGGGCCACGCATTCTTACCTCCGGTTATTTCCGTCACCCACTACTCCGTCGTGCAGCAGCCTTAGTCCAGGCTAGTCGGTCAATTTTCAGTACGAGAGAGATGCATACAACTTGAGAGAGTCGAAAGGTCTTTAGGGCACATAAATTCTAGAGTAGCCCTCCACTTTGGTCCGGCAGTTCGGGCACACATGGTCCTTGGCCGACAGGCGCGCGGCGAGGCTGTCGCGGCAGTCGTTGCACATGAGCAGGCAGCGGCACGGCCACAGGATCACGTCGCGGTGCTGCGTCATGCACACGACACACGCGCGGCGGCGCTCCTCATCCCATTCGTCTCCGCCGCTAACCTTGGTGACTTCGGCGCGGCGAGAGGCGGCGACGGCGGCGAACGGATCGGTGCTAGGCTGGCGCTTAGACAGCGCGTTGTATCGGCGACGGGTAAGAGGCGCACCGCTCGTCAGGTGTGCTAGCAGGATGGGCTGCAGCGCCGCGCCGTCCTCCTGCACCAAGTCCTGGTACAGAGCGACCTGGTGGTCGTCCTCGGGCTGAGGCTGACCGTCGTCCTCCATATCGCTGGTGTCCGACTCGTCGGATGCCTCGTCCACCCAGTCACCTGCCTCATCCTCGTCGTCCTCGATCACGACCTCGCCGCGCAGCACCTGGTCAAAGGTGTACTGCGGCTCATCCTGAGGCTCGGCCTCGACGACCTCAGGGACAATCTCAGGTCGCACCCGCACCGCGCTGGACCAGCCCGAGGTCGGCCAATTGGCCAGCGAGGGCGGTTCAGGGATGTAGCGACGGCGACGAGGTCCACGCCAGGCGGCGCGGCGCCAGAACTTCCAGTGACGAGGGCCGTACCACCAGCGAGCGTACCACGCCCTCCACGCAGACGTGTAGATCTTGCGTCCGACCGGGGTCGAGAGAAGCACCATCATGAACGTGTCCTTGGTGAGCGATCCGAGCGCCTTGTAGAACTTGCGCAGCTCGCGGTAGTACGGGCTCTCAGAGTGGGGGTCGGTCAACTCGGCGACTTGAATGTCATCGATGCGGCCGCCGAAGCCGTTCGACTGTTTCGGACGACCCACATCGTCGCATCCAGCCCCCGAAAGACGCACAAACGGTTGCGGCTCGGGGATTGGCGCAAGCTCGTTGCGGAGACCAGAGTACGAGGTCGCCTCGATACAGGCAGTGCCAAGCTTGAGGAGCGCAACGCCGACGTCGTCTTCAGCGCTGGGGACCGCACCCTCGTGCGGGAGCAGGTTGACCCAAACGGGGGAAGGGATATACCCCAGAGTGAACAGATGCGTGAACGCCCGAAGCACAACCGTGCACGTGATGACGATCGTCAGGAGCAGCGCCAGCATGTGCGTCACGAACGAGTAGGACGGGAAGCGCAGCGGCGAGGTCGTCAAGACGTACAGGAAGTGCGTCAGGCTAAGGGCCCCGCAAACTCCAGTCGGCAGCAGCTGGTTGCGCCTCAAGCGATGCGAGAGCTCGATAGCTTGCAACCATGTAAGCTGACGTCAGTTATGGCTGGAAGATCAGCTAACCTCACCTCTGTGAGTCCAAGCCAAAGCTGGAACAAGGCATGTACGTCTGGCCGTCCGTGTGTGACGTTGGGCGGGTTGTAATGGTGTGTCACGGGCGACGAGTAAAAGTGACAGAGGAAGGAGAAGCCGAACAGGTTGAAGCTAGCGCCTGCGTCTCTGCGGCGACTGCGTGTCAGTTCCGTCAGACGACCTGTAAACTCACGCTCGATCGAGGCCGTTAGCCAACGCCTCGCAGATGAGGCCGATGCAGACGCAGAGGAAGACGCTCCAGCACACGCTTTCCATCTCCTGATGTCCCGCCCATGATCCGAGCAGATCGGTCGTGTGTGCGAGCGAGTGCGCGAAGGGGGCGACGAGCGGCGTCAGCGGTCCGGCCGACCAGTGCGCGGCCTCGAGACGCTTCACGAGGTTTTGCGGCCACAGGTTCGCGACCTGTAGAGTGATGACCGAGAACAAGAGCCACGCACGGCCCAGTGCCAGCAGTCCTGGCATGCGCAGGTAGCTGGGCGTCTTGGGCGACGTCAGGGCGCGCGAGACACGGTGCCGCAGATCACGGTACCATCCTAGGGGCGGGTGGGGAAGGGGCGGCGGCGGAGGGCGCGGACGCTGGACGACGTGGTGGATACGGTTCAGCAGAATAGCCTGGGAGTCAGCTTTTCGGCAAGGAATATATAGCTGCACTCACGACAATCGCGAGGACGGCGCCGTACTTCCCTCCGGCGAAGGCAAGGGGAATGACGAGCGCCTCCTTCTTCAGCTTCTCTTCCGAGGCGATGGCGGTTGCATTGGCGATCGTCCCATTGATGGTGGAGTTGGTGATATTTGTGCTCGTCTCATTCGGCGACGGGAGGGAGTACACAAGTGTGTGGACGATGTTGCTGATGCGTGAGGGAAACCACGACATGGCGGCGGCCGGTGTCGTGGCGGGGCGCTGGGCGGCGAGAACCTGGCACCGAGATAGAGAAGACCGAGGCCGGCGGCGGTATGGGTATCGAGGTAGGGCTAGGTGTATGCTTGGTGGCTATCGGTGTGCGTAGCTGATCGCAGCCATGAACGCGAGCGAGCGAGAGCGCGGACTCGATGACGGTGGGGATGAGTGTAGTGTCAAAGTCGGGCTAAAGGAAGGGCAACGCCATCGAGATCGGTGCTTCGGCTCGTCAGGGCACGTTAGGCCCCGCACAAGGCTGCTTCGGCCGGCAATGTTGTGCTTGCCACGTACGCTGCGAGGCGCTGCGTGTGCATCGACGTGCACCGGTGCACACCCGTCAGTGTCCGCAGCACACGACGTAGTCGAGGGGACCGCTGACCGTCTTGCACTGTGCATCTGATGTGCCAGAGAGGCTCAGCAAGCGTCATACAGTCGGCTAAAGCAAGTTGCCCGTGTCGGCGAGGGGTATGAGCGGTCCGTGTAGCAATGAGCAAACCACAGCAGCAATCTGCTCTATTGATGCGTGGCCCATGCATTTCTCAGCCTCTCATGCAGGTCGTGTATCTACTCGAGAGTGAATGCACAGCGGCGTCAGCCTTCTCTCCCAGAGTCCGAGGCCGTCGGCCCGGACAGCCGGAACACCGGCGGAGCTCATGTCCGAGCGGGATCAAATTTATGGACACTTGCACGCGCGTGAGCGGTCGAGCGGTCGAGCGCTTCTGACGCCATATCGACAGACCAGGTCACTTCCACATCATCAGCGAGCAGTAGAAGAATCATCATGGGGTGAGCTGAGATGATGCTTGTTGGAGCTGACAGACAGAGCCACTTTTGACGTCGCGACCGCTGGAGCCGTTGTTGCCGCCTTCCTCGCCATTGTCTGTGAGTAGCCGCTGTCCTTACGGCGCTCGTCATGCGACGGAAGAGAATCAGCTCCGGGGCCAATGGCTTGAAGCTGACATCAGACATTCTCCTCGTCGTTACGAAGAAGGCGACCGCCCAGCCCGAGAAGAAGAAGCCCATCGCCGTCCCCGTCGCCGCCAAGAAGAGCACCCCCGTCGTCGCCGAGAAGGTTATTGTCGAGGAGGTCAAGGAGGTCAAGCCGGACAGCAGGCCGAGGACGCCGCTGCAGGCCGTGGGACGGTCGAGCGCGACCGAGTCGTGAGTATTCGAGTGGTGAGCGGCGAGCGGCGAGTGCTGGATAGCTGCGTGCTGCGCACTGCGTGTCATGGGTGTGCGCCTTGAGAAGCATAGCGATCCCGTGATGGCTGCGATCTGCAACCTCCTTGGATGGGGCGCAAGGTCGAGCTCTCCGCTCAGCTATTTGTCCCCCAGTCTTAGCTGACATCAGTCCCCGCGGATTCCAGAGAACGAAGAAACTCGACTAGGTGCGATTTCATCTCGTGGTTTTATGCTATTTGGTCATCTCTGTGCAACAATCTTCGGTGCCACTCATGCCGCGCAGTTGGTCAGAAGCGCGCTAACGATCAACTTGCCGCTTACTGCTTGCCGGCCTGCTACTAACTCTGACGCATGTTCTCATCACTCAACTCACAGCTGATATCCCATATCCAACCCATACTCGCTACTCGCCTACACATATCACAAAGCAATTGATGAGGGTGAACTACATAACGCCCGCAAGAAAGCGACACAACGTCCGTATCTGCCGGCCACGCCTCGCCCCAGCTCCACAGGCCCCTTCCCTCCTCCCCGGCTTCATCCCGCGCACGCCGCGGCCATTCAACGCGCAGCGTGCCGAGTCCGCCGACGCTGTCCCACTGCCGACGCCCCGCTCCCCGACCACCTCACCAACCGGGTCTCCCGAGGGAAGACGAAGCACGACCAACGACGAGAGAATGGGCCGCAACGGACTACGCGAACCGCGCTTCCTCCCAGTTCACGAGGGTGTGAGGCTGGGCAAACCGGCAAGCCCCCCACGGACCGTTGCTCCAGCCAAGCGGCCGCCAGTGATGAGGAAGCACGAACGGCCCCGGTTCTCCTTTGCTCGGCCCCAGAAGGAGGGCGATAAGGGTGGAGGGGGGACGTATCTGCGCCAACTGCGCCACGCTGGTGCTGATACGGACGGCGCACCGCCCCGTCCCACCGACACCGCTGCCGAGCGGGCATCGCGCAACGCCGGTTTCGACGGCGATACACTCGCCCCTCGCGTTTCTCCGCTGGGTGCGGCCCAGGTGCCCGCTCGGAATGCGGGCAGGGAGCTCAGTGTGGAGCAACTGCTGCGCATGGATTTGTCGGGTGTTCGTGCAGCGCGAAAGCGGCGCAGGCTTGCAACACAGCAATAACACTTTGTCTCCACCTTGTCTCAACAGGTCGACTCCGCACCGCCGCAGGATTGACTGCCTACTCGAGGCGACATGTCCGCAAGCAACGATAAGCTTACACGTTACCCACTGTATCTCTGTATCCTCTACCCATTAGCCCTATGTATCTTTGTATCTTCGTATCTTGTGACTCTCGCGACCTGCGAACTGACAGCTGGTAGAGTGGCGACGCGCGCGTCGCGCCAGTGCTTTTGAAGCACGTTGCGACATTAGTCTGTTTCACTCGCGGCATGTTTGGGCGTGTTTGCGTCCCCATGACCTTAGTCTACGACAGCGTGCACACTCTGCCTGCACCTCCAGTGCTCGATCACGGTCGCACTCGGCCTCCGTCCTGCGGCCCTAACGGCACTCGGCCTGCGGCCTCGTGATTGTAGCAACATGCATGACAAACACCTCTAGCCTACACTCTCCCCGGGCCTGCTCGAGCTCGCCAGCGAGCTAGTACTGCCCATGGTGTGATGCGGGGTTGAAGCTGACCGGCATGGCATTCGCGCCGACGCCCGTCATGGGCGGGGATTCCTGGCGGTGCACGCCCGCGTACCCGTCGTACGTGTCCTGCTGCGCCGTGGGGTCCCACTCATACGCCGGCTGCACGGGCGACGTGCGCGGCTGCACGGGCGGCGGCATGTTGCTGTAGTCGTGGTCGGCGGGGTCGTAGTACGAGTCCTGGTGCGGCTGCTGCGGATACTGCTGGTCGTAGTCTGCAAAGGAGGCCGAGCCCCCGAACGCGGTGCCGTTCAGCGCGGGCGAGACGTCGTGCGCGTCGTGCGAGTACGCATAGCCGTCGTCAGACTTCTCGTTGTAGTACACTGGCGGGCCGTCGAGTTCGTCGCCGAGAGACATGCGCGAGCCGCTGCCGCTGACCGGGAGGGCGTGGTGCGTGTCCGCGTCGCCGTGGTGGTTGAGCTCGGGCCAGAGGATTGCCTCGCCACCAGGCTCGTTACGCCGGCGGGTCAGCAGGAAGATGAGTCCAGCAATCAGGGCAATACCGCCGGCAGCAGAGCCGACGGCAATACCGATGATGGCGCCCTTGGAGAGACCGTCGTCGTCCTTCTTGCCGGCAGAACTGGCAGTCGCACTGGCCGTCTGCTCAATCGTACGGTAAATGGTGATCAGTCCTCCGTTGGCGTTGGTCGAAACGAAAGCGCTCGTCTCGGGCTTCTCCTCGTCCTTGGTGCTCGTGGGCTGCTCCTGGGAAGACGTCTCGCTGGAAGAGGCGGAAGGCGAGGGGCCGGCTGACGACGAATCTGACGGGGTGGCAGAGCTGGACGAGGACGAAGGCGCAGCTGACGACGAAGGGGCGGCCGAAGACGAAGGTGCCGCTGAAGGTGAGCTAGAAGACGAAGAACCCGCCGACGAGCCCGATGAGGATGACGACGGCTTGGCTGACGGCGAGACCGGGTTGGACGAGTCGACACCACTTGAGGAGCTCGACGAAGTCTCAGAAGGCGTCGGGGTCACAGGCGTGGGCGGGGTGACACCGATGGTCGGGGACGTCGTAGGCTTGGTGGTGCCAATAGGCGGGGCAGAGCTTGCAGTCGTCGACGACGTCTCCTTGGGGTTGAACTGGGGTAAGCCCCCGCCTATCCGGGACAGGGCGTCGTCGGCCATACTCACGAGGTCGTCGAGGAGACCTGCTCTCTCTACATAGGCTGCTCGGGCGACCATTGCATGGTGCCGGCGCGGATCCCTCGGGGCATTCGCCACAGTGGCGGCCACGAGGGGCAGCACGTACAGCAGAGACACGAGACGCATAGTGAGTGATTGGAGGTTCGAAGGAAGGTGGGGTCGGGAGTCGACTGTTGCTGATCGCAATCAAGCAAAGTCGAGATAGAAGTCGGAATGAACGCGACTGTGCGTTCGAGGTGAAAGAGAGAGGGGCGAAACGACAGCTAGATCGTTACAGAGAGGGGCCGAGGTCGATGCAGGCGACCTAGAGGCAACAAGGAGGGGGTGAGAGGGGTGGCTGGGGCGGGGCCGAGTCGAAGTTTGAGGTCGAAGAAGACGAAGTGGTCGAGGTCGAAGAGAACCGGGTCCTGCCGGTGTTCGCGGAGCGATTCAAGATGAGAGGGGGGATGAGGATGAGACAAATAAAAGAGAGAGGAGGGAGAAACGAGTGTAACTGATGGTCGATGCAGGGGGCCAAGGCTGGCTGTCTGGCTGGCTTGCGGTTGTGTTCGGCGCGCAGCAGTAGTGTGCACAGATCGCAGCAAGAGGGAGCCTGTCGGGATCGAGTAAGTGAACGAGTGTGGTTAGAAGGGTTAGGACGAGTTAGGAGAACGAGAAGGGGGCGTGTTTGACGAGAAAAGAACTGGCGCTGGTTTGGCTAGTCTACTGACAGGACTGGTCTGATGGGCAAGGGTCAAAGCCGCCGCCATGGGACACGGACGTGTGGACGTATGGACATGGGACCTAGCTCTGGATTTAGGCTGTGTTAGGCCTCGGCCGGGGCTAAGCTTTTGTACGGCATGCAAGGGAAGGGGAGGGATGGAGCTCCTCGTCGAGTAACGTTTATCGAAACTGCAGGAAGGGGGAGGGAAAGAGGGGGGTCGACAGTGAACGGGCAGGGATCTAAGGGCCAGGGCCGGAGCGAGCAAAGGGAGAGCCCAGGACGCGTTCCGTCGCGATTAAAGCAAGCTGCGAGAGAGAGAGAAAGAGGTCGTTGGACCATGATGGACGCGTCGGCCGGGAGGGCGAGGAGAGGAGCGGCCTGACCGCGTTGGCCGATAACGTTCGCTGGAAGCAGCCCGCCTGAGCTTCTCGGGCTGGAAGCCAGTGTAGGGTTCGACACGTCAGCCCTGTGCTCTGCCCTTAAAGCAGTTAGACTATTCTGACCCACGCTCGCTGCTTGTACTCTGTAGAACGCAAAGCATGCAAGCACCCCACCCCGGTTGAACCGGCACCCCGGGCGTTGGCACCCCTTTCGTGCTCGCGCAAGAGCACCCCCAGCGCCCGCAGGCGCCTCTCCCGTCCTGTCCAACCGGCATCCCCCCCAGGGCACACAGGGTTCCTGTTTTAGGGCAGACACCCGATTCCAATTCCGGCTTTATTCATGTCGCCCTCATAAGGTTTGCGACTGCACGTGACATGTCCCTCTCGGCTGGCTTCACCACGTGGCCCATACAACGGAATCAGATCCCCAACAGCCGTGTTTGCCACTCGATCAAGTCCACTTCGATCGCGCGTCACCGACAGACCGCCGTCAAAACAACAGCAGCCCTACAAGCCATGCCGAGGGGGTCTCCGCCGCGCCGGCGCGAGTTGCGGTCACGGCCGCAGCCGCAACAGAAAAAGTCGCCCTCGCCGCGCAAGACGAGGCAGACCAAGCCGTCGACAGAGGGTCTGGACCAGGAGAAGATCCTCGAGCTCTGGGCCCAATTTACGGCTGACCACTACGAGATGGTCGAGCAGCTGCCGCTCGAGCTGCACCGCAACTCGCGCTTGCTGAAGGAGATGGACCAGGAGAGTGTTGGTGAGTCACGTCTAGCTGTACGGCCAGGGCCTTTCAGCTGACACGCCAGCGCAGCAGGAGAAGCTCGAGAAGCGGATACGCGAGTACATCGCCTGGCGGACCCAGCTGGTGAAGCCAGTCCCGAAGCCGCAGGAACCGGAGCCAGAGCCGGTCCCAGAGTCAGAGCCACAGGCCGCGCAAGAGTCCCAAGTGGAAGCAGAGGCCAAGCCAGCGGATCTGTCCGAAGCGCGGCCAGACGAGACGCATTCCGAGGAAGACGCGGCCGAGCGCGCCCTCTTCCCCGACGACGACGCCGATCACTCCAAGGAAGCAGCATCGGCAGAAGTCAAGACGGAGCCGGAGTCTGTCCCACCGCAGTCTCAGCCGGACTTGGCGTCCCAGCTCTTCCCCCCAGACTCGCCGTCACGTCTCGCCGCATCGCTCTTTCCCTCCGACTCGCCCTCACGGTCTCGATTCTCGACCTCGCAGCCGCCCCAGAAGCGGCCCAACCTCGGCGAGATCGCGCAGCTCGTCGACGACCTCGTGCGCAATCGGGAGGAGAAGGTCGCCATCGCCGTCGGCGCGTATAACAATGTGAGCTGGGACGTAAGGCGAAGCTGACAGGCAGATCGACCGGCACATCCGCGCCCTCGACTCGGCCCTCAGTGCGCAGGAAGCGAGCCTGTTCGGGATCGAGAAGCAGCCGTCCGAAGTGCCCGAACTGAAGATCCCCGAGGGTCTGGATGTTGATCCGTAAGTCCGCCCCCTTCTTGTTTCTCGCGTCGTTACTGGTCGTGGCTCCGCTAACCGGACGCAGGAACGAGCCGCGCTACTGCTACTGCCGGAACGTCTCTTACGGCGAGATGGTCGGGTGCGACAACGACGACTGTCCGTACGAGTGGTTCCACCTCGCATGCCTCGGCATGACGCACGCGCCGACAGGGTCGTGGCTGTGCGACAACTGCCGTCCCGGCGGCCGCCGAAGAAGACAACGCCAGCGCCAGCAGACAAGAAGAAGCGGAAGCGATAACGTGTATGGACTGGTCTAACTGTTGTATGCATACTTCTACCGTGTAACTTGCTCCCGTTGTGGCATTTTGGCTTTCTTGCTGAGCTCGCAGATCGCGTTTCATCGCGCTCTTCATTGCGCTCGGCGAGCGCTGGCTGCTCGCTGCTCGTGGCGTTCGCGGCGTTCGCAGCTCGCCTTTGCCTCGCTGCGCTCGGCTCACGCCTGCCACTGCTTGAACCTTTCGTCGGCCCAGTCAACGTACTCGCCGCTCCACTCCGGGCTGCCCTCCACGGCGAGGCCGGCAATGACGCTCCCGGGCTTAGCGGGCGGGAGGAGCTTGCCCTCCCTGTGCAGCGACTCGAACTTGCTCATCTGGGCCGGGTCCATGACGGCCGGCCCCTGGGAGCGGATGGCGCCCTGCATGTCGGTCTGGCGTTAGCTGCGTTAGCTATACTGTCCTCCACAGCCTCTTCCTCTTGTGCCCTTGTGCCCTTGTGCTCTTGCTGGTGCTTGAGGAGGAGGTGATAAGACTCACGTCAACAACACCAGGCCGCACGGAGAAGAACGCAACGCCGTTCTCCCTTTCTTCCGTGGCCAGCGTGCGCGCGAACGAGTTCAGCCCCGCCTTGTTCATAGAGTACATGCCCCAGGCCTGGTATCCTGTCCCGCTGGCGCCGGACGAGACGAACACGACGCGCGACGGCTGGCCCCCCTCCGCCGCCTTGCGCAGGTACGGCAGTGCCGGCTGGAGCAGGTACAGGGCTGAGAGGAGGTTGGTCTGCAGCGAGGGGACGAGCGCGTCGAGCGGCACGTCGGCCAGCTTGCCTGTAGATTAGCTACGCAGGTTCCAGTCGGTGCGTGCGTGATTTGCATGCGGCTTATCGCCTTGTGCATCTTGTATTCAGCACCGGCGTGCCCGGCATGCCCGGCGAGCCCAGCGGCTGCAGTGCGCAGTGAGAAGTTAGGGGCTCGGTGATCCGGCAGTGAGCTGGCAGCTCACCAGCTCACCAGCTCGCCCGCTCGGTGGCCAGATGGCCAGGTGACCGGCTCGGTGCCAGTCAAACGCAGGCCGATGCATGCCGCCGCTCGCGTCGTTCGGCGCGTTCGGTGCGACAGGTGAATATGCTGTGCAGCGAGGGTGGGGTGCTTGCATGTGCTGCACTCCGATCAGACGGCACGCATGGGTGAAGCTGACGCCGGGGGCGCAAAGTAGCCCTATAGCCAAGGATGGGGCACGAGGGCGTTCGCTGGCGACTTTGCCGCAGTCGGCGGCGACGTCATAACGTGGTGCGGGGAATTTTCACGGCGCTGGCCTTCCTCCTGCGCGGTGCGCCGGCGAGCACGCCGCCTCTCTCCCACACATTCGGGACGGCGCCGCAACGCCCTACACAACGACTACACTGCATGCAAGCTCATGACTCACCCATGGGCTCGAGCGAGCCGGCATTGAGGACGAGGCCGTTGAGCTGGCCAAACGAGTCGATCGCGGCGCGCACGGCCTTGACATTGTCTTCGGGCTTTGCGACGTCTCCTGAGACATTGACGAGACGCTCAGGGTAGGTCTCGGCGAGCTGGGAGAGGTCGGGGGTAATTGTGCGCTGAAGGGTGACGAGGCGGGCGCCGTGGGCCGAGAGGAGGCGCTGGGCGATGGCGAAGCCGAGGCCGCGGCTGGCGCCGGTGAGGATGAGGACGGGGGAGGGCATGGGGGGTGGATAGTGGAGGGTGGAGGGTTGGGTGGAGGTGAGGTACAGGTGGGTGCTGACTGGTAATGTTGGTATGGTGGTACGGTGGGTGGTGGGTTCCGGCGACTGAGCGACTGACGGAGGGGACCAGCGGCGGCCAAGCAGTTGGACCATGCGGGCAGCCTCGGCAGCAGGCGCTCAGTGGTTGGCGCTGGGTGATGAGGCTGCTGACTGAGTGCTTCACGCTGGCTGCGCTGGCCGTCAGGGTCGGCGCCGGCCGAACGAACCTAGCACCTCAGCTCCGCTCCCTTGCTCAGCCGCCCATCCATCCAGCGGGCCGCCCCCGCGCTCTCCCCCTCTCTCTCCTGACCTCCTTGTGTCGACCTCCCCGTTTAGTCTCCGTCCGTCACCTGCGCACCTGCTTCTTCGCTTCCTCCATCCACCACCACCGACCATCCCACCCACACCCATCCTTCCTTCCATTCCTACCCCCCCCAACCCAACGCCTCGTCGGCACCGCACATTCACCCCTCCTCACCACCTCGGCTCCATCCATCGCCATTCCGAACACCGCCACTCCACTCCACTGCACACAGAACACCCACTCTCGCCGCACTTTGCATAATCGTCCCTGGATCAATCAGGTCATCCCACAAGGTTGCTCCTGCTGCCTCCTTCTGAACACCAAATCCGATCCTTCTGTTCTTCTTGACAACCCACCGTCGGATCATCCATCGCATCACTCACCATCCACCACACCCCCTCGCCGACGCCGTCTCGGAAGTCGGTCTCACCTGCTACTCGACAACAGCAGCTCCACCTGACAACCCTCAATTCTTTATAACCCTCGGTCCCCCGCGGCGCGTGCACCGCTTCAGCCCTTATCTTCCCTTCCTTCCCTCCCCTCTTCTCCTCGTCACGATCGCCGCCGGCTCGGACTCCGACGTCCCAGCACGGACCATCCCCGACCACCCCGCATGTCGCGTGTCCCCTCTCATGGCGGGCATGGCGCGCCCATGCAACCGATGTATTACTCTGGCGTCCCGCCCGGGGCCGTCCCCGCGCAGATGAACTATGTCGACCCCATGTCCGCATACGCCGGACGCGGGTATCCATCCCAGCCGCCTGTCCAGTCCGCCCCTCCGTTCCAGCAGGGCGACTACAATGCCGCTGGCCCTAGCCGGGAACAGTATCCCTATCCGCAGTCGCGCGCGACCTCGTGGGGCTCGATCCCGAAGAAGGAGGACGTCAAGGCGGAGCCCGCCTCGGCGACGCAGGGTGGGCAGGGCGGCCCATCAGCAGGTGCTGCATCCGGCGCTGCTGGCGGTGCCGGTGGAGCAGGCGGTGGCGGCCAGCAGCCCGGCCCGTCCGAGTTCATCAAGAAGCTCTTCAAGATGCTCGAGGACGAGAGTGCGCAGTACGGGCGTGGCAAGCCCCCCGGCGCGCCGCGACTAAAGGGCGAGCGCGGAAGCGTTGGATGGGGCCGCAAGGGCACGTCGTTCGTCGTCTGGGACATGAACGAGTTCACAACCAAGGTCTTGTAAGTCTCAGATGGCTTGTGTGGATCGGATGACTTGGGTGGCGAAAACTGACCTTCCTCCAGGCCACAAACGTTCAGGCACTCAAACTTCTCGTCTTTCGTCCGTCAACTGAACAAGTACGGGTTCTCAAAGGTGAGCTAGCAACCCGTACTCTAGCTGACGCGACAGATCAAGCATGTCGACGAAGAGTCGGGTCAGATCAAGGAGAACGTCTGGGAGTTCCAGCACCCCAACTTCCAGGCTGGCGGCAAGGCCGATCTGGACAGCATCAAGCGCAAGACGGTCGGCCCCAAGAAGGGCAACAACGATGATCGAGAGGGCTCGCCGAATCGTGGCCTCAATGCCGAGGATGCGAACCGGCTGGCGGAGATGGAGAGTAGGGTGCACACTCTCGAGGAAGCCCTCGTCCGGACGCAGGAGCAGCTCCGCGATTCCCGGAGTCGAGAAGGTGGTATCCTTGCACTCATGCGAGATGTGGTGTCCCACCTCGCTGCGTCCAACAAGGGTAAGCCACCATGCGCACATTGTGTATCTGTCGACATATGGCTGACGCGATAACAGAGACCACACCAACAGAGGACGCGATGGGTCGTGTAAACCGTCTCCTCTCCCTGTTCGAGCAGGTCGCCCAGTCCCACGCCGTTCCGTCACCAGCTCACGCCGCTTTCGTCAATGCGCCACCGAGCGCTGGCTACCCTGCCAATTACCCTTCCGGTGGTGCGGCGTATGGGGGTGGCCTTCCCTTCCCTAACGTCGGCCGCTACGGAATCCCTCCGCTGCAATCGCCTGCTTCTGCAACTTCGGCGGGGCCCGTTCCCGGAATACCGCCCAACGTTGTTCCCCGACCCGACCCTGTTCGCCAAGCTGCCGCGCAGAGTGTCCGAGCACAGGGACCGCGCCGGGGAAAGTCGCGGGAGGACGTACCCATGTACAACGGAGACGTCCCCGGGCTGAACCCGATCATGAACTCGGGTCAGCCGGCCCAGCAGCAGAGCCCACAGCAGCAGCAGGCCCAGCAACAGCAGGCCCAGCAGCAGCAGCAACAGGCTCAACAGCAGGCTCAACAGCAGGCTCAACAGCAGGCTCAGCAGCAGGCTGCTCAACAGGCGGCGCAGCAGCAACAGCAGGCTCAACAACAACAGCAGCAGCAGCAGCGCAACTTCAGCAATGGTTCCTACCAGCAGGAGACCCCGACCCAGCCCGTGACGTCCACCATGCCGCAAAACGAGGACGTTGACATGTCGGGTGCTGCGAACGCGGCTGCTGTCGCAGTCAGCGGTGTTAGCGCCGCCGCCAATGCTGCGCAGCAGTCTGCCGATGGCAGCGGCAACGTTGCCGCCGCGAACGGCACTGGCGCTCAGCCTGTCGCTCGCCGCGCTTCGATGAAGCCGTCTTGGACGCAGACCCCTCGCATCCTCGTCGTTGAGGACGACGTTGTGTACCGCCAGCTGTCGAGCAAGTTCCTCGAGAAGTTTGGCTGTATCGTCGAGACGGTCGAGAATGCGCAGCAGGGTATCGAGCGCATGAACACGGCCAAGTTTGACCTCGTGCTCATGGACATCTTCTTCGGCCCCAGCATGGACGGACGCAAGGCGACGAGTCTTATCCGCCAGTTCGACATGTACACGCCGATCATTTCGATGACCTCGAACGTGCAGACAAAGGACGTCGACTCGTACCTGCAGTCTGGAATGAACGACGTCCTCGCCAAGCCGTTCACGAAGCACGGCCTGTTCTGCATCCTCGACAAGCACCTGATCCACCTGAAGGCTCTGCAAATGAGCGGCGAGGTGCCGCGCACGATCGGTGTTCCGCCTCTATCGGACCAGGGTGTCGTCGACGCCCTCACGACCAACGCCGCGCAGTGGGAGGCGGGCAACGGCGCCGAGCTCGGCAACCCGCTCGCGGGCAGCGGTTGGTCGGACGAGACGTACCAGCTGGTTCTGCAGCAGTTCCTGCAGACTGGTGCACTTCCCGATTCGACTGCGCTGTTGTCCAACGGTTTCAGCGCGACCGCCATCCCGGGTGCCGCTGCCAGTGCCGCCGCCGCGGCGATCCAGGCGGGCAACCTGAACGCCGCCAACGGCATCGGCACCAACGTCGTCTTCTCTGGTCTCGGCATGAAGCGCCCGATAGAGGAGATCGAGGAGTGGAAGGAGAACGTCAACAAGCGCCAGCAGGGCGCGCCCGTCGGCACGATAACGGAGATGGCGTAGTGAGCCCGTCTCCCATCCGTCTGCCGTCTTCCACTCTGCCCCAACCTCAACCCCAACCAACCAACCTCTGTATCGTTAAACGTTTTGGCTCCCGATATGTTTCCTCCTAGCTTTGTGGCTGATGGAGCGGCCTCGCGCGCACGCTCGCAGTTGTGAACAGTCGGCGTCGCGGACGTAATACCAGCTTTTCATGATACCTCATAAAGTCTATGTACTATTGCTCCAAACGGCAGTTGCTGGTCATCACTGACTACTTCTAAAATTCTGACTACTTCTCTATTCTAGCGGAGCGCCTAGCAGAGCGCGGCGTACTTGTCCATCATCGTCGAGAGCTCGACCCTGGAGTTTCGGCGAGCACAGCGCAAGCCGCCGCGGGCGAAGCGGGCCCGGGAGTCCCGCCGATGATCTGCTCAAGGGGGCGCTTGAGGAGTGCGTCCTCGACGTACTCGCGCACGCTCAGGCCAGAGTGGCAGATAGCGTAGTACTGGTCCTCATTGAGGGGCAGGGCGCGCTGGATGAGGGAGACGGAGAAAATGCGGCGGAGGAACGCGAGCTCCCTCTCCTCCCTCTCCTCCCTCTCGCAGAGGAGGGCCGGGGGCGTGCCGACCTGGAAGTCGTCACGGTCGTCGTCACGGTCGTCGTCGCGGTCGTCGTCACGGTCGTCGTCACTCCACTGCTCCTCCTTGTCAAGACGGGAGAGGAGGACAGAGTCGGAACAGACCGAGCCGGCGTCCGTCTCGCGCTCGTCGTCGACGTCGTCTACATCGTCAAGGAGGGACGAGAATGGCGAGTCAAGGGGGGAGGAGAAAGGCGAGAGTGGCGACGAGAACGGCGAGGAGAGGTACGCCGCATGGGAGTGGGGGCTAGAGGGCGTGTCCGAATCAGAGAACGCCTCGACGGGATCCACGTTCTCGAAAGACGACATCTCCCCCTCGCCGGAGCGGGAGGGCGAGGGCGAGATGGCAAAGTCGGCGTCGTACGAAGACTCCGAGGCAGGTTCCAGACTCAGAGCGGAGAGAGCCGAGAGAGCAGAGAAGGACTGGAACAGGGGGCTGGTGAAGAGGTATCCCGAGTTCGCGGGGCTGGCGGAGCTGGCGGTGCTAGCGGGGCTCGCGGGGCGCGAGAAGGGGCTGTCGAGGGGGTTCTCGAGAGGCACGTAGTCGTCGTCGGAGTCGGAGTCGGAGCCTGTTGCGCGGGTAGGGCCCGACGAGATCGAGACGAGCGAGAGCGGGGACGCGGGACGGCCGAAGGGCATCCACGTCTGCGCCAGGATGGCGTCGGTCAGCGAGAGGGGAGAGCCGCGGTGGGACGGGTCGTCCAGCGGCAGGAGCTCAAGTGGTGAGGCTGAGCGCTGCTTGGGAGCAGGAGCGCGGAAGGCGGGGGGAGGACGCGTCCCGCGCAGATTTGGCGGCATGGGGGGCAGGTCCATCAGCTTGGTGCGGGTGGCCTCGTAGAAGGAGGGGTGGTGGGACATTGTTGTTTGATGTTGTAAGATGATGGGTACGAGATGTACGAGAGATGGTACGGTGAGGGAGACGATGCTCTGATGAGAAGACGTTGGGGATCAGAACGTTCGGAGGGGGGAGACGCTGTTATATACCCAACGCGACAGCCTGGGGGGTATAAACAACGACCTGGGAGCGTACACAATCTGACGTGTGCGCACAACAACATCGACAGCGGGAAGGCAGCCGCTCGCACGACCTGCTCGAGCCATTGCCGCCGGACATCTCTCTTAGCGTCGAGCCCACCGTTGCTAGTCCAGGATCCTCTTTGGCTCCGACGTTACTCGCGCCACTGCTCTGTTTACCTCTGCTGCTTATCGGGCCTTTGCTCGCGTGCTCGCATGCATCGCCCTGCAACGCCCCGCGCCATCATGAATACACGCACGGCTGTGATCTGCGTCAGAGGATCAAGGATCAGTGACGCGGATGCGATGTGCGTGATTAGCACGACCGTCAGCCGCTAGATTAGGGGCTTAATCAGATTAGATGAGTACCATTGCCGCCGGCACCTGCGCCAAGATGCACCAACAGGCGCCAACGCGGCTCTGCAACTCCCCGTGTATTGTTTTGCGGCCCCACTCCACGGCGAATGCAGATGGCTGCACGACGCCAACATTACGGCCGCAGCGGGACTGGGGGCGTAATGTCACGGTACAGGGTTAGTCACTGGTGACTCACCCCTCAGGTCAGTCCGTCTCAATGTTAGCTGTGAGAGTCGTTCGAGGTACAGGCCCTTTCTCATCAGGCTATTACAATTAGGGACCGCGTAAGCGCAAGCAGGCAGCGCAGTGGAGTAGCTCGAGATCCTGTATAAGTTCAGGTGGATGTGAAGCTCCGGCCGTGACAAGATCATTGTTCGCAGTGTGTGAAATGTTGATGTAGACTGAGCGTTGAAAATACGTTCGGCGACAATCGAGATACCTTCGACCGGCCATCCGCTCGCTGCGCCCTTGTGACAACAGCCTAAGCGTTCCGGTCCTTGGGATCTTTCCTGTGTTTCTTGACGAGTGACGGCGTCGCGGGCGGCATGATGTGGTAGACGAATCCGTTGATGATGCCCGCAGAAAGGGCCGCGACCCAATGGATCCACGACGATGACACATTGTACCGCGCAATCTGCGCACCGAGGCACCGGGCAGGGTTGATCGCTGCGATCGTCAGCCTCTGCCCTTGCGTTATCCCCGCCAGTGAACTTACAGATACCGCCGTAACCGGCGTGGACCCACGGCGAGCCCCACACGGTCAGTGTGAGCGTGAGACCGACGAGCAACTGCGAGTACGCAGGTCCGAAAATGGGCGTCTGCCGGGGATCGAGACCGACGCCGAAGGACATGAAGGCGATCGTGGCGTACAGCATCGTCTCCATGACGTATGTCTGGCCCATGGAGCTCTTGCTGAAGTCGACGGTGCAGCCGCCGATCTCGCCGTTCGCGAAGAAGTTCTCAGTCCCGACACCGAGCTTGAGGGCGTAGTTGCCAAAGATCGCGCCAACGGTCTGCGCAATGAGGTAGTACAGCCCGCGCGGGACCGTGCAGAGCCCTGCGCACACGGTGGCCATGGTCACAAACGGATTCAGGTGTCCTCCCGTCGGCGCGGCCGTGGCGTAGATCATCATCGCCGTCTGCGTGCCTGTGAAGACGGCCTCGACCGTAGTCTGCGCCAGAACCGACGAACCTGTGAACTTGGCTCCGGCAAGCTGGTTCAGCGAGATCATGAAACTGAGCAGTGCCGTGCCTTGCCGTCAGTTCTCATTCCTTGCTCTGTCCGAGACAGTCGGTTCAGTCTCACGCCCCCACCCAGTCGACGTAAACATGCCCACTCCCCAGCACTCGCTCGCTACTCACCAATGCCCTCGATGCACGCGGCGCGAAGGTACAGCGGGTCTCTGAAACCGGGAAAGTCGAGGAGTTCCTTCAGGTCGCGGATCTTGTGCGAGTCGGGGTGACGGAACTTGCTACTCGTGAATGCGAGGTTGCCTCCGATACGGCCGGCGAAGGGAGCCGATGCCGAGGGATCGTCCCAGATATCAAAGGGGACGTCTGCGAGACTGGGGTCGGAGCGCACGTTGAACAACCTGTTGCGGAGCCCGTCGGCACTCCCCGCTCCCCCCGTTGCGATCGAGGTCGAAGATCCGTTCACGCCTCCTCCACCTCCACCACCGCCGGCGTGCGCACTCGTGTCCACGTTCGGATTGACATGCGGCGGTGAGGGCGGACGCTGCGAGGGCGGGCGATTCGTTGGGCGGGGGTCAGGCTTCTCCGGGTCCGCCCTGTGATGCCGGTGCAGTGGGAGGATGTGCTTCTTGTGACTTGGCTGGTGCTCCTCGTACTTGGTGACGCCCTCGACCTTGGCGACACCAGCGTACGCGACCTCGGCGTCCGTCGTGCTCATCCTGTGCTTCAGCGGGGGCGGGTCGACGCGCTTCGGCGCATGCCCCGACGGGTCGGGCACATCCGCGACGCTGCGGATGTTACGCGGCAGCGCGGCGCGCTTCGTCTGGGGCAGGGCGTCGCGGCTCTCCTTCGACAGCTCGAGTTCCTTCTTTGTCAACCGCAGGTCTTCCATTGACCGGCTCATGGCGAATGGCGGGGGTGGTGGGATGTCATGAGTCAAGTTCTCCACTGTTGTGAACTGGTCGTTATTGACGAGGGTCGAGAACCGCGGGGATGTGGAGTTGGAAGGCTATGACGTGAGTCCCAAACTTCAGTGATCCTTTGGGTTGGTGCCTCTCAAGTGACTGCCTTTTGCTGCGGGGATCGTCAGCCCAACCAAGTGAACCCACAACTGGGCCTGGCTCGACCCGAGTCACTTGTTTACACCTGGATAGTAAATGCAAGCCGCCCTCTGATTTCAACGCGCGACAAGGTGACTTTTTGTTTGATTTCAACAATTCATATGACAATACCAAGCAAGTTTGTTCCGAAAATACACCCCTTCCCCTACCGAAGGGCCCGATTCCAACGCGGTTCCTACCTCTATTCCAAATGCGGCGGGGTTCCTAAACCTTGCGCCTGATTTCTGTGACGCGTTTCCGTGTATGAAGCTAGTACGACGCCCAGGAGGGTATAAGGGTATAAGGATCCAGATGGACCGCATCTTTGCACGCCGATGCAGCACGTTAGAGCTGGTTCGCGGCACAGTTGAACGCCTTCGCAACCGGACCAGAGTAGTCCTTGATGATCGCCGAGACGGCAGTCCAGAGACCAGGGCCGAGAATCATCCATCCGAAGAGGAAGATGACAATGTTCAGGAACGTCTCGGCCGTGCGCCGCGGGCTCGTGAAGAAGCCCTGGCGGTGGTACAGGTGCCAGTACGCCACGGCCCAGTAGATGAAGCCGAAGAACGAGTCGAACAGCGCACAAAGAAGCGAGAGGAAGTCACCGAGTGAGGGAATGACGCTGTGAGTTAGTACAACGACACGAAGCATCGCCCCTGGAGCAGGAGCAACTCACTTTCCAAAGATGAACGCAAGCACCCAGTAGATCGTGATACCGGCGATCCACGCTCCCCAGCCAAGGAAGGTGTGCGAGTGGTTGTGGCGCGTGTTGCCAAAGATACGGCTGTACACGCACTTGACCGTGACGTTGGAGTAGAGCACGCCGATGATGATGGTCGGCACGATCGCAAGGCCGTAAGCAACCTTGCGCATCCAGGGCTCCTGCAGCGAGGCGATGAAGGGTGCCTGAGCGTACTGGCCCAGGTAGTAGTAGCCGATGACGGACATGAGGACGAAGAAGATGATCTCACACCCAGTCAGCACGGCGAGCGCCTTGGGGAACTCGCGCGGGTCACGCATCTCGTTGATGAAGGAGGGGTAGAGGAGCTGGCCGATCCAGGCGAAGATGATGCTGCGCGTTAGCTCGGTACGGTTCGCATCAGCGCTGCCAGCCTCCGCTACAACTGCATGGCATGACCGATGGAACAGGTATGAAGGGATAACTCACTTCAGCACAGCGTTAAAGCCATCAATGAAGCCTAAGTTGGGGTTCGGGAAACCAGCGTGGGTCTTGACGGGTCCAAGTCCAGGGTACTCCGTCAGGCCGTCCGGTCCTCCGTAGCCGCGGTACGGGTGGTCCTGGATAGCCGCGAAGATCAGTGACAGCAGGATCGTGAGGCTCATGATGATGACGGACGAGGTGCCGATCAAACTCGCGTGGTCGAGGCGACGGGGGAGCGAAAAGAGAATCGACGCCGCCATCGTGATCACCTGCCACACGACGGTGCATACGCGGCCATCGGCCAGCGTAGAGAAGACTGCGAGTCAGCTATACTCTGTTGGGGCTGATCTGCAGTCCCTGCCTTGGTTACGCCACTGAGGTCCTCCACATGGCTGTTCGGACGGGTGGTAGCGGTTTGACAGCGGTCACGAGACCAGTGTGGGGCAGAGACTCACTCTTGCCACCCGTGAAGATGTGGTATCCCATAGTCAGCACCGAGTTGATAATGAGCATCGCGCTCGAGATCTCGCGCGCCGTCCGCGGGAAAGCCGGGAACAGCTTCGCCGCAACGTCGCCGATGTCGCGCATGCCGGGGTGCTTCATGCAGAACTTCCACATGATGTACGAGGTGTCTGTCTGTCAACTGGGCTCTCACTCACGCCCGGTTTGCTCGCTCGTGCAGTGTGAGCAGGCAGTCGGCCGCTCCACTCCACAGTGTACTCACACCAAGTAACCATTCCAGCCACTATCAGGACAGTCATACCGGTGCCCCAGCCGAGGACGGAGAAGGACCACGGCAACGCCATAGAGGCAAGGCCGAAGTACTCGCACACGAGGAGATAGGCTGTCTTCTTCCAGGAGAGGGTGCGGTACTTGATGTCGTGGTCCTTCTCCTGCTCGACGAGGACAGTGAACTCGTCCTTTTCCTTCTCGTCGGACATCTCATCCTCGGAGACCTTGCGGTCGCGGACGATGGTGTCGTTGTCGCTTCGCCGGAACAGCATTGTGGCCGGTGGCTGTGTACGGGGGAGAAGGGGGACGTTGTGGGTGGGATTGTGGCGGAGTGTCTCGTGTGGTCGGCCAAAGGCGCCAGAGGTCTAGTGGAGAGGTTGGTGGGTGAGTGAATGGGGGGGGGAAGGAGGGGGAGGGCGATCCGCTAAGATGGAGCTCCGAGTATATGAGCCGGCCTGGGGTTCGAGAATGGGGGGTCAGGCGATGGGGGTGGGGTGTCGATCCTGCTCCGCTGGGCTGAGGGGCTGATCGAGGATCGAGGGTGAGGGCGAGGGAAGGGGTGTAATGAATGCCCAAACCAAAAATTGTGTATCCGGCGAGGTCCAGGTCCCGTCGTTACTGACGGTAGCGACGGGCGGCCAGTAGTAGCTAGCAGGGGGGGCAAGGCTTGCTCAGCTTGCTCAGCTCCTGTGCGCGCGCCGGTCTTACCGGCGAGAAAGGGGGTCTACGCAGCTTGTGCCCAGCTGACGGAGCCTGATCCTCCGTCGGGGGGCGGGGCCGCCAGTGGAATTCCGTCATCGCCGGCTCCCTGCCGGCACTCTGCCAGTGCGGTGCACGAGCGCGTACCCCGCGGCGAGGGCTGGTTGGCTTGGCCACTGGGGATACGTCTATAAACAGCTGTTTTCCGGCTGGAAAAGAGGGCCAGGAGGGCACCGGGGGTATATCGAAGGGTCAGGAGAGGGTTATCTGCCAGGGTAAATGGGTCAGCACAGGGTGTCGACGGCTAGTCACGTGGATGCTGATATGATAATGCAGGTTTACGATACGCTAACCCTGCTAGTGCGCGAATTAGACGAAGGGGCTCCACTTTCAAAGCCCGGCAGCCTCTGCTCTGATGCCTGCTGCTGAATCCCTTGGTTTGCCCGGAGAAGAGACAGGGGGGCTAAAGATAGCCACGGCTGCAAGTGTAAGGAGGAGCACGGCACACATGAATGCGCATCAGCGTGCCTGTCGGAGCATGCAACCTGCACCGCAAGCTCGTCCTCGGCGTGGGGCGGCCGTCGTGGGGCCTCTACGACCATAGCGCCGCACGCTTGCGCGCTCGTCAGCGGCGTTCTACGTTTAGCCTCATTTACATCGCTACCGCCCACTTCGAAGAACTCAAAGGTCCCGAAGTGCTAGGACGATGGGGGCAAACCTTGCTCGGGAGCGGGGCTGATTGGCGCATGCGGGAGTAAGGGCGTTATCGATATCGTGTGGAGCGTGGAGCATGTTGGAGCAGCGATTAGATTGATAGCTCGGCGATATACGTCAGAGAGCAGCGCGCCGCAGGGACTCGAAGTGTGTCGCAACGCGGTGGACTGTTTAAGGAACAACATGACGACAGGACGAGGCCGTGTCGCAAGTTCGAGGCCGGGCGGCCAGCGAAAAGGACGTGATCCACGGGCATTTCGTCGACCGCCGCTGATCGTGATTCGGTCCGTTTGACCGCGGGTCGCGTGAGCGTGCCCTGTCTCATGACCCAGCCCTGTCCGGTTCGGTGACCGAACCGAACGAGCTACGTGAGAGAGACAGAAGAGCTCGGTATAGATAGTAGATCAAATCGTGGTGTTACTCACGATACCACACGGATCGGCTCGGTATTCGGTGGCTTCACCTCACCTTCCACGAACATGCTTCGAAGCAAGGCACCTGAATCTGTCGTATCCAAGGCAAGAATTCCATATGGCTTTAGGGCAGACGCCGCGCAACGCCCCATTCTTCGTCCCACACCAGCTCCATACTGGAACGGCAAACGCCAGAGCCCGGCATGCTTCTCAACCCTACCGGACCCCGTACCTTTCGTCAAACCTCTCTCGGCCCAGCATCGTGCTAGGCTGTACGGCTCATTAGATGTGTAGTCGGCTTCCTCACACTTTGGGTTACCGCCAACAAGATCAGCACTGTCCGCGTGACCGCTTTGGCGCATTGGCCCCGCCGGCCAGAGGGAGCACGTTATCCGACCATGCTGCACTAAGCATCAACATCTTGATATCGCGCCATCCATCACTTCCACTCCGACGAGGCCACGGCGGTATGGGAGTCCCCAAGCCGCGCCAGGTGCGCTTTGCGACCCTCCTCGTCTTGCTCCTCCTCGCCCTTCTCCTCGTCGTCAACGACTGCCGGTCAGGGTGGGGATGGGCATGGCGCACTCGAGACCGGTTGACGGCCTTGATCTTCCTCAGACCGACAGAACCAGGTGCTCGCTCACAGCTTCTGCAACATCTCCTCATCGCCCAGCCGCCGGCCGCTTTTCGCACTCCTTCGCTGAAGGAGGCGCCGCTACTTGCGCTCTACGTCTTTAGCACAAGCAATGTGGCCGGGTACATGCGCCGCCAACTCATACGACGACAATCTCCGCTAAAGCGTTTGCCGGAGGAGTATCAGCCACTTGTGCAACTGCGCTTCGTGATAGGCCAGCCGGTTACGCCAACAAAGCTGCTTTGGACGCTGCCGGAGGATCTCAGTGCCGAGCAAGACGAACACGAGGACCTGGTGTTCATCGATGAAGACGTTGATGGCGGGAAGAGCCTCGCCTGGATGCGAGCTGTTGGACAAGGGGAGCCAGCCCAATGGGTGTTCAAGGCGGGTGATGACGTGAGTGTTTCGTCGCAGACGTTTCTGACGATAGACCGTCGTGAACCTGCCCAACGTACTCGATGAGGTGCTTAGACACCCACCCGAAACGCCGACATATGTCGGAACCTCGCTGGGACGCTCGACGAAAGAACAGCTCTACTTCACCGGCTCGCTGTACGGCTTCTCGTGGCCTGTGGTCGCTGCTGTCGGCGCGGCCAGATTGACGGAGGACGAGGTGCGCCTTCCGCGACAAGAGGATGTGCGGACAGGCGATGTGATGGTGAGTACACTTCTGCGATAAGCGGGGCGACGTGAGATCACACAGCATCAACACCATGATCCAGCCTGATGTAGTCTGACATCAGCTCTCGCTTCCTTCAGCTCCTGGCTCCGACCTCAAGGCGGAGTTCCCCTGTCTGCCATCGTGCAGTGACGAGGCGCTCGACAAGCTCGCCCAGGATCAGGTAAACAGGCACGACGCGCGCGTGGGCACGAACCCCCGCACTGGGCTGCGATACGTGAACGTCCTGAGCAGGATTGGCGTCTGGCATGATGGGGTCTGGTGGCCAGCCGGAAGGAAGGCACTCGCGTGGCAGGGGCTCGAGAAAGACACGGACTTCATCGCCGCGAGCAATGACGCCAGGACGGACTGGAGGCCGCCGAGGTGGATCAGGAAGCGCCTCAACCTGGATCAGTGAGGAGAGAGGTCAACCTGGATCAGCATGACGCAGATCTCGAGTGTGAGGCGTAGTGGGGCCTTCATCGTCGGTTTCGGGGTGGACGTCGCCCGACGACATGCGGTATGTCGTGGCGCAGGCGACAACAGCAGCTCCATGCTGACCCATCGACAGCGGCCGGGTAGTGCTTTGACCTGGGTGACGGCCGAGCAAGATTTTCCGGCTGCAGATCACGGCCGCAATTCAGAGGCGCAACTCTACAACAGCCCCACTGTAGCTGACGCCCACTGCAAGCCAGCTTCAGCCTGCAATACATCCACTCGGCGAGCGGGAGATCGCCCACGCCGTTGGCTGTCGAGTCTAAGGCTTGCTCCGCCTCTGTCTCGAGCTTATTTTTCGACTCGGGAGCCGTCGCAGTCCCGGCCATCTCATGTCTGTGTTGTGGGGTCTTAAGGAGGAGAGTCCGCCAAGCCGAGTCCGACAAGGTGAGACATTGCGCCAAGGTCCCAACGCCTCGTCGGGTTCGGCCGGCAGCGGCGTCGGACGGAGCTGGACGGGGACGATGTGAGACCCAGTGAGGTGATGTTGTACTTCCTTGCGATTCCTGTCGTTATGCATGGTGCCCTGTATGTCAGAAGTCTGCGGGTGACGAGGAAGATGTCCGCGATGGCGGCGACGAATGGGGAAGCAAAACGGGGAAGGTTTGAAGGGCGGGTCAGAGGGAGGGGTCAGGGGAGCGACATTGAGCTCGACGCCTCCGGCGACTTCTGCACAACCTAACTCGTCGAAGTGATCCGGAGAAGGTCGCGCTTTGGCGTTTGAATAGAGGACGCAGGAAGGAGAGTGGGAGCTAGAGAGGAAGACATTGCGATATAGACAGTATGCATCAAGTCCAGTCAATCGGCGTCAGCGTGGATGGACTGCGCCCTTGCCACCAAGCACCGCGTGCTGAGCGGGATGAAACGCCACGGTTAAGGAGTCTAAGTGCTGAGATGCTGTCTCGTTCTGCTTCCTCGTTTGATGCCGTCGCCGCCCATCGGCCTGCGTTCGCCGCTCGGACGCTCTCCTCCAATCTCGAGCACAACAATCCACTCTGACACTCACCCACCTCCTCGCTGCCTCCTCACCTCGCCTCTCGGGTGTTCATCTCCCGCCTGATTCCTCCAGGTCTCGTCGAGTGCTGCACTTCGCCCCCCCGCCCCCGTGCTCCGATCGAACAAGATGCCCCTGGGCGGACTCCTTCGCAAGCGGCGCAGGGTCGACCCGGCTGACGAGTGCGTACCCTTGGCGCAGCATGTGTTGCTGTGGCCCTCTCGTTCCTACCAGCTAACAACAGCAGGGTGACAAAGGAGAAGAAGAACTGGATGGCCATCGACCGCACTGTTGCGCCGCTACCTGCTTCGGCTCTTCCCTCTTCCTCGACGTCTGCGTCACTCCCTGACTCGACACCATCACGTGCCCCCCTCGCACCAGTCCAGGGTGGTACACCGATTGCCGTCGACCAGGAGAACCTGCCCGAGGGTCTGGAGGGGGACATGCTCTCGCGCCTGCTCGAGCTGAACACGGAGCACACTCGCCTGCAGATGCTCTACGAGGACCTGTATGCCCGCTACTCGATGCAGAAGGAGCAGCTTGCCGAAGCAAGCGAGGCGATTGAGGAGCTTGGTGCCGCGGTCGAGAAGCGCGATGCTCGTATCCGTGTGCTCCGCATGACAATCAGGCGGCTGAAGGGCGGCGCTGGCAGCCAGCAAGGACGGCAGCAGTTCCCCGAGGGAAGTGCACCGGGTGCTTGAAGGCACCACGCAGAGGTGCAGAGGGGATCACCAACCGAGGTGGAGAAACGCGAGGCAGGCGACGGCCGTAGATAGCGATGACGGCCGTGATAGCGACGATAGGGGCAATCCAAAGCCTGCGACACACATCAAGCCTATCGTCCTCGAGCCCATAACGCCAGGTGCGAAGGGACAAGTTTGGTTCAGGAGGGTGGAGAGATTAGGAATGTAACATGTACGACATCAGGCAATCATGCGATAGTGCGGGGCCATCACATCATGACATGGCGTCCTTGCTGACGAGTGAGCGAGAGAGATCTGGTCGCCGCCCAACTCCTGGATGGTGGCTGAAGCAGGCGGCGGGGCTCGGAACGACACGCAGCGGTGGGCGGGTTCGCGGTTGATTTCTTTTTCGCGACCTTTCGCGGGCGGACGGCACCGGCTCGGTGAACCCTGGAAGCATAACGGGAACTGAATGGCACTACGGAACGCGCGTCAATTGAGCCCGCTGTAGTTGGTTCCGGTATGGGTTTCGTGAGCCCCACAACGCCCAACATAAGGCATCAACGGGGAGATGCGCACGGGCTCTCGCTCTCTTGGTACCGAGGGGAGCTCGCTCGGTACATGGTGTGGGAGGTACAGACGAGGAGAGGGATGCGTCGGCATGAGGCTGTCAGAGCCCACCTGTTCCTCCTCCCACGCCTCAGCCCACGACGCCCAGCAACGCCTGCCAACGCCGGTCTGAGCTGCGTATTGATGGCGCATGCTGTGCCGAGAGCGCCCATGCTGCGTAAGGATCATGAGGATTGCAAGGAGGTGTGCGGCGTGATGACGGCCCGAGCTGCGATCGCTGTTATCCTCCCCTCGTCGAACCCTCGACATAAGCGGTCTGTGTCCTCTGCAACCTTGTTGACACGGGGTACACGGGGTACGCGCAGAGGCGCATTCCTGCTGAACGCCAAAGAGTGGGTTGCCCGCTGGTCCGGACTTCAGTCACTTCAGACACGACTTCTCATGCTAGCAGATTGTGCTTGGGTCCGCTTTCCTGCGCCAGAACAAGCGCATTGAGCCCATCACACGAAGAACACGAGATTAGACCCCACTCTTCGTTATCGAGTGGGTGTCGGGTGCCGGATCACGAACATGGCCCATTCAGCAATTTCGGAATCTACTGTCGGTGCGCACACTGCCGCGGCCACGGGACTGAGCTGGAATTGTTCATTGATTGAAGCGGGCCAGCGCACCCAAAGTGACAATCGAAGCCACGTTTCTCACGAACTCATCACCAACCGTCAGATACATATTGGCTTCGGATCGACATTCAGGCTGTAGCATAGGCACCGGGGCAAGATGGGTTGCGCGACAAGCAAGACGGCCAGAGCAGTCAGATGATCGCCAAGAGTGGGCGACGTATTCAACTCCGCCCAGTTGATTAGGTAGTTCCTCTGTTCCGGGATGTATTCAAGCGATTGCAAGCTCGAGGTGTACGCTATCCCGATGACTTGATCCCACACATCGCACACAATAGTGGCACACGGTGAGACCTCGGCGCCTCGTGACCTTCGGCGTGCAGCCGCCGTCGGTCAAGCGGCGCAGCGGACACGGCGGGCCGCACATGGCACACGGCGTTCAATTGACGTGTTGACTGCCGGCTTTCTGATCAGAGACACCGAAGGTACCCAGCCCTCTGTGTCTTGGTTTGAGCTCTCACGCTAGCAGTTAGGTTGTGGTATAGTTATGCTCTGCACGCTTTACTCAGACAGCTCCAACGGAGGCAGCGAACTGAAGGCTTCCCGGGTAGCAAGGCATGACGTGGTCGGGCAGTAGCTGACTTCGTCCTGAGCAGTCTGCGCCTCACGATACTTGCATAGTTAGGCTCGATTCCCGCGTGCTCTCCCCCTTGCACCACGCTGACTTTGCCGGACGTCGTACGCACCGCCCGTACCGTAGTTGGAAGCTGGACGAGGGATGGTGCAGGAGACGCAGGACGCATAGGGAAAGTTAGTCGCCAGCTGAATTGATTCCCGTCAAACTTTCGTCAGAGTCCATCACTCATCCGGCCGCCTGGCTGGCTAACCCGCACGCCATTACCCACCAGTCGGGCAGACTTTTGCTTCTACTGGTGTCCGCTTCCGGTGATGGCGGCGCTGGCGCTGGGCGCCGGGATGGCTTCGACACTCGGCCATGCGAGTTACGAGAACTGACAACCCGAAAGAATGCAGGCTGGACCAATGTCTGACCTGCGCACAACCACCAGCCGTACCGACGCATCCGGTGGAAGACTGCACCGCCCGATGGACGGCTGTTTGTTTTGTTCCTCTATGTACCTACACGTGCAAGCACTAGTGTTCTAGCGCATCGCGCTCCTCGAGGCACCTTGCGTTCGGAACCTCGGGAGCTCGGTAGCTCGGAAGCACTGGGCACGGCCGTGATCCACTTCCGGTTCTTCCGGAGCGGTGCGTCCGATGAGCACCGTGCTGCGCTGTTTGTTTACCTCGCTCTGCATGTTGCAGCGCCCCGGTGCCTTCGTTTTTGCGCACAGCGCAACGGCAGCCAGCCGGCAGTACGGTCGCATCAATGCGCCGGCGCACATCTCCCGGAGAAGTATGGCGGTGCGCCGGACAGCACGGTGGCTGCTGCCATCGCTGGAAAATATTGGATGGAGGAGATGCACACTTCTGTGCCAGGAGCAATTGGTGCCGAGCATATGTTCTAGCACCCTCCCTGGGCACCTTTGAACCCTGGATTCGCCGTCGCTGATGCGGATGGACGATGGCGGATGCCGAGCCGAAGGCCAGACGCACACGTTCACGGGACCTTTTCGGCACGGCTGGAGTTGTCTGGAGCAATCAGCGAGCAGGGATATTTCATGGCATTGCGTCTCGTTCTTGCCACCTAACATCTCCTCATCTAACAGAACAACAACAATGCCTCGCTCAGTGAGTCACCAGCATAGTTTCTGGGAGGGTTGTGTACTGACGCACACAGTCTCGTGGATCCGTCCGTCCCTCGTCCTCGCACTCGGCCCCCTCGGGCTCCCGCCAGGCCCACACCGCCTCGTACCCCCAGCAGCACGCCCCGGCTCCTGCCCAGCACTACCCCGCTGCTCAGCCCGTCCCCGCCGCTGTCCCCCAGAAGCAGCCCGGCCTCATGGCCCAGGCCGCCTCGACCATGGGTGGTGCCGTTGCTGGTTCCGTCGTCGGCCACGGTATCTCCAACATGCTCTTCGGCTCGTCCCGCCCCGCCGAGGCTGCCCCTCCCCCTCCATTCATCGCATCTGTTCCAATCTTCGACGAGAGAGCCGGGATTTCTTCCCTCGTGGAAGCTCCCACAGTGGGCTCAGAGGGACAATGAAAGGATCTGCAACAGTCTGCAACAAGTTCGACGGCTTCCATGAAAGGGACGCTAGGTCATTGGCTGTGTCTTCTATTTCGACCGATTACGCAGTGCGCTTCGACGCGTGCGACGCTCCCTCCTCTTGCATTTGTCTTGCGGCTGTTCTGTGCAAGGCGGCAGGATAGCAGCGGTAGCCAGCCCGCAGGCCAGCCGCAAGGGGGTCACCGCAATTGCGCTCAATGGCAGGCCGTAGCACCAGCATCCGAGGGCCGAGGGTGGCTCCCCTTTGGAATTGCTGTTCCAGCAGTGTTTAGAGTTTGCAACTCTAAGTGCCCGCAAGCCCCGCGTGCCCGACGCGTTTGGAAGTGCTGTGCTGCGCATCGCTGGCGAACAGGCGTGCAATGTCGGCGATCTCGGTTGGCCATTGACCTGTAAACAGCGAGGCTGTAAGCCTCCCCCCCTTGAACAATTGCGCGCAGCGAATGCGGTCATTCACTCTGAATTGCCGCAAGTTGAAAGGACCCAAACGGCCACGGTTTCTGACGCCTGATGCCTGACACCTGGTCTGATCTCGCCCGATACGGTCTGATGCCCGGCCTCCCCGTGGCTGTGAGCGAGCCCACCATCGCAGCCATCAACTACGATCGCAGTTGTTTTGATGAAGGCGACGAAGAGGACTGTGCGGGGGCCGTAGCTTGGGTCGGCGGTGACGAATCCGTCATGTTTGGCTGTTGGTTTGGTGGGGCACCTCCTTTTTCTCCTAACGCACGAGCCGGAGCGAGTCCTGTCGTTTCCTGTGGCGTGCCGGTCAGTATCGCTATTGTTCTCTCAAGTCTCCGATCTCCGGCTGGGTACGGAGCCCTTGTGATACCTGAACGTTATCGTGTTGGCTGTTGGCTTGTGTCTACGGACGCGCCGTTCCGCGTTCCCTCGACGCCATCGCGTGTCCTGTTCTTACCCTCTTCGATCCCTCGACGCCCCGCGCACTGTGCGGCGCCACGGCACCTCCCTTACTCATGTCCTTGTGCCTGTGCCTTGTACTCGTGCCTGGCAGAACAGTATCCCTGGCTCTCGTGTTTCCGGCCTCCTGTCCCCTCCGCCTCCCCCTTGTTGTGCTTTGGGCTTAGCTCACGCTAGCCACCAACACAAACACAAGACAAACATTGCACCCAAGCAGTAGAAAAAAATGCAGACCAAAAGTAGCAGAAAGAAGCGGGGGAACGCCACTTCTATGCACTTGCTCGTCCCGTGGTCGCTTCGCGTGCAATGGTGGGAGTGGTGGGGGACAGACTACAAGGCACTAGAAACGGCTACGGCACACCCAGGCAGAGCTAAGCACACTAAGCACGCCAAACAAATCATTCGCGTCCCTTCCACCGCACACCACCAAACACGAGAACAAGAGTGGCTGCCGGGATATAGTGGGCACGAGGTACCACTGTACTGGATCGGGCGGGCTTGCGCTCGACTGGCTCCCTGCAGGGCTGCCCGCGCCAGGGCTGGCGCCCGGTCCCAACGACATCCAAAGGAACCCGGACCCCGGAGAGGCCAGAGACACGGGATCGCCCGTACGGTCGCGCATGCGGGCGCTGGACCCACCGCTGAGCCGCTTGCTTGCTCATGCTTGCGCGCTTGCGGGCAGAGGATGAGTTGCCAGAGCTCGTCGGGCGTGTGCTCAAGGCGGCTCAAGGCACACAGGCACCGCGCCATCGCCATCGCCGCTGTTGTGCCCGGCGCTGCATCGCCCAGCCCAGCCCATCAGCCCATCAGCCCATCGCAAAAGAAAAAAAGGACATAAAAGGACGATGTCGTCTGCGCGACTGTTTTTCTTCACCCAGCAAGCTCAACAGCTCCTCTCTCTTGACATCCAGCTCTTCACAGCTCCTCGACGAAAGTTAAAAACACCACCGCAAACATGGCCCCCACGCAGATCTCCATGCCCCACACCCCCTCCACCCCCAAGACGCCCCGCAAGCACACCCCCATCCCCTTCACGCCCAAGTGCGCACTCGCGCCTGCTCCTGCTGGTCTCCGCACGCCTCAGTCGCGCCCCTCCCCCCGCGTGCCCAACGCTCCCCGCCGCGCTCGCATCAGCACCGTCCCGTGTGCCCGTATCCTCTTCAAGGGTGAGTATCGACGGCGAAGAGCGAAGCGCCGAGCTCGCCAAAGCGAGCCAGCGCGAAGCCATCGGCAACGATGGCGCTGCCAAGCATTCAAGTGACAATGCTGACAGTACAGCCGACCCCCTGCCTTCGCCGCCTCGCTCGCCGACGCCGCGCAAGCCCATGCCTTCCATGCTCGGCTCGCCGATCCGCATCCAGATCTCGAAGCGCCCGATCAAGCCGCTGCCTGGAGCGCGCCGGCTCTTCGCGGACGAGATCGACATGGACCTCTGAGTGTTGAGCCGCCCGCTCCACTCAAAGCTCTCCGAATCCCCTCCCAGCCCCCCGCACACCTCGAGCTGGCTCGAGACAAGCCCCCGGACACTCCTACCAGCCTCAAAGCTGAGCGCCAACAGCGCAAACAAGCCAACCAGCCTGCCGAACATTAAGGCTGGGGTAAACCAACCCACAAAGCAAGCATCTCACGCCGCATCGTTGTACTCTATCATCTTTACCATCATGCTTTGCGCGTTGTAACTCCATCTCATCATACCTCATACCTCATCTCGTCATCTCATCATCTCATCTTGGTCCCGTTGTCATGTATTTGGGCATTTTAATGGTTACACTACCCCTTGCACACGCATTTGGAACACTGGTACACTGAATGAGCAATGTCACGGCCCGTCACGGTCTACTGACGGACACGAGGAGCGACGAAGGTACAGGTCGGCGACGGGGTCGGGTACTGACGCTGGCATCACTGACATTGACGGACCTGGGATTGATTGTCGGAGGTGAGTATTCAGCCGGCTGCAATGTCAGCTAGACGCTCATTGAGGATTGGGGGAGCGATAATGCACCAGTGACGCCGAGAGGTGCGAGGCGTCTCCTAAGATGATTGCAGGCGCATGCAGCCGATTGCAGGCGCAGACTCGTGTCAGAGGAGCAAGGCACAGATTAGTGCAGAAGTGGGGTTGGATGGATTGGTGGCTGCCGTTCTGGGCCAGGAGCACGCAGGAGCATGCAGGAGCATGAAGGACATGTGCAGGAAGTGATGCAATATTGCAGGAGCAAATGTGCACATCCACGGTCTAGCACTCTTCAGCCCAGCTCAGCCTCGGCCAAGCCAAGGACCACCCAATGTGCGTTCTGCGAAATGGAAAGAATAGTAATGTGACCCAGGTTGAGACGCAGGACTCGTCGTTAGCGCGGGGTTGCGATATCTGGTGCTATTCAGTACTCTGCGTGCGGCGTTGAGACATGGCGTCGGTGTCCTAAGTCCTGCACGGCCTAGCACACCTCGGGACGAGCCCAGAAACACCCCCGATTGGAGGAAGACGGGGGAATACAGTCACCTGGACCCACCGACGCCCAGTCTGATGCAAGTGATACAAGGCGATAGGACCAGATCAGCCGAGGCGATATGGAACTTGTTGACGTATCAGAGGATCGTGGGATGTGTTGCAGTGCCAAGGGCCGAGGCTATACTCTCAAGTGGGTGTGTTCCAAGTTGATGGCGTGCCTGTGTGAAACGCGATCTGGATGGTGACGCTAGGGAAGTCGTCGTGTCTCGGCATTTTGTGAGCAAAGTTCTCACACTTTAGACGCGTTTTGCTCTTCGTCGACGCGTTCAATGAGCCTGAGATAAGACTGTGGTCAGCTGACACTGCTTCGTCGAGATGTTCGATCGTTTGGCTTGTGTTCATTGTGCACAGGAGATATTCGAGAAGCGGTGTGTGTTTGGCGTTTCAACCAGAAAATAAGCTCACCGCGCGCACTGCTCACCGCTTCGAATCTTGAAACGCCCACATATTGACGAGAAGCTCGCAGCGCAGCGGTCGTGTGTGCCCAACATGGGTGGCATCGCCTCGACTTCAAAACTTCCACCTTTACGGTTACAGCGGCCACAGTCTCCTCGATGCTTACAGCTCTGCCACGTCGACGACTGCTGAACACAGGCAGTGTTGAGTGACTCACACACTTGACTGGTTCTCACGATCAGTTCCGTCCAGCCGTCCCCGCTCGCGCGAGTCCCTTGAGGGTCGAAAGTGTCGGGAGACCTAGTCTCGTCTTGAAGGTCTGTCGAAACCATTGCAGGATCATGGGAAGACGGTAGGGGAGACCGACACTCTGCGACGCCCTCCCGCGTCCTTGCCGCTGCCGTCGACCTTGCCGTCGATGCCGCCGACCTAGTCGTCTGCCGTGCTTGCCGTGTCGTACGCACTCGCAACGTGACAGTCACGCTGGCGCTTATGCTGAGTTCGTTCCTTCTAATCTCTTGCAAAGCTACGTTCACTGAATGCATCGTTCCTCCCTGTGCCTCTTATACGACTGACTTTTGCTCGTAACTGAACCTGACGCTTACATGCAAAGTTTGTAGAGAGGAGAAAAGGGGCCAGTGCGCACGCGCCCGATTCCGACGAGTGCGTACTGATGCACCGTCGACCGATGGAGTGCGCCGGGGGAGGATGGTGGCATATACGGCTTGTGGTTGGATAGTTGAGGCCGAGTCTCCAACCTGCTCCGGTCAGGCCGGCGACCGAACTTCTCAAATGCCAAGATGCTCCGGCACTCTGAGATCTGACCATGGCCACTCGACTCCAGTTCGTAAGCCGTAAGCTGGATCTGAGATGGCCGAGGCGTATGGAGTTCGTCTTGCTAACACGTCCGGACATGTTGGTAATGTTCGGGCGACGTCGACGCAGACCGGAGCCGAGTTGCGCCGAGCTCAGTCATGAGCGGATCACTGGATCCGCGTGTTCTGACTGACTGTGCTTCACAACGCTCTCCTGACCACATCTCGCCAGCCTTGAGCACACGACCGCGCTGATCGCCCATCAGGCTATCAGACACCGAGCGCGCCGCACCCAGATATCGGAAGCGCGTGCGCGGCGATCTCCACTGACCTCCGGTGACATCTAGGCACAGCCCGACGCCAGGTGCGCCAGCGCACGGCACGATATCACCAGAACTGACCCGCGCACTGCTCACTACGCACGGCGCTCGGCGCTCAGCTTGACACCGAGACGTGACCTCGTTGAATGTGTTGCGTTCGTTGTGGGCAAGACTTGCGTCCGTGCGCACCCGGCGTCATGTTGAAGACCAGCTCTGATTGCACGGATGACGTAGTGCGCTCTTGGCCAATGAAGAAGCGGCGGGATATAACTTCTCACATACGAAGATACAGTCTACGGCTCGTCTTACTGCTGGTCCTGCTTCTTCTTCGAGATGACCTGGTGCGAGATCTCGCTGTATGTTAGCTTGGGCGGATCCCAATTCAGCTTACCGGATGAGAACATCGCCGCCACGGCCGTCAGCGGTGGGAGGACGCGAGTCGAGCGTGGCTGAGAGTTAGCAAGGACCGCAGGAATAAACTCACCCTCAACAAGGAGCTGCGTGCCGACGGGGATGCTGGGGAGGAACTGCGTGGCGGACGGCTTGAAGTTGAAGATGGTGAACCAGCTCGCGTCACGGACAGGGTCTGGGGTCAGTTCTGCAACTCCTGTAGCTTGGCAACTCACATCCCTGCTCATCGCGGAGAACGTCTGGGGTTAGCTGACATGGCATTGACAACAGTTGTACTCACTTCCCTCGGCGTCCTTCTTGACCGGCTTGCTGCACGCGATCTTGTAGCTGGCATGTCAGTTGTCGTCAGGCAATGAGCAGCTCACGTCACGTAAGGGGTGCCGTTGGCGGTCTCGCGGACCTCGGGGGTGGCACCGAGACGGCCGACAAAGGTAGCCTTCGAGAGGTTACGCTGGCCGATGGGGGCCTTCTGCAGTACAGTCAGTGGCGGTTCAGTACAGCGCGTAGCGCCAATGGACATGGGAACGCGTCAGATTTGCGTCATAGAAGCGCGCCATTCTCCCATCTTGGACATGCACGAGGCGCTTCCTCCGGAGAGCATACTCACAAAGGCGTTCAGGGTGGGGCGGGCGAGACGGTACATGGCGGTGGCGTGTGGATGGGGGTGGGTTGATGGATGATGGTGAGGAAGGCAAGAGCAGTCGCAAGGTCGGTCCGGGTTTGTTATTGCCTTAAGAGACGCGTAACGTACCTGGCTCGCCCGGCGGCAACATGAGATTTGCTCCCGCACATACCGCGAGTGGCAAATAGGCGTGGGAACAGCTGTCCAGGCGTGCGTGACAGGTGGCCTGCCGACCGGTCCGTCAGGCGTGGTCACGCATCAGCACGCGTCCGTACATGACGCGTACAGATGGACATTAGCCCCTTCCTGAACACAACAAAATCAACCCACAACTGGCGCACTACCCCTTCCACAAGCTCGTCGACTCGTCACTCTCAGCTCACACCTTCAGCTGATCGTCCGAGACACGGCCGCCGCAAGGACCACAATCGCCGTCCGTCATGCCGCCAAGAAGAATCCAGTCGGAGTCCGAAGGCGAGGAGGAGATTGAGGAAGTTGACGATGTCGAGGACTCGGACTTCGAGGAGCTTGACGAGATCGAGGACGACGTCAAACCCCGCCGGAGAGCTGCTGCAAAGAAGCCGATGAGCACTCGCAGCACTCGTGCTTCGTCCGCTAGAAGTGGTCGAGCATCCTCGGCGGCTGGGCCATCGACTGCGCCGGTTAAAGCGAGGAAGAGGCAGGTCGCAGTCGAGATCCCTTACATGCCCTTCTCGAATCTGAAGCTACAGCTACGCTCCTGGTCTCAAGGCGCCTACGACCGTGACTCGGAGTCGGACTCTCGCTGCTCAGGATGGGAGGATGGGTGGAAAGAGTCTGCTCCTGCCAAATCTCTGACAGGAAAGGGCAAGCAGCGCCCTACTAGAAGTTCAGCAAGGACTTCGACGAGGAGCACTCCCCATGGCTTTGGCGGTTATGGCGACGACGACGAGGAGTTCTCAACAGGACCCTCAGAGACAGACTACGATTCGGACGACTCTTTGCTGACGCGAAGAGTGCGCCCTCGCGTATTTGAGCCGCGACAGACACGGGCACAGGTGAGTTTTCTCGATCCCCATCACACCTGACTCTTTCTAGCGCAAGGAGCACGGTACACCACCATCGGAACAACCACGCTACACCTGTCATCAAGCCGCAACGCAGCAGGCACAGTGGCAGACGCAGCCAAACTCGCCGCAGGGCAGTGAATACGAACCACCCAGTGAGGGCGAGTCCGAGATCGACGACGTCGACATGGACGAGCTCGACTCTGAGGGAGAGATCCGGGAGTACAGTGATGACGAGGACGTCCTGACGCGGCATCGACCAGTGAGCTAGGGTGTTTCGGCTATCAGCTAACTTCAGTTCTGCGAGAGATGCCGATTGGGGCCCGCGGACGAGCTCCTCGCTAAAGCGCTGAAGTCAAAAAAGCGAGGACGCAAAAAGAAGTACGATATCCTCGACGAGCCCATCGACCCCGTCGAGCATGCGGAGAGCCTCGAGGGTTGGATCGAGTGTGTCCGCTGTTGCGTGGCATCTCATTGGGTATGCCGACACCTTGAAGAGGAAGCTGACGTCCAGAAATGTTTATCACCAGCTCAGCAGAAGAAAGTGCTCGCTGAGATCGCCGCGCGGAATCCTGACGAGGCTGAGCGGAGGTCGATTGGCATCGACGAAGCGGCGACATTTACCTGTTCCCGTTGTGAGGCGTATCCCGTTTGCTTCGTCTGCGATAAGAGCCACATTAAGGTGTCGCGGCCGGGCACCCCGGAGTCAGGGTGGTGACGGTGCGCAGGAGAAGGCCAAGATGCCCAGTCAACCTGGGCGGGAGGATGAGCCCATCGACGTCGGCGATGACGAAGGAGGGCTCGTCAAGAGTACCCCTGCCCCATTACTGTTCCGCTGCGACCGGTGCAAACAAGCCGTGCACTACGAACATCGTGAGTTAGATTGCGGGTGTTTCTGTCATCTAACAGCAGTGCGCAACCCGTTCCCAGCTGGTACGAAGTATACGACGTCCGAGATCGCTACCTACTACCAGAAGCCAGACGCGGACGGTACGAGCGCATGGTACGCCCAGTGCTGTCGCGACCTGAAGTGGCTGGTGGACCGAGTCATTGCGTGGCGCCCGGTGCCAGGGAGCGCGGAGGAGCCGCCGCGGAAGGCGGGCGAGCTGCCAAACTATCGCGACCGCCTGCCCCGCGAGTACCTTGTGAAGTGGAAAGACCGCAGCTTCCGCCATCTGAACTGGGTGCCGCACGCCTGGCTGCTCGCTATCAACGGTGCAAAGCTGAGAAACTTCATCCTCAAGGGTCCTCAACTGGATCTCGTCACAAATGAAACTCTGGCTGTCAAGGGAGACGAGATGAGTGCGCCCACAATCCGAGACGTCATGGACGACGAGCCTCAGCAGCGTCACCCGCGCGAGATAGATGCCTTGGAGGAGAAGTGGCGCGGACACGGGCCACCGCCTGACGCCGATGCCGACAGCAGCATCCCGGAAGACTGGAGCACTGTTGACCGCATCCTGGAGGTGCACCTTCTTCCACCAAAGGCCAGCCGGAAGGCGAAGCGCCGCATCGAGGACTCGGACGATGAGGACGATCTCTCAGAGGTGCTGCGAGACGGGATCGCACCTCCGACATCGCTGGCAGTGCCTATTCGAAACTGGGAGCTTCGTGCCGAGCGTCAGCTGACGGCGGACGACATCGACGAAGTCGCTCCACTTGTAACTTGGGCGCTGATCAAGTGGCAGAACTTGCAATATGACGAGGCATGCTACGACACTCCGCCATCGAAGGACTCGCCGCTGTACCCCGCCTTCCGCAAGGCTTTGCAGCGCTACCTGGCTGGGCGACAGGTTAAGATCCCGGTCCTTAGCGAATCGGCCGCGCGCCAGCGTGATCAGGAAGCCGCGCTCATGAAAGACCCCCCGGAGGGACAGCCCGACTGTGTCACAGGTGGCAAGCTCATGCCGTTCCAAATCGAAGGTCTGCAGTGGCTCATCTACAAGTACTACCATCGCCAGTCTTGTATCCTTGCGGACGACATGGGTCTCGGAAAGACGATCCAGGTAGCCTCATTCCTTGGATACTTGCACTCGCAGGAGATCTACCCGAGTCTGGTCGTCGTGCCCAACTCGACGATCACGAACTGGGTGCGCGAGATCGAGAAGTGGGTCCCGGACGTGCGAGTCGTGCCCTATTACGGTGAAGCACTCTGTGAGTTGGCCACATTTCGAACCTGACTGACAATCAGCTCGCAAACTCATCGCGACCCACGAACTCTACCATCCAGGCAAGGCTGGCAAGGCGGACGGGCTGAAGGCGCACGTCGTCCTGACGACGTACGAGTCGTTCATCAACAACCACACAATGTTCAAGAGCGTGCCACGTTGGGAGTGTGTGATCGTGGACGAGGGCCAGCGAGTGAAGTCAGATTCCTCTCTCATCTTCAATCGGTTGAAACAATTGCACTCCGTCTTCCGCGTGCTCCTGACGGGCACGCCGTTAAACAACAACCTGCGTGAGCTGTTCAACCTGCTCAACTTTCTGGATCCGCAGAAGTTCCGCGCGCTTAAGGAGCTTGAGGCGCGGTTTGAGAACCTGAATGAGGGCCTGTTGACTGAGCTGCACGAGCTCATTTCGCCCTACATCCTGCGCCGTATCAAGCGCGACGTGCTCAAGCTTCCGCCCAAGGTCGAGATCATCGTCCCGATTGCGATGACGCCGGTGCAGAAGCAGGTCACGAGAGAGATCCTGCACAGCAACGTCGATACGATCGAGAACATCGTCAAGAAGCGCAAGAAGAAGGCCAAGGCCAAGGAGAAGGAGAAGGAACTCGAGATCGTCGACATCACCGACGAAACGACCGCGCCTAACGGAGAGCCCGCCGAGAAGCGGCAGAAGACGGCTACACCCGAAGCTGGTCCCTCCGGAACCACTGGGAAGGACACGGCTCCGGCTGACACGTCCGGGCCTGAAGATGTAGCTGATGGAGCTGATGCCACCGAGGCTGCACCGGAGGCGATGGATGTCGACAACACGGACTACACCGACATTGCTGAGACCACAGCGGTCCTCGTCGAAGACTCGCAGCCCGCATCGCCTCCCGCATCGCAAGCCAATGGCGATTCTGCCGAGAACAACGGCAACAGTGAGTATGCGCAGCCCGTGAAGTTGCGGGGCGGATTCAGCGTGAAGGGTGCCGCTGCCGCTGCTGCCCGAAAGCGTTGGGATAAGCATCGGCGAGACATGGAGCTTGTGGCTCTGGGCAGAGGGGCTCTTCCCACCCCTGCTGACGACTCTCCTGAGGAGAACGCACGTGATTGGGAAGAGGACTTCGATTCAGAGCCGGACTCCGAATCTTCCGCGAGTGCCAGCAGCGGAAGAGCGGCTCCGCGTGGCTATGGCGGCTTCAGCAAGCCGGGCGCTGCTGCGGCAGCAGCTAACGCTCGGTGGGACAAAGTCCGGCAGCAGCGAGCAGAGCAGGCGGAGGCAAGCCAGTCGCAGACTCCGCGCCTCCTCTCCGATGACGAGTCGTCATCTGCAGAAAAGACACCCTCACCCCTTCCTGCACGCCGTCGCAGACCCCCTGCCGCTATCGCTCACGCTAACGTTGTCACTGTCCCGCCCAGGCGGGGCGGATTCAATGTGGAAGGGGCAGCAGCGCGGGCGGCGAATAAGCGCTGGGAGAAAGTGCGGAGGGAGCGAGAGGAGCGGGAGCGTGCTTCGGGCACAAGTAAGGCGGACCCGGAGCAGCTTATGACACGTCTGGACAGAGCTAATACCACAGACGTCGAAGCGACGGCGGCACAACCGACTCCGCCCTCGCAGGCAAACGGCACGCACTCCCCTGCACCCGATGCAAACCGCGCTCAGTCGAACGGCTCCCATGAGCCGAGCCGAAACGGTACCTCGAACGGTGCATCGTCTTCACCGCGCCAAGAGAACGGCTCTCACACGCCGTCCGCGACACCGAGTGAACCGAATGGGTCCGCGGCACCAGAAGTCAGCGCGAGCCAAGCAAGTCAGGCAAGTCAGGCCAGCCAAAGCAGCCAGACGCCGCGCTCGTCCCAGAAGCTGAAGAAGAAGTTCAAGCTGCAGCTGTAGACTGCGGCCCGTAGACCAGTGTATCCTGCACATGTACCATTTAATCATTTGCTGTTCGTGACTTGCAAGCAGCGAGGGCGGCCTTGTCGGCAATGCCGCGAGGCACGCAGGGCACACTGTTAGACCGAGTAGGCGCGGCGGTTTCAGTTGTCAGAGTTGTCACTGTCGCAGATTGACTGGGGGCGTCTGCGCCACCCTCGGGGTAGGTGGCACCTAGATTGCGTTCGTGGCTAGACGATGATTAATCGTCAGTTAACAACGAGTTAGTCGAAGAGCCGTCAGTAGCCGTGCGCTGCTCGCTAAAGTTGGTAGGCAGATAGACCTAGATTTACAAAGCACTACTGATCTATGACTTGCAACCTCTGCTGTCAAGTTTCCCATTTTGATGTCTGCTGTCGTCTGCTGTCTGCTATCGTCGCCGTCGAAAACTATCGTATTACGTTGGTTGGTTTTTGGGAAAGCCCAGGGGAAGAGAAAGGGGGTGTTGTTGACTGTTCTCTACGCCCTGTGAACCTATTTACAAGATTACCATTAGGATAAAGGAAAGAGAGGGAGGGAAAGATAGTGGGAACCGCACCAGGACCACCGCACTCAGAGAATGTAGCGGAAGGCGGGGTGGTCGTCGCCGAGGTTGAGAATGTCATTGCGCTCCATGCCCGTGAGGCCCCAGCGGTTGAGATACTCGGGGTCGTCGATGTTGTGCTTCTCGTTGTCCTCGACGAGGCCGTACTCGCGCTCGCGCTTCTTGTTGGCAGCCTTGAGGCCGAAGTAGATGATGACGGACGTGATGCCGTTCATGGCGACGAAGGCGAGCGCAGTGGCGTGGCCGGGCATGTAGCGGGGCTTGTCCTGGTCGCGGTAGACGAGCGAGGCAACGATACCACCCGAGTTACCGCAGGAGAAGACGAGACCCATGGCAGTCGCCTTCTTGTAGTGGCCGTAGATGTTGTTACCGCACCAGGTGATCGTGTTCGAGATGAGCGGGGCGATGGCCATGGTCGTCAGGAAGACGGCGAAGTAGCGCGCGCCGACCTGCTTGAGCGGCACAGTCATCAGGATCAGGTAGCCGACGACACCGAGCGTGGACCAGAACATGTTGAAGACACCGCGCTTCATGAACTTGTCCGAGAGGTAGGCGGTGGCCATGGTCGTGATGAAGGCGACGGCGTAGGGAGGGACGGAGAGCAGGAGCGACTGAGCAGTGGTCCACTTGCCGAGCTGCTGGACGATGGAAGGGACGAAGAGCGACTGCGAGTAGATGCACTCGGCACATCCGATGTAGCAGAGCATGTAGAGGATCGTCTTCCAGTCAAAGATACCGCGGATGACCTCCTTCATCTTGAACTGGCCACCGCCGGCGATACCGGTGTCGTTGGCAAGACGGTAGTGGACGAACTCGCGCTCAAACTCGGTAAGGAACTTGGCGCGGTCGGGCCAGTCGTGCACCATCCAGAATGACGCCACGGCAATAACGAACGTCAACAGGCCCTCGATGATGAAGATCCAACGCCAGCCGAGCATGGGTCCGCCGTGAAGCTTGCCGATACCGCCCATCTCTCCGAGCGCGTAGCCGAAGATACCACCAAAGGCGCCGGCCATGACGGCACCACCGAAGAAGAACGCGGTACGCTTCGACAGCTCACTGCGGCGGTACCAGCCGTTCAGGTAGAAGTTGACACCCGGGAAGAGACCGGCCTCGAACATGCCGAGACAGAAACGCATGGCCAGGAGCTGGCCGTAGTTCGTCACGAGACCCATGAGCGTCTGGAAGATGGCCCAGAGGACCATGGTGGCAGGAAGGAAGACCGAAGGGCGCAGGCGCTTGAGGACCAGGTTCGAGGGCACCTCGAAAAACACTGCGATGTTAGAACGGCTCTTAGTGGATTACAACAGCTCCACCTCCACCCTGCAAGTCCAGTGCCACAATTGCGACACAAAGCCTTGGCAGGACTGTTTTCCGCTCCCCACTCACCATAAGAGACGAAGAAGATGAGTGACGCAATGTTGAACTCGTTACCGGTCAGGTTCAGGTCCTGCTGCAGACCGTGGAGCTTGGCGGTACCAACGTTGACACGGTCGAGGAACGACATGAGGTAGAGGACACTGTTGACAGTCAGCGAAGGCCTTCTTCGCGCGATAATCAAGCAGCTACTGCTCACGTCATCCAGGGGATGATGCGCATGTCGATCTTGCGCATGAGCCTCTTGTCGAAGGCGGCGTACTCGTCCGGAGTCATGGCCTTGATCTCCTCAAGGATGGGGTTGATGGGCTCCTCGACATTCTTCTCGCCCGGGTAAACCTCGGTGAGGTGCTCGCTCTTCTTCTCGAGGGGAGACATGGTGGCGGTGTCTGTCCTCGGGGTGTCGTCTGGGATGGATGTGGAGAACCGAGCTGATAGAGTAGTGTACGATGACAAAAGAAAGTCGAGCCGGTCGGGATGGTGGGCTCCTAGACTAGCGGGAAGGGGTTGATGATAAGGGGATCGAGACTAAACTACTATTTCAACCGCGGCGGTCGGTGTTCCCCACAAACAATCTGAAGGGGTCCCAGGTGGTTGAGGAAGGGAAAAAGAAAACATGGCCTGGATCGGGGAACCTTTTCTACTGTTTCGTGAGCTGGGCGCCGGTCGCCGCTCGCTGCCCTCGCCAGCTCGCTAGGTCGTTAAGCGTGCCAGGCTGCCCGGCCCAGGTCCAGACGTCGGTCGGTCGGTCGACCAGATGCCCAAGCCGGTCTGCTTTGCCGTCCAATACCGTCAAGTTGGGGATCGCTAAGGGATCTCCCAAGGGGGGCCACAGGAACGGCTCCAGCGGGGACGACCGGTTGCAGACAGTCCGAGCAGGACGCTGGAGACTCTCCGCGGGGCCAGACCACGCCCAGTTGGAGCTGAAGCTCGGCGTCTGTGAGCTGACTGGATGGATCTCCTCCCCCAGCTGGCCCCCAGGTGCCCAGTAAGGTGCCTCGGATTGTCTCCTTATCCTACCCCACTCTGGGCCACCTCTGCTCTAAGGGCGCCGTGCTCGGGGCTGCCGGACGCGGCGGCAGGCCTCAAGGGGGCCCACGTGAGAGAGGGCTGGGGAGCCACTCAGGGTGACGGCGTGCCTGAAGCCGCGCTTCCCATCAGCAGCCTCATTGCCCAGCCCGCGCAGATTGCCGAGTGCGTTTCTCCATTGTAAACGCTCTCGTGCATCCAATCCGGCCGGTCTACGTCGTTCATGCCGAGCCAAGAGCCTGGCTTTGTCAGACGAGCAGAAAAACTGAGGCTTTTTCTTCAACGTGCGGCCGCTCGACACGCGCGATAGTGCGGGCTGATGCGGACTAATGGAATTATACGACGGAGAACACTTCCGCAGGAAAAACCCACTGCTGCCCCCACCTAACGTCTCCCGTGCTTCGAGCAGAGTAGAATCGCAGGACGTATTGGGAGATTGCGTCCCTCATCACCTGCATTCATTCGCGGACCGTAGTCCCTTGCCACAGACCCAGAATGCCCCTCGGACTCAGGAGCGCTCTCGTAACTGCGGAGACGAATGCGTGGCGCGTGCCCGTTGTCTCGTGTCGCGTCCACGAAACAGGCAGAAACGAGCTGCAAAGTCCATCATGTTCGCATAAACCGAGACCGATTTCCGGGTCGGGTTGTCTACGAGCCATTGGCGCGCGCAAACCAAGATCGGGCGGTAGACATTCCGCTAACACCGGCTCCTTTCATGTCTGACTGTTCCTCATCCCACGAATAATGTTGCGATGCAACCCACAAACAAGCCGTGGCACCGTGGGGGATGCGGGGCTCATCGGCTTGAACAACGAGGAGGTGGCAGGGCACCGGATTTGCGCGGCCTGGGGGACCACCGGGTATACGACGGCGAACAGGTCCCAGGTCGTGAGCTGGCGTTCTCAGCTCGAGTCCATCGAAACGACGACGACAGAGGCAGACGAGTGACTCGGGCGAATGATAGACCGCGAGACCAGTCACATTCAATGGTCAAAGCAAGCATACCGCTTCCGAGGAACTTGAGCTGCGGACCCTGACCCGCCTGCCCGGCGAGGCTGCTTGCCTCGCCCAGCTGAGCTCGTAGTTGGACGCGGTCTCAGACCCCACTCCTGCTGACTTCAGCACGTGACAGCTCGGTCCCAGCTTCCAGCTCTTGGGCCTTGAACCGGGGGCCCACGAGCTGACGCCAAGCAAAGCGGCGTGAGGCGGCGCGGGTGTCTCATCGTTTCAGTCGCGAGTCACCAGACCACAATGCATCAAGTTCCGACCGGTGGGCTATCTAAATGAAACTGTCAGCTTTCTCGTGATCGGCCTCTGTCATCTGTCCGGTGCCCGCTGTCACCATGTCACAGTCTCCACTGGAGTCTCCGGGCCCCACACAATGACAATTATGTCCCCGTGGAGAAGGCGCCCGAACAGCAACACTTACCCACGAGCAAGCAGACGCCGAACAGCTCGAGGGCTGGGCCGGCGGCGCAAGGAGCGCAGCTGCCTGCCCTCCTGGGCCAAGCCAGGTCTCACCAATGCTATGTATAACCTGAAGACCCGAGCGCAAAGCACGGGGCCTTCGTCTGCTGATTTGTCCCAAGCCTCTGAGGCGTGCATGAGGCGTGCAGCCGCCTGGGTCCCCTGATAACGCCATTGCTATTGATTGGGCCCCTCTCCGCCGCCCACAATCGCGACGACGCCGGCGTCGGCAGGATTACCTCTGCACGGCCTCCGCGGCCTGCGCTTTCTCCCCGGTCCTCTCGTGGAGCAGAGACCTATAGGTAAACGAACGGATCCGAAGCGCACAGGCGAGGGGTTGTGGGGAGTGGCGCAACTGAGCAGTTGGCAGGTCGACCCCAGTATGCCAAGCGACCAAGAACACCATCACATACCGCGCTGACCAGTTAGAGCCACGCGCACGCAATGACAACCGATGTAGACGGGATGGCCGAAAGTTCCAGGCGACATACGCGGCGGAGACCGCTGTTTACCGCGCAACGGCTTGATCTGAACCTTCATTTTGGCACGTTGACGGCGCGCTCGTGCTCTCTTGCTCGTCAGCTTTCGAGTTTCAATATATCCGACAAGATAGGCACCGTCCCACAATGCCCGAGCCCGAAGTCGCTTCATCGGAATGACCAGATCAGGTGTTCAGAGATCTCGACTGAATGTGCCTTTTTCGCGGCCCATGGTCCGTGAGCGATTTGCCAACCAAACGCCAACCGGGACAACGGTCCGCTGTCGCGATCGTCATCGCTAGCTTCAAGTGTTGGAATATCTCGACTCCGCTTCAGCACCAGTTATCATTGATCCATGTTCCGACTCTGGGTCCCCAGGTTTCCCCATAAGATAAGTGTGACAAGCTCCGGTCCATCGATAGCGATTACGAGAGGAACAGGCCCGCATTTCGGGAATGGAAAGTCGCGACCGGGGCCCTCGCTTGCTCGCTTCCTTGGATTTCTTGGAATTAATAGAACAAAGGTCACCGAAGGCCGCTCCCAACGGAGGGAGTGATGAGTAACACTAGTCACGTGCAGACGGATGTGGCCGAGAGGCCAAAGTGGCAGGAAGAAGCAGCGATCCCGTAGATCTCTTCTTGCTTCTGACTGCGAACACTAAGCCGATGGTGCATGAACTGACCAGAGCCCTACTCACTATCAGCGATGAGCTTCTAGCCCGCCTAGCACCTCACTCTCGAAGATAAGGCCGAACGGGTACCGGGTCTGGGTCGTGCGGCTTGTCGCTCGATGTTCAACTCGCTCTAACCCGGACAGTCATAGATTCTCGTTAGCCTCGTCGCGAAGTCGGCTGGGTAAGGTGGAATCGTACTCATTGTCCCTCCATCCCAAGAGAGGGGACATGCCTGCGGCATCGCAACCGAATGGAGGGTGTGAACCTCGACCGCCTCACATCGGACTTCATCAAACGCTTTCCGGTCATGACGGGTGCTTCACAACGACGACGCCAACTGAACCCCCACCGCTATCTCGGCACCAGTCCCGCAAGACGACGGCACTGATAGAGCCCATTTGTTACCAGTCGAGGACGCCGCTTTTCGTGACGGAGAAAGTTCGGGTGGAGGAGCCCCGCAAACCCACGGGCAGAGCACATGTCCAGCAAGACGCCGCAAGTTTCGCAAGTTACTCCGCAAGTTGGAACGCCGAGTCGGCCGCACCGGCCGCTCGTGCCGGTGATGCCGATGATGCCGAGCACATGTCGCGGCGGCGATCAGCAGCCGCACACCCCGCACACCCTGAGCGGTACGACTACCGTCGCCACGGCACCGATTGCGGGCTGAACAGTGAGCCGCTCTAGGAATGCGGTACCTGCCTTCCGGACTCGGACGATGAGGATGAGAGCGACGACTCAGACTCGAGTGGAATGGGTTCGGGTTGGTCGACACTTGGCAGCGGTGACACAGATAGCGTTGAGGTAGCCGGTGAGAGGTTCGGGCAGTCGACGAGGGACGGGGGTTTGCTGGTAGAAAACTGGTTAGCACAAACGCACTCAGGTTCGAGGTAGTGACAGGATGTACTTGCGTCGATGCTCGTCGCTGTCCGCCCGCGCGTGCCTCCTACTCACCTTTGGAGGCTATTGTCGACTGATGATGCAGAGGCAGGGTTCGCGTTGGTCTGTTGTTAGATCAACTTCCCTCCCAGTGACACAGGCGTTTGGGAGTCACATGCGCTGAGCCTACGACGAGCTCACACTCACCGCCAGAGACACACGCCAGCCGACAGACGTACGGTCCGACTTGTCGAACTCCAGACAGACCAGAGAGGACAGCTCCAGGAGCTCCCACCCGCCAGGTGACAAGGTGTTCAAGGGGCGCGGGGGGTTGTGACATGCGGCTTGCGATCCCCAAGACAAAGGCCCAGTCCTTGGCAGGCCACGACGACCTCAAGACAGCTTCGCACCCTGATCTGGCGGTGAGTGGAGTCGCTGCGGGCGAGCTGTCCGACGTGCAGGCGGACAGAAGGCGGTGGCCCGATACACAGCTCGAGCGCTCTGCAGGTCGCACTCTGGGCGCCCTCACGACATCCCCAAGGAGCCGTGAGGCTCGGTCGGGGCTCGTCCCACCCTTTGGGCGAGCATAAAAGCCTCGCCAGCTGTCCTGTCTCCTCCTCCATCGCCAACTCACGTTCTCCCTCCTTCCTCGACTTAATTCCTCCCTCATTTTCCATCACCTTCACGCCAACCACACGAGCTCCGCTCCTCGACCACATCGCCTTCGGCGAATTCGATACCTGAGCCTTTCACACCCTCGACGTTGCTCGACGTCGGCCCGGCTGCTGACTGCGCCGTTGACCCTCACCATGGTAAGGTGGTACTTGTAGACGCAACTGACTCCAGGGCGACTCGAACCGCCGTCCGGCCCGCGAGCCCGGCACTCTCCGCCAGCCCCCCTTCGGGCTCTTCCCGTTGCTTGCCACTCTTGCGCAGGCCGCAAACCAGGCAGAGCGTGCTGCTGAAACCGGGCAGACCGCACCTCAGGCGGCCCACGAGGCGGCCCACGATCGGCCCCGCTCGCCCCCGTCCCCTGCCCCGGCTGCGCAGGCAGCTGAGGAGACTCGTCGCCCTCTCCTGCGCCACCTCCCTCCCCGTGCACCTGCTGTTGATGCACGAGACGCCGAGGCGGACGCGATCGCCATTCATGTTGGTAGGGCCCAGCTCCAAGCTGACTGGATGGCGCCCCAGCACATCCTCCAGCCTACTCGCACACCCCTCGCCCCTATTCCAGAGGGCGACGAGACTCAGGCTCCCGCTGCAGGACAGCAGAACGAGCAGGAGGGCCTCCTGCAGGACCCCGGGTACGACCACGACGACCAGGCTCTGCCTGACTACTACAACCCTGCCGACGTGTGTGAGGACATCCCCGTGGCGCCGCCCTACAATGCTCCTCCGCCTGAGGACTTCGCGGACTACCTCCGCGAAGCTGCCGCTGCTCGCCACGGCCGCCTCGCCCTTCATCCCGGGTACAATGCCGGAGTTCACGGCCAGTACGTACCCCTTGGTGGGTGGGCGCTTCCCGACCCCGCCGCCGTCGCTCTTCTTCTCCGCGCTCCTCCTGCCCCCAACTACACCGCGTGGAACGGAGGTCTGCACCACTACCACGGTCAGAACGGAGGTTTGCCCGGCCAGCAGGCGGCGCCAGGTCTGTTTGCTGGTCTCCAGAACCTCCCTGTTCCCAATGTCGGCCCCTGTCCGGTTCACCCGAACGTACACCCCCGTCGCCTGCCGCAGGACGGGCAGCAGCTTATCCAATGGCTCCGTCAGCTGAGGCAGCGCCGTGCTGCGAACAATGGCCGCTATGGCCAGAATCAGGACCACGCCCAGCAGACCGAGGAGACTCGTCCCGTTCAGAACGAGGACGAGAACGGAGGCGATGAGGCGGAGGTCGAGATGGCGCTGGTCGACGACTGCAGTGAGCAGGAGGCGGATAACTAGACGTCTCCACGCCAGCCTCTGCCGACAGTCCGCAAGATAAGACAGCGTTCGGAAAGAACAAGGACATTCGTGACCGTCTAGGAGGAGAGCATCGTAAGAGACGAAGGAAATTGTGTCCAAAAGAGATCGTGTTCAGAGAGACGGGTGCCCATAAGGTCGAGTTGCGGGATCAGCAGGCACATGTCTATGTCATCCGGCACCTTATCGCAATACCCATGCCATCATCATACCCTAACATCACCACGCAAGCATCTGACGGGAACAATGGCCAGTACTTACCATCTATACCTGTAACTCTGTGCATTGTCAGATCGCACCAGCGTCGGTGGAGGTTGGATCTTTTGCGGCCTCCACTACGGCGCGAGGGATGAGACAGACGGCTGCGCCAGTGTCCGTGCACGACCATGCGACCATCCCTTCCTCACAGAGACTGGCGGAGGCATCTCGGGTGACTACGCCCTCGCACCTCAACCTCACACTTCTTCGTTTCCCACTCAGCTCACTGCTCTTACGAACTACAACTTCCTCAGCTCATCGGATCCAGCTCCCAGCTTGACTCAACAGCCATGCCAGGAGTGAGTTACCAGTACCAGCCCTGCTGCCTGGCTTTCATCGACAAGCTGACCCCAGAATACCTCTTTGCGACTGACTTCCTCTGACACTCAAGCTTCATCGTCGAAACACCACCGAATGTCCACCAAGAAGCCCTACGCCGCACCGGAATTGCCAGTCGAGGTCGAGAACCAGACTCCGCCACAGGCCGCTGTTGCCACCCAGTCCAACGACATCGACATGGCCGACTCGGACGAGATCGACGAGTACCCATTGCGCTTCTATTCCGACGAGGAAGACACCGACCCAGAAGATCTCGACTACGATCCCGAGTCCCGCCCGACATCCCCGATGTCGCTGACTGAGAGCGAGCGCGGTGACTTCGCCGGCGTGCTGAAGGACCTGCACGAGTACGACACGGACCCGATTGTGCCTCCGCCGCCGGAACAGATTCAGGGCGCACTCGCGCTGTACACGGAGAAGGAGCTCGAAGTGCTTCGCAATGCGTACGAGATGGTCTACGGACGGCCCGCTAGGTGGTTCAAGGAACAGTCGGAGGAGCCTATGGAGGAGAGCGCGGCAGGTGACAGCGATGACGCTGACGAATCGGCCGTCCTTGTCGACAAGGCAGAGGCGAGCGGGGAGGAATGGGTCAGCGTCTAATGTAGTGAGGGGAGATGTATGTATCAACGGTCAACCTTCAGTACAGCGCGAACTCGAACATAAGTCCAGGGTCGGTCGCATGGTGGAGGTGTGGCGTGAGGCACAGGCGGCAGCGAGCTCATCGCATTGCTGGGACCATGGCACTTGGAGGGCTCCTGTTGTCATTACGTCCCACTAGAAGCTACTTGACTATACCCTCCAGCTGCATGTGTGCCATCGCAACCGTCAAGCTGCGTTATCGTCGCAACGATAGACAAGGTCTGCTCGCCACATATCCAGTGATGAGTGCCACCGTGGGAAAGCCAGCACGCCAGGACGCCCTCCACCGGCGCCCCGAGTTCTGACGTCGTTTGAGGTTCGCTCGATTGCTTCCACAAACCCAGCATCCATCATGCCAACACAGCAGCAGCCGCAACAGCAGTACCAGAGCGACACGCCGTCGCAGCAGTCGGCCGAGATGTCCGTCGTGCTCTGCACGGCTGGCTGTGAGTCAACCCCTGTTGTCCTGGCTGATCATAGACGACCACACGATCCGGTTTTGGGAGGCCTGGAGCGGAATCTGTTATCGCCAGATCCCTCTGCAACCGCAATGGGTGAGCTAGGGCACAGAGGCTTTAGCTGACAGAGCAGAAACAGGTGAACCGCCTCGCCATCAGCCCGGACAAGAACTACGTCGCAGCCGCCGGTAACGGGAGCGTCAGGTTAGCTCGAGAGGGACCTTACTGTTAGCTGACCGCCAGGATATGGGACATCCCGTCTCTTTCAAACACGCCGATCATGAGTCTGGACGGGCACACTGGCAATATTACTGCGCTCCAGTATAGTGCACAGGGCAAGTGGATCGTGACCGGCAGCGAGGACGGCACGGTCAAGGTGTGGGACACTCGGTGAGCTCTTGTGCCTCCGGTGAAGCTGACAGCAGGACGGGACAAGTCCAGCGAACGTACAAGCACGAGGGAACGATGGTGAACGACGTGGTGATCCACCCGAACCAGGGCGAGCTGATCTCCTGCGACCAGATGGGCAGCGTGAAGATCTGGGACCTGGGCGAGAACACGTGCACGCACGAGCTCGTGCCGGCCGAGGATGTGCCGATCCGCTCCGTCTCGATCGCAAGCGACGGCGGCACGCTCGTGGCCGGCAACGACGTGGGCACCGTGTTCGTGTGGCGTATCCAGTCCGGGTCCGAGACGACCTCGCTCGTGCCCGTCACGTCGTTCCTCGCCCATCCCAAATATATCACACGCTGCCTCCTCTCCCCGGACACACGGCACCTGGCCACCTGCTCCGCCGACACGACCGTCAAGCTCTGGTCCACCAAGGACTACGAGTACTCCCTCGACCGCACGCTCGAGGGCCACCAGCGCTGGGTCTGGGACGCAGCCTTCTCGGCCGACTCGGCGTACCTCGTCACCGCGTCTTCCGACCACAGTGCCCGTCTCTGGGACCTCGCGACTGGAGAGACCGTCAGGCAATACGAGGGGCATTTCCGTGGCATTGTAGGTTTTGAGAATGCGTGCAGAAGCGCTGACGACGCAGACTGCGGTCGGTTTGAGCGACCAGCCGTGAAGAAGGCAACTCGTTTCGTGAGGAGAAGCGGTGGTGGATCACGCGCCAACTCTGGGATTAGCCCTGAATACAACCGGCCTCCATTTCGATTTGTCTCCGCTACTGTAATTGGCGGCTTACTGGGATTAGGCTACGAGCCTGCTGCCATGTCGCTGAGCGGGGCGCTTCAAGTTTGTTTATCATGTATGCATGTTGTTCATCGCAAAGCTTTGCCGAGATTGTCAAGAGATACACGAGCACTGCATGGGACGGTGGTCAAGCTACAACTGACGAAGTACATTCTAGAATGGAGAGAGGCACGAGATAACGGTGGGGCCACGGTCAGCTGACAGGATATTGGTATGCTGCTAGGTGCAGATATTGATGCGTTGTTACTGCGGCTGCTGGAAATACGATAGACACTGCTGACCGAGCTGATACGAAATTCAATATCGGTCCCGAACGAGCGGATCTCTGTTGGATATCATTAGTCTTGCGTCGTGCGCTCGCTATCCTTTCAATGTTTGATTCATATTACATGACGGCGTGGGCGCGCTCGAAGTGTTCATAATACTTCGCGCAGCTCCCAGCGCATCTGCTAGTGGGGGTTGGACATGCAGCGTCTGCGTGCAGCGTGCCTTGATCTAATGCTAGCTTGCTAAATCCCTCCAACGAACACCCTCCCTCCCTCCCTTTGCTTATGAAGTGATACAACGGGGGTGCGGTGCGCTTAGTGGAGGACCTTGCGGAGGGCGTCCTTCTGGTCGCTGGTGAGGGAGCGGGGGAAGACGACGTTCCACTTGACGACCATGTCGCCGGCCTTCTTGACGCTTCCGGCCTTGGAGATAGGCATGCCCTCGCCGACGATGCGGGTCTCTTCTCCGGGCTGGACGATCTGGTTGGCCGGGAGCGAGACCTTGAGTCTCCTGCCGTCGAGCTGCTCGACCTCCTTCGTGATCTGGCCGCCGCCCTCGGGACCGAGGAGGGCCTGCGCCAGCGTGATGTTCAGCTGGACGATGAGGTCGTCTCCATCACGCTTGAAGCGCGGGTGCGGCTTGTCCTCGACGACGAACGTCACCGTCTGCGCCTGTCCGTACTCGTCCTCGTTACCGGCACCGGCAAACTTGACCTTGGTGCCCTTCTTCCAGCCGGCCTTGTAGGGGACCTCGAGAATCTTCTCCTCCGTGTGGCCATTGCGCAGGTGGCGCGTGAGGCGGAGTCGCTTCGTGCCGCCCTTGTACAGCTCCTCGAGCGAGAGCGCAAGGGGCTTCGTGACCTCTCCGGGAGGGGGAGGGGGCTCAGAGTGCTGCTCGAAGCCACCGGGCATGCCGCCGCCCATACCGCCCATACCACCTCCCATTCCTCCCATACCGCCCATGCCGCCCATTCCTCCCATGCCACCCATGCCACCCATGCCGGGCATGCCGCCGCCCATACGCGAGCTGCGCGAACGGCCAGCTCCAGGTCGGCCACCACCGCCGAACGAGAACGACTCGCCGCCGCCGCCACCGCCGCCGCCCATGCTGGAGAAGAAGGCGCTGGATGTTAGCTACACTCAGGCTGCAGAAGATAGCTTGACTCACTTGAAGATGTCGTTGGGGTCGGTCGCATGGAAGGAGAAGCCACCACCGCCGGCACCACCGGGGAAGCCGCCAGCCGAGAAGCCACCTCCGGGTCCGCCAGGGCCAGCTCCGCCCTTCAGACCCTCCTCGCCGAACTGGTCGTAGACTGCACGCTTGTCCTTGTCGCTGAGGACCTCGTACGCCTCACCGAGCTGATCGTTAGCGATGGACGTGTGTGCGTTGCCCCTGTCACCCGGCCGGCGATCCTTGGCCGTGTGTGCATCGGAACAACCAAGCGGAATTGCCGGATGCGATCCAGTTCAATTGCAACGTACCTTCTTGAACTTTTCCTCGGCGAGGGCACGCTTGTCTCCGGGGTTCTTGTCGGGGTGCCACTTCAGAGACTCCTTGCGGTACGCCTTCTTGATGTCGGCCTCGGAGGCATCCTTGCCGATTCCAAGGATCTTGTAGTATTCCGTGTTGTTCACCATGGTCGATGAATGTAGATGTGGATGTGATGTCTGGTCGCAAGACTAATGTCGCTAAGAATAGCTGTGCGTTTTGATGTAGATCGTTGCTCGCACTTCAGTCGGATATGGATCGATGGGACGATAGGTATCCAGTCGTGTCGCTTGTGTGTGAAGCGAAAGTCAAGACAGAAGAGATTGGGAAATGGGAAAAGATGATGGGGAAGAGAGGATGCAATGTCCCGGAACTGGGTTTGTTCGATGCGCGCGAGGGAGGACTCGCTCGATTGATATGGACGCCTATGGAGGCATTTCATCCGTCGACCTCCGACGTCACAGAGTGGAGGCGTTTCTAGCACGTACTGGCACTTGCTCGAACCTCGCCCATTAGCCACATTACAAAAGTCATCGCCGAGGCTAATGCAACGCACACTAATCCCATTACAAAATGACGTCAGTCCCACCCTTAGTAGGGTGCACTCACGTGCCGGTCCGCACGCCGAAGGTGCCGGACAGCTACGCGACTGTTATATCTTTGTGGGTGCATTCATCTTGCACGACATTCCAGAGGACTCTGGCAGCTGCCGGACGCGTCAAGGCACTATCGCTACGTGGGAACCTCTCGTTTATTTTCGTTTCGCTTCATATCCACACTAGGCCCATCGGAGAATCCAAACTTCTGGTCACCCAGTTCCCTGCTGCTCTCTCCGAGGTCGTCACCGAGGTGTCCGATCGCGTCAGCCAATGGTCTCGAGCCCGCCATGTGGCCGATGCGGAAGATCCCTCCCATATCACATGATGCCATCCCGGGCCCGACCATTCAGTGGCACTCTACGGCTCCACCACCACAGAAGCAACCAGCATCATGCACTGTGCAGCGATGTGATACTTACGGTGCTCCGTCTTTTTTGCCGGTGCCTTTGCCTCGGTGATGAACCGTATGATCATTCATGTTGTTATCTGCTAGCTAATCTATATGCTGTTCGACTTAAAGAGCACCTCCGCCGATGTGCTCAGCGGGGAGCGACTTGAGCTCCTTGATGGTGGCCTTCTCCTCGTCCCAGACCTTGGTCCAGAAGGTGTGGCCCTTGACCTCTGTCTCTGTCAGCGTTGGATTTCTCGGAGTAACTCACGCTCCCAAGCGGCGTTGATGTCCGGAGCGTCGAGGATGAGGATCGAGCCCTCGACACCGTGCTGCTGGTTGGGGTGGGGCTCGCCGGCCTTCTGGGTAGCGTACTTGTCCGAAAGGTAAGGGCGCTCAAGGACTGGGAGTCAGCTGTCGTTTCGCCATAGAAGCCTGCATCCTCTGCCTCAAGCCGTCATCGGCCTTCAGTCCAACTGTGCAGCTGTCCGTATGTCCGACGCCGAGCTTGCTCCTCGGGCAGAGTCACCTCACTCACTGTTTCCGAGGGTGCGGTCCTTGGCGAGGTCCTTGAGGGCGGCCTGACGGTTGGCGTGGCGGGTCTCCTCGTTGTTGATGTAGTCGGGGAGGACCGCGACGTAGAGGGGCATGGAGCGCTTCGAGGAAGTGCTGAAGGCCCTAGTGGCCGAGGAGGAGGAGCGGGCAACACGGGAAAGCATGGTGTACGAGCTGAGAGACAGACAGGATGTGGGTCAACTGGTAAACTGGGACCTGGTTATGTATCTTTTAAAGCGGCAGGCATCGCACGGAAGGCAACGTGCAAAGCCCCGAGAGGTTTAGGACGGGTTGGGGCATTCGTCATAGGTTGTTCCTTGCTTTGATGCACGGCAAGCGAGTGCGCACGTTGTGACCTCGGTGATGGCATGATGGTGGGAACCAAGGTTGCAGGTGTGATGCAGATCGTCAGCGGTTGCGAGCTTCACGACAGCGATCGATGACCGAGGTCTTTTCGGAACGAGCGTTCCTGACTATTGCTTGCTCACTGCCACACTCGTCCACGCTAGAGTCACGTGTTGTCTACCTGACGTTTCCAAATCAGTGAAGCTGTGTCAGGCTGACGCGACGCGTGCGGTTGAGTGTACCGTGCCTGGCCGCTGCTGCTGCCGCTGCCTCCCATCGTGCCGACGTACGTTGTTGACTTTGAGCAGCCCATCCTCCTCATCTCCGTCCATCCCACCGATACCCATCCCGATCACGCACTGCACTTTGCCAAGCGACGCGGTGCTCACTGTTTCATAACTGTACGACGTGTGCCCGGCTGCTAGCCAGGATTCGGCACGATGGTGAGCATTCCTCGCACGCGAGACGCGCTGACGACAGTACATCAAAACAATATCCATCCAGGGCTTTAAGTCGTACCGCGACGAGGTGAAGGTCGACCCATTCTCGTATGTTGGGCAGTAGTAGCAATAGCTGACATGCAGACCGCGCCACAACGTCGTTGTCGGTCGTAATGGAAGTGGAAAGTCGAACTTCTTTGCTGGTGAGCTTCCAGGGCTGTGGGCTAGCTGACATCCAGCCATCCGCTTCGTCCTTTCCGATGCCTACACCAGTTTGACAAGAGAAGAGCGTCAGCGTTTGCTGCACGAGGGATCAAGCACGACGACCACGCTCTCGGCGTTTGTTGAGATCGTTTTCGACAGTAAGCCAGCGTGTGTGAGACATTGCGCTGACATCAGACTCTGACGGGCGGTTCCCGACATCCCTTCCCGAGGTCCACCTGCGACGAACCATTGGTCTGAAGAAGGACGAGTACTCGCTAGACAGGAAGAGTGTGACCAAAGCTGAGGTCATGAACTTCCTCGAGAGCGCAGGCTTCTCTAAGAGCAACCCGTACTACATTGTTCCCCAGGGAAGAGTAAGCTGAACCGATGCGTCTTCCGTAGCTAACGCCAGATCACCTACCTCACGAACATGTCGGACAAGGAGCGATTGAACCTGCTGAAGGAGGTCGCCGGAACCAAGGTCTACGAGCAGAAGCGCGCCGAGTCCGTTCGCATCATGGAAGAGACGGATGGGAAGCGCGCCAAAATCAATGACCTGCTCGACACTATCGAAGAGCGTCTCGAGGAACTGGAGGGCGAGAAGGACGAGCTCAAGCAGTACCAGGAGAGTGACCGCGACAGGCGCTGCCTTGAGTACGCTCTGTTCAATCAGGAGCTGAAGGAAGTCACCGACAAGCTGGAGCAGATCGAGGATGAGCGCAGCAACGATGTGCACGACAGCAATGAGCGCCGAAAGGAGTTCAACGATCTCGAAAACAAGATCCAGCGGGTGGAGGAGAAGCTGACGGAATCGAAGCACTCTCTCGCCACGACCCAGATCTCCCACAAGCAGGATGAGGCGGAGCGCGCTGACCTCGTGCGAAACAAGGCCGAGGTGGAGTGTGTGATCGCCGACTTTGAGCAGGCTGGCGAGAACAACGAGACGCGCCGCCTGGAACTTGCCGAGCAGCTCGATAACATCGACAAGCGAGTCGCCAAGGCTTCCGAGGACTTCATGGGCGTCAGCGTCCAGTACGAGACCAACCTCGCTCTGGAGCGCCAGGAGAAGGAGAAGCTGGAGACGACGCAGTCGAAGGTCCAGGTTCTGTTCGCCAAGCAGGGTCGTGCCCGCCAGTTCGCCTCCCAGGCCGATCGTGACCAGTTCCTGAACAAGCAGATCCAAAGCCTGCAGGCGTTCGAGCAGCAGCAGCAGAAGACGATTGCCGACCTCCAGCGCGATGTAGCCAACGCCAAGGCCAGTCTGGACGAGATCTCCAAGCGCGCCCAGGACCAGCTCCAGGGAGAGGAGGAGAGGCGTGAGCATCTGAAGCAGATGAGCGAGGAGGCTGCCAAGCTCAAGGTAGAGCTCGACGGTATGCAGGAGAAGAGAAAGTGAGTTCCTTGACGCACCCGCAGACCTGACCCGCAGGGAACTCTGGCGCGAGGACGGAAAGCTGTCTCAGTCGGCGCACAATGCGAAGGGCGAGCTCGAGACGGCTGAGCGCTCGCTGCAGAGCATGATGGACAAGGACACGGCGATGGGTCTGCGTTCCGTTAAGGCTATCACGAAGCGACTCAACCTGCAGGGTGTCTATGGACCGCTGTACGAGCTGTTCGATGTCTCGGACAAGTACAAGACGGCTGTTGAGACTGCCGCTGGCGGAAGCTTATTCCACGTTGTCGTCGACACTGATGAGACGGCCGCCACGCTCATCAAGATCATGAACCAGGACAAGTCTGGACGCGTCACCTTCATGCCCCTGAACCGTCTCAAGAGCAGCAACGTGCAGTACCCGAAATCCAACGACGCAGTCCCGATGATCCAGAAGCTGCGCTTTGACCGCATGTACACGATGGCGTTTGAGCAGGTGTTCGGCCGCACCATCATCTGTGACGACCTCACCGTCGCCGCCCAATACACCCGTTCTCACGCCCTGAACGCCGTCACCGACGAGGGCGACCGCGTTGACCGCAAGGGTGCCCTCACGGGTGGTTACCACGACGTCCGCCGATCGCGCCTCGACGCTGTGCGCAAGGTCAAGCATTGGCAGAAGTCTTACGAGACGGTCGCCGATCGTCACAAGGAGGTCAAGGAGAGCCTGATCACGCTCGAGCAGGAGATTTCCCAGGCCATGGGTAAGATCCAGAAGTTTGAAGCTCGACGAAAGGCGATTCTGGACGACCGCTCCAACCAGGCGCGCCAAGCCAACTGGACTCAGCGCGAGGAGGAGACCGCCCGCCAGCGTGTCACTCGCCTCGAGGGAACGCTCAGCGATGCTGAGGCTCAGCTTCGTGGTGCGGCGACGCAGCGGACTGCCTTACAGGATGAGCTCAAGACGCCGCTACAGCAGCAGCTCTCGCCGCAGGAGGTGCAAGAACTTGAGGTTTTGTCGCAGCAGGCCGAAGCGCTGAAGGAGTCCCTCCTGCAGGCGGCCAACGCTCGTCAGGCGAGCTGGGCTGATCGCGGTCAGCTCGAGATTGAGCTGACGGAGAACCTCCGCCGAAGGCGAGAGGAGATCCGCAGCAAGCTTGACGACCTGGAGGGAGCCGCTGGCGCTGGTGTTCTGCAGTCTGGCGAGGTCGAGCTGCGCAAGTCTGAGCTTAGCACGATCAACCGCTCGATCGCCGAGCTTGACAAGCGATTGAACTCGACCGAGAAGGAGATTGAGAAGGTGCAGAGCGAGATCAACGACCTCTCGATCAAGCTCGAGGACCTGCAGGCGCGCCAGATGGACAGCACGCGCGCGATCGTGCGCGCTCAGAAGAGCGCCGAGCGCTACCTTGCCAAGCGCCAGATGCTCGTGAACCGCCGGGACGAGTGCAACACACAGATCCGTGACCTCGGAGTGCTTCCGGAGGAGGCGTTCTCCAAGTACCGTGACGCTCCGCCGGCCAAGATCCTGAAGAAGCTGAACAAAGTGACTGAGACGCTGAAGCAGTTTGTGCACGTCAACAAGAAGGCGTTTGAGCAGTACCAGAGCTTCACGAAGCAGCGCGATGAGCTGCTGCAGCGCCGCGAGGAGATGGACGAGTCGGCGCAGTCGATCAAGGAGCTGATCGAGACGCTGGACCAGCGCAAGGACGAGGCGATCGAGCGGACATTCAAGCAGGTGTCGGCGTACTTTGAGGACGTGTTCGAGCAGCTCGTGCCGGCGGGCAAGGGCCAGCTCATCATGCAGAAGAAGCAGGATGGCGGCGCGGCCTTTGACGAGACGCTCGACTCGACGGCCGAGGGCGGCGAGAAGAGCGAGATTGACAACTACACTGGTGTATCGATCCGCGTCTCGTTCAACTCGAAGCAGGACGAGGGCCTGCTCATCCAGCAGTTGTCCGGAGGGCAGAAGTCGCTCGTCGCACTCGCGACCGTGTTCGCGATCCAAAAGTGCGACCCGGCTCCGTTCTACCTGTTCGACGAGATTGATGCCAACCTCGACCCGCAGTACCGCACGGCGGTCGCGAACATGATCCACCAGCTGAGCGACAGCGCGCAGTTCATCACGACGACGTTCCGCCCCGAGATGCTCCAGTTTGCGGACAAGTTCTATGGCGTCTTCTTCGACAAGCAGAAGGTGTCGGACATCAAGACCATCTCGCAGGAGGAGGCGTACCAGTTCATCGAGACGGCGGCGGAGCTGCGCCAATAAGCCGCGGCCGAAGGCCGAGGCGTAGTTGGCTGAGGCTGCAGTAGGCTGCAGTGAAGCTGCCTGAGGGCGCCGTCACGGCGTCAGTGTGGAAAGGATCAGTCCAGCGCCAGTCTTGGAAAGCGTCTTCTTGGGCCCTGTAGAAATAATACATGTTGTACGACGCGCGATGCAGCTATGGAATCTAATCAGAGACAGCGGGGCCACAGTCCCTCGCCCACGACGTCGGCCATGCCGCCCTGAGTGAGCACGCTCCGGAGCCAGTCGCAGATATCCTCGACGTGCACGGCGGCAAGACGAATGATACCCCCATGTTCATCGAGCACGCTCCAGCTCCAGATCAACCCGGGGGGACGGGGGATCTGAAACTGGCTCTCGTTATCCGCAATCGCGTCGAGGAGCTTTCTCGTCTTGGCCATCGTGGGGCCATACACGAGCACGGTCGCGTAGACGTGATAAGGCAGCAGGCGGTCTTTGATAGAATTGCCGGGCTGGTCCTGGAGCACCATCCTCTCCCTCGCCACGACCTTGTCGCCAATGACGACCTCGTTAATGGACGCATAGTAGTCCATGGCCCACCACTCGTCCGCCTCAGTCGGCACGTGGACGTAGTCCTTGACGTGGATCTTGTCCTTCAGGACGGGGGCGGGCTCGAAGCGCCCTCGGCCCGAGTTGACCCAGTCTAGCACGAGACAGGATGCGCCGGGGGAGAGGACGAAGCGCTGGGACTGGATGTAGCGCGAGTCCTTGAAGGGGGAGATGGAGTCGGGGAGGAGGAAGACGGTCGACCCCGGGGCGACTTTGACGAGCATGCGTTGGCGACTCGTCGGGGCCTCGGGCTCGTCAACCCTCAAATCGGCAGGATACCGGCCCCCAGTGTAAGTGTTCAGCGGGCGCGCCTCGTCCCCCTCCAGCTTCCCCACCGTCTCGGGGGAGTGGTGGATCGAATGCAGCAAATGACTTTGAGGCCGCCGGATCCCGGGCTGGTGCCGGAACACTTTCGTCGAGCCTTGTGTCAGGAGCACGAGCACGCCGTCCACGTCCACGTCGAGGTGGATGTGGTCCCCCGCCACGAGGCCGCCGCCGTACGCGATCATGTAGGCTAGGCGCACGCCGACGGCGTGTGGGCTGAGCAGTTTGAGAGGGTACGAGGCCTGGGTCGTCGTGAATACGCCGTCTTTCAGACTGAGAATGCCCGAGCCGGGGTCGAGTTTGGGTTTCTTCAGCGCGGCGGGGACGTCGCTGTGCCCCATCACGGGAGACGAGTCGATCGCCATGCTGCTTGTCTGTTGTCGCTCTGCTGCCTAGTCCTAGTGTCAGTCTTCAAACTCCTTTGCCATGCTCGTGGTGAGTGCTCCTGTACGAACCCTCCAGTTAATCTTCTATCTGCCAACCGATCGTCCGATATCTCTTCTCCTCGGTATCGCTACGGCCGATCGCTGTCGTTACGTGAGCCCGCTCGTTGCTCGTCGCTCGTAAGCCGTAAGTCGTGAGTGTGTGCGTGTATGTGTAAAGTTGGTAGACGTGAGTGTCTCCCCTCCGTCTCGTTTGTACCCTGCACACGATCGGAGAATGCACCACCGGTCCAGACTGTTGATTGCAGCAGTGAATGCTGGATATAGCCCACCCCCACCCACCGATGTCATTTGTCTCTCACGGTGGCGTCGGAAGTTTGATAAGCCCTCGAGTCTTTATTCGACCTGCCGTTCTTGGCACCTCAGACAGTCCCGTGACATTCAGAGCGGAGAATGCTGCGTGGCCGTGTCTGGACGCGGCATGCTGCGCGTGGGTGTGTGGTGTCCGCGGTGTGGCTGCGGAGGGTCGCATCCGACGCGCCGACGACGGTGGGCTACTTGACAAACGGGACCTAATTTCCTAATGCTGGGACGACGCGCGGTCTAATGGATGATTGGGACGCGGCACGGCGCCCGGGGCGACACCCAAGGTCTCAGCCCAGGTACACGTGCCTGCGCAGCTCTCGCAATATCAACTCGCCCTGAACGACCGCGCTTCGTACCGGTTGGGTCAACCCAAGGCAGCCCGGCCTGGGCGTGTCCAATGTTCGCCGGATGAGGGAAGACACCCTTCTCTCCCATCGCTGACGAGCTTGTTTTTCTGGAGCCAGTTCACGAGCAGCCCCATCTCACATCCTCCCCATTCACGCCAGCCAAGCCAAAATGAAGCAGGACCTCCCCGTCGTGCTCGAGCACGGCAAGCGCGGCCTGCTCTCCATCGACGACGGACGGCTCGACCTCCTCCAGCTCTCGAGCGATGGTAACCGTGAGCCTAAGCTTCCAGGCTGCGCGCCTCTAACCCCCTCAGCGCCGAAACGGCTCATGTCGTCGCCACTCCGTCTCGTCCTCCTCGCCAAGCTCGGGACGGCGCCTGCGTCTGCGACCTCGGCCTCTGGAGCTGCCGTCAGCAGCTCGGCCTCTGCCAGCTCGGGCGGGGCGGGGGGGAAGACGAGACTCGACCTCCACGCGCTCGTGCAGAAGGGCGCCAAGAGCCATGCCCTCCACCTGACCAAGATTCACGTCCTCGTCGAGGCGTCGCATGCGTCCGACGCCGAGGCTTGGTGCGCCGAGCTCATGGCCGCGGCCTACCCTGTGACGGCACCTTGTCGTCGTGTCCTGCTCCTCCTCAACCCAGTCGGAGGAAAGGGCAAGGCGAAGCAGCTCGTCGCCAAGGAGGTCGTGCCCGTGCTCGAGGCGGCGGGGTGCAGGGTCGACCTGAAGGAAACGACGCATAGGAATCACGCCGAGGAGATTTGCGCGACCATTCCGCTGGACTATGAGTGAGTAGAGCTGCCACAGGCAGCTCCAGTTGGTCTCTCGGGCGATGTCAACTGACACTACAGTGTTATCGCTACTGCCTCTGGCGACGGTATTATTTACGAAGTGCTGAACGGCCTCGGTTCCCGCCCCGATGCTCGGCGTGCGCTGCGTATTCCTATCGCGCCGATCCCAACAGGTTCCGCCAACGCGTGCAACATCAACCTCATGGGAATCAAGGACACGTTCAACCTGCCCCTCGCGGCTCTGAACGCCATCAAGGGCCAGCCGATGACGGTTGACCTCTGCTCGATCCTTCTTCTGCCGGAAAACAAGCGGCGCCTGTCGTTCCTGTCGCAGGCGACGGGCCTCATGGTGGACGTGGACATTGGCACCGAGAACCTGCGGTGGATGGGCGACGCGCGGTTCATGTACGGCTTCATGCGGGGGATCGCGGCCAACAAGGGCGCCAAGATGAAGATGGTGCTCGACATTGTGGAGAAGGACAAGGCCACGATGGACAGGGAGGCGCGGGACGACGTGCAGCGCGCCCTTGGCAAGGTGTACGGCGGCGGCACGGATCCGCTCGACCTCCTCCGCGGTGTGCAGGCCAAGACGCCCAAGCCCGAGCCTGCAGTCAGCGAGGGGCCGAACGGCACGGCCGTCAACGGGAGCAGTAATGGCGACGCGCAGCCCGCCGGCACAGCAGCCGAGGAGGACGACGGCCCCCTCCCCGCCGCCAAGCCGCTGCAGCCCACCGAGTCCTGGCTCACGATAGACGCGACACACCACCACGCCCGCGGTAGCAAGGGCTTCACGAACACGTGGGAGTCAGGCCAGGCCGCGCTGTACATGTACGCGGGCCTGATGCCGTACGTGGCGCGCGACCTGAACCAGTGGCCCGTGATCATCCCCGGCTCCGGCGTTATGGACGTCGTAGTGCAGCGCGTGGTGGCGCGAACCACGCTGATCAACGGCATCGGCGGGGCAGAGGTCGGTAAGCCGTTCTACCAGGACTCGCAGCTGTATCTCAAAGTTCGGGGTTACACGTGCAAGAATCTGGACAAGAAGCACCAGCCCCAGTTCACGATTGACGGCGAGGCGTTTGACTGGGACGAATTCCATGTCGAGGTGCTGCCGCGCGCGGGGACTGTCGCGTCGCTCGATGGCCGGCTGTATGTGAGCGACTTCTTCAAGACCCCGGCACCGGCCAAGAAGAGCGTCAATGGATCATGACACGTGAGGCCTGGAGAGCCCTACGAGTGCGGAGAATGCGATGGAGGAGATGCAGGAGACGGAGCACGAGGACAAGCAAAGGGTTCCATACCACCAGGCCTCATTCCGAAACCGTATACCTGGCGCAGCGAGAATCTCGTCGACTACGCCCGCCCCCTCGCCATCATGCTCACGAGCGCGTTTGCGACGTTTATCATGCTGTATTTTTAGTCGATCAGGCTGTTTATGTGCGTCTCGTTGGCCGCAGGCGGGGGTAAGCCCTGGCCTCGATAGCGGGCAGGCTGTCGCCTGCCGTCTGGCTGGCTGAGGCAGTTTAATATTTCTATTGTTCACACAATGACGATGAATCATATGTTTATCTTGGCCCGTTCTCCTCGTGCTGTCAATGAAGTGGAATGAAAGGGGTATTCATGCAAGAGGGTGATCTAGATGGCAAATGTAGAAATACAATGGAGAGCGTCGAGCCCGTTTTTGAATGTTTTGGAATTCTCGTGTAGTATAGAGGCAGCTGCGTGACGACTACGCGCACACCTTGTGCGACACCTCGCCCTTGAGCGTCTTGACGATCGTGATGCCCGTGCTCAACAGCAGGACGATGCTGCCAAACGTCGCGCACAGCACGGCGGGGAGTTTCTGGCGCGACGACCACGAGCCCTTCGTGAGGGAGTAGTATGCGATGGCGGGGAACTGGGTGTCAGCTAAGTCGGCCCCTCTGCAGCTTGTCCTCTGCTCTGTTCTCGGCACTCACGATAAACGCCAGCGCCGTGGCGGACAGACCGCCCGCAATCTCAAGCACGACGCCGAGGTCGCACGTCATGAGACTGATCAGCATGGCGCCAAAGACAATGCCGCTCGTCACGGCCACATGCCGGGTCTGCGAGAAGGGCCGGCCCTTGTAGAACGCATCCTCGATGACTTCGCGGCAGACGTAGTTCTCGAGCGGGATCGTGGTGCTCATGTTGGCGCCGAAACAGAAACGCGCAATGTTGATGACCCAGTCGTCGGCGGCAAAGTTGTTCAGAATGTTGCCCTCCGTCTTGTCCGTGAACACGAGGTAGCCCGTGATGGAGAGCAGGAGGCAGCAGATCAGCGACATGGACGTCGACGCGTGCGTCACTTGGTTGAAGCGGTCGAGCGTCGGCACGTCGATCGACTGGTAGATGAACATTGTGTTGTGGTGGCAGACGAACTGGGGTTAGCTCGGGCGAGAACGGTCTACAGCTGAGAGAAGCTGGTGGAACTCACGGCAAAGGAGATCACGCCGATGGCCTCGAAGACGCCGGGGCGGACGACGGAGAAGGCATGTGTCGGGTCACCGCGTAGGCTGCGGTCGACCCCGACACTCCGGAACACGACGCTGAACACGATGACGCCCATGCTGATGAGCGCAAAGGAGCTGCTCTTGGACAGCTTGACAATGTCCCTGTGCAGCGACAGAGGGAACGCCACGGCCACAGTGCACAGCACAATGATAAAGTTGCGGTTCACGAGCCAGGAGAACCAGTCGCTGTCCGCGAGGAAAGGAAACACGAAGCGGAGGACGGCCGGAATCGTGTCTCCGATGATCACATTGAAGGCGCACATGCCGCCGAACGCAAAGGCAAACTGGAAGAACGAGACCGCATTCGCGCCCCACCGCCCGAAGCAGTGGTACATGACCTGCGGGTTAGCTTGCAAGTCGAATCAAGTCAGCTCACATCAATGTACGACTCCCGCCCGCTCAACTTTGCGTTCACGACCACGAGCCGGATCGTCCAGTCCGTCACCACTGCCAACACTATCAGCAGCGTGATGCCCGTCACGAAGCCGGCCTGCTTGATCGCATAGGGCAGGCCGATGATGCCCGCGCCGAGGATCGAGTTGGCCATCTGATCGTCAGCTGTAGACGACAAGGAGCAGCTTACATTGGCTATTCCGTCCATGAGCGTTCCGCGGGCTGACGCCGGGCCGTCCGCGAACACGGCGTCCTCCTCTTCCCTCGTTATCCGGTCCTCGGCCGAGAGCAGGGGAATGTCCGGTCCATGGTGGTCCTCGTCGTCTAACCGGTCGTGCTCGTCGGGTGCTTTAAACACTGTTGTCAGTAAGAGCATGTGACGTGGACGGCGGGCACCGCTGCCGGTTGCCGGGTGCTGTGCAGGTTGTGCTGTGCCTGAGTTTCGCTGCGGCGGCTGGACATGCCGGGAGAGCGTTTCAAACTTACGGATGTGGTCGTGTCCGTTTACGCCCGGCGTGGAGGCTGACGAGCCAGCGCCAGACTCGAGATCGACGTCCGCCGACTGCGTCGAGTGTGTTCTTGACAGGGCTATCGCTCCGAGGTGGGGGCTCTCGCGGCGTGATCCGGCCCGGCTCGAGCGGCCCGTACCTGGTCTTGAGGGCTTCTTCGGATACGCAGCGGCGGGACGGACACCGGGACTGATTGTGCTGAGATGCGGGGGCAGGGGGTCTGAGGAGAGGTAAGCCGCTGCCCGTGTTGGGGGAGTGGTGTCTGACGACATGGAGGGAAGGAGTGGCGGGGGTCGGAGGGTGGAAAGATGAGGTACAGTCACGAGGCAAGATCTCGTGTGGTGGTGGTGGATCGATAATCTCTCGACTATCATGCTGGCATGGCGTGTCCTGAGTTGCGCAGGCAGGGGCGGCGGGTTGATGGACCCAAACGCGGGGCCTCCGCCCAGGGACATAGGGCAGGGATGCGTGGCGTTGGATATCGACCACTGACTACCACCGCGTGCAGCGCCCGAGCGCGCGGGTTCCATACAATTGAACTGATCTCGATCCCGTCCGCGCGTCAACTTTCATTGTTCCGTCCATCCTCCTCCTCTTCCATCCGTCACACTCTTACACTCGTCATCCACTCTCTTCCTCATACTACCGAGTCCTTCTTTTCACGACAGACAGCGCTCTCCGCGTTCCTTTTTTACGCCTTTTCTCTCTCTTGTACATTACGACTTTTGTGGCTTCCTAACCACATCTCGATCACTTACCCTACGGCCACGACCCTCTTCACCTAATTTCAGCACCTCTGTCCCTCGCCTGTCATGTCTCAACCGCCCACGATAGAGACGTCGGGGGTCAAGAACGACCGCTTTGAGGCTGAGCTCAGCCGCCTCGATGCTCCCGAGCCGCCCAAGGAGGACAATGTGCACTTCTGTCTGCTTGCAGAGTTCGACATTGATGCAGGTGCTACGTTGTCACACCAGTACCCTTACCCGACCGGGACGGATGAGCAGTGAGTATGGAACTAGTCCGAGGCTTGCGTGTGTTCACGGACAACGCTAACGGATGCAGTGTGTTGGCTGAGCTAATGCTTCCCGATGGTGCGCATATGCGAGGAGAAGACTGGACCGTGTTCTACCTCGGCCAGTCACCGCAGAGCTCAGTCGCTCCGATGCTGACACACGAGTCGGACACGGTCGACAAGGCGCGGCTGGCGAACAAGCGGGCGAGCATGTTCCCGTCAAACGAGCGACCGCGGAGAGGAGCACCTGGTGGAGGGCTGCTGTATGTCCTGAACTGTGTGCGCATGAAGGAAGACAAGACGGTGCGTCGTGGTGCGATGGTGAAGGCGCTCGCAATCGCAACACCACACCCGTACATTGGCATTTTCAAGCCGCTCCTCCTGCTCGCCCTGGAAGAGTACTTCAAGAACCCTAGCTTTGACATTCTGGCGCGGCTATACGACTCGGCGAATAACATCTCCCTGGTCGGCATGCCCAAGCTCACTCGCTCCGAGCTGATCCTCCTCCGCCAAACGGACCGTAAGGACCTGCTCGAGACGCGGTTCCTCGAGGCGAAGGAGGCGGCGAGCGCGCTCTCGGCGATTGACGACGCCTCGACGCACGAAGGCTCGACCGGCGATCATGAGCGTAAAGGAAGCGTGAGCAGCTCTGTCCGACCGCCGATCGGCCGCAAGGGTTCGTCGGCCTCGAGCTCGTACCCTGGCGGCGGCAGTGATCTCCTGCCGGCAGACAAGCGCCGTGGGCTGCCGCGGGACACGCACTTCTTCGAAACCGAGGCGCGTTTCAGGCAGATCACGGTGCCAATCCGCGTCCCGATGACTGTGTTCGACGAGGATGTTGGCGACTACACGATCATCGAGCTCGTGCAGACGTTCGGGCAGAACGTGACGACGTTCCCCGGCCCCTACTTCCCATGGCTGCACACGAACGGCGCGCACACGCACCCGATCATGCTCATCTTCAACGCGATCCTGTGCCACAAGCGTGTGATGTTCCTCGGCCATGGCCTGCCTGCGAACCACGTCGCGCGCATGGTCCTTGCCGCTTGCGCCATGGTGACGGGCAGCGGACAGATTTTGCGAGGCGTCACTGAGACGGCGTTCCCCTACACGAATCTGGCCAGTCTCGAGGTTTTGGAGCAGTTTGACGGCTTTGTGGCGGGCACATGCAACCCGCGGTTCGAGGAGCTGCCGCAGACGTGGGACGTGCTGTGCAACCTCGAGACGGGCAAGGTGACTGTGTCGAAGGAGCTGCGCGGCCTGGGCGGTGACGACAGTATTCCGTCCACGCTCTCGCGCGGCGAGACGCAAGACGTCATGAACAGCAAGCAGTTGCAGAGCTTGACAAAGGACTGCATCGACAACCAGTTCATGGAGGAGATCATGTCTGCGACGACGCAGCATTACGGCGAGGGACACATCCGCACGCGCTTCACGGACTACATCTCGCGCTTCGTCCGTCTCGCGGCGTACCAGGAATACGTGATTTTCGGAAGCACTAACGTGGGCTGGATCTACCAGCCGTTCCGGGAAGGTCAGCTCGGGAGCGGCATCGTCTTTATCGACGACGCACTGCGGCAGCGCGAGCTGAAGGAGAACCACTACCGGATCGACGCGTGGCGGCGGACCAAGTCGTACCGCCTCGCGCAAAAGGACTGGGTGCGGGAGGAGCAGACGGCGGCGATCCGGGGCTTCGACGCGCTGCACAACGTGAAGCGGCTGCGTATGACGCGCACGATGACGTCGCAAGAAGCGGGGCTCATCTTCTCGACATTCGTGCGAGGTATCAGGACGTACGACCAGGTCGTCGAGCTCCTGACCTACCTGCCGATGCACTTTGGCGGGCTGATCCCGATCGCGAACGGGCTCTTCCACCCGATCAGCAAGATCCGCGCCGACGCCCTCGAGCTCCTCTGCATCATCCAGCAGTACCCTGTCGGCATCCAGGCGCTGCAGGGGCTGAACTACTTCCACCGCAAGACGTTCATCGAGCTCCTCGAGCGGCGCGAGGCGCAGCGCGCACTCAACCGCCGTCTCACAGAGGAGAGGAAGGTCCAGGAGGAGGCGAGGGATAATGCGGCCGCGTCCCCGCCTGCGCCCGCGCCCACCGCCAACAGGCTCGAGATCCGTACCGAGGACAACGGCACCGTGCGCAGGGGCGAGCTGCAGGCCGCGCTTAACAAGGCGGCGGCGGCGGCGCAGGCGGCGTGAGCTAGCGCTAGCGAGCGCAGCGAGCTTGGCGCAGAGTGTGGCGAGCGGCCCGCACTCGACCATCCCAGCGAGCACAGCGAGCACAGCGAGCACTTCTTGGCCGCATGGTTGTGCGCAAGGAGCATAGTCTTCTCGCCATACCCAGTCCCGGATAGAAAGAAATCTGTACATCTCCTCAAACTTCCTACACCCACAACAAGTAGCGATACGAACAACACATACATGGTCTTTCAACTTTTACACGATTTGGCAGAATATACAGATAGATTGTAGTCGTTCTTGGCTTTTATAATGGTTGGCTCCTTTGCTTTCGAGGTTTTTGGTTTCTTATGAATTACGCCTAGCGGTTTCTTATGAATTACGCCTAGCTTATAGCTCTTTGTGGTGCTGGCCAGCGTGCAGAGCGTGCAGAGCGTGCAGATGTGGTCATCTGCCGACTGACGACTGACAGGTGCCACCGACCGATGCCTGCCGAGTCCTGAGCACTGATGCCACTCTCGTTCCTTGCGCCCACACACAGCCAAATTTGGCAGCAACTCGCTTCAGTCAAAAGTCATGCCATAGTCATGCAACAGGCAGCCCGTACACAGCAAATTCATAGGAGCAGCTACTCTAGGATACACAACATCGTCAGTAACCTGTGGGTTAGAAAACGCACATAGCGACCGAGGCGTGAAAGCTACTCGGCGCCGTCCTGAGCGGCCCAGCAGCGCCGGAACCGCCAGATTGGATTGGTGTATATCCAGAATACATGCGCGCGCTTGTTGCGGAGAAGGTGCTTAGGCGACGAGGGTCGAGGCAGTGGCGGCCTCGTACTTGAAGGTAGGAGGGAGCTGCTGCTTCTTGATGTAGTAGCGGGCAAGACGGTGAATACGCGACTCGATGAGAATCATGCGGAACTTGGCGTCCTTGTCACCGCGGTTGCGCTCGAGGTGCTTGCGGACCGAGACGGCCTTCTTGACGAGGTGGTAGAGGTCCTCGGGGATGGTGGGGGCAAGGCCTGGACTGTCAGCTATCGTCCCGACAAGAAAAGCTGAAGAGAACACAGCGCAATTTCTGTCCCGCAGTCTCCGCACACCCTCTCTACTCACCGTTGGTCTTAAGGATACGGAGGATCTTGTTGCCGGTGACGGTCTTGACCTGGGGGATACCCTGCGAGTCACGGAGGACAACACCGATCTGCGAGGGGGAGAGACCGCGACGGGCGAGCTTGAAGATCTGGTCGGCGACCTCCTCGGGGGTGGTCTTGAGCCACGAGGGGGGAGCGCGCGAGTAGGGGAGCGCGGAGGCGGAGATGCCCTTGCCCTTGGAGTACATGCTGCATTGTCAGTTCCACGGCTCCTCATCGTGAAAGAGCATGACTTACCGGCCCATTTTGCTGGTGTTTTTTGGGGGTTTTTGGTGGGAGAAGAGTTGAAGGATGGAAGGAGAAGAACAACACCAAGTCTGGACGTAAAGACTGCACGGAGCGGGTGCGTGTTGTAAACGGGGGCGAGGAAGGCAGTGACCAGCAGGTCACGTGGTTGGGACAGTTTGGCCAGGCTCTGGCTAGTCTCTGTCTGGGCTGACACGTGCACTTGCGCCCTACTCAGGTACTAACTCCGAAAATGCCGACTTTGACGAGTACTTTTCTGCCACTCCCAAAAACGCCGCTGCAGTTCTGGCACTGGCGCCCCCCTCTCGCCTGCCAGATCGATTGACCCAACCGCTTCGACCTAGTATCCGTCAAAAAAGTTCGTCGACCGACGTAGGAGATCGCCGAGCACCCTATCCATCATGGTGCGTACCGCCAGCGACGACGACAACGACCACGACCCGCGAAATCGAAACACACAGATCGAAAGATGGACGGACGGGCGAGGAATCGGAGAGTGAAGTCGGAGGGGAGAAATTTGTGGGACGAGGTTGTGATCACGCCGAGTCCTGCTGAGCGCGCTGTGAAGCGTTCTGAGGCGTCTATCTGGCGTTGATGAGCGTGGAGCGGGCTTCTGGATCTCTTTGTGTGATGTGCGCGGAAGGCAGAAGTGCAGTGCAGCCAACTTGAACAAGTTGTTTAGTCCTGTCGAAGAATCGCCCTGATCACTTTGTTGTCTATCGCGCCCGTGTGCGCGAAGTCTTCTACGGCGAATTCTGGATATCGAGTCGACATCTGTGTGTTTCGCCGACAGTTCGCGAGGGAACGGATCGTTGTCGTCCGAGCAGTGAAGTAGGAAGGTCTTGTGCTAACTCTGTCGCAGAAGCTTAACGTCGCCAACCCGGCCACTGGTGCCCAGAAGTCCTTCGAGATCGAGGATGAGCGCAAGGCTCGTATCTTCTACGACCTCCGCATGTCGCAGGAGGTCGCCGCCGACAACCTCGGCGACGAGTGGAAGGGCTACGTCCTCCGCATCACCGGTGGAAACGACAAGCAGGGTTTCCCCATGAAGCAGGGTGTCCTCCTTAACCACCGTACCCGCCTTCTCCTTTCGGACGGCCACTCGTGCTACCGCCCCCGCCGTTCCGGTGAGCGCAAGCGCAAGTCGGTCCGTGGCTGCATCGTCGGCTCCGACATCCAGGCCCTCTCCGTTGTTGTCGTCAAGCAGGGCGAGAACGACATCCCCGGCCTCACCGACGTCGTTGTCCCCAAGCGTCTCGGCCCCAAGCGTGCTACCCGCATCCGCCGCTTCTTCAACCTCTCCAAGGAGGACGACGTCCGCCAGTACGTTGTTCGCCGTGAGGTTACCACCAAGGCCGGCAAGACCTACACCAAGGCCCCCAAGATCCAGCGCCTTGTCACCCCCCAGCGCCTCCAGCGCAAGCGTCACCTCCGCTCGCTCAAGAAGCGCCGCGCCGAGGCCCAGAAGGAGGTCAAGGCCGAGTACGACCAGGCCCTCGCCAAGTTCCACGCCGAGAAGTCTGCCTCCAAGGCTGCCCACAAGGCCGCCCACTCTACCAAGGCCTAATTTCGTGTTGGTCATGGCGGGGTTTCGGTAGGGTTGTTGTGCTCAGGTATCTTCCACCCATGTATAGCATGCGATTTAAGGCTCGGGAATAAACGTCGCACGACAACTGATGCAGCCAGCGGCCTCTAGACGGCGAGCCTGATTGACCTGTACTGATTCTGTAAACAAAGCTGCGCGCAGGTGTGTCCACCCAGCCAGTGTCCATCCACGCGCCGATCAACGGCCAGCGATCCAGCGATTCTGTGCCAGCTGTGCCTCCACGGATCAACGATCGCCTGACGGGCCAGAGTTTGGACGGAGGTAAATTTGAAGCGCGGTCCAGGAACGGCTGGGCGGAGAGCACGTGACACTTCCCGTCTGACTTCGTGCCGTTATCGCCAAATCTAATCTAGACGACTTCTGAAGGAGTCGGATGGCTCGTGCTGTGGCCTCGAGGGAAGAACGATGATGTAGCGAATCCCGGTTCCCGGACACACAGCTGCTGCGCGCGAACTTTGCGTCAGCACAGCGTGGAATCCATCAACGCTGTGGGGTTGAGGCTGGGGAGCACAGCTGGGTCGTGCTGGGTCGTGCTGGGGCCAGAGCCCCTCCAGCCGCTGAGCACTGGCGTGATGCGCATCGTACATGCCAAGGACGTCTTGAAGCAACGTTCGAATGGGACGAGCTCAAAAGGAGGATTGTTTAGGTTGCGATTGGTTTGTGAACAGCAGAGCACTGAATACTCAGGAGGCGTGGTCAACCTCCACCCACTGCCGGCGGTTGTGTCGAGATATGACGTCGTTGGTCCCCCCAGATTCCAAGACAACATCACCCCCTGTTCATACCAGAGCCCATGCATCCACTTCTTCCCCAGTTCTTCTCCACTACACCAGTGCGATTCGCAAACGTTTCAGACATACGCTCAGTCCCCTCACCCTTGCCGCGAGCACACACCGCCTGCCGAGCAACACACAGAGAGTACAGAGCGTAGATGAGCTTTGGGCTATTTTGGACATTTCAGAAAAGTCTGACTGCCCGAAGTCTGCGTAACCCCACCCTTAGAGAGCCGAGCCGCCCGGTCCTGCCCAGCCAGACGCACCTCAAACGCGGGGCACGCTATATATACACACGGGCGCGTCAACCGCATCCCCTCTCTTCCCCCTTCCTTCCTGCATCACCCACTCCTCTCCGACAGCACGTAAGAACAATGAGCGACGACGGACAGCGAACCCCAGTCGAGAACGACCCCGAACTCGCCGCTGAGGAGGTCGAGCTCGAATTTGACGACCCCGAGCTCTACCACGACATTGCCCACAACCACGAGCATGCGTCCGAGGCGCACCAGCTGCTGCGTTCTTACATCGGACAGAAGCACCAGGAGCAGGAGGAGACTGTGTGAGTAAGCCGGTGGGATGTTGCCCTCAGTCACAGAGGGAGGGTAGCTGTGCTGTACACTCCGAGCTGACAACAGCCCTGGTGTTCTCCACCCTGGAGCGACCGGTGTCATCTACTGCACCGACCGCGCGATGGCGAACGGATTCTCGTACGCGTCCAAAACAGACTGGAGCAACATGGGCCAGGGCGCACCGTACACTGGCCCACTACCTGGTGCCTCTCCGCGACCGGAGGGCATCGACTTCAACGACTACGACTGCGACATCCACGAGTACGCCCCCACGGTGGGACTCAAGGCGCTGCGCGAGGCCGTTGCGGTAAGTAGTCCAAGTGTACCTTCCAGAAGGCCCAATCAGCTATCGCTGTCTTATCTGGGGGCTCGTGGGCTGTGGCTCGTGATCCGCTCTAGTGAGGCTCGTGACACCAGAGGAGGTGTTGCGCTCCGCATCCGTGGCCGCACGGTTGCGTGCGCTGAGCGGGCTGGAAGGGCAGCAGCTGCATATCGACTTCAAAAAGAGCTGACCCCAGAACCTGTACAACGTCGAGTACCGCCAGGGCAAAGACTCGAAGTACACGTACGAGAATGTGTGCATCGTGCCCGGTGGCCGTGCTGGAATGTCTCGTGTGGCGGCAGGTGAGTCTGGACTGAGGGACGGGAGTCTTCCTCGCACTCACTCCTCCACGGTCCTAGAAACCAACATCTTGCTGTTTCTCAACGTCGAAGCTAACATGCAGTCATCGGCGATGTCTACTGTGGCTACCAGATCCCCGAGTACACGACCTACTCGGAGGTGCTGTCGGTGTTCAAGCGCCTGCTGCCCATCCCGACCGCGCTCGAGGCGCAGGACGACTACAAGCTCAACATTGCCGAGCTGAAGAAGGCGGCCAAGATTCTGTCGCTCAGCGTCATCGTCGCCTCCAACCCCCGCAACCCGACTGGCCAGGTCATCCAGGGCGACGATCTTAAGGAGCTCGTTCGCATGGGAGACGGCAACACCACGTGGGTTAGCTCGCCGGACCATGCTAACCCTCAGCATCGTGCTCGACGAGTTCTACAGCTGGTACTGCTACCACGACGACCCGAACATGCTGGGCAAGTCGATCTCTGGCGCCGAGCACGTGAACAATGTAAACGAGGATGCAGTCGTCATCATCGACGGACTGACGAAGGGTTTCCGCCTCCCCGGCTGGCGTGTGTGCTGGGTCCTTGGACCGAAGAACCTGATCTCTGCCATCTCCCAGTCCGGCTCCTTCCTGGACGGCGGCGCCTCGCACCCGATGCAGGTCATGGCGCTGCCACTCCTCGACCCGAAGCGCGTCATGCAGGACAAGATTGCGCTGCAGACGCACTTCCGCGAGAAGCGCGACCACGTCCTCGCGCGTCTGGCCGCCATGGGCCTACCCGTCCGCGTCCCGCCCCGCGCGACGTTCTACATCTGGCTCGACCTCTCCCCTCTCCCGGCGCCGCTCAACAATGGCCTCACCTTTTTCGAGGAGCTGCTCAAGGAGAAAGTCATCTGTGTCCCCGGTCTGTTCTTCGATGTGAACCCCGCCAAGCGAGTGAGTCGTGCTCAGCCTATGTAGCTTTAATGCCTCCGCTGCCGAAAGCTAACGCACAGCGCAACCTGTTTGAGTCGCCGTGCCACCACTTTGTCCGCCTCTCGTTCGGCCCGCCGATGGAGGTCCTCGACCGCGGCCTCGACGGTATGGAGCGACTCGTCAAGCGCCACCTCGACCAGGAGCACCGCGCGGGCGAGTACGTCCAGTCCCCGACTACTGCCCGCTTCCCGGGCATCGACCACGGTCACCACATCTAACTTCATACTGTGCAATACCCAAAACTTCAAGACCCAACTTTATACTAGAAACGAAACGAACATGACAAGCAGATGCCTCGAAACGAGCCCAGCCCCCGATCCCATCATTGCCTTTTCTAACTTTCCTATTTCCTTCTCACACCTACAAGCAGCATGCAATTTATTCCGCACCTGGTGCCTCTGCATCACTGAAGCTTCAGGCCTTGTTGTTTCCCGGGATATACGCGGATGGAAGCTCTGCTGCCGCTCGGAGCTCGGGACTCGGACCCGGTTTCCGGCAAGTCGGTCCTGGCGTCGTGTGTCGCTGGCCTCCCTGCAGGTGACTGTGCGCTCGTAAGCGGCTTTGCTGAGCAAGGGCAGAGTCGCGGCCCGGAGTGTACTCTCCGCACGCTACAACGAGATAGACGGACGTCATGGCGTCCAACATTGCGCAGTGTACGTAAAGCTCAGGCTCTCAGGACATCTGTGCCACACCTCTGGCTCCTCCTCTCCCTGCACTGTGTTTCTTCATCATCTGATAAAAGCAGCACTGTCTACATGGCGGGAAACGTTGCCCGCCGCATCTGTAGCCTGCAGAACGACCTACTGTAACTGCCCATGAGCCAGTCCGTCGATCGTAGTTGAGCCAGAAGCAGAAATCGGACAGCTCGCTGTACCTCAACGGGTCGTCAGTAAGGCACAGCGATCATGCTCCCCGAGGTTTTAATATGGGAGCGCTGGGACGTGCCTGGGTCTGTCCGTTCGTTCTGTCTACGCCTCCTTGTCTCGAACAGTGACGCCTGCACCTCTCTTGACACGTTCTACAGAGACGTTGCGCGTTGTGGGCTGTGGGCTTGCGGAATGTGACTGCCTGATAGTATCACTAGTCCAGGCGGAGCAGTAGTCGATCCGCACTGTGCGCACTCTCAACATCGGTAATGGGTTCGACATTGCTGAGGATGTGCCGTATCATCGGATCTGAGAGAGGTGCAGAGGTGCATACCCGTCCACCATGGACACGTTCCACGGGTGTCGTTGCGGCGGGGTTGGTGCATTGGTGCCCGATGTGCAACGATGTGCAACGACGTGCAGTGTGCAGTGTGCGCGCGACTGAATAGAGTGCCCGGTCAGGTTTCAGAGTTCAGGATTACGACACGGGCCACTCTGTTCCGTACCTGGCTCTCTTCTCTAGCTCTCTCTCTCACTCGAGCATGGACCATTCCTGCGATCCTGCGACTGCTTCAGCCCAACGCCATCTCTCGACGCCAGACACGCCACCATACTGAGCTAGATACGAAGCTTGGCATCTTGAATCTCATTCATTCATCATCACCCACCCTTCATATCCCACTTCATCCCCCGCACTGCCCACACCGAGCTTGACGCCGACGCCGATTGCCCTGATCCGCTGAAGCGTGTCCGACGGACTGACACTACACCGCACCTACCTTCCCACCACCACCGCCAGACGTCATGCCGCCCAAGCGTCCCCCTCCTCTTCCCCGGAGCCTGTTCACAGGCGAGGGCCCTCTGTCCCCTGGTAAGCTTGTTTGCCCTCTCCAAGCTGACATCAGGCATGGCGCCGCAGCCCCCGAGTCCGTCGACAGTGCACCCCGACCGCCTAGTCGATGCGCACAACAGCGGCTCCTTCATCCAGCTCCAGAAGGGCGACGCCAAGGTCGTCCCGCCGCTGACGGCGAGTGTGGCCGTTGCCGTCGATGGGCGGCCGATCGCGCCTGTCGGTCTCGCGGCGCCTGATGGGTGAGTCGTGCCCTCCCTCGCCTTCCCATCATTCCTGCTCTGCGAACACGATCACTTGAGCTGACACCTAGATCCATGAACATGGGCAAGCAGGTCATGTCCCCTGCGCTCCTGTTCAGCGAAACTGCGGCCGAGGCGCCGACACCCCAGTCGTCTCTGCCAGCGATTGACGTCGTCATTCCGCAAACGAAACCCCTCACCGATGCGCTGTGGGACAAGCTCGACGATGTCGTGAACCGCATCGATGGCGGATGGGGAAAGGTCGAGAAGGAGGCTGCGGAGGGGCATGATGGGCGCAAGATTCTCGTCGGTAAGTGCTGTGCGCCGCCTAGCTTCAAGAACGCGTGTACAAGCTGACACCCAGCCGGCCTCCTTCCCCCGCCGCTGACGCTCAACTCTTCCAAACTGCAGAACGACGCCGCATACGTGACGCACATGACGCGGTTGACACAGCTGTCCCTGCACTCGGACGTGGTACTGAAGGCGCTCCCGCCCGTGATTGACACGACGGTCGCCTCAGAGCCGTGGTGGGAGGACGAGCGCGAGCTCGCACGCGTCGTCAAGATGTACGTCGCGCCCGCGATCGAGACGTTTGGCACGCACCGCATTGTCTTTGGCAGCATCCCCGCCGCCGCCTCAGCAGGCACCGTCAGCAAGGAGGACGGCGTCATCGTCCCCATCAGCGGGGAGAAGTGGTACGCGCTGTTCCGCCAGTGCGTGGCTGAGCTCGGCGAGGACAAGGGCGCCATGACGGACATCATGGCCGCGAACGCCGAGAGACTCTACGCCCTGACGCAGTAGAGATGAGTTGTACGAGATCCTTTTCATGTATAGAGAAACGCGCCTACAGACTATTCGGACACTGTGAATGTGACATGGCTATTTCCACCACCTGCTGCGTCTATGATCGCACACAGCCAAGGTCGTGGGTGACTCCCAGCCCAAGTTGCAGTGAGACCACGTGACAATGACGCAAGTGCCTGTGCCACGTCAAGCCAACTTTGAGCGCACCGGTGCACCGCACCGTGTGCCGTGGCAGTGCCGTCGACGCGTCGAGCCGGCCATGCGGCCGTTCCGTGATGGTCGAGTGCGATCGTATAAGCTGCCTGAGTTTCGTTGACACCTCAACACTCATTTCACCCCCATATACCCTTCCACGCTTTCCACGACGCCATGACAATCATCGGCGCCATCGACAGCGTCATCACGCGTCTTGCGGATGCGGCCGACAACGTCCTCATTCCGTACAAGAGCATTGCCGTCGGACTGCTTGTCGCCCAGACTGCTTTTGAGCTGTACATCATGTGAGTGTAGTCTGATGGAGCCACAGCGACCCGCTGCCTCATCAGAGCCTGAGGAAGCTGTTGCTCGCCTCAGCTGTCTTCGCCGTCTTCAGCTCGCTGACGCTGACGCTGTAGCCGCCGCCAGCTGCCATGCTACTCGCGCCCGCTCCCGCCCCCGGAGCTCAAGAACCACATGACGGCGGAAAAGTACAAGAAGGCGCAGGCGTACTCGCGCGACAAGACTTACTACTCGATCGCGCAGCACATCTTCTCCTTCTTCCAGTCGCTCATCTTCATCAAGGGCGGATACCTCTGGACGTGGAACTTTGCCGGCAAGATCATGGACGCATTGGGGATCAGCCGTAACCACATGGTGAGTTGCATTCAGAGCTGAAGTGACGTTGACCCCGAGCTAACAACAGATTACCTACACACTCATTTGGACTGTTGTGACGACGCTTATTTCGGGTGCGCTCTCGCTGCCGTGGTCGTACTACTACACCTTTGTGCTGGAGGAGAAGCACGGGTTCAACAAGCAGACGCCCAAGCTCTTCTTCATGGACACGCTCAAGACGTACTCTCTGATTGCCGTTCTGGGTCTTCCCGTTCTCGCTGGATTCCTCAAGATCTTCGACTGGGCGGGCAAGGCGTTTATCCCGTGGCTGATGCTGTTTGTGATTGCGGTTCAGCTCGTGCTGCAGATCATCTTCCCTCTGTGGATCCAGCCGCTGTTCAACAAGTTCACGCCGCTGCCCGAGGGCGAGGTGCGCAGCCGCGTCGAAGCGCTCGCGACCCGCCTCCACTTCCCCCTCAAGCACCTGTTCATGATTGACGGGTCGAAGCGCTCGTCCCACTCCAACGCGTACTTCTATGGCCTGCCGTGGTCGAAGCAGATCGTCATCTACGACACGCTCATGGACAAGAGCTCCCCGGCCGAGGTCGAGGCCGTTCTCGCCCACGAGCTCGGGCACTGGTACTACAGCCACCCGATGCGGCTCATGCTCATCGCGCAAGCGCACCTGCTGTTTACGCTCGCTGTCTTCTCCGTGTTTATCGGGAACAAGGCGCTGTTTGCGAGTTTCGGCTTCGACCCGGCGCTCGCCGTCGGACCCCCCCGCGCAGTCTGTATTGGGTTCACGCTGTACCAGCTCCTGTTCGGCCCGATCGACACGTTCGTCCAGTTCGCCATGAACTCGCGCACGCGCAAGTACGAGTACCAGGCCGACGCCTTTGCGGTGCAGCTCGGCACCAAGGCCGACCTCAAGACCGCGCTCATCAAGCTCCATGTCGAGAACCTCTCGTCCCCGCACTCCGACAAGCTCTACTCCATGTACCACCACTCGCACCCGACGCTGCCGGAGCGTCTCCGCGCCATGGACGAGTACACGGGTGGGAACTGGCTCGAGCCCAAGGCGGCGCATCCCGCGCGCCTCGCGACGACCGAGCAGAAGAAGGAGGAGGAGCGCGAACGCGAAATCGAGGAGAAGAAGGAGCTCTAAAAGTGTACGCCTTGTTTTCCTTACAGTGTAGCAGTAGTTTCAGTATGCAACACATTGAACATTGAGTCGGAGTCAGTAGCCTTGTTGACGACTGGAGAGCGGGGGGAAGGAAGGAGGAAACAGGCAGGCATGAGTCTAGTCTAGGTCGCATCGTATACACGACTAATTTTACACGTTTTTACACGTAGACACCGACGGTGCAGAACAGGGCGACTGTTCCCGCACCGGCGAGGAAGGCGGCGAGAAGCGCAACGCCCAGCTCCTGGGCGGGAGCCTTGGAGAGACTGGGGTCAGCTTGTGTGCGCAGCCTCAAAGCTGATAGCGGCTATTAGGGGGAGATGAACTCTTGCAGGTTGTAGATCGAAGCGCCTCGCACTAGATCCAACTACAGCGCCTAGCAGAGCTCACGCCCCCTCGGCTGTAAGCTCCAGAGCAACTCACGTAGTAAGGAAGAAGGTGAGGGCGAAGGCGGCGAGGAGCGCGACGAGGGCAATGGTCGGGAGCGCCTCTACCGAGATGAGCGGGGAGAACGCCGGGAGCGTCTTGAACGACTCCTGTTTGTCAGCTACGCTAGCAAGAGTACAGCTCACCTTGACCTCGACGTATGTCATGGTGGTTGCGGATGAAGCAGCTTGACGTCGGCGAGCGCCTCAAGTGGACAGTCCACAGGCGACGACGTAACGTGGCAACAACATGAGCGGTGGACGCGTCGGAATGCCTCCGCTAATAGACCTGGCGGAGTGGCTGATTAGGGTTGCGTCATAATGGGGAATTGTATTGGCGGCGGGCGGGCGGTCGGTTGAAATGGGCGATGCGGAATCCTGGACTCCGAGTGACGCACGCGTCTCTCTTGTCAGGCCTTGACTTTGTCTTCTTGTCCCTTATCCTCTTCTGCTAAGAGCCACCGACATCTATTGCCCTACAGCAGCGACTCTCCGACACTCTCACGACCTCACCGCCACCCCTCCGACCCCTCTCACCCGACCTCCTCGCGCCCTCCGTGGCCCTCCTCCCATCTCGCCTCCCGACCCCCTCACCCTCACCCTCACCCTCACCCCCTCTCTAATCCCTCGCTCACCTCCACCAACGCGACCCGGTCATGCCACGATGAGCAGCTACAACCCCCTATCCCTCTTCCCCCTGCCTCCGCAGATCAGCGACCCGAAGCCGGTCCCGAGTGCGCTCGCCGTCGATGCGTTCTCGGACATGCTCTGGGTCGGGTCGTCTGGCGGCATCGTGTCCGCGTTCGTGAATCCGCTGACGCTCACGCGCAACGTGCAGTTTCCAGCGCACGGCGGGAGCGCCGCCTCCGGCAAGAAGTTTACGGGCAACATGCACGGCTTGCAGAGTGGCGTGCGGCAGATCCGGCTCACGGACCGGGAGATCTGGACGCTGACGGACGGCGGGATGAGCGGGCGGAAACGCGGGGGCGCACCGCGCTGGAGCGTCTCGGACCCAACACGCTCGCTGAGGGCGATGGCGCCGAGCCCGACGAATTCGCACGAGGTCCTCGCCGGCGGAACGGGGCAGATGATCCTCGTGAACAACTCTAGGGGAGAGATTGTCCGGCACTTTGAGAGCCCCGGCACCGTCGTGCACCTCGGCACGAACCAGGATCGGATGGTCGTGAGCGCCTCTGGGTCGGGACAGGTCAGTCTCCTCGATCCCCGGCTCGGGTTCCGACAGGCGAGCAAGGTCACACCCGTCCAGGCGCACACGGGTGGAATGAGCGGGGCAGACTGCCAGAATAACCTCGTCGCGACCTGGGGCTGGACGCACATGCAGGGCCACCCTGTTCCCGACCCGTTGGTCCGCCTGTACGACATTCGGACGCTTCGCGCCCTCCCGCCGATCAGCTTTGCGAGCGGGCCGTCGTTTGTGCTCCTGAACCCGAGCGACTCGAGCAAGATGGTGATTGCGGGACAGCAGGGCATGATCCAGAGCCACGACATGAGCACGGGGCAGAACGAGTTCCAGCAGCTCGATATCAACTCGTTCATCACGTCCATGGCCCTTTCGCCTCATGGGGATTATCTTGTGTTTGGCGACGGAGACGGACAGCTGCACCTCTGGACAACGCACGACGTGGGCGAGGGCGCCGAGCTCGACGCCAACGGCAACCTCGTCCTCCCCACTTTCAACGGGTACGACGGCGTCAAGCCCGAGTGGCCGGATGCGGTCGAGCCCCCGCCCCCGATTCACTGGGACGACACGACCCCGCTCAACCTCCTCGGCATGCCGTACTACGAGGACTCGCTGCTGAGCAACTTCCCGACGATCGACTATGCAACGGTGTACTCGCCGTTCTTCAACCCGCCCGAACCTATCCCGAATTCGGTCCTCAACTCGCTCAACTACCAGGATTTTATCGGATACGGCCAGCTGCCCAAGGACTACAAGGGCAAGCGGTACCAGCTCACGGCGCGGACGGGGGCGGGCAAACTTGCCCTCGGAAAAGGAGCGCTCGGCTCTCGGCGTGAGAGCGAGCCCCGTTTCCGCTCGGATAAGGACCGGAAGAGGCATCCCCCGCCCGAGATCGAGGAGGAGGCGACAATAGGCGGCATCCCAAAGTACTACCGCAAGGTGGAGATAAAGTACAGTCGCTTCGGTGTGGAGGATTTCGATTTTGCCTTCTACAACCGAACAACGTACAGCGGTCTCGAAACCGATATCGTTAACAGCTACACGAACGCTCTGCTCCAGGCGCTGCACTACTCGGCGCCCGTGCGCGCCGTCGCCAAGGCGCACATCTGCGTCGAGTGCCAGAAGGAGAACTGCCTGCTGTGCGAGGCCGGCTTCCTGTTTAGAATGCTTGAAGACGCAAAGGGGACAAACTGCCAGGCGTCCAACTTTTCCCGGGCGTTCAGCGCCACACCGCAGGCATCCGCCCTCGGCCTCATGGACAGCGACAAGGCGCCGCACACGCCATCGACGCTCATTCAAAACTTTAACCGCTGGCTCCTGTCGACGTTCACGACGGAGGCGGTTGTCGACGGACAGTCCTTCCAGATGCGCCCGAGCCTCGACAAACTGAGCCTGGACGCGGCGAGCTCGACGAGCACTACCAGCGCGATCAACCAGGTCCTCGGCGTCGATGTCAAGACGACCAACACGTGCCTCTCATGCAAGCACGTGTCGGTGCGCGCGTCGACGCTCCAGGCTATCGATCTGGCTTACCCGCGCAAACCGACGAGTGCGACGCCGTTCCCCGAGGCGCTCCGGAACGCCATCATCAAGAGCTCGAGCACGAAAGCCTCGTGCAGCAACTGCAGGGCGTTTGCGCCGCTCGACTCGAAGCGTGACCTTGCCTCGTCGCCAGAGGAAAGCCTCCCGCCCGTGCTCAGCGTCAACGCGATGGTGTCGACGCCCGAGCAGCTCGAGGTCTGGAAGGACCGCACCGAGGGCGGTAAAGTGAAGCACTACCTCCCTCCGCGCGTTGCGTTCCGGACCGACGAGAGGGGCGAGGTCGTCGCCTCGGCCGACGTGGAGGAGGACAAGGGCGGCATCGTGTACGAGGTTAAGAGCGTCGTGGTGCAAGTCCAAACAGCACCCGACAAGCCCGCGCACCTCATATCGTTCGTCAAGATGCCACAGGAGGAGGACGAGGATGAACCCAAGTGGATCATGTTCAACGACTTCCTTGTCCGTCCCGTGCGCGAGGAGGAGGTCTTCACCTTCACCGAGAGCTGGAAGGTGCCCGCCGTCATCATCCTGGAGCGAACCGACGCCGCGAGCGTGCTGTCGTATGCGTCGTTGCCAACGCAGCTCGACCCCAGTGTGCTTTTCACGGACGCGAATATGGCCTGGCACCGGCGCAAGGACATGATCAAGCACGAGGTGCTGAGCAAGGACGAGCTGCCGAAGCCCGGCACGCTGATATCCATTGACGCCGAGTTCGTAGCCCTGCAGAGCGAGGAACTTGAGTTCCGCTCCGACGGCACGCGCAAGATCCTGCGCCCCTCGCACATGTCGCTTGCGCGCGTGTCCGTCCTCCGCGGCCCCGGGCCCAAGGAGGCCGTCCCCTTCATCGACGACTACATCCGCACGACCGAGACGGTGCAGGACTACCTGACCGAGTTTAGCGGCATCAAGGCCGGCGACCTGGACCCGAACCAGAGCGTGCACACCCTCGTGCCCCTCAAGGTGGCGTACAAGAAGCTGCGCCTGCTCGTGGATCTCGGATGCGTGTTCATCGGCCACGGCCTCAGCAAGGACTTTCGGACGATCAACATCTTCGTGCCCCCCGACCAAGTCCTGGACACTGTCAACCTGTACACAATCCCCGGCCGGAGTCGCAAGCTGTCGCTACGCTTCCTGACATGGTTCCTGCTGAAAAAGGACATTCAGCAGAACGACCATGGCCACGACTCGATCGAGGACGCGCGGCACGCATACCTCCTCTACAAGAAGTATGTCGAGTTCAAGGCCGAGGACCGCTTCGAGGACGTCATGGACGACATCTTCCACGAGGGGCACAAGACGGGCTTCAAGCCCAAGAGCGAGAGCGAGAAGGCCGCGTCGGCCGCGTCGGCTGCTGGGTCCACTGCCGTCACGAGCCCCACGACGACGGCCGCGAGCGTCACGGCTGGCAATGCATCGTCGAGCGATGAGAGGAGCAGTACGCCCAGTGCCTTCCCGCCCCTCACTGGACGGAGGAAGGGAGGACATAACCAGCCCACACAGAGCACGGCGAATCCGAGGGGACAGTGGACGCCGTTCCAGAACACGGCGCAGAGGAGGTGGCAATAGACCCCCAAGTGTTGGAGATAATATCCCTGTTGTAGTACTGCATGCAGCGTGCAACCGCTTGCTCGTAGCTAAACATAGCTTGCTCATAGCTAAACATACATTAATACATCTAATATGCTGACTCCTATTCCGTCCACGTCTACGTCTACTTCCTGGCGAAAGTCACCTTCATCTTAGTCTCTCCGTCAATCTTGAAATTGTGCAGCGCGTCCTTGGCGACCGCACTCGCCGTCTCGTCGGCGTACTCGACGAACGCAATGTCCTTCTTGGCGGCAATGGTACGGATCTCGACGAGACCGGGGTACTGCTCGAAGACCTCGCGGAGGTCGTCCTGCGTCGTGCCCTCGGGCAGGTTCTGGACAAAGAGCACATTGTTCGGCGGCAGGTACTCGTCGGGCATCTGGAGTTTGGGCTTCTTGGCCGCTCCCGGGCCCGAGGGCGCAGACGTGTCGTCGCCCGCCTTGTGCTTGGCAATGTTGCGCGCGCGGATCACGTTTGTCTTCCGCTTCGTTTCTGCGGGTCAGCTAACTTTCGCACTGAACGAAGCTGGGGATCTACGATGGGTGGGAGTTGAGCCGCGCTGTCGCGCGGCAACGAAGAGGACTCACTCTTGTCCGCCAACCGCTCCTTCTTCCACGCCTCTAGCGCCTCCTCGCCGTCCTGCTTCTCGATGACCGCGTCACTCCGCGTCTTGGCAAAGTCGATGATCTGCTGTTAGCTTTCCTCGCGCCGACCATTAAAGCTATCCCATCGGCGGTATTCCCGGTGATACATCTCCACAGGCAGGATGGAAGGGCAACGCGGCCCTTCGTGCGCCTCATGCACACTCACTATCGGCTTGCCATACAGCGGAAACTCATTCACATCCCTCTGCGCGAGCGCCGCGGTCGCCTTGTCCCGGAACGAGACGAAGGCTTGTCCACGCATACGCACGTTGCGGTGCGCAACGATGGGTCCGAGGGGGTGGTACGGCTTGAACAGCGACGCAAGCGTCTCCTTCATGACTGTTTGTTAGCACGGTCATCCAACCTATGCAGCTAGGAGACGTACTGGGTATCCGGACCTTCTCGTTGAGGTTGTGCAAGTACAGCGTCTCGGACGCGTTTGGCGGGAGGCCATCGTCGTTCCCTCCGGCGGTGCCGTTCTCGGCACCCGCGCTCGGCGGCTGGTGCTGGTCGGGGACGGGCTCGGAGCGCGACGGGCCGGCTTCCGCTTCCATATTGTTGTCGATGATGCAACAACAGTCCAGAGGGTTAGTGGCAGATCACTCCTCGAACTCGCCCGGTGGAGGGAATATCTATACGCGACTTTTTCGCCTTTTATCCCACTCGATCGAGCTTCACCTCGATTAGCCGCTGATAAGATTGGGATCAATCGATTAGGATGTTGTCTAATCCACAGAGTGAAGCTGACGAGATGCATGCTCAGAGCCCGGAATCATGCTACAACAAACAATACTGCTCCTCCAGAAGAGGCTTATCCTTAACGCGCCACTTGGCGGCCGCCTCCTCGACTTCGTCCTGCGTAATGACGATCTCGACGTCTGTCCACTCGCCCGGTTCCTCGCCGTCATCCTCCTCTTCCTCTTCCTGTTTCTGCCGCGAGACTGCGCGGCGGTGCCTCAAGAACCCGAGCTCCTCCAAGACCATCTGCAGGTCGTCTGTGCGCAAGTGACATGCGCGCGCCAATGATCCAAGCGGTGCAGCAACTGAGAAGTGCCCGGGTGTCGAGGGGTCCGCGCGTTTCCTTAGATCTGCCAGGTTAATAGGACTAGGCAGTTGGAACCTACCTGCGCCGTTTATCGTGATGGTTTCGTCAGCAATGGCTGGAGTCGTGGCCTTGCGCGTCCTCAGTGTACGACCTTCAGTAGCCGCTGGACTCTTCGGAGTCGGAGGCGCGGAAGCTGGCGCACCTACTAGCAGCCGTCGGCACAGGCGAATCACGACGGACACCCAGTACGCCATGTACCCTTTGCGGCCGAGGTCAGACAGTGGACGTTCCGGCGTGCCGGGCGACTTGTTAGGCGACCGCGTCGCAGGATGCCGCGTTAGGTAGTAGCTGAACTCAATGAGGAGTTTGCCGAAGCCGCGGTTCTGGTGCGGAGGGAAGGTCACGATGCAAGCGAGGTTGAAGTCGTCATATGAGACTTTCTCCTTGGAGAAGAACGCCATGACCTGATCTCGCGTCGACGTTGCCGCATCGCAAAGAACGTAGAACAAAAAGTTCTCCACGTGGAAGAAGACGGACTGTACGTCAGCTTGGTCGCCAACTCTCGCCAGCCAGCTCACCTTGTGGTCAATGAAGAGCTTCCCGAACAAACTCAGATTCTGGCAATAGAGCTGCCTATCAGTTGTTGAGGTCGATCATGCCTCTACTCACAGTCGCGTTCGCTCCGTCCACCTCCCATATCGTGTAGCTTCCCCGCTGGTACACCTTCCTCCCCGGTGGCCGCATCTGATTGCAAGTTGACTTACTGTCAGATCCTCTAGTACCTAGTGAACTTACAGTGTGGTTCTCCCACCCCGCTCGTGTCCGCATGTATTTGAAACATAACTGCTGGTCAGTTGCGCCGCGAGGTGAGCAACTCACGTCACACACCCACAGCCTTCCCCGCGCGCCTTCCCCGTCCTTCCCCACACCGACAGCCATGACATCGTTCGCGCTTCGGGCTGACGCAAGCGGTGTTCGCGGTCGCGGCGCGGTGCCGTCTCCCGGCTCCTTCCTCTTCTTCCCCTTCCCCTTAGACTGGGGAGCCGGCGTGCCTGCGTCGAACGGCATGGGGTACGGAGAGTAGTACCTGGTCTCAGCTCTGCGATCTATTGCCAGCTTACCAAGTCTTGACGAGGTATTCGCCGAAACGAACGTCCTCGAAGTTGCGCACGCGCGTGACCTGTGCATGCTCGCGTTCGGGGCTTGAGGGAACCGAGTCCGCCGGTGAGCCGGGTGCGAGTACCGCCTGATGTCAGCTTATACGAGCGCGCTCCAATTTACCTGTCCGTTCGTCCGGCTCGGGCCGGCGGCGGGGATCTCGTCTCCCAGCGCGCTCGCCGGCACCCACGTATCGAGGCGCTTGTCCTCGCCGACGAACGAGATGTACGCCTCGCGCTGGCCGAGCTTAAGGCGCGAGTTGAGCACAGTTGCCGGTCCTGTCGTCAGCTGACCTATGCGGGACGGAAGCGACGGGGTAAGGCATGGAGGGAAGGCGACTTACGAGGTGGTCCCTCGCCTCGGGCGACGAGATACTGCGCGCCCACAGTGAACGTGCGCTCGGGCACGGCGGAGGCGACCCCAGGTACCGGAGCATGCAGCGCAGCAGCCGGCATGCTGCGTGTGTGCAATGTGCGTGTGTGGGTGAGTGTGTAATGCCAGATTCAGGAAGGGAAAGGCTCGTCAAAACAAATCAGCGTCACCAGCGCGTGCGCGGTGCGTGAGCCAGGCGCGCGATCGCGCGCGAACGGGCCGCGCTGCCGAACATTTCAGGCACCAACCCCCGCTACATACCGGGGGTACAGTCACCTCCTCCTCTTGGTGACGCGCAAGATCTGAGTTTGTTCACATCACTCGGGCACGCATCCTTTGACATTGCAATAGCAGCATGTGCGGGCGTTTCGCTCTCGGACAGCAGCACATCGACTTTCTCGAGGCGCTAGATGCGCAGTACCCGCGTATCTTCCGTCGGCAGCCTGGCGGACGCGCGCCGCAGCGCCTCCGCGGTGGAGGTCCACATGACGAGGAGAAGCCGGACGTGAAGAACGAGGAAGCCGAGACTAAGCCATCCACGGAAGATGCGGAGGTCAAGGATGAGAAGCCGCAGGCTGAGGACCTCGAGAGCAGCAATGCGGCCGGCGATGAGAGCGACGCGCCCAACGACCAGGAGGAAGCCGAGGACGACGACGAGCCCAAGACTGGCGACGAAGCTCCAAAGCCCTCCAAGGGCTCCGAGGACTTGAAGTGGCACGCCGCCCCTGCTCTTGGCTTCAAGTGGAAGCGCGAGCAGGACTTCTGGCCAAGGCGAGCTTCCGGATTCACCACGTAGCTGACGGCAGTTACAACATTGCCCCGCGACAACGCTCCCCGGTCATCCGGCGCGACTCGAACGGCGATGCCATGATCGAGACGATGCAGTGGGGTCTGATCCCGCACTGGACGAAGCACCCCCCGACTGGTCCCTTGAACACGATCAACGCGCGCAGCGAGGCCGTCATGTAAGCTTCTCCCACACTCCATTAGCTGACATCAGCGACCCCTCCTCGGGCGGACTGTGGCACGCGCTAAAGGGGCGCAAACGCTGCGTCGTCCCCGCGCAAGGCTACTACGAGTGGCAGAAGAAGGGCTCGACCAAGGTGGCGCACTTCGCCCGCCTACCGCTGCTCAAGGACCAGAGCGAGGAGCACGGGATCAGGGCCGAGGACCCGCCCATTGTCATGTTCGCGGGTTTCTGGGATGAGGTCGAGTACGAGTCCCCCGTTGCGAGCAAGTGGCAGCCGGCGCCCGGGGACGAGCGCGAGCCCCTGTTCCGCTTGCTACGTTCACGATCTTGACGACTGTGCCCGCCCCGGACATTGCGTGGCTGCACGACCGCATGCCGTGCGTTCTGAGGAGCGAGGAGGATATCGCCCGCTGGCTCGATCTCGGCGAGACGCCCCAGGGCTGGGTGGACGGGAAGGGCGGCACGGCTGACGTGCTCCAGAGCGAGCCGGGGCTCGATGTGTGAGTGTGGACGACTGACGGGCTGTGATCAGCTCGACTCAAGCTACAACGGGTCCGCCGAGCTGACATCAGATACCCTGTTCTCCCCGAGGTCGGCAAGATTGGACAGAGCAAGCACGCGTACATCCTCCCCGTCGCTGAGCGGAAAGACGGCATCAAGTCCTTCTTCGCGAAGCAAAACAGCCCTGTTAAGCCGAAGGCGGAGCCGAAAGCGACGCCGAAGCCGACGGCTGAGGCAAAGGCTGAGACCTTCGTCAAGGCTGAGCCCGCAACGCCCACAACGTCGAAACCGAAGGCTGAGCCGACGTCAGAAGTGAAGGCTTCGCAGGAGAAGCCAGCATCGCAGGAGTCCAAACCAGCTGCGTCTCAGGAGGTCACCGAAGTAGGCGACTCGGAGGACGAGAAGCCCTCCAAGCGGAAAGCAGAGCGGCAAGGTGGGCGACGGACGAAAGTTTCCCGCCCCGTGCCTGAAGCGAAGAAGGACCAGAAGTCAATCACGAGTTTCTTCAAGTCTCCCCGGAAGTAGTGCTTCCTGTGCTTGTTGTATCCAGTTGTTCCTGTACATCTATGCCATTATCACTAAGAGATGTCTCTTTCCTTCCTCTGTCCTGATCCAGATTAAGCCTGAGCTCGACAGATCGTGGCTCCCTGCGGCTCCCTCGTGGCTCCTTCGGAGCCACTCCGCAACCTTACTGCTGATCCTGGAACATGCCCTCTGCGCCGGATCCCTCGTGCGTGACGAGCGTCTTGCCGTGGGCCGGGTACGAGATGACGTCGAGGTTGAGCCGGGTGCCGCCGAGGAGGTACTCGACGGGCGCGGCCGAGTCGTTTCGGAGCGTGTGCGCCCAGCGTTCGTTGGGGTTTCCGGCGGCTGTGCGAGCGTCAGCATCAGCATGCGAGCGAAGCGAGCCAGCGAAGCGAGCTTGCTGCCCATCTTTTTCCCCTGCCCCCCTCTCTCCCTTTCTTTATCTCCCTTGGAAACCCCTTCCCTCCCATCGGAAACACGCTTCTATCCAACACCCACCCCACCGTCAAAACATTGCCCGAAGGACAGCGAGTACTCACGGAACCCAATAAAGTCGCCCGCAGAGACCTCCCTGTTCTCCTCGATCAGCTCGGCACCAAACGGCGGCCGAATGTCGCCCTCGTCCGCGACAACGGGGCGCGCGAGCCGCAGCGTCGCAGTGCCCTGGAGGATGTACAGCCACTCGCTCTCTGCGAGGTGGGAGTGGAGCACGGTCGACTCGCGTCCGGGCTCGAGGCGGACTTTGTGTACTGCCAGGCCGGACTCGGACATGCCCGCTGGGATGTTAGCTTGTCCTTGATATTACAGCTTTCGTAATGAGTTCTGTTCGAGACATGCCCGAGTGGAGTTGAGGAAATCGGACTGGACAGGCAGAGTGGGACGGGGCCTAGCTCTGACGGCAGCTCTGACGAGCTGCAAGAGCTGCACGCTCGCTGCCGCCGTCTCACTCGCAGACTCACCCATATCACTAACACAGCACTGGACGCGCTGCACCTCCCCGTCCATGAAGTGCTCTCTCGTCTCCATCGCCGCCTCGATGTCGGCCGCCTTCACGACGGGGTCCTGGATCTCCTCGCTGCCTTCGAAGTGGTCATACTCCTCCTCGTGAGAGTGGCCGTGCGAGTGAGAGTGAGAGCAGTTAGGCCCGTGCACGTGCTCCTCCTCTACCTTCACGGCCTTTCCCTTTCCCTTTGAGCTGCTTGCGGACATTGCTGTTGTTGTGTGTTTTTGTAGTGGCGAGAAGAGTGGTGAAGTCAGGTGGAGGTCGGACGGAAATTTCTGCTGACGCTCGGACCTTACGTCATTGGCGACTGGGCGGATCTGGCCAAGGCTCTGACCTGTTCTCGCCGTTCTTCTTCCTCCTCACACCACTCCTGTCCTTGTGGTTTATCTTTGCTGCACTCGCTCGCTCGTGCTACGTTCGCTGGCATCATTGCATTATTCGCCAGACTACATGCGCAGAACTAATGCTAGGTGAAAATGTAAATTGTCCTTATGTATGGTTTAAACTATACGGGTACGATAGAGAGTGTCCTTTGGGTTCCAGCTGTTATCAAGCCTGGAGCACAGTAGCAGTAGAGTGTCCTTGTTGTTTATAAGGTGGTTCGTTGCGTAATTGTAAAATGCCGTTGAAGTTGGTTAGTCAAGTTATCGACAAGCTGAGCATTAAGAAAGCGCTTAGCACTTCCAGCTGCCGTCGCGCTGGCCGGGGTTGCCGACCCACTGGTAGGGCCACTCGCCCTCGTCGCCCATGCAGGTGTCGACGGCGACGACCCTGTAGCCGCGGCCGGTGAGCTGGTCGAGGCCCCAGGGGACGACCTGCGAGTGGGCTGGGTGTCAGCAAAAAGTCTTACTGAGGGCTTGTGCGTTGTGGAGGCGGGGCAGATATAAGATCGATCTCAAGATGGGATCTCAGACATCTGCCGCCATGCCGCCACGGCACAGCATGTCTCCTTTGTTATTATACTCACTGACGTCCTGGGTCGAGTGGGAGAGGATGAGAGCAGGCTTGGGGCTCTGGTCGCGGACCTTGCCAATGACGTTGCGGCCAAAGTCGGCGCCCTTGCCGTTGGCGTCCTCAGTGTCGTGAGTCCACATGAAGAGCTTCTTGTAGCCGCGGTCCGAGAGGACCTTGAGCACCGTGTCGTCGTACTCGCCGTAAGGGGGGCGGAAGTACAGGGGCTTGACGCCGAGGATCTTGATGAAGGCCGTCTCGACCTTCTCGAGCTCCTTGGAGATGTAGTCGTAGGACTTGCCCTTGAGGTGGGCGTGGGACCAGGTGTGCGAGCCGAGCGTGTGGCCGCGGTTGAACATCTCCTTGACCTGGTCGGCGCGGTCGTAGATGCATCCGTAGTTGTTTCCATTCAGGAAGAAGGTGGCCTTGCTGCCCTTGCTCTCAAACTTGTTCATGATGTCGCTCTCCCACATGTAGGGGCCATCTGGAGCGTCAGCATTGTTGCTGTACAGGACGGGACAGCATGCATGCAGACTAGCCCGAAATAGACGGATCCGGTGGGTGCACTGAGTGCGGATCGTCATCCCCCAAATTCAGGCACCGCGCGGAGCGAACCAGGGAGGGCCGTGCGCCAGTGGCCGTGGCTCTGGTGCCTCGCGCCCTGGGCGCGCGCCGTCTGGGCCCGAGCCACTAGGCAGACGGCTCGGTGCTCTGTTTACGCGCTCCTTCGAACCACCACCGTTGCTGCAGCGTACTCACCGTCAAAGGTCCAGGCAACGGTGCCAGACTGCTTGCAGTTCTCGACGACCTGGACACCCTCGGGGCAGGGCGCGGCCGCGGAGAGAGTCGCGAGGACAGCGAGAGCGAGCTTGACGAGCATTATGTGTAGTGAAGGTTAAGGGGTCGTTAAGGATTAGGAAGTAGGCGTGTAGCAAATTAGACAGTCGTGAGGTAGTCTGTGGTCGTCGACAGTGGTTGTCGAGGCTGTCGAAGTAGTGTCGAAGTGGTCGAAGGTGGGAGGGGGGGTCAGTTGAAGGATGGAGAGGGAAGAGGACCTGGGCGGTTTCTTATAAACACGAGGGAGGACGTAGGTTCCGAACTCGGCGAGGAGCGACCAAGCACACAGTACCCACACACCCACAAACCCACACGGCCAGTTGAGCCAGGAAGCCAGAGAGAGACTGCAGAGACCCAGCGCGATCAGAGACGAGTGGTCGAGGATCGAGTAATTCAAGGAAGTCTCTGCCGATGAGAGTGACGGCAGGGCGTACAGGGCAAGCAAGGCGTCAGGTCCCTCAGGCTCTCAGGTCCCCCGGCCCTGGCCAAGTCCCTGCTCAGGGCATGCGCACTGGCACCAGTCCTCCTTGTCTCTGATGCCACTGGCATGCGTCTCTAGTGCCCCCACAGCCTTGCTTGTCTGCATGTCTAGCCCAGCCCAGCACTCTCAGCACCAGATGCAGGCGGCGCAAAGAGCGGAGGGTCCGGAGGCACTGACAAGAAGAGAAGGAGTACGCAGCTACCAGTACGGACTGGATATACCCGGAGAACAACTTTGTCTGTCAGTTACATCGCAGTAGCTCCGATCTCCCCAGCGTTAGCGCCCCGAACGAAGGATGTGACACAGCGCATGCAGCGCAACGGCGAACGCGGCGTAAACCTCTGATCAGGCTTCGGAAGCGATCACACCGCAGCGGCAGAACAGAGCACATGGTCAAGCGTAGGTGGACGATGGACGACGGGCCACGGCCAGAAGACTGCAGATCCACCGGCGCAGACGCTAGTCTCGCCAGAGAACCACAATGTCTGTGCTTCGCTGCGCGTATGGGCGCTTATGGGCTTCTTCGGACCGAAGTACGGCGCCCGCTGAGAGGGTGTGACCAGAACGATCGTACGCGATCGTTGACGACGAGGGTCTCGAGATCGCTGTGAACTGCGCTGCATGTCTTTCGGCTCTCACTAGCTCACTGCCTCTGAACTCTGTCCTGGGGCTTGGCACTGGCGTGAAGCTGCATTCTGCGCACTGCAGGCAGGTCGTAAAAGCGTTCCGGTCGAGACCGGAGCCGCTGGCAGTGAGGCGCGAAGCGGCCAGCGACAACGAACCAACGAGCTCGCATACTCTCATTCGCACCCCGGCGCGAACGCCCTCGGCCAGTCTCGCTCTGGGCTGTCTGGGGCGCCGTCTACCAGGGCGCGACAATCCGGGGGCGCGGGGGCGCACGAACTGCAACCTGCAGCCGCCCTCCGCAGATGCAGAGCCTGCCGAGCATGCAGAGGGATCCTCGGTATGCCGTACCGTGGGTTCGGAGTGCGGAGCCAGCGTTATCCTGTGAGTCCTGCGTATCCTGCGGAGCCGAGCGAAGACCCTCAGCACAGCCATGAGATTCGGGTGAGTGGGTCGAGCCTGGCGCCTCTGACTTCATCATGGACAACCCGTATTACATTCTTCCCACTTGATTTGCACAGCGTATTACAGGTTCACACAATGACTACTCTTGTCGAGTGGGGTGTGGACGTGTTGGACAGTGAGAGCGTATGATGTAAACAACCCTCCTTTGTTTTCGCAGGCTCTGTACACTTGCAGTGACGACAACTGGGTGGTCGAAACTCTACATCAAAACCGCTCAATCGCTCAATTCAATCAAGATCCGTAAGTCTTTTGAACGTCTTAGGGACTGATAAGGGTTCTGGGGATGAATGAATGGAGCTCTGCGGGCCTGAATTTTCGACCACTCGAAGGGGGACGAACGTCCAATGGCGCCCACCCTTGTGCTTACTTTCCCCGTCTCTTCCGTCTCCTCCGTAAGTGGAGGGTCTGCCGTAGGGGTAGCAGGAATGCAAGCGAGCGGTAGCGAATGCTCGCGAGGTGAGAGCGAGGGCAGTGATGCGCCGTCGGATCCGTACACGGCTTAGTCGGGTTCCTGACACAACCTGACATCGAGCACGCTCTCACGTCCACACTCCGTAATGCCAGACGAGGCGTCGCAAGTTCATCTACCACTCTGCATCCGAACTCTACTTGACATTTCTGTGCGCGTTCTATTTTCAGCGCCGTTTACGTTTTGTTGCTCGGACACATTCTTTACCCCTCAGATACGCTGATGGACGGATCGTATCGAGATCGCAAGAGAAGATTAATGTATTTGTGTGGGGGAAGTTGGAGGGGAAGATCCGAGAAACCGGAACAGAAGCAAGGTTGGGCGCACGAGTTTCCCAAGATGCGGAGTGGTCGGGTGCGGATATCGCCTGATGGGGTGTCCCACACTCACGCTCTCACCATCTTCGAACTTTTTTTGGACCAGTAACGATCTGTGAACCATCGTTGCCGGCGCACCCCAAAGCTGCGAGACGTAAGCAGAAGCGCACGCTGAGGGCATCACCCCGGCCCACCGGCGACCGGCGGTCCGGCCAGGCCCTTCCTTGCTCCATTCATTAACCGACGTACATGTCACTCACAGTTGCGTATTCATGAACAGCGGTGTCGTAACTCTATGTGCGTCGAATTCTTCCACTGTCAATATTTGGTTCCCTTTGGCTCATTGCCCACCTGTCCGAGCCTGCTTGAGCTTGGATATACCTGGTGTTAATGGGGACAGGGAAGAACCCTCAACCCCGAGTTTAATCGTAAAATCGTAACGGTTCAGTATGCTCACGGGCACTCGCATGAGCGCATGCGCACAGCTTATAGTCTAATAAGGTTAGGATTGGGCTTCCAGTAATGTCCCCCTTCCTTCAATGCGGACCTTGGTGGGGACCTCATATTCACAATACCGGATCATTTGCCACGAAGTCCCAATCCCAGGACAGCCAAATATTCTGACTTCCTCAACCTGACAACAAACGCAGAAACTCGAGAGTGCCGTGAGAGCTCACGAGTGTGAGTGAGAGAAAAGCCACAGATGCAGACGAATGCCTCGAGCCTGCAGCAGCTTGGCTCATGACGTCGAGGCACTTCCGACTCACTCAGGTCCGAGGCACGAGGCACCGTGGAATTCGTTCCTGACAGCCTGGAGGCTCTCGGCAGAGCTTCGTCAGAGCTTGGTCAAGATGCAAGACACATGTTCGCACTACAACTTTGAGCGAGCCCCACCCCACTCGCCAGGCGCTGCCCGGCCTGACCGGAAGGCACAACGGCACGAGGTCTAGGTCACGAGTACCGACTTCGGAGGGAGAACCCTCGACCCGTCAGCGAAGTGTTCATAAAGGCGGTGCTGAGCACGGGTCTGCGTTATGGAGAGAGTGCGGGGCACACGACTGGGGAAAGGACATGTCTGCGTATCTCCAGGGTGCTCGTGATCGGGCTTGGCATCACCGGTCCGTTTCGAACAGAGGAGAGGAAGAGGTGAGGTCAGTCACCATGAGGCTGCATGGACCTTTGAAGCCCGCACCAGCACTGTTGGGAACCGCTCGGCGTTCCTCGTCTTCGGCGCGGACACGAAGTACTGCAGGTACTGCAGGTACTGCAGTGTAAACTCCGCAGGCCCGCTTGGCCGTCGTCAGTCCCGCTCGGTCGGTATGCTCGGCGTCCTCGGCACGCTGGGCGTCTTGGCCTCCTCTCCACGCTTCAAGATCATCCAGAGGCATCACAAGGCGGACCCACGGGGCTGTGCTCCATCTGCCAAAACCTCTGGCCGAACTGTGATCCGAGACCGACGAAACCGACCAGGACCCACTGATACCTGTGCGGCGTACTCGGCGACTTTGATGAGGAACGCAGGAACCAGCACTACATGAGAGGAACGTGAGAGGAACATGAGAGGGTGTTACATGTGACCTCCCGCTGACTCAACATTTCTCGAACTCCCAGACCCTCAGAACCCCAACTTCACTGGGGCTCCGGAACTTACGAGGATAACGAGATTTTCTCCTCACGTCGCCTCCGCCTGGGGCGTCGTGGTCGGAGCCGACGCAGCCGACAGCTTGTGGCTTTTGCGTTGATGCTTTTGTGTTCAGCGACCGACCGCGAAGCTCAGCTTCCAGACCAGCGGTTGAAATGACTGTGGCGGCTGCACGGTCCGTGTTACCGGGTCTGCGCGTCGGACGGGCAGTAACGCTCGGTCTCGGGCGGGGTGGCGGTGGTGCTTGTCTCTCCGTACGTCCGTGTGGCTTGGGGTGTTCCGCGGTTGTTCTCTGCTCTGTTCGGACCCCTTGGCGTCGTTTTCTTCCCCACTGGCTTGAAAGTGGGCGCCGCGGACAGAAACGCACAGACATTTCAACTTCATTCGCCGTACTGGGTCTGCTGGAGTAACGCTCCTGTGTTCCTACCGTACCTCGTTTGTGCTCGTGGCGTCCCGCTTGTGCTCGTGCCATCCCGTCTTGAGCACGCCGTCGTCGTACCGCTCCGTGCCACGCCGTGCCGGACATCTGCCGAGGACAACATCACGGTAGCGCCTAACGCTATCTCAGCATGTGCGGCGTGCTGACTCATGCCCGGAGGCTACGACGCTTCACGGCACCGTCGTCAAGGACGGGGGGCGGACATACCGGCGGCATGTGCTCGGACGGGACTGTTCCGGTCGTCAAGCAAAAAAGTTGGAGAGACATGATGCATTGCGGGTCTGGTCTATTTCTGGCCATGCTCGGCCGTGCATGTATGTTGATGCGTTTGCTCGCTGGAGCGAGCTGGAGTTTTAGCGATGGAGCGATCTCAAGCGGACTCGCTCTCAATGACCGCTCTTGCGACGGGGCGCTTGCTTGGACTCGTGCGCTTCGCGCTACACAGTACAACAGCTTATCCCTCGAGCTCCTCCTTGGAGAGACCCTCGAGGGCGGCGTCCTCGTCGTCGCTGTCAAGGGCCTTCTCGGCCGCCTCCATGTCGGCGTCGACGTCGCCGTCGGCGGGCGCGGGCTTGTCACCCGGCAGAATGTACTTCTTGCTCGTCAGAGTCTGAAGAGCCGTCTCAGGAATGACACCTTCGGTACTAGTTTTTGTCAGCTCGATTAGCTGCGTAGTTGCAGTGAGTACTTACTTCAGGTACGTAAAGTCCTTGCTGCCGCTGCAGTCGATCTGGCGCACCCACTTGTGGAACCTGAGGTCAGCTCTCATACCAGGAAAGAAGCTTACGTGTTCTGCTCCAGCTCGAGCTCGCGGAGACGCTCGTAGATCCACTCGACCTTGAACTTGTGCATGACGTCCTCGTACTTGGAGAAGTCGACGAGCTCGCGCGGCTCGGCGCCGTGGTTCGGGAGCTTCTGCGCCTTGTCGTTGTACGTCTTGAACTGCGGCTGCTCGAGCAGAAGACCAAGAGGCGGGGCCTTGGGGATGTGGACACGCTTGTTCTCAAACGTGGCCGGGATGATCTTGGGCGGCGTGCCGGTGCGGGTAGCAAGGATGGCGAGGGACATCATCTTGCGCTGGGACGTCAGCTTACGAGACTTAAGACAACCGCCAGCTACACAGTGCTCTACTCACGATCTGGTGAAGCATGAAGCTCTGGCCGTGGATGCGGACCGAGATCCACTCAATGTCGCCGTAGACGGCGGGGTCGCGGACGTCGAGCGTCTTCATGTAGCGCTTGACAGTGGCATCCTTGAAGGGCTTGCCGACGGTGTAGTTGTGGAAGTTGTGCGTGCCCTGGTATTCGGCGATCATGTTGCGGAAGCGCTGCAGGGTGTCGGGGTCGATACGCCATCCGCGGCGGCGCTCAAACTCGCCGCGCGATTTGGGGTCGGCCGGGTCGCCTTCCTTCGGCTCGGGGATGGCGGGGGCGGCATCGACAAACTCGGCAGGCACCTTTACGACCTCGCGCCATCCGGGCGAGACCTTGTCGAGCTGCTCGGCGAGCGGGTCCGTCTTTGCCGGCGGGAGGAGACAGTAGGAAGGGAGAAGGTACTCGTACACGCGCGAGTCGCACGCGGTACGCGCCTGGAACGACTTCATGGCACGCACGAAACCCCACATCCGGATCTGCGCGGGGAGGAACGAGTTGACGTACTCCGTTAAGCTCGAGAAGCCCTCGGGGAGGGGAGGGTCGAGGATCATCTTGAGCGAGATACTGGGCGTCAGTTGGACAGCTTCTCGTGCAACTTACCAGTTGCCAGCGGCGTGGACGCCGGCGTCCGTCCTGGCAGCACGCTGAATGTCGACCTTCTTGTGGTCGGTCGCGTTCTCGGGGCTGATAGCACCGGCCTTGGCGAGCGCCTCGAACAGGTCTCCCTCGATGGTCTTGGATCCGTGGGTCTGGCTGTTGTCGTCAGCTCTGTTCCTGGTGGTGAGCCTTCCTCGCAACTCACATCTGCATTCCACTGTATCCCGTTCCGCAGTATCCGAGGAGCACAGCAGCGCGCTTCTTCGGGAGACGCTTCTCTTTCTCCTCCCCGTCCTCTCCCTCCTTCTTCGCCGGGGCGGTCGATCCGCCAGCAGCCGCAGCGTTCATGGCGGCCTCCTCATCGACCTCGCCGCGCGCCTTCCATCCGCCCTGGCGCTGTCCACGGGCGCGTCCCTTCTCCTTGTTCTTCTCGCGCTTCTCGCGCTGCTGCTGCTGGAACTTGCCCTTGCTTCCCTTTCCGCCCTTTCCGCCCCGCGAGTCGAAGAACTTGCCGCGCTTGTTGTCCGGCTTGCCGTCGGCGTCGGCGTTCATGGCGGCTTCGGGAGCGGCGGCGGGAGCCGCAGCGGGCTCCGCAGAAACCTCCGGCTTGACGTCGAGGACGGGCTTGGTGTCGGTGGCCACTTTCTCCTCGGACATGGCTGGATGCGGTGGATGAGGACGTCGGTGGACGACGAGGCGCAGGGAAGAGCAACTTTTCGATCTGCCGCAGACTGGGCAGCGTGACCCTCCCAAAAACATGAGAGGCTGTGGAGTCCCCGCGTGGGTGGAGGTCGGCCCACTGTCCGCGCGCTCGTCGTCCAGTCACCCAGACGTCACCTCGTGCACATGCATATCCATCTTTGCAACGGATGCGCGCTCTTGGCTACGCAACTTCCACGACAGCAAGCATGCCCGCCAATCCTGTCATAAAGAAGGACGACGTCAAGTTTGAGGACCGCACGCACTGGCTCAACAAGAGCGTCTCGTTCAAGCAGGCCCGCCTCGCCAACCAGGCTGGCATGTCCAAGAGCGCAGTGAACTTGAACGTTCTTGGACCCGACATGGAGTCGACTGTGAGTATGCCGCGGCAGCGATGAGGTGGGCGCCGACTGCCTATCGCCTTCCCTCGTCCTACAGTACCTGCTTGCGTGTTTAAGCCAGGCGTGGGGAACGATCAGGAGATCGTCCGGAGCCCGGGCAAAATGCCAAAAACGAAGCCTCGTATGGGGCTCGAACCCATGACTGTGTGATTAATCGGCTATGTTGCGTAAGAGTCACACTATCTACCGACTGATATAACGAGGCTATTGGAAATTGTTAAAAATGCACGGGCGCAGCGCCCCGAGTGCGCCTGACTCACCTCGCTCCGTTAATCCTCTCTTCTTCTCTGCGCCCTCCTTGCCTTCGCTGCTCTACCTAAGCGCAAGCTGTGCACATCGGCTTTCCAGCTGACAATCACAGGAAATGCACGCGCACTCCTCAGCCGAAGAATGGCTCTACATCATCCGCGGCAGTGGCACGCTCTTCCTCATTCCGCCGGGTCCCTCGCCTCTCTCAACGAAGGACGACCCAGACGCAGCGAGCAAGATTCAGGAATGTACCCTCGAGCCGGGCGACTTTGTCGGCCTTCCTGTGCCGCAGCAGTGGGCGCACACCCTGAAGGCGGGCAAGGGGGGGATCGAGTACCTCGTCGGCGCCAACTGCTACGATGCCGGTGTGTGCCAGTATCCTCTGTGAGTTGTTTCCATTATCTCTGTATTTGCCGAGCCGGCGTGGGACACGAGTTCAAAGCTACAGAATGTGCAGAGGGGAAGGGCAAGCTGACACTACAGGAAGAACAAGACCCTCATCATCGCCAATGTGCAGAGGGTTACTTGCGACACGGACGCGTTCCAGGGCGGGTGTTGCAAGTAAATCCGCCACGCTTGCCAGCGCGATAGTTTGTATATGCCGGGTGCCGAGTACGCAGGGAGTGAGGGATACGCAGTGTACACGGCAGTCGGGAAAAATCAGAAGCTAGTGGCCAGTTAACGTTATGTGACAAATGTAAGATGTTGCAAGTCATGAGTGGTGGTACTACAGACCCAGCAAGTGCCACTCGCCAGATTATGCTGTCCAGCTGTGTAAACGGCTGCGCCTGGTTGAGAGCGCTGGCTGTACTGTTTGCAAGCCCCACAGGGCTGCGTGCACACCACGCTGCCGCCGGCGTCGTTGCGGCACTGTCACTCATCACTGCAAGAAGGGCGGATAGTGGAGGCGGAGCCACAAACGCCTCGTGCGGCTCCTCGGTTCGCCGGACCGGCCATCCTGCGCTGCCAGCCACCCGGATCCGTTGCTGCCATCCGACTGGCTCGCCCCTCATCCCAGCCCTCCCCCCTCTTGAGCGCCTGAGCATGCCGAGAAGCCGTGCAGTCCAGACCACGGCCTATCGCCCCTACACTCGCCCTCATGACTAATGCAAATGCATGCATACAATACTTCACAACAAATACAACCTAAGATGTCCTTCGCCCCCCTCCCACTCACGCTCCTCGTGCCCACGTGCTATGTACTATATGTTTTATGTTTAGATGTCGTCAAAGTCGAGGAACCGCTCCTCGTCCAGGTCGAGGTGCATGCTCTGCGTGACGCGTGCGCGGCGCGCCTTCCACGCCGGCCCGCGGCTGTTTCGCCTCGTGCTGTATGCGCTGATGGCGGTGAGCTTGAGCTGTGCCTCCTCCCGTGCGCGCTCGCGCTCCCTCTCCCGCATCATTGCGGGACCTATTGAGAGGCTCTCAATCGATGTCGGTGACAGCGACCCGCTGTCGCTTACCAGGCTGCCCGGGGAAGACTGCTCGCTGCTCGTCGGGGTCGGGGTCTCCACCATGCTTAGCGTCGAGCCGCGGCGGGGCGGACGCGGCGGGCGGACAGTGAACAGGTCACCCGGAGCGTCACGCGGCGCACTCCGGTACGGAAGGAGGATCTCGGGCGGCTCCTCGCCCGAGACGCTGGGTGCGGCGGACGGTCGCCGAGACAGGGGCAAGGGTGGTGGTGGCATCTCGAGCGAGTAGCGGTTCGAGGTGCGCGAGTCACGACTCGAGTCGCGCTGTGACGAGCGCCGCTCCAGACCGCGGCTGGACTCACGAGCCGAGGACCGCCGCTCCAGCGTGCGGTTCGGCTCCCAAAGGGTCTCCTTCGCTCCGCCCATTCGGAGCTGCGCAGGCTGACGGAGGCACGACGTTGTCGGCAGGTCCTGAAATAGGAGTGTCGCATCCGGCATGGAGTGCCGGTGGCTGTGTGACCGCATCAGCCGGCGACTTGTAGGCGTCGGCGACGGCGGAGCGAGATGATGGTGGTGGTTCGAGGACGTCGGCGTTGAGCTGCCCGGCGTCCCTCGTGCGGAGCTAGAATGTCCCGGCGTACCCCGATTGCTACGCGGGGTCGCTGGTGATAGCAGGCGAGGAGGCGTACCTGGTTCAGGTGCCTTGCCCTCGAGCTGGGAGAGGGTGCGTAACCGTGCTCGTAACGTGTCAGAGGGGTTGGCCGTGCTGTTCCGGCGAGAAGGCGTCGTGGGTTCTTGAGACATGGTCGCCAATGCCGCTACATCCGAGACCGACACTGAGGCTGGAACAGGGAGCGGGGTTGGTTCGCCATGCAGACTTGCAAACGAACCTCGTCGCGACAGACCAGGTGACGCTGGTGTTCCGAATGAAATGGTGGCTCGGTGTCGTAAGGAACCAGAAGTCGTCTGCGACACAAATTGACCAGCAATCGTCGCATTGGACCCCCGCCTCGAGTGCGTATACGTGGTGGGCGGCTCCACAACCCATGTCCGGCCCCTCTGCAACTTGGGTCGCTCGGGAGGATTGTCGTCGTTGTCTTCTGCTAATGTCGGAAGGGACAGAGCACTGGTTGAGGTCGTCATCGAGTCTCGGCGAAGTTCGATCGGGCGCTCGAGCCCCCTCGACGCTGAGGAATGGTAGTCACTGCGGTACTCCCTGGATGTCGCCAAGGTCGCTGTACTCTGGGAACGTCTGTGCGTCGAGCGTCGCCGTGTACTGCTGCTCGAAGTGTCGAGCGTGAGTGCGCCAAACTCCCATAGAGGCTCCTGCTGGGGTTCGAGCGCGGCTGCGGTGGAGTTTGTCGTAGCCTCGAGGGGAGAGGCTGTCATCGGGTGTGCGAAATGCGGGAACGGGGGAAGTGGGAGGGCGAGCTGCTGGACCCGGCCGTCAATGCTCTGTGGTCGGGGACGTCCTCTCGACGGGGACGCCGGGCCGTTCGATGCACGAGACGATGGCCGGCTCGGTGGGTAGAAAACTTGGGGCGATGTGTCTGGTAGTAGATCCAGGACGCTTGGAAGCGTCGGAAACGAGAAGCGCCCCATGGCTAGGCGGGACGGATAGTCTGCTTCTTGTCGCTAACTTGGGTCGGTGTCAGCTTGTCGTCCCGATATGCGGAGAGAACAGTGAACATAGGTGGAGCCAGACGTACCTTGTGGTGACGACGGTGACGGTGGTGAGAAGAGCAAAATTGTCGGAGGGGATGACGGACTGATGCGGATGAAGCTTCGTAATGCGTTGCCGACTTGCTGCGATCAAAACAAGTCGACGGTCTGTGCGGCAATTGATGGCCAGGAGAGGTGTTTGGTGTATTGTGTGGCTGCACCGATCCTCCGCCGCCGTTACAAGTCGTATTGCCCAGAACAGTATGTATGCGATGCGGTGATGCCGGTGCTAGTCGGAGAGAGCAAAATGCAATGCAATGCGAGATGTGTTGTTGCAGTAGAGTCTTGGTCGGTCGCTCGGTCAGTGGTGCTGGATTTGTTTTGAACCGGGGAGCGAGTATCCAAATTGAGATCTGATGGAGGCGATCGGAGTTTTGGCGACGACGAGTTTTGTGCAGATGGGTGGGCCGAGGCTGTGTGTTGGGTGCGGGGAGAAGAGAGAGTGCGAGGTGGGTAAGGTGGGGATAGAGATGGCGAGGAGGCGAGAAGAGTCGACGATCAACAAGGGAGCGCCATGGCGTTTTGTTGTTAGGGAGGAAAGACGAGGGATTGCTGTGCTGGGGATGAGGATGTTGTGGTTAAGTGAGTGACTGGCCTGCGTGGTTGTGTAGCGAGGAGAGGAGGGGGGGGGGGATGCCCGCATATCGACGTCCCGCAGTGCAGAGCTCGCGTACAGAGGGGTATGCCGTAGCGTCGTTTGGTTTGCCGGCGACGCCCGCAGAAGAACGCAGGCGCAGGAGAGTGCACTGCAGCCATGCAGCGCTGTAGCGCAGGGCCAAACGGCAAAGGGTGCGCGCGCAAGGGTCCGAGTCAGCCAACCCGGGCAACGCGAAAAAGAAGACAGGCGCGTCAAGAAAAGACCCACCATACAACCCGGCCGACTCGTGACTGACTTTGACTTTTCCTGCCCTGACTCACCCCGCCCATTGTGTCATGTCTGCGGGTCGTCTGCCCTGCTGCAAGCCCTGGTTGTTGGCTGTGCTCGATCTGCCCTCGTTCTGCCTAGTGCCTCCAGTTGCAGGTGTGCTGCACTATTTGGTTCCAGGATCCAGCGCCGGCTCGTCCATTGGGACGTCCAGCTCGCCCAGAACAGAAATATTCTGCTCGAACTCGGCACACGCATACTGCCTCTCCATTCTGTCGCGCGTGGCAGCATGCTGTCACTCTGCCCGGCGTATGGCCCTAACCCCTCTTCGCCACTGCCGGACCCTTCACTTGCCTCCCTCCAATCCTCATGAGACTCTCCGACGGGCCAACAAGACCGCCGTTTCTCGGCTTCCGAAACGTGCTACAGCCGCTCGAGAGCCGTGCACTTTCCACCACCCGCTCATGACGCTCAGGTTTCATGGCCCACGAGCCCACGACTGAAAGGTGCCGGAGTGCCCCGAAACACACCGGTACGTAAGAATCTCATGTAGGTGTTCCTTGGGACAGGACTTGCAGGACGCTGGCGCAGTCGAAAGCGCAGCGAAACAGAGCACCCCAGAAGATTGCATGACGTCTCTAATGAGCTGACGAGGGCCTCTGACGCTCGCTACATGCATGACCCATGTCCTGAGTTTGAAGTGTTGATCATGTAAGCGCCTGTTCCTTGAGCCTCCGGATTTCACGAACCTTTGTGTCCGGATGGACGGGGTGTCGTCGTACGTCGTCAAGTGTCGGCCGAGGGTAACATGCTCTGCACTGCTCCCCCTTCTGTCTGTCACCCAGTACCTTCCAGCGTGTCGGCGTGTCACAAAACCGGGTGTGCCGGATGCACAAGGTGTTCTGTGCTCATGTAACTCAATTGTCACCGGCCGACTGAATTGGAGCATGCCATCTCGGACACACCATGCGTACGTTATTGCAGCCTGATGTCCGGTCGTTTGCAGGTTTCATGACTCAATGCAATGTGGCTCGAGTGGCTCATGGCACAAGCTGCTGTCACGAGCTGTCATGGAAGTCCCACTCGGGCCCACTCGACATGAGACATGGCAGTTCTGATCTGCAGAGCGCTACGTGGACATCGTGGAATCGCGGCCATGAAACCCCCCTTGGCGCCGGCGATCCGCTACTCTTCCGCGCTCCTCATCGAGAGCTAAGATCGCTTAGACTCTGTGAAGTTTGCCTCGTCTCGGACCGCTCGTAAGTTTTGAGTACCGGCTCGGTTGGAAAGTCAGTCGCGTACAGACTGCGCTAGCCTATGATCTACCCTTTCTCGCTTGTTTTTGCACCCGGAAGTGCAATCTTAGGCTCAACGGCAGCAGGAGAGTTGAGGGGGTTCGCAATGTCGGGAGGCTGGTCGTCGGGTTTGGGCCAGGTACACTAGGTACGCTTTCATGTTTGCAGCGAATATGGCGTTCATCTACCGAAGCCTTGCGGACAAGGTTCCGAGGTGATGATTGGATCGGTGCGTGCGGCATCTTCACTCCCTCGCTCGCTTCGCGGAGCAGCGTGTAGCACGTGAAGCACTGTAACCAAGAGGCAACGACGCACTGAGTCTCTGATCGGGCAAGGCACGCATTGCTGCAATTGAGTGATGGCTGCGAGATCGGCCCAGCGGCATTCAGTCCGGGATGTGGCTCGCGTAAGAGTTGTATTGATCACGAAATCAGTCGCGCATGGCTTACCTCAGGGTTCCTGGTCGACCACGAGACAATCGCGTGCGTTGTTTGATCGTCAGTGAAAATGCCCGATGCCCGAGGTCTGGGTGCTTTGGCTGACAGAGACGTGAGTGCGGATTGCGGAATGTGCTAGTGCGGAAGAACGCTGACGTATCCGCAGTCATTTCTGCATGCTTGGAATTTCTCAGCCAGCGATGGGCCTGCATACGCAGATCAAACGAAAGCCCTGCACACAGACGGACATGTGTATGTAAGCTGTGGAATACCGAGTCCGTTATCTAACCGGTGCCGGTCAGGAACGGAGCCGCGGCAATCATGGGGGCTTACTAAATGCGTGAGGAGTTGCAGAGCAATGGAACAACGTCAGAAGGCACTCGATGGAGCCCGATCACCCCCCATGACAAAGGTTGCCCGCAGACACCGCAGACACCGCGCTCCAAGGGGTGGTATATAATGCATCATCCGCCGATCTTGCAACCATTCCCACCACGAACGCCACCAACATCACAGACACCGGTATCGACGTCGTCGACCGATCGCGACCACACCAGCACAAGCACAAAAGCGTATCCCCGAAACGCACTCTAGCGACACTCCTCGTCTACCTCTTCCTCACCATACTCTTCACGAAAGCACTCAGAATGTCCGCCTCCGCTGCAGCCACCGGCGCCGCGAACGGCGCGCGCAAGCTCCGCGTCGACATCACATCCGACACGATCTGTCCCTTCTGCATCCTGGGCGTTCGACAGCTTCAAGTCGCGGCCGAGAACTACAAGAAGACGCACCCCTCTGCGCCCGAGCTGGACGTGCACTTCCACCCCTTCCAGCTGGGCGGCGGGGGCAAGTTCACCGAGAAGCCCGTCAACAGGCGCGAGTACATGGCGAACAACTATGGAGCGGAGCGGTCCCAGGCCTTTGCCCAAAACTTTGACCGTCAATACAAGGCCCTCGGGCTTGGTGGCTTTGCCTCGGACGCGCAGCTGGCCAGCTCGCACCTCGGACACCGCCTGACTGCCTATGCCGAGGACAAGAAGCCCGAGGAGGCTGCCGGCGTCGCTCTCGACCTCATGAAGAACTACCAGGTCGACGGACACTCGCCCTCGGACCGCGACCGCCTCGCGCAGATCGCCGTCAGCCACGGCCTCTTCCCCACCGAGCAGGCGGCCAAGGACTGGCTCAACGGAAATGAGAAGGACGCCGAGGTCCGGGAACAGTACAAGGACGCCGTCGACAGCGGCATCACCGGCGTGCCCTTCTTCGTGTTCGACAAGAAGTACGCCACGAGCGGAGCCGTCGGAGAGGACCAGTTTGAGAACATCCTCGACCAGGTCATCAAGAAGGAGAACCTGTAAATTGTAGCTTAAAAGGACAATGTATTCATGCCCAATAGCGGCGACTGTAGAATCTAACCAAAGCGCAAATGCACATGCAGGGATGCGGGGCGTTGCGGAGTGAGAGACTGACAGACCATGCATACGCCGAGAACTCACGGGCCGGGCGTTGCGGTAATCTGATAGCACAGGCCCGGATGCCAAGGCACGTTTCGGCCGACTCCGGCAACTTGAGCCGCAATCGTACCAGCGAGGCGGGTCATTGCATCACTAACGCATCGTCTTCTTTCTCTCTTTGTACAAGCATCGCCCCATCTCTATTCTACACCCAAAACGTCCTCGTGCCATCCGTGGACCACCTCTCTTGACCGCATCCTGCCGTACCGATCACTCTAGCCAGCATGACCTTCTCCCCCGAGATCGTGTCCCATGCAACCACCCACATGAACGAGGACCACGCCGACGGCAACCTGTACATCGTCCGCGCGTTCGCAGACGAGGGCGCCAAGTCGGCAACGATGACGACGCTCGACGGCGAATCGGGAACCTGGTCCTACGTCGCGGCCGACGGGAGCGAGAAGACGGCCACGGTACCCTGGCCCGCGGGCCCGATCAGCGAGCGCATGCAGATCCGCGTCCAGGTCGTGGCGCTGTACAAGACGGCGTGTGCCAAGCTCGGCGTGGACGTGAAGCCGCACCCGCAGAACTAGAATGTTAAGAGTTCAGCGGCCGCTTGTGACGACTCGAGGTCGTTGATGGGACGCTGAGGAGGGATCGATCCCTGGACCACGACGCAAGCCACCCCGCGACCTATCCCGAGGACACATGTAAGACCCCTCGGTACCCGACGCCGAGCACGCAAAGAAAAGACACTTTTGGGACAACATGTACATAGCATATAGTAGCGCGTCATGCAAGCAAGCATAGACTGCATCGATTCTTACACAGCAGCATACGGCATACGTAGCAAGGAGCACAGATCTCGCTGATGACTACACAGATGTTCTCGGTCGCGCGGCCGCGGACCCCGGTCTCCACACCCCGACCCCAACACACTCCCATCTAGTCCATACTGTCCAAGCTGTCATCCGACGCAGAGTCAGATTCCTCCTCGTTCACATCCAGCGGGGGCTCCTCGCCCCTCTCCTCCCTCGTCTCAGCTTCAGCAGCCCGGTCCCGCGCCTCGCGCTCGTTCTGTCTCGCGATTGCCCCGCGCTGAGCGTTCACGTTGCCCGCGATCTTGACTGGTCGCCCGTCGGGCGTCGTCTCTGGCGCGTGCTGCACGCGGATGCGCTCGATGGCTGTCCAGATGCGTTTGTCCCATTCGAGCCAGTCTTCGAGGGCCTGGGTGTCAGCTAAAGTATCAGGGTGAGACGTAACTAGCTGCGTTCGAGGCTTGAGCGTTATGAAGACTCATTGCCCGCGCATCGCCCTCGCAGTGCTCGCTGCAGACGCCGCTGTCGCTTCGCTCCAGCGCGCTGAAGTAACTCACCTCCTCTGCTCCATCTCGCAGCGTCGCCTCCGTCTCCCACGTATCCTGCTCTGGCGGCCATCCCTTCCACCGCACCCTAAACAACCTCCCGCGCTTCGCGACCACACGCTCAATCTCATACACGTCCTCGCCCTGCTCGCTGATCGCGCCATCGAGCGTATCCTCCGCAGCAGTCGCCCACGGCGCCTCGCTCGAGTTGCCGACATGTCGCTCCTCCGCCGCCCAGGCCGCGTGGGTGCACCCCTCAGTGACAGCGGGATCGTAGCGGGGCATGGGCAAATCCGCGAAACTCTTCAGTTTCGGCTTGCCCCTCCGCCTCCCCTCGCCCATATACGCATTCACGTACCGGTGCGCCCAGCACAGTGCGTTCTCAACGTCGAGCACACGCATGCCCGGCCGCAGGCCGTTCTCCCACTCGTGCGGCGCGTCCTGTCCCAGACGGGCGTAGTATTTGAACTGCTGTTCCGTGAGCCACTTGAGGCCCGCGTCCTCCATCTCGGCGTTGGAGATGCAGGGGCCAAAGATGCGCCGCAAGTAATTGCGACTTCCCGGGCCGCAGGTCGCAAAGTCGCGGTAGAGCCAGGTGAATTGTGGCGTGTCGTTGAGGAAACAGAGAATGTTCAACGACAAAAAGCCGCCAAGCGTCGGAATCGTTTGCAGGACGTTGGACGCGTCCACGGCGAAGCGGCACGATTTCAGCTGTGCCGGTAAGCCGGATTCCATCATGGCCATGACTAGGCGCAGCGACGCGGCAAAGTTGTATATGTTCTTGTCCCGGTTGCGGTTTAGCGCTGGGTCAAAGTAGACGGTGGGCGGGACGAGCTGGAATCCGCCCAGGTAGATCTTCTTCTTCTGCTTGATGCTCAAGTCGTGCAGCGCGCTCTCCATGGCTGGCAGATCTTTCTCAAACGTCTTCCAACTGGGCACGTCCCCGGTTGCAGCTTCGCAGAGGGCGGCCCACGAGTCGGCATTGTAAAACTGGCAATAAAGGAATACGCGGACTGTCATTAGCTCAGTCTAACCTCCTCATAGCGTAGAAGTTTACTTACAGCACACCTCGTCCACGCTCTGATCGCCGTCGGCAATGATCTTGTCCCGCATCATGATAGAGCTCGGGTCCAGCTGCCTGAACACATTCCCGATATGCACCGCGCTCATGGTCGGGTCGGTCGTGAGCTGGTCGCGCGGCACGCCCGCCTTGCGGCGGTAGTACATCTCGTGCCGCTCCGCGCAGAAGCGGTAGAAGAGGTACACCCAGTGGTTGTCCACGACGACGGGGAGGGGATCCTCGAACCCTTGCACGTGCAGGTGGGAGTTCTCGTACTTTCGCGAGTCGACTAGGCCGTCTGCGCCGGGTTCCGGGGTGGGTTCGCCGACGATGAGCGGCTCGGGCGAGGCTGCGTCAGAGTCGACCACTATAGGCGCAGCGTGATCCTCGTATTCCGACCCTGAATCCACTGTCACCGGGGCGACCTTGCGCTTCTTGGACGAGGAGGGCGTCGTGCTCTGCGAAGTCTTGACTGTCTTGGGCGTCTGGGATGCTCGAGATGTTCTCGCCGCCTTCGTTGGTCGGGGCGTCGCCTGCGGGGTAGACTGCGCGGAAGTCGCCCTTCTCCGTTTCGGAACGGGGCTCCCAGGCTCACTCTCAACTCCCAGGTCGGCCTCAACGTCGTCCTCGTCCATCGCCTCCTCCACGTCCTCCTTGTCATCCTCCTCCTCCGATTCATCCTTCACATCCTCTTCATCGTCCGAGGACTCAGGCGTGATCCGGAACTCGGCGGCATAATCGACGACCGCCCTGTGACGGCCACTCGTCCGCCGCTCTGGCTCTGGCTTCACTTCAGGTGGAGGGAGTCGGGTACTCCGCCGCCGGGCCGTATCCTCGCGCTTCACCTCGGGCGAAGCGACCTTGCGCTGGGGCATCGAGACTTCGAGCTCGAGCTTGACGGGACTCTGGGCTGCTCTCCTCTTCGTGCGCATGCTGGTAAAGAAGCAAGATGCTAGAGGCAGCGCAATGCAGGTAGATGCTGGTGAGTAGGAGGTTAGTTGGGTGAAATGAGCAAGTGGGGAACGCGAAAGTGAGTCTGGACGGATGCACCTTCCTTCCGCTGGGCGTAAGTGCCGATCTTATCTTGAAACTCGGTTAGGCACGCCTCGTGGTCCACCCCTCCCTTTGCCTTTGCGTGGTGGACCGGTGGAGATCGTGTGAAATAGGGGGAAAGGAGGAATAGTATGCATAGTGTGCATGCCCCAGATACCAGCGCGGCCTGCTCTGCATGCATACACTCTCCGTCGAGGGCCAAGCTGAACAAAAGGCGCAGCGACATTGGGCGAGTCACCGCAGGAGAGTGCGGGGCACCAACTTCCTCCCACCGTGAGCCTCGGACACTGACGCAACCTCGTCCTTGTCTCTCCTCCTCTTGCTCTCCACTCATCTCTTCGACCAGAAATCACCATGTCGTCGCCCATCATCCAGCGCCTCGGGGGCCAAGACCCCGTCATGCTCGTGCGGATCGCGGCGGTGAGTACATAGACCCCGCGTGGGAAGAATGATGAACGCCGCGACTGATGCCAGGCAATCTCGCTCATGGCCGCGGGGACGCGGGACTATGGCTACAACTTTCCCCTTTTCGTGTGTATCACCACCCCTCTGTTCTCCACTTCTCGTCCTTGACCTGGACGTACAGTTGTGGAAAGCTTCACTCGAGTCCGGCTTAGCTGACCCCAGCTCTTCGGCCTCGTCTCCTTCGAGCTCCCCAGCACCCAGTGCCTGCAGTTCTTCCTCTCGATCGTGCTCTTCAGCGGCGTGTTCGACATCATCTTCATCATCGGCGGGATGCGGGGTGCGCACGTCGTGCTCGGCGTCATTCTCGCCTTGCTCAAGGCGCCGATCTACTTCTCTGGTCTCGCTGCCCTGCGCGACAGGGGAGGAGATCTCGCCTGGGCCAATCGCGGATTCATGGGCAGCTTTGGCGGATTCGCCGGTGGACAGTCTCTCCCCACTCAGGCTCAGCCGGGGCAGACGGGGGCGCAGAACCGCCCGCCTACGGCGCCGACGCCGCCCGGCTCTTTCCCTTCTGGCGGATACCGACTTGGCGGGGACGATGGGCCGAGCCAGCAGCCCAAGGGCCGTGATGGCTATGAGGCCATTGCCTAATCGCCTACCGGGCGTAGTTAGATATTGTTACATGCAGAATTGTGGTTTGCTCTACAATCGCCGAAGCGAGGACTCGCCCAGCGTTCTATGTTACATGCCGCGGCTGCGCTCCATGGCCGCGCTCGCGTCGAGGACCTCGCGCACGTCGCTCGAGCCCATGAAGTCGACGTGGTCCAGCGTCTCGTCCTTGCCCTGCAGGACCTCGAGGGCGACATTGTGCGAGCCGCCGAGCGGGAGGCCGTACGGCGTCGCATCGAGGAGGACGGGGTGGTGAGCAGTCTGATGTCAGCTCCCATGCAGGTGACGCAGCTTACCTCAGCAGCAAGCTTGACCTCCATCGTCTGTCGGAGGGGGACGGCGAGGCCAAAGTTCTCGCGCTGCATGGTTGCGCGGCGCTGCGCCTGGGTCTGCTCCCACTGTCGTCAGCTTCACACCACGACTGGAGCAGCTGGGGAGGTCTGGTTCAGCACGCAGCATCGAGCACCCTGCCGTTCACAGCTCGTGCACACCGCTGCCAGCTCCCAGACGCAACTCACCTTCTCGAGACGGGCCTGCAGAGCGCTGACATTGCCAGACGCAACCTTCTGGGCCGCCGAGGAAGGTCCGTGGCGAAAAGCGTCGTGGACGCCGAGGACGGGGTGGTTGGTCGCCTGCGTCGACACCTGGTAGGTGTCGGCGGACGCGTTCACAGTCGGGGGGACGATGCGATGGGACTAATGTTAGCAAGTTTTCCGAGAAGGCGGAAGCTCACCATGGTCGTGAGTGGACTTGTTGTTGTTGCAACTGGACTGGAACGCAGATACCAGCAACTCTAGTCTGCATCAGCGGTTGCATCATGACGCGCCAGCGTCAGTGAGTGAGCGGACAGTGAGGGAGGACCGTACGGTGGAGGTGTCCGCGTGGCGGTGATAACGGGGTTCCGAGAGTGGCATCTCTGCTTGAGTGAGCAGGCTGGATCAGGGAGGGGCGTGACCTTGCCCTTGTGAGCTGTAGGGTCGACTGGGTCAAAATGCAGCCCAAGATTGGCCCGTGCGACGCCGTGCCCTGCGCCTCTTGTTCGCTGGCAGGTACCGTGCGCCGAATCCCACACGCCCATACGTTCCAGACACGCGCTCCCCTTTGGCCTTTGGGCCTCCCTTGGAATCCAGCCAGCCAGGAGCCAGCTTGAGTCCGTCGACAGCCAGCCGCCAGCCAGAGACTCCACTCACCCAGCGTGCCCAGCCAGCACCACCCACCCAGAGCTCACCCACTATAGGCCAGCCAAGTCCAGCCCAGCGTAGCGTACGATCACACCGTACCCACCGTACCCACCATACCCACCATACCCACCATACGCACCACACCACGCTCACCACACTACTGCATCCATTTCCCATCCACTCTTCCTCACTCTCCATCTTATCATCCCCGCCCCCGCTCCGCGCACCCCGCAACTCACCAGCCCCCACGAAACAGGCGGTGTCGCACAGGTGAGTAGTTTGTCCCCAGCCAGAGAGAAGGAAGGCCGCGACAGTGCCGGCGGGGAGTGTGCCGGAACGCGAGTGCGTCTGTGTAGCCCCGCCCAGGCGCAGCGTGCATACGGTGGTGTGCGCAGGCTGGTGCCAGGTGTGCCAAGGTGCAGGAATTCAGCGTAGTCAGCCAGGCTACGCTCTGACTCCACTCCTGCACTCCCACCGCCCCGGTCTATCTCCCAGGCGCGCCCCCCGTCGTACCCACCATACGCAATACGCACGCACCGTAGGGCCAAAGGAACCGCACCGCACCCAGTGTCCACTGTCCCTCACCCTCCGGCCATCGTATCCACTCGCCGGGCCACTCCGCTGACGCTCAATCTTTCAATCCTCCTCTTCGCAACATCGTCCACTCCGCACACACCTCCCCTTTTCTCTCGTCGACTCCGCCGTCAACCCTCGTTCCGTTTGTGATCCCCCCCGCATTCATCGGCAGCAGTCTTCCATCCATCTGTCTTTCCCCTTTCATCCCCCCGGATTCGACTACGACGCAACCGTTACGCTGCAATTAGCGGATCCATTCGTTCCAACCACTGAACCCAGTCCAAGACCGACCCTTGCACTGTCACCGCACGAGCTCGATCTCTCCGTCCTGCACGCACGCATCTAACTCTACCTTATACCACTGCTGGATCCGAGACCCCCTTCAAGGTAAGTGCGAGTGTGCCCTACTCATGTCCCCGTTTGCAGCCGAGTGTGCAGGGACGGGACCGTGCATTTCTTTCACTGCCTCGCAGCGCAGAGTCAAGGATCGCCCCTGCAACACACGAGGCGCAAGCGACATGGGGGCCACTGGGGCCATACGGCGCAGCCATCTGTCTCTACAGGCGCAAGCATGCTGCTTTGCGTTCACTGCGCACACTGGTCTGCCCGTGACTCAATTCTCTCCCTCTCCTGCTTTAAATTTGGAGGCTGACACACACCGCTCCCTCGACCCGTCCTCACCTGCACCATCAACCCGCATTGACGCTTTGTCCTTCCCTCATCGCTCCAACTCGCCGTTCGCTTCCTGCATATCCGCAATTCTTTGACGCCTCTTATCCCTTGCACTTCCAACACTGCATCATCGTCCACCGCGATCATCATCGACCGCTCCATCTGTGGCGACTACTTGGCATCTGACTCACCTGCGTGACCGTTATTCGACCACTCCTTTACCGGGCGGTGCATAACACTTTCTGTCATCGTCTCCCCCATACACGTCACCGGACCAACGACCACGACCGCGACCTCTTACCCGACCGCATTCCTTTGCATCTCGCTAACATGGCTTCCTCACATCAGTTTGCGTCCAGAATGACTTCCATGGACCTCCGTGTTGGCGGCAAGTACCGCATCGGCAAGAAGATTGGTAGCGGTTCCTTCGGTACGTCTCAAAGCGGGAAGAGCGAGCAAGTGGGCGCGGTAACCCGTAGCGTCAGCTGACACACCCTCAGGTGACATCTACCTTGGTGTCAACATCGTTTCCGGTGAGGAGGTTGCCATCAAGCTCGAGTCTGTCAAGGCCAAGCACCCGCAGCTTGAGTACGAGTCCAAAGTCTACAAGTCTCTCGCCGGAGGTGTCGGTGTTCCCTTTGTCCGTTGGTATGGAACTGAGTGCGACTACAATGCCATGGTCCTCGACCTTCTGTGAGTGATTGGCGTATATCCTGGTTTCGGCATTGTTCGCTAACCCGTGCGCAGTGGTCCTTCCCTCGAGGATCTGTTCAACTTCTGCAACCGCAAATTCTCGCTCAAGACCGTCCTCCTTCTCGCCGACCAGCTGATCTCGCGTGTCGAGTACATTCACTCGCGCAACTTTATCCACCGTGACATCAAGCCCGACAACTTCCTGATGGGCATCGGCAAGCGCGGAAACCAGGTCAACGTGATCGACTTTGGTCTCGCCAAGAAGTACCGTGACCCCAAGACGCACCTTCACATCCCCTACCGTGAGAACAAGAACCTCACCGGAACTGCCCGTTACACCTCGATCAACACCCACCTCGGTGTCGAGCAGTCCCGTCGTGACGACCTCGAGTCGCTCGGTTACGTCCTCATGTACTTCCTCCGTGGCCAGCTCCCTTGGCAGGGACTGAAGGCTGCCACCAAGAAGCAGAAGTACGACCGCATCATGGAGAAGAAGATGACTACTCCCACCGACATCCTCTGCCGTGGATTCCCCAACGAGTTTGCCATCTACCTCAACTACTGCCGTTCGCTTCGCTTCGACGACAAGCCCGACTACTCGTACCTCCGCAAGCTCTTCCGTGACCTCTTCGTTCGCGAGGGCTTCCAGTACGACTACGTCTTCGACTGGTCCGTTCAGCCTCCCCAGAAGTCCTCGGACAACTCTGCTGGCATGAACGACACGGACGCGCTCATGCAGGCCCAGCAGAAGCGCCGCATCGCCGCCGAGGCTCAGATGCCCGTTTCGCAGGACCCCAACCTTGAGAGCCAGCGCCAGCTTCGCTCGCAGACGCGCAACATTGCCCGTGAGCAGTCTGGCTGGAACTAAGCGCTCGTCGTTCCCGTTTCACCGCGGGTAGCACGTTTCCTGTTCCGTTCTTTGTTCGTTTCTGAGAAGTGAGATGACGAAGGGTGACTGAAGATGGTGGATGGCAGCGGTTGTGGATGTGTTAGGAGTCTTTCAGTTCGGCTCGCCATGGAATCTAGCAACTCAGTGGAGTTCGCTGCACCACTAGTGACGATTCCCCGGCATTGAAGCCCCGGTTATGGCTCTCAACAACAACACTCCACGTACGACCCCGTCCTCCTACCTCTCTCTATGCGGTTTTCAATCGCACCGCTCTAGCTCGTCTTTTTTATCTTACAATTCACCTCTCATATCTTCACGTTTTCCGACCCCTTCATCGCTCGTTTTAACACGACTTTTCCGATCCCCCCGACTCCGATAATCCCTCCAACGCTATACCCCATCATTCCCACACTGCAACTTACCTCGGACAGTGTGCCGCACATTCCGTCGCTACGAAGCGGAGCCTCAACGCCCGCTCTCTACCACCGGCTGCCATTCCTACCCGCGCAGCTTAATCGCCCTCTCCGGATCGACCGACTCTTTGCAGGCAGCAACGTCTGACAATCTCGCGACCCTACCTACCTAATTTGTTTATAGTCCACATCACACCCCACATTCACCCTCACCTCATTCCCCCCTCATCACGACATCACCACACCACACACAACAATTCTGAATCCCAACATTTTCACGTCCTCCGCCCGGCGCGCAAGCCAGGGCTACAAGATCCCCGCAAGCCCCCCTCGAATCAGGGATTTGGCACTGAACGGCCTCTAGTTCTGAGAGCCATGTTCGTGTCGATTCGAGTTTGGGCGCGGGAGGGCGCCACGTCCCAGCTGCTCCCACCGCTTAACATTTGGCTGACGGCGTCGAAGTTCGTTCCAATGGAACTCCGCGACCGTGGCCACCTTATTCTAGTTAATGTGATGCAAAGTTGGTGTAAAAACGGGTTGCGTGAGAGTTTTGTGTATTGGCATTCCTGTGACATCCAGATTTACGCTAAGGGTAGAGTATAACGGTGCTCGGAAAACTCGGATTTTGGCACAAGTTGTGTAGTGGTCAGATTCTTGAACGAACGAGGAAGACGTGTCTAGTGTGGAGAAGGGTCGGGACTATGGGCGCCGGCGCGAGCCAGTTGATTGACTGACTTGGAGAAGCCAAAGACAGAACGAGCAGTGATGTTCGCTGCCGCTCCCAGCTCGCAGCGCTCGCAGCTCGATGGCACTCGCCGACTTAGTCAAACTTCTTGTCCGAGACGGCGCCAGTCGAGGCGTTGTGCTCGTCGGCGAGACGGTTGTACTCGGCCGCCTGCTGGTTGGCCTGCTTCTTGAGCGTCGCTGCATGTCAGTTGCACGAAACATGTTTAACTGTCGCGAGTGCGAGGTATTCCTCAGTTCTACCTCTCCTTAGGCGTTGTCGCGCACACGAAGTACGCAGTTAACTGAGCTCATTCAGAGAGCCGAGCTGGCTGAGCTCACGTCGTTCGCTCTCCCCGCTGTGCTCGCTGCGTCGCAACTCGCACCACTCGCTTCGCTCGTGGGGTACTCACAAAGGTCACGGTCCGCGTCGCTCTGGACAGTCTCAAGCTCGGCCTGGAGGACCTTGATCTTCTTGCGGAGCTCGGCGTTCTCGCCCGCGTTGGTCGAGCCCTTGGCCGTCGAGCCCTTGAGGGTGGTGAGCTCCTCCTGGGTCTGGATAAAGTCGAGGAGAATGTAGAACACGCGGCTCAGGACGAGAGACAGGAAGAGCGTCGTGCCCGTGAGGTAGACTGGAGGTTAGCTTATTCCTTTCAACCAGTAGGAAGCTGGTAGCATGGGTGATGCTGGCAGCGGGGCAGTTTGGACTAGCCCCACGCTAGGAAAAGACTTTCGCGTCGTCGCCTCGCGTGGGAGAGCGGATCGTCACACCCCTGTCTTTTGCTGCGCCCCGAAGGAACACAACAGCGGGCACAGCGACGCCCGTAGCAATGGCTGTCCTCTGGTCGGTGACCAGATCAGATCCTCCCCACGTCACGCTACTCACGGTTACGCTGCGCGTAGAAGCGACGAGCCGCGCTGGGAATGGTTAGCGCGAACTCATGGCAACAACCCACTAGGTCGTCTCGGTGCGGACGTCGGCGGCAACCTCGGGGTTGCGCTTGGCGACGGCCCCCTCCTGCGCGATGCGCACCATACGCTGCAGCGCGTCGATGAAGAGGACAGCGACGAAGCTGGGGTCAGTTAGGACTCTCTCCGTGGGGAAACTGTATACGAACATAAATGTGATTTTCAACTGAGAGTGTTAGCTAAATACAGAGATGCCTGGGGAGCTAGTGTGCCGTGGACTGAGAGACTGAGCAGATGTCCTACCGCAAAAGGGTTGCAGAAGCACACACTGCCGAGTGCACCAAAGTAGGGAAGGGGTCGTGAGACTCACAGCGTACTGGACCTTGGCCACGGCCGGGTTCTCAGCGAGGAAGTGGAACATCCTGTCTGTCAGCTTCGACGAAACAATCCTAGCTCACTTCCTGCGAAGCCCGAAGGGCATGGGGCTGAGGATGGTGGTGAGGAACGACGCCTCGGCGACGAGAAGCACGAAGCAAACTGGCATCAGCTATACTCCGGTTTAGCGGATCTTCCGAGCTCACGAGAGTAGTAAAGCTGTGATGTTAGCTGTGGTACACATTGGCAAGCTTACAGTCATGGCTGGTGGATGTGCTCTGGTCGATGTGTTATTGAAAGGATCGAGAAAGGACGCGAAGTGGAAGAGCTTTGAGGAGGAGGAAGCGATGGAGGAAAGGATGAAACGCGGTGGTCGCTCGCGCGGCGGTCAGTCTCAGTGTCGTTCGCGGCGGATGCAAGACTCAGGAGATGGTTTGCAGGCTGACGTGCCGCTGATCGAACGCGAATACGTCATTCCCACCACGGGAGGCGAGGGCAGGACCCTTTACCCTTTACACGCCGGCCAGCAGCTGTAGTGGCCGGTTCTGGACCGGTTGCACAGCCGTGTGACAGTCAGCGGAATCAAACGCCACATCACGGCGTTATGATCTCAATCCTCACCACCTTACGAGGTCGTCAGGTCCAAGATCCACCAAGCTGGTCCACAATAACATCCTCCTCACACCCCTGGTCATGGTCGACTTGAAGGTATGTACACATACGCACAATGCTCCTGATGCAGAGTCTTGCCGAGTTACTGTCTCAGCTGCGATGGTTTTAGACGCAAGCTGACGTATCAGACCTTCGATGACCTCCTTGACAGGACGGTGCGCGCGCCGCGCCTGTCGGGAACCAAAGTTGGCGAACTGAGGGACATGGCCAAGTCGCTGGCTGCGCAGCACAGCGACGACATTGTTGCCATTCTGACGAGGACGAACGCCAGCCTCCAGCCTGCTAGCACGAGCCGCATCTCGTCGCTGTACGTCTTTGACGCTATTGCGCGGGCGGCCAAGTCGGACGCGGCGCTGCTGGGCAAGATGGAAGCGGCGGTTGGCGGGTTCGTCGACAGCATTATCGACAACGGCAAGGGCGGAGTATGGAGCGAGGGAAGGGTGAGTTGCTCGTCTCTCTGCAGTGACGGCTGTTCTGCGCAGCTACACTCGTCACGACCAAGCTGACCAAACAGGACAAGACGCGCAAGATTGTGGACATCTGGCGCAAGTCGCAGACGTTCTCGGACGGCTGCATCGCGGACCTGCAGGGCAAGATTGCTGGTGGAGACGACCGGAGACCAAATGGTAAGATACCCTTCCTATCCCCTCATCACCCCTCACCCTTCACATCTGCTGTTCGTGCCCACGACGGCTCTGACGCGGTCCCCCGCCGCACTGACCTCCTCCGCCCGGTTGTATCGTCGCATAGCCTCAACCGCGCATGCATCACATTATCGACTACGTGAGCCTATCAGGCTTGTACCGACAGCAAACGCTAGGCTGATCGGCCAATGCTGGACGACTGGTCTGGTCGGTCTCGGCCGACGGGCGCTGGCTCGGACTGGTGATCGGCATAGACAATTGTTATTAGGCTCCTCAGCGTAGGCCTGCTGGCTGCTGGACTGGATGGCTGCGGAAAGAAGGAAGGCAGGATCTGGTCGCACAAGCAAGCACACGGGAGACTGATCGACTCGACGCTGGAAGGACTGGGCTGCACTGGTGCTCGTGTGCTGAGGCGGGGTCTATCAAGAGAGACCTCGGCTCAGAGCCGGGACACGTGAGAGTTCTTCCAGTCGGGAACAGTCGTGTGCGGGCAAGGTGCGATCGACCGGTCGTCTTTCGATCGCTTCGATCACAGCGGCCACTCTGCCACAGCGGCATAGCCACGCGAGCCATGGAGCCACAATTCCATCCCTATCATCCACATCCCAATCCCCTCTACCCGTGTTGCACGAATGCTGAGCGTCAGTCCGATCAACGACGCCCCCCGGCGCGCCCCCACCGCACATCCTGGCGCGGTACAAGGGCCTGTATTCGGGCTCAGGGACGCAGTCGCCCGCCGGCAGTCGTTCGCCGCCACCAGCCCCCGGCCAGCTCCCGCCCGAGATCATGGCCATGCTCGGCGTAAAGTCGAAGGCGGATGAGAAGTGAGTCCCGGTGACGAGCACAGCGAGTGCCGAATCTCGCTCATGTACCTGTGTTCGAGCTGACAATCAGGGCCGAAACAGCAAGCGCCATCGACGCCGTGCTCGCCAACGTCCGCGGAACCTCGACCGCGACGCCGCCACCTGGCTCTGCGCCGGCACCAGCACCAGTGCCGAGCTTCGATCCCGCGCAGCTCGCTGCGCTGGCGAACATTGCCGCTATTACTAGCACGCCGACTCCGCCGCCCGCTGCCCCACCCGCTGCGCCGCCTGCTCAATCGTATCCCCAGTCACAGGGACAGGGCGGGTACAGAAGGGGACGCTCGCGCAGCCCCGAGCGCCGTGACGGAGATCGGAGCGACCGGGATAGAGATCGCGGACGCTGGCGCGATGGCGATGGCAGGGACCGGCGGGGCTACGCGCGCGAAGACTCGCGGGATCGGTACTACGACAGGCGGGACTCGCGAGACTACAGGGACGACCGACGAGACAGCCGCGACATGCGCGACGGATACAGGGACGACAGGCGAGACTCGCGCGATGACCGACGCGATAGCAGGGACAGCAGAGACAGGAGAGATGGTGGGAGGGAGGGGGGAAGGACGATGGACCGCGCTCCCCCCGGCGCTGGCCCTGGGGCATCGAGACTGCCGCCCAAACCGGCCGGTCTGCCGCCCAACCCCACCCTTCCGTCGCGACCTGACGGCCTGCCGTCGCGTCCGGCCGATTCGCCGCCAACTCGACGACGGGACTGGTCCCAGGACCCCCACCCCCACTCCCACTCCTCCCACTCCCACTCTGGCTACGACCGTCGTGACCGTAGTCAATCTCACGGTGACCGCGGCTCTCACGATCGCGCCTCGCACGACCGCCCCTCGCACGACCGTGGCGGCAGCTACGGAGGAGGCCAAGGAGGCGGTAGTGGCGGAGCACAGGGAGGCAATGGGGGCAGCGGAGGCGCCACACTCCAGACCTTTGATTTGACCAGTTTCAACCCCGCCACGCCCGAGAGCTGGAGTGCGCTCGCGCAGGCGTGGCAGAATACGACGGGCAGGCAGCCGAATCAGTTTGAGCTCATGCAGTTCCTCGCTACTGGGGCGCAGCCTGACTCTTCCACCAACGCTGGCGGCAGTGGCAGTGGAGGAGAGGGAGGTGAGGGGTCTGGAGGAGGGATGGGAGGTATGTTTGGCATGCCTGGGATGATGGGCATGGGTGGTATGGGCATGGGCGGCATGGGCGGGGGTATGGGTGGCATGGGTGGAGGTATGGGAGGCATGGGAGGGATGAATGGGGAGCAGTAGACTAGATATCGTAGACCTTTGTTGTGTATGTATTAGCAATCATCTGTTGCTGCATCTCTATTGCTGCCCATCAAACAGCGACCTCCTGGCCACTGCCCTCTGACCATCCATCGCTGCTCTGACTAGCACACACTGCTGCCCGCTTGCGTTCGCGCCTGCAGCTGCTCCAGACCCACAGAAGGCCTCTAAGTACTACGTCCCGCATTCCTACTGGTAGTACATGTAAAATGCTGATTAGTTGACGTCCCCTTCCCTCTCGTGCGTCTGTGATCCATCCGTCTATGCGTCTTTCCTACTTCTGTATTGTGTTCACGAGCCTGTGGTGTCAGCTCATCCTTGGGGTCATGGAAGCTGTCACGCAGTGCGGTTGCCAGAGCACCGGTACTGTCCAGCACTCTGCTAGAGAAATGCAGGAGGGGCTCAAGCGAATGGCAGATTGTGGCACACTCGCCATCCCCCCTGCACACACGCTTCAATTGGCACTCGTACTCGGCGCTTCGCGCCTCGCACTCGTAACTCACCAGTCCAGCCCATCCTCCAGCCCGTCTCCCTTCGTCGCACAGCTCCCGCGTACGCTCCACTCGCGCCCCTTCTCCTGTCCTGCGAGGCCGAGCTTGTCGCTAATCTCGGCCGGGGACAGGGCACCCTCGACGTCCTGCTTGTTCGCGAACACGAGCACGGGCACGTTCTTCAGCTCCTCCTCCGCCAGCATCGTGAGCAGCTCGGAGCGCGACGTCGCTAGGCGCGCCGTGTCGGCTGAGTCGATGACGTAGATGATCGCCTGGGGGTTAGCTAGTTGTCCGCGGAACTCATTTAGCTTGTGCTAGCACCCCGTCGCGTGTCGCGCTTGACGGACAGAGCGCGGGGTGCGAGGGAGCAGATGAGACGCACCTGCGTGTTCGCGTAGTAGCACCGCCAGTATGGCCGGATACTCGACTGTCCTGGCCTGTCAGCTGTCGCCGGGAAGAGTAGCTCACCTCCGAGATCCCACACCTGGAAGTTGATGTTCTTGTACGTGACAGTCTCGACGTTGAACCCGATTGCTGTTCATGGTCAGCTTCCTCTCGCCGCGCTTAGCTCACTCGGAATGGTCGAGACGACCTCGCCAATCTGCAACCGGTACAGAATCGTGGTCTGTCCGTTAGCTACGTTTCGAAGGAGACTCAAGCTCAGCGGTGAGCAGAAGCGCCTCACGCCTGCTCTAGGGAGCAGGAAGAGGATCTCTCACTCCCGTTCCGCTCCGCTATGCCCTACCGGCATAGCTCCACCGACCCACCTTTCCCGCACTGTCCAGTCCGACCATGAGGATGCGGACCTCCTTGTCCTTGCTCCAGAACGCGAGGCTCGAGAGCGACCCGTAGATCCGGGAGAGGGCGAGTCCCATGATGTACGAGAGAGCGAGCGGAACGAGGCGAACGGGTGAGTGGGTGAGTGTTACGGCTGTGTCTCCGTTGAAGTCAAGCTAATGTGGTGGAGAGCCGCGATGAGTCAGACAAATGTAGCTGTCGGCGGTGGCGTCTGGTCTGGGGGTTCGGTGTGCGGCGTATCTAAGAGTCGTGTCGAGGATCGAGGAGAGTCTTGAGTCAGATGCCGAGTAGGGTCGGTGTTGTATGCGTTGTTGTGCTTTGTGCTTTGTGCAATGTAACGATGTGCGGATCGGAGGGAGGGGGGCAATGAACTGTTGTTACAGCCCGGTGCCAGCAGCACGTAGCACGTCTGCAAGGGGAAGGCAGGAGGCTTTGGCTCCGTCGTCCCACTTGTGCCAAGGGGGCGGGCGTGTCAAGGGTAATGAGGGATTAGGTTTCCCGGGTTGTGCGGTTGTATTCCCCGCATTTCACTTTTCCCTAATGCAGTCTCCTGCACCACGTGAGGCAAGCCAAGGCTTGGAGTCCCCGCATTTGCCCTCCACCAGAAATTTCACCCCTCCTATGCTCATCAGCAGCCAGGCGCTCACGTCACAACAACAACAACACATAGCGACATCATGGCCCGGGAAGGAGAAACACAGGAAGAGCGGAAAGCGCGCAAGGCTGAGAAGAAGGTGCGTCTGCTATGCGTTCATTGTCATAGCTGACAACAGGCGCGCAAGGCTGCCGAGGCCGCTGATGCCGAGAAGGATGTCGAGATGAAGGAGCCCGACGCCGAGAAGCCCGAAGAGAGCAAGGAGGAACGCAAGCGCCGAAAGGCCGAGAAGAAGGTGAGCTTTGATCTTGGATGCAGCTGACAGTCAGGCGAAGAAGGAGGCCGAGGCTGGCGCTGCCGCTGCGTCTGAGTCCGCTGAGCCCGAGTCCACCGAGTCTGAGACCAAGGAGGACAAGAAGAGCAAGAAGGACAAGAAGGAGAAAAAGGACAAGAAGGACAAGAAGCGCAAGGCGGACGATGTCGAGATCCTCGCAGAGTCCTCCGCCGCTCCCACCGAGACACCCGCCGAAACCCCGGCCGAGACTGAGACCGCCCCAAAACGCAAGAAGGCCAAGAAGGTCAAGTCCAAGACCGGATCCGTCGACTCGTCCGTGTTCCAGGAATCCGGCCTGTCCGAACCAGCCAAGAAGGCCATTTTCTACGCGCAGCTCTACGCCGCTCAGCAGGTTGAGGGAGGGGGTGTGTGGAAGTTCAACAAGGCAAGGCAGGGCTGGCTGCTCCGGAACTATTTTGAGGCTGTTCCCGAGAAGTATGTCGATGTTGTGGCTCAGTACCTCAAGACCGTTGTTGGAGGGGTGAGGAAGGCACTGGAGGATAAGGCTAGGGAGTATGTTGAGGCCCGCGTTCCGAAGGAGAAGGGGGAGCCTAAGGAGGGTGAGAGTGAGGAGACGAAGGAGGGAGAGGAGAAGCCCGAGTCCGAAGGAGAGACGAAGGACGACGGCAAGGCAGGAGAGACCAAGGACGGGGACAAGGTCGACCCCGAGGTCGTCGAGACGCGGCGGACGCGCGCCCGTCTTCTCCTGGACGCAATGAACTAGATCCTATGCATAGACAACAATGTACTACTACTCTTTCGGCCACTCGATGTACGCCTTGTACAGCTTATCCAACTTGAGTTTCGCGCCCTCCGTCTTGGTCGTCAGTTCGCTCAGTTTGCGCGCGACGCCGGCGAGTTCGCCCTGCGCGGCGTGGGACGTATCCTGCGCCAGTCTTTTCTTCTCCTTGGCCAGTTCCGCTTCCTCCCTGCCCAGTTTCTCAGATGTCGCCTCGAGCGTGCGAATCTTGTGCTTCAGCAGCTTTCTCGAGCCATTCTTCTCCGCACACTCGCGCACAGTCAGGCCGCAGACTTTGTCGCAGAACACGCAGCTCTGCACCTTGCTCGGATCCACGCCCGTCTCTTGCGCGTGCAGGAGACGGGTTAAGATTTCGTGGAATCGGTCGTTGGGGGGGAAACGCTTCAGCGCCTCGCGGATCGAGTCGGGCCCAGCGCGCACGACGGGGCAGTGCGCTGCTGAATGCTCCACGTTTTGGCGACAGATGGCACACCCACTCGCGCCGGAGTAGCGCTGTCGTGCCCGCTTGGCTTCGTTCTCCTCCTCGAGCAGGCGCTTGCGTTTCCGATCTTTCCGCGCGTGCGCTTCGCGCATCTTCGTGATGGCAGTGAGGCCTACGTCCTGTTTGTCAGCTACATCATAAATAAAGGGGAAGCTGATAAGTCGAGATGTAGACTCACCTTGTCCTCGCTCGGCTCCATCGCCTCGATCTCCTTCGCCATCTCGTTCAGCTGCTCCTTTGACAGCAGGCCAGGGCACTCGTCAAGCGGGTGCTGGCCCCCGCACCAGAAACACACCGCGTCGTCCGCATCCACCGCGTCCGTCGCGCCATCAACAGCATTGGGCTGGAACCGTGACGAATCACCGAGTTGCAGCGCGTTCGGCGTCGTCGACGGCTGAGCGCCACTGGGTCGAGATGTGTCAGACAGCGATATGCGCTGTTTCCGCGAACTCGCGCTGCTTGGGCAGGGCGTGCTGTCGGCCACGGAGATTGGCGTGCTGTTGCGACTGGCCTGTTGTGGGGTGCGCGTCGCGGGAGGTGGGGCAGGAGCTGTGGAGATCGTTGGCCGGGGCTGGCCGTTCACCGAGGGACGTTCGGCTGGTGGTGGCGGTCTCTGTGCTTGCGGCTGCGGCTGGTGTACTGACGGAGGAATCGCCTGCTGATGCTGAGGTGGCGGTTGCTGGTGTGGCACAGACGGCGGTAACGGGCGCTGTGCCAGCAGGGGTGTCTGTTGCACCTGCTGCGGGATGACCTGGCCCTGGTGCTGCGGCCACCCGTACGCTTGCGGGTGCATTTGCTGTGGGTGCATCTGGTGTTGCACGGGGTACTGCGGCGGAGGGTGCTGTACCGGACGTCCACGGAAGGGATCAATCGCACCCGGCGGCGGCCTGTACTTCGGCACGTATGGCAAGGGGGCGGGGTACGGCAGTCCTCCCGGTTGCGCAGGAGGATAAGGCCGGTATGGGACGTTGGGATGCTGGTTCGGAGGCTGGGGCGGAGCATGTTGCGAGAGCGGCACCATCGGACGGACCTGCTGCTGGACCAACTGCTGCTGTTGATGGGCCACCATGGCACCCTGGTCAATGAAGGCCTTGCTTCTGATAAACTCCCACACGAGCAGCCCGCTATCTCTGATAATATACCGCTTCGGCGCGCCTGAATTCCCGCGCGTATCGTCTGCCAGCGTCGCGAGTTTGCGGTACTGCTCGAAGCGTGCGTTGAGGGGTAAACCCACGTTGCACAGCGCGTCCCACATGACGCGCAGCTCGGGCTTGGACGCAATGTTCAGTTCGGTGTGCAGCGAGCGTAGGACCAGGCGCGCACGGCTGATGAACTGCTCCGCCACGACAGCGTCGAACACTGGCGACTGCCGTTGTTCGGGCACTTGTGGTGGCGGACGGACGGCCTGCTGCGTTTGTGCAGGTTGGATAGCCTGAGAACTCTGGGCCGGCTGAGACGGGGGCTGAGGAGCAGCAGATGGCGGCGGCTGCAGAGACAGCTCCCTCGCGCGTTGCTCGCGCAATGCCCTCTTCTCCGATTTGGTCAAGTGCGGCGCGCCGTTCACAATTCCGGCATAGTGCCGCTCGAGCTCGTAGCTGAGGTCGTCCGTGTTGTCGGGCAGAAGGTCGAATTCGTCCTCGTCGTCAGACGGAGGGCCCGTCGGCGCGACATAGTCCGTGTCGCTCGCGTCGTCCCCGCCGGCATCGGGGTACACGATCTCCTCGCCATCCGAATCGACCAGGGCGGCCTTCTTTCCCTTGCCCTTGTCCTTCTTCTTGGCCTTCCTAGGGGACTCGTCGAAGAGGGAGTAGTTGATGGCGAGCTTGGCTGCCCTCCGACGGCGACCGGCTTCCGCTTCTTGCGCCTTTTGACGCTCGGCCTCCGCCGCCTCGCGCTCAGCCACAAAGGCGGCCCACATGTTGTCGTCGAGCTCGACGTCGTCGTCTCCCTCCTCGACGTCCTTGAGGCCACTGTCCTTCGTCTCCCAGACACGAGCGAACGAGAATCCCATAGTCTCTCCGGGCTTCTTCGGCTTCTCCCCTCCCTCCCCTCCTTCTCCGGCCTCCTCAGCAGCCTTTTCAGCCTCAGCCTCAGCCTTGGCCATCTCCTCGGCCTCCTTCTCTGCCCCATCGATGAGATCCTCAATCTTCTGCTGCGTCCACTTCTGCGCCGTCTCGTCCATGGCCTCCTCCTTCCTAATCTCCTGAACTCCGTACAGGATCAGATTGTCGACCTCACCCTCCTCCGTCTCCTTGCCCATCTGCTGCACGACGAGGTGGTCGAGCACCATCTTCTTCTTGCCCTTGTTAATAATCTGCTCCTCAATTCCCGTCATGAGCTTGAACACGAGCACGCGCTTCGTCTGTCCGTACCGATGTGAACGTGAAATGGCCTGCAGGTCCATGTGCGGGTTGAAGTCGGGGTCGAAGATAATCACAGTATCGGCCGTGGCGAGGTTGATGCCCACACCGCCTGCGCGCGTCGTGAGCAGGTAGATAAACTCCTCGCTGTTCGGGTCGTTGAACCGGTCCATGTCCTTCTGGCGCTTCAGTTGCGACACATTGCCGTCCAAGCGGAGGTACTTGTACCCCTCGCCCCAGAGAAAGTCCTCGACTGTATGTTAGCTCGACTTACTGCAGTTGCTGAGCTCGACTTACTCCTGTCTAAAGCGATCTTGAACTGGTAACGTCAGCTACGTGCTCATATCGAGAGGGGCGTAGCGCCAAAGGGACTCACCTGTGAGAAGAGTAGGACGCGGTGGCCTCTCCGCTTCAGCTCTGGCAGGAGCTGCTTCAGGAAGAGCAGCTTACCGCTCGCATCGGTCAGACGCTTGTGCTGCTCCTCATCGGTGAGGTCGAGACGCTCCAGGCTCGGGTCGGACAGGTACGGGTGCTGGCACGTCTTCCTGAGCTGTGCCATGTTAGTTGCGTGTCCACGATAAACATCACTAGCGCCGGTCACTCACCTCCATGAGCATGTTTGTCGCGCTACGGATCCCCATTTTGAGATACCCGCGGCGGGAGCTGTGTGTTGGCCGCCGAGGGAGGAGAAGCTGATGGTGTGAGAGGAGGTAAAGGAAGTGTTGATGTTATCAGTTGAGTTTCAGTCGTCTGGCGGCGCGTCCTCGATCCTCCACCTTCTGACGCCTCCTCATTTCGACGCCGTGCCTGAAACCTCCACTTCGGACGCGTCCAGCCAGCCTCACCGTCACCACGCGTCAGTCATCAGCGCTAGTCTGGGCAAGTGGATCTAACTAGCTCTAATGGATGGCTATCATGCATATTCAACAAGACACATGCAATGTGGGAGAGACTAGTAACTAAGCAAATATCTAATACTGATGCACTGCACCATGGAGCCGATGCAGCGACCAGCTTGTAAAGCCTTACATGAACGAGTCGTGGAAGGGGTGGGATGTGAGGAAGGAAATGGAGATGGGGGATGGGAGTTGATGTGTGGTGTGAGATTACTGGAGGAGGTAGTCGACCCATTTCGTCATGTTGACATTCTTCGACTCGCTCCGCACAATGAACGGGTGGTTCAGCAGGTCGCGCGGGTAAGGGCGGTCGGTACCGGAGCGGATGAGACTGCATGTCAGACTACGCGTTCACGTTTAAGCTTACCATTGAGCCAGGAAGTCCTTGATTTCCGGCGTCCACTTGCGATCGGGTCCGTCCTTCATCTCGGGCAGCGGAGCGTGGGCGATGTACTGCAGCAGCTCGATGGGACCGACGAACTCGGGCTCGCCCTCTGGCGGGAAAGGGAAGCGGCCGTGAGCAACCTCGTGCAGCGTCAAGCCGAGCGACCACACGTCCGACTTGATCGAGTACTTCTTGCCGAGGATACGCTCGGGGGCCATGTAGAACGATGTACCGGTGAAGGTACCCGCGATAGACTCGACAAGCTCGCCAGACACACCAAAGTCACACAGCTTGACCTCGCCGTCGAGCGTGACGAGGATATTGCTCGGCTTGATGTCGCGGTGGATGATTCTCCGCTCGTGCAGATAGTCGAGGCCGCGCAGGACCGAGGCGCATACTCGTCCAAGCACGTGCTCTGAGCAGTTGACGCCCATCATCTTCATCCGCTTCGACAGGAAGTCGAGCGACCCAGCTCCGCAGTACTCCATGAGAATGCAGATCTGCGCATCGTGGTCGGCAAGGAACGCGCCGTAGTGCTTGACAATGTACGGCGACGACGTCGATGAGAGGAACTCGAGCTCACGCAGGACCTGCTTGTGCATCGCTGGGTTGGCCGTTCGTGCGATGACCTGGAGTTAGCTGCAGAGTGGACCAGGGAGCTCACCTTTCGAGCAATGATCTGTCCCGTTTTCGTACTCCGAACGAGATCGACGGCACCTCCCGTTCCTTCTCCGAGCTTCTTGATCTCCACGAGCTCTCCGAACTCATCTTCCGGTGACGGGTCAATGTCGTGCACAGAGCTTGGACGGGAGTCTCCGTGATCGCTTATCGTGAGGTCACGGAGGCTGTCGAGGTCATCGCCCCTTGATCCCATCATCGAGCCTGCGTTCGAGTGTGCCCGTGACCTGACGCCGTTGCCGGGGGTGCTCGTGTCAAAGCTCCTGGTCCGGCTCATTGCCATGCGCAGGTCCTCCGTCATTCGCTTCATCTCCTCGGGCGCGCCGGCATCGATCCCGCCAGGAATGCCCATATACCCGTACCCTCCGCGATCTCCGGACCGGGGCTGCACGGTGGCGTCCCTGTCCTCAGGTACAGGCGTGCGGAGGGACGACGTTCCCTCGCCGTCCTCGTTTGGGTAGTCGTCGTTAGCGCGCATGAACGCCGAACCTCCGGCGCCGCCCGTCGGAATCGACACGGTTAGTTTCGGTGTTGGCCGCGACGGCGCAGATACCGATGTGTCTAGCCGCCCGAGCGTAGGGAGAACGGGCGCAGACGTCCCACGGGGAGCAGGACTTCCTGACGGAGGCGCGAGAGTGAGCTTGGGGCGCGAGGACGAGGAGGAAGCCAACGATGGTGTGGACGCGAGCTGCGGTATGCGCCGGCCTCCACGCATCGCAAGCGAGGGTAGTGGTGCGGGCTGGTGCCAGCCGCCTTGTCCTGCCTGGTCTACATTGATGCCAGCTGACGTGTCAGCTATGTGAAGACGTTGGGGAGCTTGCGAAAGTAGTTTCGGCCCGTCGAATACTCACGAACGTTACCCTCTGGGATGTTGAGCCGAGGAGGCGTTCCGGTGCGGGCGGACAGGCCGACGCCTGACGGGTTCGGGCGAGCGCCTCCTGGCTTGCGCGGAGTCGTCATAGCGGCGAGTGAGAGCTGGCGGCAAGCGTTATGAGGCGGATAGAAGTCGAGTCGAGCAAAAGAGCTGACAACTTAGCCGTTGCCGATACAGGCCCGTCTGTGTGTGCTCAGAGCGCGGGCTGTAGGGCAAGGCTATTGTGGGAGGACGGCTGAGCTTGGGCGGCGTGTACAGGTGCGGGAGTCGAGAACAAGAGAGAGTTGGACAGAAAGAAGAGAAAGGTCGAGTATATAGAGCGTGTGAGAAGGGGACAAGAGGGGAGTCGAGAGGTAGAATGGACGATTGACAGGCGATAGGATCCAGTCGGGACAAAGGGGTCGAAGGGGGGGTCGCGGATGACGGTCGATGGACAGCATCGTCTCGTTACCCTGCAGTACACCCTTCCCTACCCGCGCGCCCGCGCCAGCCAGCCAGCCAGCCAGCCAGCCAGCCAGCACGCTGACACGGATTCAATCAGATCTCCATCACGTGATCCATCTGAACATGACGTCTGCACCCCCTTGCTACCGAGCTGTAACGGGTAAAGTTCGAGACCGGATGCTGAACTCTTGCCCAGACAATAACAACAATGCTCCAGCGCCTCGCAACACCTCCATCTTCCTTCCGGGCACTCTCGCTCTTCAAACCCGCACTCAGACCGGCAACCCATTGTGTCCCCCGCCCCTCCTCTGCTCCTCCTTCGCGGACGTTCCACCGATCCGCGATCTTGCGCCATGAGAATCCCCTTGTGCGTGTCTTCTTCCGCTCACCAATGCGTGTCTTCCCTCCATGCCACGGCACATCTATCCCTCCGAATTTACACAGCTCACGTCTTGCACGGAGCAGCTAACAACAGGGTATCCCCCGCCGCGAGGCCAACCCCGCACCGAAGCTGCCTCGCCGTGGCGGCCCTCCGGAGAAGTCACGGATCCGGGGAGTGAAGCGAATCATCGTCGTTGCGTCCGGCAAGGGCGGAGTGGGGAAGAGCACCGTTGCCGCGAACCTTGCGCTTGCTCTCGCTCAGACGAGTCCCCTGGGCCGTGCGCCGCGGATAGGTCTGCTCGACCTCGACATCTTTGGTCCCTCCATCCCGAAGCTGATGGGGCTGGAGAGCGCACCGGAACCGGCACTTAGCGAGGGTAGGCTGAGGGACTGATCCTATAGCTGACGGCAGCGAACAAGCTTCTCCCGATGCAGAACCACGGCATCAAGACCATGTCCATGGGATACCTCATCCGTATGTCCATGCTCTGTTCATGGGATGCCGAATTCTAACAGCACACAGCGCAGCGACCAGACACTGCTGTCGCGTGGCGTGGCCTCATGGTGCAGAAGGCGGTCCAGCAGCTCCTCTTCGACGTCGACTGGTCGGAGGGTGGAGAGCTCGATGCGCTCGTCATTGACATGCCCCCGGGAACGGGTGACGTACAGCTCACGCTTGGTCAGCTCGTCGCCGTCGACGGTTCCGTTATCGTCAGCACGCCCCAAGACGTAGCGCTCATCGATGCGCGCAAGGGTGTCGCCATGTTCAACAAAGTCAACATTCCGGTGAGTACACTAAGCAGCTAGGAAGACGTAGCAGGCGAGCTGACGTCAGATTATCGGTCTGCTGCTCAACATGTCCCACTACACGTGCGACGGGTGCGACAAGCCGCACGAGATCTTCGGCTCGTCGGCCAAGTTCACCCAGGCCGCCAACGACATGGGTCTCCAGGTTCTTGGTGAGTTGCTTTTCAGATCTGTAACTGACAGGCAGGCAAGGTCCCGCTCGTGACGCAGGTCAGCGACGGAGGCGACGACGGACGTCCGGTCATGGTCCAGAGCGGAAAGCAGGGAGACGAGGTTCGGGACACCATGAAGAAGGTCGGGTCAGAGGTCTGGGACTGGCTCGAGAACCACCCCGTCGAGACCAGCATCGGTGTCCGCGGATAGAGGCAGTCATCATACCACTCATAGCATGCATTCACAGAACATATGGGCAATGACGACTGTCGATGGTCGAGGAAACTTTTGGTCCCTGAATCCGCACTGTCACGAGCAGAACGAGACTGCCTGCGAGTGTCAGTTCCTGTCAAGGTCAGCGACGTCTCTCTGGTCTGTTCTGCAATCTAGACGCGCAGGAAGGTGCGCGCCTGTTCAAGAGTTTTTTGGGAATTTTTATGCTATGATGCAAGCGGTCCATCAAATCCTACATGCCCTCTACGACGTGGGAAGCTGTCTACTCCTTGGCGGAAGCGCGGGTGTAAATCCACTGAGCGTGGTGCTTGACGACCTTCTTGATGAGGCCCTCCTTCTCGAGGTGGATGATGGCGCGGCGGGCAAGCGAACCGTTGACCTTCATGCGGTCAATGAGGACCGACTGGGAGATGAGCTTGTAGGTGGGAACCTCCTTCATGATACGGTCGCTGAGGGGTCAGCTCGTGTTCTACCGGCCAAGTGAAGTGAGCTCACTAGATGTTCTTGTCGAGGACGACGGCGTTGTTGGCCTTGTCCTTAACCTTTCCCTTGGACCACTTTTTCTTCTTACTGGAGACGTCAGCGGATGCTCCGTACAATCTTCAAGAAAACGCGATGGATCGAGGGGTCGGTTCGACATTCCGGCACGAAAAAGCTGTCCAGACATGGGCACGGCGCACAATCCTTCCTCATCCTTCAACCTGCTCGTCCCTCATGCTGCAAATCTTCGTCGCGCGACACCAGTCGGATGCCCTTCCATCTTCGCAGTTGTCGAAAAGCTGAACCAGGTCGAAGATCGTTCCATCGTCGCTCCCATTCCTATCGCGCAATCCCGTTCCGCTTCGCTCCTCCGTTCGCGTTCCCCGTCACCGATCCAGTGCCCATCCCATGTCTGTCCCAAGCTTCGTCGTCGAAACGTGTCGAAAGTCGATCTCGATCCCGCGTCGCCACTCTACTCACCCGGCCTTGGAACCGGCCTGCGCGGCAAGGGCCTTCTGGGCCTTCGACTTGACCTGAGGAGGCCTGCGGATGTCAGCTCGTTGTCGCCGTCGAGGTCGTTGATGTCGCTAGTGTCGGGGGGACTGCTCACATTTTGGACTTGATGTGTAGAAGACAAGACTACAACGCGCAAAGTATACCTGCGCCCAGCAGCCGGTACCAGTTTCGGCGGGCGACGAGCACCGAGCGGGAGCTAAACGGGAGCAAATCTCAATTTCGACGAGACAGCGTTGCAGTTTGCTGCCACTCCGGAGAAACGAGCGTCGGCGTTTTATCTCGTAAGATCCACGTGGGTGCGAGATCAGGTGGCAACTCATGGAGATTTGGCCATCTCCACCCCGGGAAGTCGCAAGTGGCTGGAGATATGCGGGGAAGGGGGTACATGACGACGAGCGCGACCGAAGGCGGCTTATCAACAACCACTCTCGCCATGAAGCGCCGGCGCTCGTCGGTGTCGGAGCTCCGCGGCCTGTCGCGCCTGTTCGAGCTCGACGAGCTCTTCCTCCGCGTCCTCGGCTACCTCGACGCAGAGGACCTCGCCAACGCCCAGCGCGTCAGCAAGCACTGGGCCCGGCTCGCCGTCGACCCGCAATTATGGAAGCGGCTCTACCTCCGTGAGTTAGGATGATCTAAAGTGACAACTGACTGGCAGGAAGATATCCGCACCCGCACTACTCGCGGCTGGTGCATAGCAGCTCGGGGAGCTCGACGCCCCTCCGGCCCATTGCGCGATTACCCTCGCGAGCGTTTCCGCCACCGTCACCGTCATCTTCACCAGCGCCTAGTGATGATGAGGAGCTGGATGTGATTCGGCACGAATGAGTGGACTGGAAACGTATGGTTAGGCTGGGAACGAATTGGGCGAACGGCAACGTGCTCGAGGCGTCGTTACCTCTCCCACTACCGCCGTCGCCGATCTCGAGACCGTCTGAGCCTGGACCGGCAGAACACCACCTCGCCCTCTTCCCAAGCTTCATCTGCACGGCCAGCCCGACCTCGCCGCTCGTTCACGTGTATGGCGTTGGCTCCGAGCCCAAACCGTTAGGCATAGTGCCCCCGCCGCCAGGCTGGTCCTCCCCAAACAGGCCGGACAACGTCACAGCCATCTGCGCAGATGAGGCCGTCCAGCCGCCGGACGGAGCGGCCGATGGTCGGCCGGTCCTCCCAGCCCGACTGGCAATCTTCTACGCCTCCGGCGGCTTCGCCATAGTGAAGCTTCGCTTCGACGGCCGCCTCGTGTGGACCCGCGAAAGTGTCTGGGACCGACGAACACGGCCGCGCAGAACCGGAGTGCAGGATGATGGCGATCCCGTCGTCCTCGCCGCATTCCACCATCCCGTGCTCGTAACTTGCACGCTCTCCTTCCACGTGAGCGTGTACATGCTCTCGCAGAGTGTGTCTCTCGTGCGAACACTGCATTCCGACGTCGCCTTCCATCCCGCCGCGTTATCCCTCGCCCCCCACGGATCGAGCTATCGCGCCACACTGACGTACTGCACGCCCGTGTATCCCTCCTCGTGGACGGTGAGTGTGCAGGAACTCGCGGTCGAGTTGGGCCACGGCGGAGAGGTGCGGCGGGGAGAGTGCTACCGCGTCCGCTCCGGTCGCAGCCGGAGAGCAGTGACGGAGTGGCCCCGCCGCCTCGATCCTGTCGACGCCGTCTCCCGCGCCGTTGGGGTGGGCACGGACGGGCGCTGGGTCGTGCTCGCAGGCGAGGACAGTGTGATCCATGTGTTTGCCCTGCCGTCGGCAAAGGGCGGGATAGCGCATGCCCAGACTCTGCTCGCTCCCTCGGGTGGCGTGTCGGCGCTGGCGCTACAGAGTGGACGCTGCGTCTCTGGTGGTGCGGACGGGAAGGTCCTCGTGTGGGAGCTGGACGATGCCGAGCCTGAAGAAGAGGACGGCGCGAGAGTCGGCCGGACGCTGGGATACGTCGAGGTGCGTCCCGGTGGGCGGCGCAAAGTCGAGCCAGCGCCACAGGCGGCGGAGGAGGAGGATGAGGATGAAGACGAGTGGGAACTGCCCAATCCCCGCAGCTTAGCGTATGCTGCCCGAGCTTTGTTTCTCGCGACCCCGCCCGCCTCTCTCCCACCAGCCCAGCACACCGAAGGCGGCATCAACAGTGTCACGCAATTAGCATTCGACGAGGAGAAGATTGTCGGCCTCGTGCGCTCCGAGACCTCCGACGTCATGCGTGTCTGGAGCTTCAACTGAGTTGTTGTATACCTAGTCATATCTGTATCCCATCCTTTGTCATCCTTTGTCATCCTTGCCACATCTACGTAGAAGATACATATGTTATCAATAGACGACCCACTGTTCCGGACGCATCACTGTTTTGTCAGCTCTGGAACATCGACGATAGCTCACATCTGTGGATGATGGGCCAAGTGCGGTCAGCGAGCGCGCTCTGCCCCCTGGTCGCACGCCACTCGTTCCCATCCCGGAGCGCGATCTCCTCCACGTCCACGTCTTCGGGCAAGACTCGGTCCATGGGAAGCGGGTACTTGCTGAACTCTCCATAGACGTGTTCGCGCAGCGGCGAGCCGGCCGCATCCTCGTGTGTCGGCTTGCGCATCTCGACAGGCTCGGCAGAACATACAAACACCTGCAAGTCAGCTTGGGGAACCCATTGGGAAGCTCACAATATTGACCATGTCGTCCTCCGCAATGGGGCGGGACCAGAGGTCGTGGTATGCCTGGCAGTGCGGGAACACGGACACGAGCGCCGCAACGAGCGGGCGCAGGTGCTCGCTGTCGGGGTGCGCGGCGACATTCTGGCGTCAGCTTGAGGAGGGTCGACGAGCTCACCATGACAACGACCCCGCCGGGGTTCATGATTGCCTTTGCGTTCTCCCAGAATCCGACCGTGAAGAGGGCAGGATACAGGCTGCCCGCGCTGAAGACGTCGTGCACAATGAAGTCGTACTTCTCGTCCTGCGGTACCGGGCTCTGCTCCCTGCCCCGGGTGGCGCGCTCGGCACGCTCAGCGACAAAGGTCACGCCGTCTTGCACGCTGATGCTCCGGATGCCTGTCTCGTTCAGGCCAAAGTACGTCTCGGCGGCGGTTACGACGGCCGGGTCATATTCTGTCGTCAGCTCAGGTACGCTGCCTCACAGCTCACCGACCACGTCCACGTTGAAACCTTTTGAAGCGAAGTGCGCGGCACCGATGCCGACACCCAGGCCGACGACGAGCACGTTGGCGTCCTCCAGAGAACGGTTCGTGAAGAGGACAATCTCCTGCAGCGGGAAAGCCGAGAAGACGCTGCGTGTTAGCTTGGCCACTCCAGCTCTTTTAAGCTCACGAGTCACCCAGCTTGCCGTCCTGGAGCCATCGCCCGCCGACGAGACTGTGGTCTGCGCGGAGAACGCGCATCGTGTGTTCGGGCAGCTGGACGTCCTCGACCACAACGCGGCCAGAGACGCTCTGCTGGCTGCTGTGCACTGTAACGCCATCCTTCGTGAAGGGGGCGAGGGGACGGTTCACGAGCGACTGGGCCGCAATGGCGAGGGTGAGGACAGCAATGATGAGCGATGCCATGTGGAACGGCTTAGGTTCCTGCAGCGTGAGAGCCATGGAAGCAAGTCCGAGAAGAAGCATGCAGGCGGCGGCGATCAGGAGCTTAGGTATCAGCTTGGAACTAGAAGGCGAGCTTACGGTTCCCTCGGCGTCCTTTGCGAAGAATGCCGGGACGCGAAGACCGAACTCGGCGGGAAGAAGAAGCGCCAGTCCCACAAGCGAGGGGACAAAGGAGAAGGGGCTGAAGACAAGCCAGGGGAGGAGCATCAGCCCCGCGACGGCAGCGAGGGCTGCCCACGCTCCGACACGCCCGCCGAGCTGCGTCGAGGTCAGGAGCCCGATGCTCCGGACCAGGAGCGAGGTGAGGGCCGTGCCGACCGCGGACCAGATGGCGGCATTGCGAACCCGTGGCGAGCGTCGCGGGAGAGCGTACCCGATCACGGTGAAGAGGGCAAGGACCCAGAGTACCGGCTTTGCGTCATCGACGAAAGCGCTGTTATACAGCGGCGCCAGACACAGTTGGGCCAGCTTGATGCCCATGACGAGAACGCCCGCCGAGAGCCCGCCTGTCTGTCAGCTGGCTGGAGCAGGCAATTCAGCTTACTCAGAGCAGCCTCCTTAGCTGCGCTCATGCTGGAAGATGTTGCGATGTGAAGAGAAAGGATGGACGATCAGCTGAGCCGTGCGTGAGGTCAGCGGTTAGCAGCGGCATGTTCAGGCACGCGGCAATCTAGGCACCGGCGTACCAAGATCCGGCTTCTTGACTTGCATCCGTACATCGGTGCGTTTGTTATAAGCTACAGAGACAGGTCTCGACACTACTTTTGTGCTATTCACAGCTCCCAAGAAACAGATAGTCTTCGTTTACTCCGTCTCCCCAATCGAGTCGCCGGCACTCTTGAACATGTGGGCCAGGTCGTGCTCCCCGCTGCTCGGCTTCTTCGGGGCGGAAGGCTTGCTCACACGCTCCGAGTCGGATGCCGCGTCGTGATGGGAGGAAGCATTCAGCGGGTCAGAATCGTGGCGCTGAATCCTGTGCGGCCCAGGAGAGGGCGGCGTAATCGAGTGGGTGGCTTCAGAGTCCGGCACATCCAGGGCCGGCTGCGTCTTCGCCGAGGCGGACGATGCCACAGACTTGGTGTCGCTGCTAGGAGTGTCCTTGCGGCTGGGCACCTCCAAAGCGGGCTGAGACTTGACAGAAGGAACCGGAGAGGCAATCGATCCGACCTCAGCGGGGGTCGACGTTTCCGGGGACGGTGTGGGAGCGTCTGCCACGATCGTGGACGGCGGCGTCGACGAGTGATGAGGCGATGAATCCTTCTCAAATGACTTAGAAAGAGTGCTTGCGGCGGAGGGTGTACGTTGGTGGTCACGAGCGTTCGCAGCCGCAGCGTTCAAACGTTCCTGCAGCGAGCGACCATCGTGGCGGGGGGCGGGGGCGTGGATCTCGGCCACAGAGGGAGTCGAGTGCAGGGAGCTCATCTCATCGCCATCCTCATGACCGTGCTTCTTATTGCGCTTCTTCATGAGGTTGACTCCCCACTTCTTCACGCTCTGCTTCGCCACGCTGACTTGAGCCTCGATGGTAGCGGTGTCTCGAGCGCGGACTGCGTTCAGGATAGCAGCACTCGTGAGCTTGCTAGGGTCGGATTCGATGCTGACGTTGCTGACGCTGCGGTCGCGAGTGGAGCCACTTGTCGCAAGTGACACAGGCGACGGCGGATCAGTGCTGTGCACAGAGGCAGTAGAGGTCGAAAGAGTGTCAGAACGGTCGGTTGTCGAGTGCACGGAAGGGGGCGGCTTATCGGCTTTGTCGATCTCGAAATGGCTTGCTTCAGTCGACGTCGAGCTCTGGAGCGACGGCGTCACAGACTTGCCGAGAGACGACCTGGTAGGCTTTGGCTTGCTCTTGCGAGCGGTGAGGTTCGGAGTAGTCTCGGAGCGTTGCATTGCATGACGCTCAGCCCAGTCATCCCCAGCAGTCGGCATCGCAGTGTTCTGGCGGACAGGGGCCTTACCATTGCGCTGACGAAGGGTGGAGGGGGTGTCGGTGTCTTCCTCGGTTTCCTCATCTGAGGGCTTCTCATCCTCCTCTTCCTCCTTTGCCTTGGCGGAAGCACGAGACGCGACGTTGAAGATTCCGCCACGGACATCGAGGCCGTCGGTGTGGAAGAAGGGCACGTCGTCCATGTTAGGCGCGACGATCGCCTCGGCCATTCCCTCGCGCATCTTCTTTTGAATGAAGCTGAGAAGCGTTCCCCACTTGATCGCCCTAGGACCAACGACGGGCTCGATGTCAAGATCCATCTTGGGCTGCTCCGTGAAGCACCACCAGATGCGATCACTCGGCGGACCCTTAATCACGATGCGGATATTTCCACTCAGACCTCGCATACGGGCGGCAACAATAGCGTTGAAGCCGAGCTTGGTCGCCTCAATCGTGGCGCGGCCGCACGAGCTGTCCAGATCGGCAGGCAGCTGGTAGTCGATGCGAGCTTCGAATATTATTTCGCCGTTGGGCTTCATCTCCTTCAGCATCGCATTCGACAGGATAGGCGGGATGTTTCCAATGTTGACCTCGGTGGCGCGCAGAGGGCCAACGATGGGTGGGTTGATGAGCGACAGCTTCTTATTGATCTTATCAATAATGAACTGGGGTCAGCGGTGTTCAACTGCAGCACGCACCTGTTCAACCTTTGCGGTGTGATTCACTCCGAGGAAGATGCGGCCGAGCATTGCATTCAGCCACTGCAGACCGCTCGGGTCGGGCTGTGACTGAACACGTTCGCAGAGCCACTTCATGTGCGAAAGCGAAAATACGCGATCATGGCGAGCCTTGTTGGCGGCGACGTTGAGCAGCGAAAAGTACCAATCCTCCATGCTGCGGTTAGCCTAGCCTGGATCGTCGCCTACTCACCCAGTGTTATTATTCTTGAGGAAAATGAACCACGGAGCCTTCTCCGCTTCCTTGGTCTGGGTGTTGCTCTCGCTGCTCATGCCCTTGGCGAGAACGGGAAGACCCTTGCGCTTGGTATCGGCATAACGAAGCACGATTGAGTGCCTCTTCGTGAAGAATTTACCTTCCATGCCGTCAAACTTGCCCTTTTTGTCCTCAATCTCGACGTTGTACTTGTTCATCGGAATTGCCGCGAGGCACTCCTTGTCGTCTGTGTCGTTGTCATAGATGTAGAGCACTTCGCCCTTGAGAACGCAGTGGTAGTGATCGGTGGAAGTCGTAGTCGGGGCGCTAGCGAGTTGGCGGTAGGCCTGGGCGGCGCGACCAGCCATCGTTTGTTGGTCGGCCTTGGGCGGGTCGACGGTGGCGGTGAGCGAGTTGACGGGCTGGCCCATGAAAGTCAAAGCATCCTTGGACTTGTCAAACGTGCGCCGGATGATGAGCTTGCCGACCATGTCCCCGTCGGATGACTTGAGAGCCGCATTCTGCTTGGCGAGATCGTCTTCCTCGGCCTGAACCTCCAGCTTCTTGGTGGGGGAAGGATCACCGATCGGCTTGGACGTGTACGTGAGGAGGTACCCTTGGCGGTCAGCGCGACACGGTGACTGGACTTACACCAGAGGGCGATGAACAAGAGAGCCGTGAAGAGGACTCCGTGTATGACAAAAGTGATGAGCCAGCGGACGAGGCCTAATAAGAAGAACATGGCGATGGACGCCTGGCGGCGTTGACGGGTCGTGAGTTATCTAGGGGACGTGGAATGAGATTCGGATGTCCTCCTCAGATGCTCACGAGCATCAAGGTCTTGGTTAAATGCTGGATGTGCTGGGTAAGTGATGGAGAGAAGATAGATTGCCGGGTAGTGCTAATATGAGCACGGCGTTGCCGCTAGAGCTGGTCGACATCCGGCGGTCGTCTGCGCGGAACGCGACCAGCAATGACGTACGTTGCACCCATCTGGCTGGAAGGTACTTTACGTAAACCGCGCCGATCCTCATTGGGCCTTCTGTGCGTCCATGTTCCAGCCCGCCCAAGACGGTGTGCGCAAGGTGGGGGACGAAGGCCCAATGCGTGCTATCTTTGGTCCACGGTGTTAAGGACAAGGGCTGATCGTGCAGAGTAAGAGGAGACAGGGCACGCATTGTATGCAGGAACTGGGGAGCCAGATATGCGACGGTGCGGACCGTAGTGTACAACATGCATCCTCGTTTACGCCATGAACTGCTTGACCGCCTTGTCAATGCTCGACTTGTCCATCTCGATCTCTCCTGCATCAACTGCCTCGATCACTCGGCGAAGGGCGATCGTCTGCCCGACCTGCTCCGTCTTGAACCAAACCCTTCCGTTGAGCCCAATAGCGGTCTCGAACGGAATGTGTGCGGCGAGCGCAGGCAGCAAGGGGTGTTTTGGGCTAAGCAGTCTGCTGTCAGTTCAAGCGACCTGTTCGGAACTCACTGCCTGCAGAGCTGCAGCGAGCATTCCACCATCAGTCCACCCTTGAGCTCTCCGAATCCCTCGGCCTTGCCGGTGGCGGGGTCGACACACTCAATCTCAGGCTCCATGTCGCGGTTCGCGATCGTCACACGCGCATAGACAAGTGTTCCAACCTGATGTCAGCTTCCTAGAAACTGGGGAACAGCTCACCTTCAGGTTGGGCTTGCTCCTCTTGGTCGCGCCCTCGAAGGCAAGGGCGTCTAGGCTCGCCATGTGCGCGCTGCCGAGGTCTACTCGGTATCCCTCAGCATGGCGGGCAATGATGGTACCGAGAACAAGATCACGCTGAGCGGGGATGTATCGTTTCGACTTGCCAGAAATCCAGACGCTCTCGCTCTTGTCCTTGCCCTTAGTGGAGGAGAGGACGCCGGCGCGAGTGGCCGTGTACACAGGCTCGGACGGCCCCGCGACGTCGGCGGCGCGCGAGGTCGAGGCGGTGATGCCCGGTCCAAATGTGATGGCGGAGGACGTCTCCGGTAGCCGGATTTCTGTGCCGGGGAAGACGACGGTCATGCTTGATGCCTGGTGAAGGTGAAGGTTGCATCAACAAAGCTGGGTTGTGGTTGCTACTGAAATCGAAAGCTGAGGTCACGTGCCAGAGTGGAGGTCCGAGACTCAACGTCATCTGGCGAGCTGGCGTGTGTGTATCGAGGACTGCGAGATAAGGCAACCAGTGTCGCTCAGTCAACCATGGTGTCGGCAAACTCGCTGTACACGTACGCCAAGGTGTGTAGCCCGCAGATGGCCTATATGCGTCATCGCTTTGCAATGGCTGACTTCAGATCGGCGCGGGTGTGGCCATCTCCATCCCGATCATCTTCGCCGCCGGTCTGTGGTACTATCAACGGCGTCTCATCTACCCTGCCGACTTCCCTGAGGGCTCGAGGAAGTGTGAATAGAGCTTGCTCGATCTGATCTTGCCTAAGCTGACCGCAGTTGTCCCGAACCCCGTTGAGGCTGGACTGCCATATGAGGACGTCACGATCAAGACTCCAGATGGCCTCAAGATCAAGGGCTATGTCATTCCAGTTCGCGAGCGGGTCGTTCCGCTCTCGGACTTGCGCGGACTGAACCAGCAGCAGATGCGCGAGAAGGGTGACGCCGAGACCAAGGAGTGGGAGAAGGTCAAGGACATGGATGCTGCAAAGGACTATATCAAGTCGCGCCCGACGATCGTCATGTTCCACGCCAACGCTGGCAACCTCGGCCACCGCATCCCGCTCGCGCGCAAGTTTGTCAGCGAGCTGCACTGCAACGTATTCATGCTCAGCTATCGAGGGTAAGCCGATGTTGACTGTCCCGCTGACGCGTAGATACGGACTCTCAGAGGGCTCGCCATCGGAAGAGGGTAAGTTGCCGTAATCCACTGAGTAAACTGACAGAACAGGCATTCGCATCGATGCTGGAGTAAGCTTGGCAGAGCCCCGCATCAGCTAACGACAGGCGGCCATGGATTTCCTCTCGACTCACCCGCTGCTGAAGGACACGAAGATTGTAGTGAGTACACCGTTCATTTGACAATGCTAATGTCAAGTTATACGGCCAGTCGATTGGAGGCGCCGTGTGCATTGACACGGCTGCCGCATACCCAGACATGGTGAGCTTCAGTGGCTTTCTTCCTAGCTGACATCAGGTGTCCGGTGTCATCGTTGAGAACACCTTCCTCTCGCTGACGAGCCTCGTCCCTCACGTGCTACCCGCACTGCCGCCGCTCCTCGTCAAGCTGCTGCTGAGCGAAAGGTGGGACGCCGGCAAGACCATGCCCAAGATTCCCGCGGCGACGCCGATGCTGTTCCTCTCAGGCAAGCAAGACGAACTGGTACCTCAGGCGCAGATGAAGCAGTTGTACAAGCTCCGCGGGACCGGCTCTGCCCGGTGGCGCGAGTTCAACGGAACGCACAACGACACGTATCTCAGCCCCGAGTACTGGGCGGAGATCGGGAAGTGGCTTGCGGAGGAGATTGAGCACAAGGCTAAGGTAGACTGAGTTATAAGCATAGACTTCATGCATTCTGAGCTGTAATCAAAGCAGAACCGCCAACAAATCTCGCAGAGCTGCACCCGGATTCGAACACCAGTCAGCATTCAGGCACCTGCCACAAAATTTAGTTCCGCTCATCGTCGCCACCCACTTCAACGCATCATCGACGATCGTCGTCCTCCATTCACACCCTACCTCACCCCAACGACAGATTTCGACAAAATGGGCGCGGGCGACCTCAACATGAAGAAGTCGTGGCACCCCGCGCTCCTGGTGAACCAGGAGCGTGTGTGGGCTGCGGAGCGCAAGGACATCGATGAAAAGAAGAAGCTCATGCAGCTGAAGAAGGAGCGCGACGAGGAGCGACAGCTGGCCGAGCTGCAGCGCATGCAGGAGGCCGCGACAGGAAAGAAGCGCGTCGAGCGTCTGGACTGGATGTACTCGGCGCCCAGCAACGAGGGCGGCATGGGTGGACGCTTCAACGAGCGCGAGCTCGAGGACTACCTCCTCGGAAAGAAGCGAGTGGACGAGATGCTCGCACAGTCGGACAAGAACGTCGGCAACGCGCACAAGGATTTCATTGCTGTGCAGAACGCGAACACGGCCCGCGACACTGCTGCCAAGGTCCGCGAAGACCCGATTCTGGCAATGAAGAAGGCGGAACAGGCTCAGCTGGCCGCCCTCATGAACCGTCCCGACATTCGGCGACAGATGAAGGCGGCCAAGGAGGCGAGGGAGGGCAAGGGCAGCAAGGAGGAGAGGAGGGAGCGCCGCCGCGCGGAGAAGGAGGAGAGGCGACGGGAGCGTCACGAACGCCACCGCGACCGGTCACCACGCTCCGATGACGACGACTACAGGCGCCGACGAGACGACCGCGACGACAGGGAGAGGCGGCATCGCGATCGCTCCACCTCGCCGAGGCGAGACCGCGACAGCCGCAGGGACCGCGATGAACGCCGGGATCGTGACGACCGCCGGGATCGTCACGACCGAAGGGATCGCGACCGTGACTACCGCCGGCGCAATGATGACCGAGACCGCCGAGATGACCGCGACGACCGTGACCGTGGACGCGACCGCCGAGACGACCGCGATGACCGACGGGATCGTCACGACCGTCCCCGCTCCCGCTCTCCTAAGCGCGAGCCTGAGTCCTCCCGCAACCACTACGATCGCCCCCGCTCCCGCTCGCCGAAGCGCGAGCCCGAATCCTCGCGTAACCACTACGACCGTCCCCTCTCCCGATCGCCTAAGCGCGAGCCGGTCTCGGAGCGTAACGGCCATTCTGCCCCTCGGTACGATGACCGTCGCGGATTCCGGAACGACCGCCCCCGCCGCCCGTCGCCGGACCGAAAGCCAGAGGTCAAGTCTGGCAACTCGCTGGATGACATGCGCGCTGCGCGCCTAGCTGCGATGACTGCGTCGGCGGACCAGCTTCAGGCCGAGCGGACAAAGAAGCTCGCAGCCCGCGAGGCGGAGGAGCGCAAGGTATTCGAGGCCGAGGAGAAGGCGCGATCGCGATACCACAAGGACGAGGCTGCAGGTTTGTTCATGAAGCAGCAGGAGCAGATGAGCGGAGGAGTCAGTCTGGGCGAGGCGCTTGGCCGCCGCGGTGGCAAGGGATTGCTGCGAGACATCTAGTTGTAGCGTTATACAAAGGGAGGTAGAGATAGATCCTCTTTCCATGTATCTTGTACCTGTAGTGCAGTTGCAATCCAAGTAAGTGATAGTTCGCTGAAACTTGAAGTGCGCATTAGAGTTCAAGACGGGTGGTGTGAAATTACCGGAAGCGGCAAGTCCCTGGCCACTCCAGCCTAGGCGCGCGCCGTCACGCGTGTCAACAACATTGACTTTCCACCCAACTACATCGTCAACGACATTCAACCGCCATAGGGGACAACCACCACGAATAGAGGCTCACCATGCCTCCCATCTCCTCCCTCGGGGGTGTCCTTGACAGCCCAGCCCCCAGCGGCAACGGCTCCACCACCGTCAAGAACTCCTCCCTCCCTGACGTTTCCCTTGGCTCCCTCGGCTCCAGCTTCCACTCCGAGGGCGACGACTTCGATGACGGAACGCCAAGGCAACCCCGTAGGCTACCATAGCATTGCCAAACTGACCTTCAGGTGTGACGAGTCGCTATGACCGCCGACGGTCCAGCAACATGACGCCGCTGAGCAAGGAAGCACCAGCGGCATTGTTATCATTATCCCCTCCACCGAGTGTGGTGCCGGAGCGCCGTCAAGGGCGAGGGCGCAAGGACGACGACAGCGAGTCGGAGGGCGAGGCTCTCGACGCCAAGTACGGGGGACACTCTGAAGACGACCTCAGTGCGTCCTTCACGGCGCACCGCGAGCGTCTCGACAAGAGCTTGACCAAGTCGAAACGTACTGGCGCAGGTGCGGGGCGGCACAGTGTCGCCACCGGTAACGCGGGAAACCAGATGACACTCCGGGAGCAGGAGCAGGTGAGTCACAGCTATGACCTGTGCTGACTGTAGAACGTGGACGCGCTGCAGAAGGAAAACTTCAACCTGCAGCTCGAAAACCACTTCCTGAAGGAGCGCCTCGCGTCCATGGCGCCCGACCATATCGAGAGCGCGCTCAAGGAGAATGTCAAGCTCAAGATTGAAATTCTGAACCTTGGCAAGGAGCTGAAAAAGTCCAAGAAGCTCCTCGTGCAACAGGACCGGGACCTTGCTGCTGCCGCGCGAGAGCGGGACGGACATAAGGTCAAGGCGCGCGATGCCGAAAGCCGCGAGCTCGAAGGCATGTGGCGCGAGGAGAAGGAGCGGCGTATCGCGGCCGAGGACGAGCTGGACAAGCTGAAGGATGACCAGTTTGACCGCGCGCAGGAGCTCGAGGACCGCGTGCGCAATCTCGAGGAGGAGCTTGAGCGCGCCAAGGACGACCTTGACACGGCCCGCGCCGGGCTGGATGACCAGAACGAGGAGATTGCGCGACTGCGCGATGAGGCCGACCGTGCTGTCGACGAGCTCGAAAAGCTGCAGAGTGAGCGCGACCTTGGCGAATCAGTGGGACTCGGCAAGGGTCGTGAAGCGCGCCTCGTCTCGAAGCTCGAGGAGGAGGTCGAGACGCTCAAGGTCGAGCTGGAGGACGCGCGAGCCGCGACGGCCGACATTGAGGAGCTGGAGGAGCAGATCAACCAGCTGCGGGACAAGTACGCCGCGTCCCAGATCGACCTCGAACGGCGTGACGAGGAGATTCTTGATCTGAACAACGAGATGGACCTCCGTGTTCGCGAACACGAGCGCGAGATCAACCAGGTCGAGGCCGAGTGGCGGGACGAGGTCCTCGAAACCCGTGGACAGGTCGACGAACTCAAGGACGTCATGCAGGAGCGCGAGGCCGAGATCGAGGATTTGCGCAAGGGCTTGCTGGAACGCGAGGACGAGCTCGCCGGCGCACGCGAACAGATTATGGTTCTGGAAGCTGCTCAGGGCGAGACGCACGATCGACTCGAGGAGACGCTCCGCGGCATCCAGATCGACAACGAGGAAAAGGAGGCGGACCTGCTCGAGGCGAACCGCGAGGTCGAGAGTCTCGGACAGAGGGTGTACGAGCTCGAGGAACTCGTCGACGAGCTGCGCGCCCGCGAAGGAGAACTCGCTGCCGAGCTCCAGCGCATGGACGACGAGAAGGAGAACTACGACGAGCTCGTCACCGCGCTGAAGGAGGCGCGGCGCAAGATCCAAGATGAGCGGGATGACTATGCCTCTCGTCTGGCACGTGCCGAGGAGGCGTTCCATTCGGAGCGCGAGGCGTGGGAGAAGTCGCGTCAGCGCGAGGCAGAGCACCACGAGCGCGTCCTTGCCACCAAGGACCAGGTGACGGAGCGTCTAACGACTGAACTCGAAGCGGCGCGCGATCGTGTGGCGATGCGCGACCGCGACCTCGTATCCGTCCAGAACGCCCTCCGCAGCCTGGAGGCAGAGAGGAGGAAGCTCGGCGACGAGCTGAGTAGCGATCAGCGCAGTCTCGAGCTCGAGATCGAGCGGTTGCGGCGCGATCTCGCCCGGGCCGAGGACGACCTGGACCGCGCGCGGGAAGAGGCGCGCGAGCGCGAGTCCTCGCTCGCCAAGCGGGACATGCAGCTCGCCGAGCTCATGGACAAGCACCGCAGTGTCGAGCGCCAGCTCACGGACGAGCGCCAGGGCAGGCTGCAGCTCAGCGACAAGCTGGACGCGGTCACGAAGACGGCGCGGCAGCACGAGCGCGAGGCCGAGACGCTGCGGTCTAGGATCGAGGACATTGAGCCGCTCCTTACGGAGAGCAGGAACAGCCGTGCTCTGCTGCAGAGGCAGAATGACCAGCAGAGACAGGAACGCACCGACTTGCTGTTACGCGTGTTCAAGGACGTGAACCGCTTCCTCGCCGTCGAGGACAGCACGACACCAGCCAACTTCACCCTGTTCAAGGACACGCTGCTGTCCCGCCTGCGCAGCATTTCGGGCGTGCGGACAGACTTTGACAAGCGGATCCGCGAGACGGAAGCGCGCATGGAGAGCAAGATGGCGAGCCTGAAGCGGCAGCTGGAGGGCAAGTGGCGCGCGCTGGACGGCTTCGAGGCGAGCGTGAAGAAGCTCGAACTCGCGCGGGCACAGTGGCGCGCCCGCCTGGCGAGCAAGGACGGGGAGCTGGAATCTGCCCGCGGCCAGATCAGCGATCTGAAGCGGCAACTCTCCTCTGCCTCCTCCTCCCGCGGCCCCTCAGACGAGACGATCAAGCTGCTCACGGACCGCGCGTCCATGGCCGAGAAGCGCGCAACGCAGGCCGCCCAGTCGCTTGAGAGTCTGGAGCGCAAGTTCGAGGAACTCCAGAAGAGGACAGGAAGCGCGGACACGAAGTGGGAAGCGCGGGTCAAGGAGTATGAGAACCGGCTCCGCATCGCGGGCGAAAAGGTCAAGGCGGAGAAGCAGGGTGGCAAGGAGCGCGCGCAGCAGCTCGAGACGCAGGTCAAGGAGCTGGAACGCCAGCTCGAGCTCACGAGGAGACATAATCGGCGAGCGGAGGGGGTGGTCGCTAATGCGGCGCACCTGCTCAAGGATGACGAGTAAGCGTTCGTATCCATCCGTCGTTTCGCCCTGTCTACCTGTCTGCCTGTCTGCCTGTCTAGAGTATCTATGTAGTACTATGTTGTGACCATGCACATGCACCATTGACGACTATGCCGGGTATGAATGATGCATAAATTGTCCTAATAATGTCCTGATGTCTTGATTATACAACTAGTAATCCTTCGGCGGCACGGGCGGGGGCACGCTCTCGTCACTAACGGCGCTGACGGTGCTCATCTCACTCCGTGTCGAAGCCACCGTGTTGGCGCGGAACCGGCTCGCGATGGGCGTGACACTGGAGATATGCGACCGCTTAGTGGCGCTAGTGAGCGGGGCGACTCTGCCCCTCCCGTCTTGCCTCCCCTCGACATGAGCTCCAATAGGCACGGCGCCGGGAGATGCGGTCACTGCGCCGGAAGAAGAAGGGGGAGTGGCGGGCGTGCGACCGGTGCGGACTTCGAGCTTGGGGATTGCGCGGTGCGAGTTGCTGAGTCGACGGAGACGGAGGTCGGATGATCGCTGCGGAGGCGGGGGAGAGGTGAAGGGGTGCCGAGGGGTGGAGGAGGTGAGGGGAATGGAAGGCACAGAGCTGGGAACGGGAGGTGCGGAGGTGGGCGCAGAGGGGGCCGAGTTGGGGGCCGAGCTCGAGTTTGGCCGCGAGACGGCCGGAGAGGGAACGGAGGGAGTCGGTCTCGGCTCAAATTTGGGTACAGGCGACGCAGGAATGTTCACCACGGCCTGGGCGACGGGCGGTTTGGGCGCGGGTCGAGCATGCGGCGCCGTTCGCGGCGCGGAGCGCTTCTGAGCCACTGGCGGAGTAGAGGAGCCGCGCGAGGAAGGACGGGCAGGCGTCGTCTTCGGCGTTCCCGACACTGGTGGCGTCGTCGTTGAGTTCTTCCGACTGTGTGACTCTTTCCGCTGAGCCTGAGCGAGAGAGCCACTCCGGCTCCTCGTCCCCGTGTATGCGCTGGGGGCGGCGTCAATCGACCGACGTCCATCCACAGAGCCGCGGCGCGGCACATCTCCGAACGAGTTGTTACGGCTGCGGGGCGCAAAACTGCTAGGCGCGGGCTCGGCGATGGATCCGCTCCGACTCCTCGGTGCGCTGGTGGCCTTGCTCAGCGAACTTCTCCCGGACCGGTTGGAGCGGGCGGACTGGTCCGACCACCTCCGGCCATGACTCGGCTTCCGCTCTCTGACCCCAGTAATGGCGTTTACGACGGTTTCCTTCTTCTCCCGGAACAAGGACAGATTTTCGGATGAGAAGGAAAGGTTGGAGCTGAAGTTGCCCAGCGACAATGCGCCCAGGGCCTTGTTGAGCCCGAACGGGTCCGAATCACGCTTGTCCACCAGTTTGAGGGGCGGCTCTTTGGGTTCCGGCCGCTCGATGGCTAAGAAGCTCGCGTCGCTCGTTTTGCGTTCGCGATACTCGAACGAAGAGGACGAGTGGGCCGAGGCGTTGCTGTTGCGTCGTCGTCGTCGAGCCCTAAAGCTCAATCCGTCGTCGCTGTCTCGACGGTCATGCCTATATGCGCTGGGAGCCGGGGAGACGATGGGACGGAATGTGGGTGTCACAGGAGACTTGAACGGATCAGACACCGCCACTTGCGCGGTATACAGTTGAGAATCACTGCCGCGGCGGAAGGGGAATGCAGTGGGCGGGGCGTCACTGCCCCTCCTACTTCTCAAGCTCTTCAGAGAAGTGACACTGTTCTTGAGCGAGTTGAGGCCCGTGGCGAGACTCTCCTCCATTGATCCCAGAGAGCCGCGAGATCCGCGCGACGACCGGCGGCTCTGCGCAAAGCGCGACTGCATGCTCCCCTCGCTCTGCTGGCGCGACAACGAGCCCTCGTAAGTGATCATAGAGTCCAGACGCTCCCGACTAGACACTCGGGGAACGACGCCAGAAGTCGGCATGCCGCTCGTGTGCAATTCCGAGTGGCGTTTCCGTTCCGCACGGTCGAGGGACGAATGCTTGGGACTCTCTTGAGACTGGCGGAACCATTGCGCCGAGATTGGGATCATGCTCGGCGAGGGCGGGGGCGAGAATCCCCTCTGCGCCTTGGGTTCGGGCGGTCGGGGAGTCACGGGCGCGACGCTGGGGGAGAAGAACTTTTGCTGGTCGTGCTCCTCCATCGCTCTTTCCTCTGCCTCAATTCGCAATTGCCGGGGCAGGAAGAACCATAGCGCCAGGGCGTAGACGATGAGCCAGAATGCGAGCATGACGCCCCAGCCTGCTTTCAGGCTGGGGGCGGAGTACCCGTGTCCCGTAGCTGGCCACTGCGATACAAAGCCGGTCCAGCACGTCGCCCACCCGAGCGCAACGACGAGCAACCCTATGCCGAAATGGAGCAGGTTGCTTGGCCCACGGCCCCTCTTGGTGGTGAAGGAGAAGCGCTTCAGGCGGTCGGGCAACTTGACCCAGTGCGCGACAATGCCAAGGAGACACTGCACGAGGAAGAAGACGAAGAGCGCGATCCCGCAGCTTCTGTGCGTGCTCGACGTATTGCCGAAACTGGCCCCAGTCCCCAGCGTGATGAGTAGGAAGAGAAGACACAGGCCGCCTTGAACGGCGATGTGCAGCGGGAACCAGACTTTCGACGTGGTAAGACCACGCACGATCCGCGGCACGACGACACCGCCGGGGAGGAGCAACATTGTGACCATGACTCCGATTGCGATGTGCGCAACAAGTACGGACGAGGGCATCCCGTTCCTCTCTGCCGTCTTGCTGTTCACGGGCATCGGGTTGGACACCTCCTCGTAGTCCTTGTGGTAGTTGATCGTTCCGTATCCGCTCCAAAGATGCTGGCTCAGCTCCGCATCAGCCCCGCCCTTCGGTTGCGTCTTGGAGAAAGCCCAGATCAGCTTCTCCTCAGTCTTATCGCTGGATGGCACGCTGAAACGCATACTGGACCCAGTGTCGGTGGAATACGAGCTGTTCAGAAGCTTGGCGACGCGGGGTGGACCGGACACCACTGCAGGCGCGATATGACCGGACGCTTGCCGCTGCGAGAGCGTAATGCCGTGCTCGTTCGGCCACATAATGACCATTGGTGTGTTTGCTGCAAGTCAGGTAGTGTCTCGGATGTCTCACTCACGCATGGTGGACCCGAAACCGAGCGCAATCCAGCCAAACTTGCCCCTCGGTGTGGGGATCACCGTATCGATGATGTCTGGGGTCAGCTACATCTGAGAGTTTGCTCACAAGTGTCGGTTCCGTTCTGACGAGTTCCAGATATACAGACGTTCTAATGTCAACACAGGCAGTGATGTAGACTTACCTCATTGCAGATCTTCTGTCCCTTCGGTGCAACCGGAGCAGGAGATACAGGGGCTGTCGGCTTCGCTACAGGAGTCGATGTAGATATTGTGGTTACTGAAGACGTCACATTGGACGCTGGTCGGACTGCAGAGGGGATCAACGTCGTGTTACGAGAGAGCGTGGTTCCAGGCCTGGTCAACGTCGCTGTCGGCATCGCGTGCGTCGGGGACAGTGTCTGGGTCGTGACGTATGTCTTTGTCGGGCCAAAGACGACATAGGTGGTGAGGGCGGCAGACTCGTCGGGCATCAAGGCGTATAGGGCGCCTGTCCCCAGCACGGCCGGCCGCATTATAAACGAGTGTGTGGTGGTGAGGACTCGGAAGGGCTTTGCACTATATACATAGACCTGTTCGGAGACCGTCCACCGGCTGTCCGAAGCAGCATAGCGCTAGTGTTCAGGTCAGGAGCAGGCGATAAAGTCTGAAGTTACCAAAGGGCAAGGTCCCGGATACCGGGTTGGATGAATTCGCGTCGCGTTTCGGTCAGCGCGGTCAGACGCGTTTTACCGCTCCTGGCAGGGTCTGGTAGCGCCAGGCACGCGTCGGGATGATGCTGGGGCGGTGGTTAGTCGATGCCAAACAATTCGAGCGCAGGAATTACCCTCGCCTCGTCGCCTCTGGCCTTATGCTTACTAGCATTAACCCTCCCTGCAGGTTCCATGACTACCCTTCTGTTTGGTTGGTCGCTGCTCCTGTGTCAGGGCTCCAGCTCGTAGCCGCTTTCGAGTATCCTTTCATGCTACCTGCTTGCGAATGGCTGGCCCGCGGAACATGAGTAATCGACCATTCAGTCGGAAAGGCTTACGCAGGAGAGCTTCCAGCTTTGAACACACATATAAGCTCGCTATCGTCAGTGGCCTGATCGAAAGTGTTTATTCCGGGACCTGGTCAGCCGTATCTGTCGAGCGACGTCCCGACGCTATGGTAAGCAACAAACTGGATCCTGTGGAGCGGGTCATCCGAGTAAGTCGGCTTCTAGATGCTGTCATGCTATCTAGATGGCTGGGAGCCGGGGTTAAAGAATGGACGAGGGAGGAGGAAGAGTACTCACTCCTGGTGCAGACGCAGGTGGAGGCTTCACTCACCACCTCCCGTTGCTATGACGCACCACGGAATCAAACTCACGTGACCTCCCATTTCAGTTGCACCGTCAACCTCGAGCGCAATGTTGACAAACGACTTCTTCGCAACGCACATCGCCCACCATGGCTGTCCGACGAGGAGGCGCAGACGCCAACACGGTAAGCTTTCCCAATGCTCGGTGTGAAGCTAACGACAGATGGCCGCAAAGCGGATACGAAAGGAGGTCAGTTTTGCCACCCGACTCCGCTGACCGCAGATCGCCGACCTGGCGAGGGAGAATCTGGGTGCTATCACGCTGGCGCCGAACGAGTCCAACATCTTCCAGTGGAAGGCAGTGATTCCCGGTCCTGCTGGAAGCCCGTATGAAGGCGGCGAATTCGAGGTCGAAATCAGAGTACCCGATGATTACCCGTAGGTGTTTGGCGTGACCCTCGCTGAGACAAGTTTCTCGCCGCCGCAGTTGCACTTCAAGACCAAGGTGTACCACTGCAACATTTCGCACACCGGTGCAATCTGTGAGTTCAGTTTCTTTCGCTTAGCTGACCCCAGGTCTCGATGTAGGTTACCGGCGAGATATCCGCTAACCAGTAGCTCTTGAAGAACGCTTGGTCACCAGCCCTCTCGCTCTACAAGGTCATCCTCTCGCTGTCTTCTCTCCTGACGGATCCGAATCCGAGTGACCCGCTGGTCCCCTCGATTGCGCATGAGTACAAGACGAACCGGAAGAAGCACGACGCGACGGCCAAGCAATGGGTTAAGCAGTGAGTTGCCAAATCAAACGTTTCAACTGATACCAGGTACGCTACGCCGCAGGAGACAGTCAAGGAGAAGCCGCCACCACCGCCCAAAGTTGCGCGTCCGCGACCAGTGCACCGGGACACGAATGGCTCGCCCGCCCCTCCGCCCCCATTGGCCGGCAGCCGTCGCCGCGCAAACGGCGCTGTCGAGGGCGGCTCGTCGACGCCCATTAATTTAACCGGCTCGGACGATGAGGACGATATCCAGGTTGTCGAGGGCTCGCGCCGCCCGAAACGTTCTCGCGTCGAGTCCTCCACCCCCGCTGCACCCGCAGTCGCTGCATCGGCCACCGCGCCCAACGACGAAGTCATCGTCATTGACGACTAGCACATTCCTGAGCATTAGTGACATAGCATTGCCTTTCGGCCCATGTAAGATTACCATTGTCTTTTGTACTGACGTCCCTCTTGAGGTGGCTCGTCACTCACCGAGGACTAATTGTAATTTGTCGCCCACTGCAGGACCATATACGGGCCTCGCACATATTTCGACAGACGTCGGCACGGAAGAAACGTCGCAATGCTCTCGGCAGTGGGCAGAGTTGGTTTCGTCCCGAAGCAGCTACTTGAGCGGGTCAACTGAAGCTGAGAGAATGCATGGTGCTCACGACCAATTCAAGTCGGGAGAAAGCACTCGTTGGCTCATCGCACGCCGGGACGTGGGGAGAGAGCGATGGACGATCGGGACATCAGCCGTGGTTGCCTAGCGACTGGGCAAGGGAATGGCTGGCGACGACCGATACGGTTGATGTCCCCGGGGCGTTGTAAATTGGAGCATTGTGTACAGGGAAGAGGGATAGAAGATCAGAAGAGCATGGAGACGAGGGGAAAGGCGGTGAAGGGGGGCAGCTAGCCGTGGGAGTGAAGCGATGGCAACTGCCAGGGAGATCGGGCGGGTACACAGAGGCTCAATGCCTAGAAACAGATTAGGTCATGTTGTCCTTCCGCCCTTACCATTACCACAAACACACCGCCGGTGGAGAACGCTGTGCGGGCCGTGAACCGTTTCCCGATTCACTCGGAGCGTGACTCTGCCCACGCGCAGTCACGCATGTTCCGTCAGGCCCTTGACGGCATCCTTGCTCACCACCTTGGTCACAGTGTACGGATCGCACTATGGTAAAGAGGGAGGCAATTTCTTTGGCGGTTCGCCTCTCCTTCTCCTTCTGGAAGGTAGGGTGCGAGGTGCAAGGTGCGATGGGGTGGGCACGGGCGCATATCTCGGCAAAATCAAGATCGGCGATCAAGCCTTATCGGCACCACACCCACAATCCACACTTCTGGCGTCAGGCTCATCCTTCCTCACCGAATTCAACACACATCGCCGCGTCTCATGACGTCCAGTTCCCGCTCGCAGCTCAGAGCCCCACAACACCTACTCGCAGCTATTGTACCCGCCGTGAGGGTGATGGAAGCGAAAAGAAACGCCGTCTCGCTTCCGCACAAGTCACCCGTTGTCGATGCTCCAACGCCGATTCGGGTGCAGGCAAGACACCCACTCGCATGGTTATTCGGACCACAGTTGATTCGTGAGGTATCGGAGGTGAATGAATTGTGTTGGAAATCCTCGTTACGACGCCCAGTACAGTCAACTACGGATCCCACGATCGTTTGCGAGAGAATGATTGCGCAGCAGAAAACCCTGTTCCGCCCGGATGGACAGGAGAGTAGGCGGAACTGCAGGAGAGTGAGCGGAACTGTGGGAGATAGGCGAAAGGATACCGATCATCCCCACTGCGGGACAGGCTCGGCAGCGTAGTTAAGCCTTAGCAGTCAGAGAGACATTGTCGGCGAATTACCCTTATCTTGGCACGCCTCAGTTCCCATGAACGCTCACATGTGCCCTCTGCCTCCGGTCCGCAAAGCCTAATCGGCTGCATCCCTCCTTTAGGAGAAAGGAGCAGGCGTGCGCCAAGCCCTTGCGCACGCTGTGATGTCAAGCGGTGTCTCGGATCCGAAAGTGAAAGCGCTAAACCTTGTTCTCTCCTTGACTGTGATGCGTGGTGCGGCGGCACCTCAAGGCCCCGCGCCTCGCTTTCTTCCGGCTTCTGAGCGTCCCACGGCTCCCCGTACTAACGTCTCTTTCAGAAACAAGGCCGTAGAGGTACGTACATGCGCAGCGGTGTGATCGGGCAAAGCACCGTATCGAAGACGTGGGGACGTTTGGGAACGTTGGAGCACCCTCAAACTTGCCATGTGCCTGCTCATGTGGTCTGTCAGCTGTCATCGGAGGTTGGCTCGCCCAGGCGCGCGGTAGGTCTCTGCAGACTGCATCATGACATCCTGTCCGCGGGACGAGTTGGACATAGGCGCTGTTACGACTTTGTCCGCCTTGCTGTTGAGTATGAGATTGATTCATCCGAGTGGGCAGTGGTCGATGGCATCCGGGGAGTGGCTGCTGTCGGCGATCGGGTGTAGGCCAGTCATGCCCGACTCCCCGCCCATCCCATGACTTGCGATTGAGTCGGGGAACCTCCCGAGACCGCTGTGATGCTACACGGAAGCAATAGTCAGCTGTTTCGGAAGCGACCCGACGCACACAAGGAGGCAATCTGCTGCGCAGACGGAGGCGCTAAACGTTGTCCCGCCAAAAAGCCATGAAACCCCCGCGCTGCACGGCGAGGTCAGCGTCCAAGATGTTGCTCTGATGCCGAAGGAGGGGAGGTGGGACATGTGTCGTGCCTTGGAGCATGCCCATGTGCCCCGCAGCGATAAGCATGGGTTCGCTTCCGATATCGCGACAACGTTCTGCGCTACGAAGGTGGACAGCGCCGTCTCGGGCCAAACACCCGACCGATCGGGCGGTGGACTCATGCCCGCAGCGCCATCGGGTATTGCATCACTTTGACGCCCGTGGGTGTGCACGTTTGCGCTCCCGCAACCCCCTCAAACTCAGAAGCCGTCAGCTGCTCGTTCCGAAGCAGACATGCTGCGGAGATAGAAGTGGAGGCACGGCACGCAGGCAGAAGAAGGTAGTGCGGAGCGTCTCGGATCCGAGAATCGAAAGCGCAAAGCGCTAAACCTTCTCCACCCACTTTCCTCCGTCTTCTGTGGTTCCAGTAGAACGGCCCGAGGGTGCGAACCCTCAGCAGCTGGACGTCTCGGGCAGTTCTCCGGCGGGCAACGTGCGCACCAACGCGCGTCACACCTGATACCGCTGCAGCACATGTCTCGGCCGAGTGATCAGCTGCGGGCAACGAGCAAGGTTTGCACCCGCCCGGACACTGTTGGTACCGCTCTCCACGAGAGTTCCGAGTAAACATCTCTCACAACGCGCGGCAGGAGCACAACGAGGGCCAAGAAGACAGCGGCTAGCCTCCATGCGGTCACGATGACGCTTCGCTTCCGCTCGGCACCCTAATTCATCTTGTGTGCGTTCTCAGATGTTAGCGCCGCCAACAGCATGGCGAAGGATGATTTGGGGTGTTGCGGGTCAAGCAAGAGCTCTTCGGGTGATGTTTTCGTCTCGCCTCGAGACGATGTGGACGCTTGGAGTGTTGAGTCAGTGCCAGCTGCGTGCGAAGTCTTGGGCCGTGCGCCGTGTTCTCTACGAGCTCGTGCGTCCTCGAACATCAAGTCCTTCGACAACTTCTGACCTCTTGAAAGGTATATAAGAAGGCCTCCAGACGCTCTTTTCAGACCATCAACAACAGCTCCTCCCAAGCACAACACAACAGCTCCCGAACAACTCCCCAACCAAACCAAACCAGCCAAACCAACCACCACAATGAAGTTCCAGCTCATCACCGCCGTCCTCGCCTCTGCCGCCTTTGTCGCTGCCGCCCCCGCCAACAACAACGCTCTCGTCGGTGACGACAGCGATCTCACCGGCACCACCAAGGCCGGTGACTACGTCGTCATCTCCAAGCGCGAGGCATGCGGCGAGGGCCGCCCTTGCTTCGGTGTCAACCGCGACGACGCCTGCTCTACGTGAGTTCTCCAACTTCTGCCCCTGCTGACATGCAGCCACTGCAAGACCGCCTGCGGCGCTACCTACGGACAGTGCGGTGGATTCGCCTGGCAGACTTGCATCTGTCACTGAGCGATAGTAGATCGAAGTGATCAGACGTAGATAAGTGAATGCAAGAAGTGTGAAGTCTCCTATCTCGGTGATTTTCGGTGATCAGCCGACATGGTTCTCACGGTCGATCCGACTGACCTCCACCCCATCGCGGTGCCGTGCGGCCTGGCTCTGGCCGGCACAGGCTCCACCTTGCTGAAGCACTGCTCTAGGGCCGCCCTCCTACAGCAATATACTGAGGCCGGATGTGGTCGACCGCTGCGCAAGCTCTGGTGCTACCGCTTAGCCAGCTCCGGGGCGGACTCTCATATCACGTGACACCTCACCGGCCATTGCCGTATTTGCTTTCTCCATCGCAGCAAGTCTCCACCACATCCCGGAGTCGTGAGTATGGGCTCGCATGCAATGAAGTCAACGCTTAATGTCATATAGATGGTTGATTTTACTACACAGCTACGGATCACCCAGGGCACGGACCGACGCCTAGGGCTTTAAAAGAGTTTGGAGCGGAGCTGGACAGTGCCTCTGTTCATGACCCTCGGCACAACAATTGAAACACGCGCCATCCACGCGGTTGCACGGGTTCGTGATATTGCCAGCATGAGAGAAGCGCGCGCAGCGGCGACACTGGACCCCGCCCTCAGGGATTTTCGAGTTGAGGGCAACGTGCTTGCCCGACGCCGTGAACAGGTAGTCGGGTTGCTGGGCAAGGGGCGTCGACAGATCGATGTTGCTCACATCAGGGAGCAGTGCACGACAGGCGCCAGTACCAGAAGACGAAGATCCGGACCTGTGTTGATGGCCGGCGGTACGGTTGGCACTGGCGTTTCCGAGCTTGGCGGGCGAAGGGGCGCTACGAGCGCCGGTGCGAGACTGCATGCGATTCTTCTCGTCGCTAGGTTCGTTGGCTGGAGCTTGGGCTTGGACGCTGCGAGTCGAACGGTGGCGGGCACCATGGCTTGTCTGCAAACTACCACGCCTTGCAGTCTTGTCGGACGCAAAGCCGGGGTCGGCAACGCTGGGATGGGCAACGCTGGGATGAGCCTGCTGGGTGTGTTGGGCATCGGCGGCGTTCATGGCGGCGACGGCCTTCTTGCGCTTCTCCATCGGCATCGTAGTGTAACGTGTCCAGGGCGCAGACAGTTGTGATAGAACTCGTCACAGCGGTTGCAGAGGCTCGAGATGTTCCCGGCATGACTGAACCTTTTGCACTGATGGCATTTCACCCCCTTTGGAGGAGGGGCGATGTTGAGCGCAATCGGGGTGCCGGCAGGGGTGAAGTGGCTGTCGGGCTGCTCGGCGAGAGGAGTCGACAGGTCGATCCCAAAGGTGTTGGGCAGAATTGGACGTTTGCTCGTGTTGGTTTGAGTGCTTGGGCGGGTAGCGTCATCGGTCTTGTTCTGCGAGACAGCTCGAGGTTGGTTCGACGTCGAGGGAGAGACTGTGGAACCATACTTCTTTTGGGCCTGAGAAGAGCCGCTGACGGCGGTGGGTCGGCCGAGCGAGGTCTTGGGGGGACGGGTGCCAACAGTGCCGCCGGTGTGCGTCGAGCGACTAGGCAACGTGTAGTAGGTGGAGTGGTCGTGGGTCTCTATGTGCTGAAAGACGGGCTCGACGCTCTCACTGCTCCAGTGGCAGCATGAGAAGGGGCACAAATACTTCCCGGAGGAAGTGCGGAGTGGCTGAGGGGGTGTGCGATGGAATGTGCGACGCCTACCCTTGGGGTCGGAGTCAGTCGAGACGGGGGGCGCGTCCATGCGGCTACAGGGACTGGTTGTGTTCCCCGCGTGAGAGAAGCGGGAGCACAGACGACGCTGCACTCCTCCAGTGGGGACCTTGACGTTGAGGACGACGGGCTTGCCCGTCTGGGTGAACATGTACGAAGGTTGATCGCGCAGGGGCGTCTTCGTGTCCACCTGCGTGACATCCGGGAGCAGAGGGCGGCACGCGCCGGTGTAAGCTGCGGGAGACGCAGGACCACGACGACGGGGCGAGTCGGAGGGGGGCTGAGCGCGTCGGGTGCCGGGCTGGGTTGCATCGTCGGGGTGGGAGCGAGGCTGCCCACCAGTCTTGAAGGCATGTCGGGAGCGTTGGGGGTAGACCTGGGGTTTGACGTCGCGAGTAGAGGGCGCACGTGCGCCATGGTTGCCCCGAGTTGACACCGACGGAAGACGTTGGTGCGTGAGGCTGGTCACGCCGAGCCTGAGCATGGTTGAGGGTGGCGACAGCCTTTGCGCGCTCGTCGGTGGGCATCACGGTGTATAACTCCTCGGGGCTGTGGGTTTTGACGTGTCGAAGAACGACGTCGTACGAGTCGCGGCGAAAGCGGCAAGAGAACGTGCAGATCCAGTCATGACTGGAGCAGACGCGCTCGCTGTCCGCGTTATAGCATTTAAGGCGCCCCATGCAGCGTGAGCTGCGCCATCAGTGTCTCCTGCTTAGAGGGGAGCTTACCTTGCCGTGACAAGAGAGCCGGGGCGGGTCTTGTGCGCGTCGGCGCAAGGGACGTTGGACTTGAGGTACTGAGGCTCGAGCACACTCAGGATGTACCTCTTCTCCGTGTCGAGCTCCTTCTCCTGGCTCACTCTGCTCACCTGGTTGAGGGATTGGCACGTGGTGCAGAGCGCCGGCGCCATGCCGCCACAGCAGTGAGAGGGAGGAAGGCGAATGTGCGGCGGGTACTCGTTGTTGCACGAGTTGCCCTCGCAGGGGTTGGTAAGATAGACAACGTCCTGCACCTTGCTGGCATACCGCGGATACTGACCCCAGGTCAGCTTCAGCAGCTTGAAGGTCGCCCCGGGTGCTCACACCCCCTGTCGAAGATTCCAGGTCGTTCTTGATCTTCACTTGCTCCTCCGGGGACGCGTCGTCGAAGCTGTCATAGCGGTCCTCGACAAGGCGGCCGGCGAAGGTCCAACGGCTGGTGTCGTGGCACTATGGGCCATGACCTGCGGTCAGGGAGCGAGGAAGGCGACCACACCGCGGTATCCTGCTCCAGGAGGGCAAAAAGCTTTTTGCTGTTGGTCTTGGGGCACTTGGGGGCAGCTTCACGAGCCTGGGCCCCGTTCATAGGGACAGCCTTCTTGGAAGAAGGGGGAGGAAGAGCCTTCACCAGACTCATGATGAACTTGCTTCCATCGTCGTCAAGCGCGACACCGAAGCGGTCAAACACCTCCCTGGCCAGGCCACTCTGCGTAGCCACGTTGAGTTCACTGCGGTAGTGAACTACCATGAGGCAAGCCTCCTTGGCCCTCTCCATGTAGTTGATAGAGTAGGAGTGGGTAACTCCGTCGGGCAGCATGCACTCGAGGTTGTTGAGGGCAACGATGCCCATGCCGCATTTGAGGTTGAGGCTATGCACATCGGGCATCTCGGGGCGGACGGGAAGCTCTGGACGAGCAGGGGGCGTGAACGTTCCGTTCATGAGCTTGTGGTTAGCAGCTGTGACGGTGACAATAAACTCACCGGCACCAATGACTAGAACCTCAGCCACCCCGGGTCCTTGGAGAGGTAGCTCTTGTCCTTGCTGCGAAGAGGGAAGGCGATGTCGTCGGTGATGCAGACATTGAGGGGGGCGCTTTGGGCTTAAACCGACAGGAACAGTCATCTTTTTCCTCCACCGAGAACGGCTGAGGTCCCGGGGATGGACGCAAAGACGAGTAGGGCAGCTGTGGTAGATATGGAAGGGTGATGGGAAACAACGAAGGGTCTGTGAAGGAGGAAGGTGGTCGTGAAGATTACGATGTATGCGGAGCGGAGAGAAGTGTGGGAGGCGGGTGAGGCATTGGCGAGGGTGCACAGTGTCTTCCTCGAGCCTCCGCTCATTTTGTTCCCGTGAGCTTGTTAGGCTGAACGGCAGAGCCACCACCAGCAATCCCTCCCTCAAGGGGGGCAGGTGGAGGCGCGATCTGAGCGCTTCGTTCGCCGTTCTCCAAGTGCCCTCACGTGCGCCCCTCTCTGAGGTGGCAGGGCCTTACTCTCCAGTCTGCATGTCGGAGAGGACAAACAAACCACCGGAACGCTTTCAGGTATGCATCACAAGACATCGTCCAGTGTCATTAATCTCGGTGACTATCAGCAAATTACCGGCGGTTGGGGTCGTTGACGGTACCGGGCGACCACTTCTCGATCATGTACAGTGCCGCCTTGAGTTAGCAGGATCTTTCAGCGACTCACCCAGGTGATGACAGTTAGACCGGTATAAACAGCAACAAGAACGGGGATCGCACGGTTTCCATCGACGAGACGGTTCAGAAGGCGGGCGCCGTCAGTGAAGCTGAGGATTGTATTGGAGATGTCGCCGATTTGGAGCGCCTGGTCGGCATTTGGCCATGTGACGTTCGGGATCAGGTCCGCCGATGCTACAGCCCGAGAAACTGAGGGGCCCTTGGTGAGCGCAGCGAGACTACACAGCACAAGGCCGGTCGTCAGCTGGAGGCCATGTAAGACGTAGGATGAGACTCCATTGATGGGGCCTCGCAGCATCGAGCACACGACCGCGAAGATAAGGACTCCTCCCTGAGGTGAGCGACGTATGTACATAACCTGCAGCACTCACAGCAGACGGGTACAGCCACATAATGCCACTGTAAGCGTCCAGAAAAATCCCGACGACTACCTGAGCCCAGAGGTGGGCAGCTTCTGCGAGGACTCCCTGGGCAACAGGGACGCTCGTGTTCAGATTCTTCGATAACTCGTGCTGCGTGTACGTCGGCACACCGAGATCCAGCGCCTGTCGTCAGCGCACTTCAAAACATTCTCTTACCTCGGCAACTTTGACGGCAGTTTCGGACAGGAAAACAAACACAGTGGCGTTGCGAGACTGGATCGCTTCGTCGGAGCTGTTGTGCTCTTCAACCATACTCCATACATTGGTCGTGAAGTTGGAAAAATCGGGTTCGACTAGGACACGATCGATGTAGTCGGCGAGGCTGGCGAGAGTTCCGTTACCGGGGCGGCTAGCCATAGCACTATCGACCACTCGAGCAGTTTCAATCACGCCATCACGGAAAGAGGAAAGCACAATGACGTTGAGGAGCGCTTGGAGAAACAACAAGAGTACGAAATGTAGCGCAAGTTGGGCCCACTTCCAGAAGAGCTCCCGTTTACCTTTAATAGTCGTGCCTCGGTTGAAATGCGAGAATATGAAGCCATAGATGTTGCAGTACACCAGAAGTGTCATAGCTGCGAGAGAGTAGACAGATTTGTTAACAAGCCCGACACCCAGAATTGTGCGCTGCAGCTCAAGTGCAATGCCAATGAAACCTTCACCTAGGATCATGATGGATAGGCTGCCGTACTTCTGGCCGATGACGCCCGCGCGGGCACTAGGGGCTTGTCCCGAAGCTTCGATAAACCAGGAGAAGAACTCAATCACGACGCTCCCAAAGAGGAGAGCGAGCTGGACCAGACGCAGGCGGTCCGTGCTACCGCCCGCTCCTAGAACGACACAGGATATCAGCATAGCAGTTTGGATGAGCTGCACCGCAATAACGCGCCCAACAAAGCGCTGAGTTGCCCCGCGCTGGGAACGCCAGCCAAGCCACCAAACTATCGTTAGTGCCAGCTAACCCTTGACTCACCGTGCATGTGTTGCACCATGAGCACTACGCGATGCGCCAGACACGCAGCAGCCGTAGTAAGGAACGAAGTCATTGCCTGATGTTTCTCGACTCGCTTTGCTGGTGCTACGGCAGCACTAGCCGCTCCAGAGACGGGATGCAGGAACTCGAACAGTTGCCATCCCCCCGAGGAGGCACCGATGTAGACGAAAACGCCGATGTGGACGCACTTCAGAATACGATGACACAGGTCGTTGGTCTCGTAGCGGGCATCGTACTGGATGTGGGCACCCCACATGGACGCGACGACGAGATAATATCTGTGGTCAGACACTCAACGCAGCCCTTCTCACCCGAGGAAGCTGGTGACCTCGCCCGGAGTCGTCATCTGGTTCGAAGCATTGAAGGCAGAGAGAGACGACACAATAGCTAGGTCAAAAAACATATTGAGCCATTCGCTTGGACGCTTAGTGTCAGGAACCCAGTCCCGACCGTTGTCATCGGTGCTGGGATGACGCTCAGGGTGGACGCGAGCCGGAAGAAGGTTGATGTAGTGGACGTCTTTGGCTGGAGCGGACATGATGGCAAGTGCAGAGCCAACTCCGTCTGGCCACCAGCATGAATATCAGCAGCCGCCTTCCAGCGCATCGTTCTTGGGCGCAATCAGACTCGCGTACATCTTTAGCCGCGGCCTAGAACGTGAGGCTGGGTCCTTTGGTCAACGCTTCGCAGTTGGTGACGACGGGCCTCTGACGCGGGATAGGACACAGCCTGCCTTGGGGCGCGACGCATTGTCTGAGGTAGAGATAGCAGGGAGCTTGTTGAGTTTCGCAGTGCGCCCCATCCGACGTTGATACACAGCCCTCTCCCGCTGTACAAGGTTGACAGCGTTGTGGTCCTGCAGAGAGTTTGTCCGGTCGACAGAGGAGGATATCTTAGGTTCATGAGCACGGCGTTGGCGGCCGTGGGAGATAAGAGATAGAGACCGGCTATCACGTGACTTTGCGCCTTCTCTCACACCGGCTGGAGAGAGGGCGCATGAGAGCCTGCTTCTCATCTTGCTCGTCCTTCTGGGTCGCCTGCGCTCTTATGGTTCCCACAGCCTTCGGATACTGAATAGTGAGTCGCAGAAGCTGAGTGATTCCCGCTGACTTAGCAGTGTAAAGATGTGCCACCCCTTGTCGCGAAGATGACGGCTGCGCGGATGCAAAACGCTGCTCCGCTCGCTGACAGAACGCAGATTGAGGACATCGGCCCACAGCTGGGGATTTCGGGATTCTGGACAGCACTGACTCAGCTGACGGGGAAGAGGAGGAGATGACGTCTTTACCGCCCGACAGCCGAGCAGGCACGCTCACTCACTGCAGACAGCCATCCCTCTCATCGCGTCGGAGTATACCTCATCCCGGCTTGACACTGCCTATGCCATGTTGTCTTCCTCGTCACTTCCTCTTTCTACCTCATTCATCCAGCATGATGGCTCATCATCCACCGCATTCCCATCGACAGTCCAAACACACTCTGTTGCCTCTTGCATACACTATGCACCGCCGAACATCTCCGCTTCTGACAATCCACACTCCCCGGCGTGGTGCGTCGCGATACAAGTAGGCACGCTGCCTTCTTCCCGCCGCTGACGTTTCTGACCCAAGGAAAGCTCGCCATTCACCTCAAACGTTTCACAAACTCCTTCCTCCCTTCGTCTCCCCTCTTCGACCACCAAGCTCATCCGTCTACTCCGTCGGCTGTCAAGAGGGCCCAACCCTTGGGACCGCTCCCGAACTCCAGCAAGCAATGCTTTGCGGCCCCATCGACGAACATCGGAGGAAGATTCAGCTGCGGTCATGGAGTCGGGATGTACCTTCCCCGAATGTTGCTACCAAGCGCGCGGACCAGGAAGCGGCCCCAACGGGCGTCCGCCCCATGGCTGCCGCTGCCCCTTCGCCGCTGACAGGGCCCAGGTTCGCATGCTTTGCGGGGCGCACGCCCAGCTGGCCCTTGCCGCAAAGCGTTTTTGCAAGCTCACGGAGGCTGAATACCTCCACTATCTCTCCAAGGTCTTGGATATGGTAGTCATCACCAAACCTTGCGCGGGCCCGAACTGCAGCAACTTGCTGCCGCCCTTTTATCTGGCGAGCCTCCACTTCGTTTGCGGCGGTGAGTACCTGTGGAAGAGTCATCTAACAGACAGCCAGGACATCTCCTTGTGCCACACGTGCGAAGGAGCCCACAAGCGCTCCTTCCGCAAGCAGGAGGCGGAAGCGAAGGAGGACCTCGGACAAGCATTCATCATTGAGGCTCCCCAAATCCATCTGTCCGAGCGCGCCCTGCCGTGCGCGGACAAGGCGGCGCTGGACTGCCCTGGAACAGCATTGTGAGTCGACACCTTTGTGATATCACTAACGGTGCAGCTCGCTGTTTTAGGGCAAGTACCAGCCGCGCAACCTCAAGGGCCAAGCTATCTGTTCGAGGTGCGAGAGGGAGTACTTGGAAGTTATCAATAATCTCTCCAGACTGCACGCCGCCGCACGGGGATGACTGCTATCCTGGCCAGCCACCGCCCCCGCAACTGGGGTACGCTGCAGGACATGCTTCTCGTCGGGTCCTCGGCGGTGGCCATCTTATCGTCCATCGCCGTTCAGGTCGCTGGTGGGACACTAGGCTTGTCCTACCATGCTTCCTTCAAGGGAAAGAACGTTCCCGATGGCACGTTCGCGAGGATGGCCACTGCTTTCCGAAATGGAAACTCCATCCGTTTCGGCCTGCACCACACCGGCATGGCCCCGTCCACGTCGACCAAGGACCGGCCGTTTGCCGCCTGGTCCGTACGAGCCGCCGGTGGAGCTCGACAGGCCCGGAGCAGCCCGTTGGTGCTGTATCCCTTTGTGGCCCGAACCCTTGTTGACCATCCCTGCCTGTGGGCAACAACAACGGCACGGGCCAGGTCAGCCGACAAGTTCGCGGCTCTCAACGGCGTCTTCTCCGGAAGGAGGACCACGGCAGAGACGTTCCTCAAAGCCCTATATTAGGCCAACAAGGACGTCGCCGACGCCTACGCTGCCAAGGTCGTAGGGCAGGCGGAGTCATCGCTGTCTCCGCTCAAGACCACCGATGCCAATGGTTTGCATGATGTGAAGGTCAAAGGTGTCAAGAGGAGCCTCAAAGGGGTCGCGAGCTTCGACGTCTTCTTCCGATGACCACGGCTCGTACGTTCCTAAAGGCATGTACAGGATGGAGGCTCAATGGATTGAAGAAGTAGAAGATTGATGCAGAGGAGCTCAGCTGTGAAGGTGTGCTCCCCGGACAGCTCCGTCAGGATGGAGGTCGGCAAGTCCGACCGAACCTACTAACACAGCGACGTGGCTGATGGCACGGTCAGGATACACGAGAGATACCTGTCCACGGCCCAGGTTGGTGCAGCATTCATGTCCCTGCTCCTCATATCGCGTGTTGTCTCTACCAGGTGGCCAAACATTGCTGCTCAACGTCTCACGCCTTTACACGAGTGGTTTCAGTTCAGGGGTCCCACACTGGAAGTGGCTGCGAGTCTCGCGTCGGTCCGGAGATGACTCCAACTCCACAGAGTGCCCCAGCCCGAGGTCACCAGCCGCGCACCTTCCTCTGAGATGGGGGGGAACGACACCGCGGTGGTCGCCGAGCGATGATACTCAGCGCGCATTAGCCAGCCATTGTTCTGCCTTAGCACACTTGCCTTTGACGTCTGACAATTGAGCTTTGGGTTTCGGCTGGCGCCTATTGCTCGTTTCAGCCGCCGCTCCATCCGATTTGACATTCGACTCGCGAGCACAGCACCATCGTGGCGCTGCCAAACGTGCACGACAGCCACGATTGACCGGCCACTGATGCGCTGACTGGCTGACTAGACGAACAAACATGGGCCCTACTCGCGCACAACGCTACTCACAGATGCTACTGTCAAGCGGCTCAGTACGTTGCGCGAATCTACCTGTCCGCAGCGTGCGCTGATCTCGTCAGACACGGGACCCGGGAGAAGTCTCAACGACACATAGGCAGCTGGCGCCGGGACGTTCAAGGACGCTGGTCTGCGGTGCGTCCAGCCCCAAAATCCCCGAAGGATCTCTCAGCGCACCGCTGGTACCGGTCGACCAAACACGTCGCATTGTCCTCCCAGTATCTCTTCCCCACAACAAATCACTCGACTGTCAACATTGCCAATGACAAACCACTCGACTGTCAACATTGCCAATGACAAACCTCGCGCGCAGCAGTTGCTCGACCCGTCAACGGTAGTAGCCCCCGCTGACGAGCAGACCATGACCAAGCAGACCCGCGCGCGCCAAAAGCAACTGTCCAAGAGCCAACCCCTCTCTGGCCGGCAGCGGCAGCAGAAGGAGGAGGCGTCTCAGCCCAAGGGCCAGCGCACCAACAAGGACGAGGACATCGACGACATTCGCAATCGCATTGTCGCGCGCGTCAAGAGCCGAATGGAGCACCGCAAGGCCACCGGCCACACTGTCACCGTCGAAGACGTCAAGCGCGAGATAGAGCGTGAGATGAACGCCGAGGACTTCCAGGCTCACATGTGCGCTTCCATCAAGCGCCAACTCGAGGGCCTCAAGGTCCAGCTAATGGCTGAAGATGTCAATCGTGACAAGGACAAGGGACCTGCGCTCGACGGCCCGCGTCGCCAACCTACTTCCCGTCGCTGGTTCTAAGTTGCCATGAGTTCCGTTGCTCTTCGTCTCTAGGTGTAGACGTGCCCTTACTGCCCCGTTACTGGACAGCAGCGGTCTCGTGCACTATCCCAGACACCAGGTTAGGCTCCCTTCCACATGTGGATAATAACATACAGTCTGTGACCGCTGTGTTCTCTCAGATGTACATTCCCTATGCGTGACGGCTCCGGAGAGCCTCTCACTTAGCTCAACCTCGGCTTGCGAGACTACACCGTAAAAACGGCGGCCGAGATCCTTCAGGGCCTTGAGGTTGGACAAGTGCGTGATACGAGCGTGGCCATGTACATGATGCCATGAACCCGAGCGAGAAACGATGCCGTCTTTTGAGCTCGTTGCCTAAGTCGACAGTGTTTCCCTCCGCCAGGAAGGGGCCACAGTCTCAGACACAGCCGCCAATGAAGCCAAGGCTGAGTATCCCTCAGCGCAGCGAGTGATGACCGGGCCGATCGCTGCACGTTTAGACATTCTGTTCTCTCTCTCTCCCTGCGAGTGCTGGGCGAGTGAATGGCTCTGTCAGCGGCGGGGAGAGTGCGACGACGCTGGCCTCATGTTCCTCGGTCTTGTCTTCGCGATACTCAGCCTTGGCGTCATTGGCGGCCAGCTTTCCGCGCCTTCAAGGTTGCGCGGAACACGACAACGGTGCTGAGCTGTTATCAGTGATGGTCTGGGGCTTTCAACATACATGCGGCGAATGACGTCCTGCCTGACGGTACACGCCGTGTGCGAGTAGCCTAAGCAGGCTTGGTCAATGCACTTCTGGCACGTTGCTGCAAGACGCTCCACGCGCGCAATGGCGACGGCGTAGTTATCGGTTCCATCGCATGCGCTGGGAACAACGCTCCTCGCAACGGCCTCGAGGGGTAGCTTCAGGCGATCGTGCTCGGAGACCTCCGCATTATCGTGCGCCATGCACAGGACGCAGCGGGCACCATCGCCGGCCCAGTGCCCTAAGGTGGTAACGTCCTCTAAGCGCCAGGACTCGCTTGGCCAACGTGTGCACTTCTTGGGGAAAGGACAGCCCAGTACCTGAATGAACTCCCAGTCCTACAGCAGGATGCGGACCGTGTCATGTTCGCCGTGTCAAGCTACTGGCCGGACGAGCTCCGCTTGACGAGGTCGAAGACTTGGAATGACAGACCAAAGCGTTGCCATGAGTCTGGAGTTGTGGGGTAGCGGAACCTGGAGAGACTGCTCCTGTTTGGGTGGACAACTGGTCACGAAGAACCTCTGCGCCGATGTTGAGCCTACTGTATAAGGCGAGACTGTAAAGGATAAGAAAGCCTGAGACGCAGAAATAGGGACGTGCTGGCAGTCGCGCGCAGGATAGGCCAGAGCAATTGTCCCACCATGTCAGCAGAAGGGCGAAGCGTTCCCAGACCAACGATCGACCGTCCTGGTGGTCGACGCAGTCGATGAGACCTGGATAGGGCGGCAGCGGAGAGGCGGCCACGACCCCAGTCTCTGGTGAAGCCCCCTCTCCTGTATCGTCTGAGATTGGTCAGCACCGAGCATCAAGGAATCACAAGAAGCTAATCACCATGCGGATGAATAAAGGGCTTCATCGCTTTCGTTCTTGATATCCTCAATGAGAACGTCGTCGGGAGAAGTTGTGGGAACGCGATGCGCTCTCAGAAGGGTCTCGCCTCAGAAGCAGTCCACCACCACCTTGCGTCGCGCCTGTGTAGGGGGAACACGGCGAGTCGCTCAAGCACTGAGAGCTCGATATCGCCTCGCTAGACGTCAGCGACAGCTCTCAAATTCACTTACCCGGCCAGGCCAGCTGGGAATCGACATGTCGCGCTCGACATCAGGCAGCCGACCAATGGCGGTCGATATCCTAAGCCGGCCCAACGGTCCAGCGCCTCTTGGCAGATGGTGGGCCAGTGCTGGCGTTCTCTGGGCGCCCGACTTCGACGATGACCGGGCGGCCGTCGGGCCTTTGCCTGTCGACGAGTTCGAGTTGGCTTAACAAGGTCCCGAGGGACAAACCGCACATCGCTTATGGTTCGGTGTGGCCGCCAGAACTGGCCGGCCTCGCTCGGCAGGCTCTGCGGCGGGGTCGACCGTGGCAACAGCGAAGGTGTGTCTACGGCCCTTGTTCTGGTTGCCCACGTCCAAACCAGTCTGATCGTTGGCGAACGGTGACGATGCCCAACGACGTGATTCGGAGACACGGAAGACGTCAAGGTACTCTCTCAGTGTTCTTCGAGGCAATGGCCCTTCATCTTGCGGATGACATGTGCAGTCCGAAAAGCGGTCTTAGAGAGTCGCAAGACGGGCAGTGCTCGGCATATCGCCGTCCGCTGAGCATGTAGTCGAAGAGAGGCGTGGTCGCGCGAGGTGTGGCTTGATGGAGGGGGCTGTGAGGGTTAGAGAGTTTGGTAGCAAGATCGGAAGGGTTGGGAGGACTTTGGACTGCTATCGAACAGGGGAGGCCTGGCCTGTGGTTGAAGTGGACGACATCGCGGAGCCGAGAATCTGTGAAGTCAGTCCCAGACGGACGGCCCTCCACTTGAGCGGCGCAAAGCATAGCTCCGCCATCACGAGGGGATCGCTATTCCCTGATTAGTGTATAAGCCGTGATCTTCTGCAGAGATGGTGCAGCGCAGCGACCCCCGGCGCCTGCAGGGCGACTTGTCCTGCCTGGCGTGAATCTCAAACGAAGCCGCTTGCGGCGGTTGACGCTCGCTTCTTGCATGTGAGCGGGAATGAGTTAGGTTGAAGCAGAGTGAGTTTTGATGCCATCCGTAGTGATCGAAGGGACTGCTGCTGGTAAGAAGATGTGAAGAAGACAGGAGACAAGGTTGCGCGAAAGATGAGGAAGTTCGAAGTTCGAAGATGAGCGCACTGGTCACCTCTGCGACGCCGCGACCAGCGCGGAAGCATATGTCATAAGCTTGGACGTTATTGTTCAGAGTGCTGGAGTTACGGCCAAGTGTTTGCGTGCACATGCACGCCTGCCCATAGGTCTTTATTCTTAGTCGCCAAAGCATAGCGTAGAGCGGACAAGCGTCCGACTTGGAGATTCGCATGCATGTGTTAGCTCCGAAGCCAGCTCTACGGTGGGAGCCCGCGAGAGTGGAGGACGATGGTCACGTGACTGGGGTTCAGGCACTGTGGCATGGCGTTTGGTGCGGCACCACCCCACCACCTCCCTACGAGATTCAATAAATGTCGTCAACCATCATTCCGCCGTCCACAAATCAGTTACCGCTCTCAAACTTTGCAGGAAATTAGAATAAATGCTACTCTGCCCGGAAATGCAATGAAATGCCACAAAATCGGCTGGGGTCACTAATGGCATGGAAAAGAGAGTCTAGAGGGAGGGTATGATGTTCTACGCGGTTCTAAGCTGTCTGAAACGCTCAGAACGGTTAGAGGTCGTCCTCATCAGAGAAGACCTCCTCCCCACGCTTTCTACGGGCCATACGTTCCTTCTTTTTCTTGCGCGCATCGGCCGAAGTCATCTTCTTTTTCTTCGCGGCGACCTTAATAGGGTTTCCGAGAGCGTCATACTGGACCTCCTCCTCGCCGATCGTGCCCTCGTTCTTGTCAATACGGGGACCTGAGCCCTGGCCCTCACTGCGTCGTTAGCGTGTTTCTTTGCCTTCTGGAGGCCTAAATGCGACTTACACCCAGTTGTGGCCGGAGGCGGAGAGACGACCGTCGGCGATGGCCCAGACCTCGGAACAAACGTTCTCGGAGAACTCGCGGTTCTGTACATGTCAGCAAGCATCCTGTGAAGCGAAAGGATCGACGCACGTGCGTAATCACAAGCACACCACCCTCGAAGTCCTTGAGGGCGGCGATGAGAGCGGCAAGAGACTCGCGGTCTGACGATGTTAGCGATGCAGAAGAGGATTGTGGCGATCGGTGGAGGTGCGGAAGCAAATATGCCACAGCGGGACCTAATTTTCGCTGGACCTCCACCTCCACCCAAAGTGGCACTCACCAAGGTAGTTGGTAGGCTCGTCGAGACAGATGACGTGGGGACGACGCCAGGTAGCAGCACCAAGAACGATCTTGACCTGCGTTGTTAGCGATATTCGTGCTTACGTACTCACTTTTTGACCCCCACTGAGCCCACGCATGGAGTTGTGCGAGACGAACTCGGGCTCGAGACCGAAGTCGGCAAAGTGCTTCTCGATCTCGCGACGAACGAGAGGGCGCATGAGACCAAGACGCTGGGCCTCCTTGGTGTCGATCTCGAGGACCTTCTTCTCGAAGCCACGCGAGATAAGCTCGTCACGGGACATCCAAATATTCTCGGCGGACGAGAGACCCTTGAACGAGACCTCGTACTCGTAAGACTGCTTGAGCTTCTTACGGGCGACGAGCTCGTCGATGGTGCGCTTGACACCCTCCTTGACGACGGTGGCACCCTGGGCCATCTTGGCCTTCTCCTCCTCGGTCATGACACGAGTGGCCTTGTTGAGCTCCTCAAGGTCCTCTCCGGTCTGGTAACGCCAGAGCATGTACTCGAGAGGAGTCGAGTCGAGGTGCTGGTCGATGTGGTGGAAGGCGTGCTGGGCGACGTAACCGATGACAAGGTTAGGGTGCTTCCAGACGGTACCGCCAACGTTGGGCTCGGTCTCGCCGGTAAGAAGCTTGACGAGGGTCGACTTACCCGATCCGTTGGGACCGAGAATGGCGACACGCGACGAAAGCGAGACCTGGAGGTTGATGTTGTACAGCTGCTGCTTGGCAGAGCCGGGGTACTGGAACGAGACGTCACGCATCTTGAGGAGCGACTTCTCCTTGGTCTTGACACCGTCAAGAAGAGGAGGGTCGGGGAGCTTGAACTTGTAGTCCTCGGCAGTGTCGAGGGCGAAGTACGAGCGGGCCTCAGGAACCATGTCAACGAACTTGGTGAGGTTACCGGGGTAACGCTTGAGCTTGAAGTTGTTGAGGTGGAGGACGTCGGTGATGGTGCGGTTAAGGAAGTCCGAGTCGTGCGAGACCATGATGGACGTGCAGGTGGTGAGCGACGTAAGGTAGTCGATGAGCCAGGTGATGTTGACGACGTCAAGGTGGTTGGTAGGCTCGTCGAGGAGGAGAATGTCGGCCTTGAAGAGCATGGCACGCGCAAGGGCGAGCTTCATCTTCCAGCCACCAGAGAGCGAACCGATAGAGTCCTTCTGCTTCTCAGCGTCGAAGCCGACCGACTCGAGAGTGGTCTTGATCTCGGCCTCACGCTCGGCGTCGCCGACACCGGGAAGAAGACGCTTGTCGGAAACAACCCAGTCGAAGATGGAGATGGTCTCCTCGGAGCCGTCGATGTCGTGCTGGACGTAGAAGGTACGGACCTGCGAGGGGTCGGGGAAGCCCTCGACCTGGTTGTTGACAATGGCGTTCATGAGCGTCGACTTGCCGGTACCGTTACGGCCAAGGAGACCGTAGCGGTGGCCACGCTTGAGACGAAGGTTGGCGTGGTGGAGCAGGATCTTGGCACCGTAGGCAAGGTTGAACTGGTCAATGTTACACAGGTCCTCGCCCTCCTCCTCGTCGTCGAACTTGATGTCGTCGGTGGACTCCTCGTCGGCCTTCTTCTGGAGGACCTCACGGACGGCAGGAGCAATGGCGTCGCTCTGGACAGCGAGCTCAAGGTACTTGGGGACAGCAGCCTCCCAGGTGGCCTGGTCGTAGGTGTGGGCGTTGGTGAGACCAGCGGCGAGAACACCAGCGTAGGCGACAGCGGGGTTGGCGGTGTCGAGCTTGGGGCCCTTGGCGGCGACAACGGCGTCGGCGAGGTCCTTGGCAAGAGCGGGGCCCTCGGCGATACGGAGAGGGGGGAGGTCGGTACCGTCCGAGTTCTCGGGGACCTTACCAATGCGACGGAGGGTGGCAATGGCACGGGTACAGACCGAGCGGGCCTCGGGGTCACCAATGGTCTCCTGGGTCTTGATCAGACGGGGCAGGAGCTGGGGAAGGAAGGGGCGGACGGTGTACTCGGAGTTGACGAGCTTGGACATGTTGTCGGTAATGACGGCAACACGACGCTTGGTGGCGGTAAGACGCTCGTCAAGACCACGGGTGAGGAGGGGAGCGATAAGCGAGATGGTAGGGGAAGTGACCTCAGCAACGAAAGTGGTAGCAGAAAGGAGAGTGAGGGTCTTGGGGACCAGCTCGGGCTCGATCAGAGTCTTGACGATCTGGTAGGGTTAGCAAGGAAACTCGCCACAAATTGCTGCGAACGCCACAAGGGTGGCTGCTGACGTAATGGCAGCTCCACCCCATCGGGGAAATTCGGCACGTGGATACTCACCTCGGGAACGAGCTTCTCGATATCCTTGTTCTCGACAAGCGCGGTCGACTTGTTAAGGGTGGCCTTGGCGGCCTTCTTAACGTCGGACTTGGTGTCCCAGACGGCAGCAGAAAGAACGGGGATGAGCTCGGGGGTGGCGGCGGCCATCTGGACGGGGGCCGAGACAACGAGCTGCTGGAGGACCTCCAGGCAGCCGAGCTTGACCTGCCACTTGCCGTGCTCAGTGATGTTCTTGAGGAGAGTGGGAAGGATAACAGCGGTACCCCAAGGGTTCATGGTCTGAACAATAGCCTTAACAGCGTCAACGGCAGCCTTCTGGACAGTCTTGTCCTTGTCGGCAAAGGCCTCGGTGAGGGCCGGGAAGACGGTGCCGGGGGCGGACGAGACAACGTAAGGCTCGAGGTAGATGCCGGCGCCGTTCTCGCAAAGGGTCGAGATGGACGAAGCAGCGGCCTCACGAACGGCAGCGTTCTTCTTGTCGCCGAGGGCCTATAATTGGTCAGCCACAATTCAATTTGCACTAAAATCCTCGAATTTCAGTGTACAATGCACCCGAGATCCGTGTGAATACTAACTTTCACGACAGCGTCGGAGAGACCAGCAAGGGCGGCGACACCATCCTTCTTGGCGGTGGCGGCAAGGGCGACCTGAGCCTCAGTGGCGGCGGCCTTGTCGGCAGCGAAGAGCGAAGCGGCGTCGATAGCGCCGGCCTTCGCACCGGAGGCAGCAGCAGTAGCAGCGGGAGCCATCATTGAACTAGAATGTCAGTTTCTGATGCTTCTCGAGTCGTCCGATCCATCAGTTCTTGACATACCTGATTCTAAGAGTCTATTGTTTCGATGGGTTTTTTTCTAGCGAGATTTTTCTGGTCGGTCGCGATGGAGTCGATCAGAATCGATTTTTTCGATTTTTTCTAAGCGGATTAGAGAGAGTAGGCGGGAGAGAGAGTTTTACTAGCAAGCCAGATGGCAATGCGAGAAGCCTCGGGGGGGAGAGAGGATAGAGGAGAGGAGAGGAGAGGGGGGGAGAGGGTTTTGATAGAGAGAAAGCAGGTGGGATTCGTTGGAGCGACAGTTTTTAAGAAAGACTACCCCTAACGTGCTGGACTAGGAGCGGGAGCAAAAATTTCATGCATAGGATAGGTTGTGCGATGACCGGAGAGGCCGGCCTGGCAGCGAACGTCGGCGAGAGCGAGCGTGCGCGGGCGGGCGGGGGAAAGAGCCAGCGCCAGGCAGAAAATGTTCGACCACCCGTTTCAGGGTCCTCTCAGCCCCCTGGCCCTCACTTGCACCCGCGTACCGTCAAAGCTCAGTCAGCCCATCTCTGCGTTTTCGCCTCGCCATCCGCCCATTCATCATGTTCCTGGCACACCTGGCGCTTGACCTGACAGTTGCTCTGCTCTCCCTCTCTCTCCTCTGATTCCCAACCTTAACCCTACCCCGGAGCAACGGGGTTACTGCTCTTGCCCCCCCGTGGCGGTTGCATTGCGATGGATGCATCGCAATCCGCTGAGCTGGGGTCCCAGGGGGAGCGGGGGGCGTCCACCGCCGTGGGCCTTGCCATGGGGTATGCGATGACGCCTTCCGTCCGATGCCTCCTCATCGGTGACCCAGCATGCATCACAGCGGTAACGTTTGCAGACCCGCACACCGCATCGCATCGCAAGCCCCTCAGCGATCCTACGGGAATACGATCCAGCAAATCCCCGGCCGAGCCCGTATCTACATGACCCGGCCACATCGCGCCCCGCCCATTCGACGATGAGACGCCGGATCTTCGGATCATCGTCATAGCTGCAGTCCTAGCCATCACAGGCAAATCTTCCATCTCATCGCACCAAGAATGTTCGCCACTGGGTGGCAAATTCCCCCATGCACCCCCATGGTTCGCCCCCCTTATCGCACCAGATGCAGAGCCGTAGTCTGCCAGTTACTCACCGAGAAGCAGGCCGGCGAGTTGGGAGCCAACCAGAAGACAATGATTGCGCTGCGTCGCCCTCAGAGGCACGATCCTGGCCCGCATTCGCATCCAGACACCGTCTCACCTTCCGTGACAAATCTCGTCCCAACATGCCTGAGACACTAGTACAATGCGCATCCAGCCTTTGCAGAGTGCAGCTGGTCTCGCAGCAGTGAAGATTTGCGCGCAGTAGTGTGTGGATGGCAGTGGGCCAGCCGTCAGACCATCGCGCAGCGCGAACAGCCGAATGTTTGGTGCGACCCGGCCGGCCGTTACACCGTGAACGCCGTCCTAGGTCGGCAATCGGGCACTGGGAAGCTAACGGGTGCCCGAGAAAGACGGACCGTCGTTCCGTAGTCCCATTGAGCTCCCATCCAGCATCCAGTTCATGCACATACGATGGGTGGCGACAACTGAACCCAACCCACTGCAGCGGGCAGCCCAGCGGCTCCTATCGGCTCCCAGCGGAGACCAAAGCGGAATCCGGCGGCGTGCGCGGCGTTCCCGCACAAACCCCATGGATCTGCACTGCCGCTGCCGGGCTGACACTGGCACGCAGGCGTGCAGGCGTTTGCCGCCCAGCCGTAGCGCAACTTGTGTAAGCGATGATGGAAGCGCCCTACCCAGCCCCGCGCCCGTAGCGGCAGGCCCGATTACCTGGCATCTCAGCTCGGGCGGTGCCCGCGGTGCCCACCGGGGAGACAGGGGGCGGCGGAATCCGTCCGCATTATCTCCCGTATTTCCAGTGGTAGCATGTTGTAGCATAGCCCATGGACCTGGGGAACATGCGGGAGCACCTGTGGTGTTGGTGCGTGGTGACGCTTGCCGAGCCGGGACGAGGTCAGATGACCTCAATCCCTCCACCTGGACTCCACCTGCTCGACCTAGAATTAACTCGGACATCACGTGCAAAAGGTGATTGACTGCACTGGTGACGCGCAGCGCGTGTTGCATTTCCCAGGCACTATGCTAAGGCTCGGCAACTCGGCAGGGTCTGTCAGCTGGCCATGACGATTGAGAGAAGGAAGAGGTAGTTGAGGAGGAAGCAAGGTCAGGTGACTCGGCTACGATCGAAGTTGGCGCCTGATCTTTGTCAATGGAGATCTCGAAACGACGTCGGCGGCGCTCTGGCGTTGATCTGCAGTGCAGTTGACACCGAGCATGCACTGTCTGAAGAGCAGCAAACTCAGAGACATCGCGCAGTGAGCGCAGGTGCGGTGGAATGCCACACGACGAAATCGCCACAGGTGGCGAAGCCTCTGATTCGTCCCCTGCCTCTAGCTCCCCGCGCTCGGCGCGGACGTCTTCCTTCTGCATGCCCGGGCTCGCTGTGCATCAAGCTGAAGTCCGAGAAATACCTGGAGCACATTCTTGTACTCCGTGGACCCCGACGTACCACTTTCTGACGGATTGATAGCGTGGTACCCTAGAGCGTGGTGCGGGGCTGGCCTTCCTCGCCTCGCTTAGTGTCTTCCCTCCGCAGCCCACAACGCCAGAACGCCAGATTGGGCACGAGCGGTTGGTACAGAGTGAGTCTTCATTCTCGACCATCACTCGAGCAAAGAAGGGCACGTGGTGACACGATACGGCGGCCCTTTGCGAGCCCTCTGGAGACCGTGCTTGCCGTCAGCCGTGGTGCTCGAGCTCAAAGACGTGACCCCTGCGCAACCTCCTGGATAGCACGGATAATCTCGCCCATTAGACTGCGTGGACGGCTGCCGTTGGATCTGACAGGGTTACAGCAAGCCCTATCACTCCGACGCGGCACAGGATGACCCAGGGATCGCAGTCACAGTGGCCTTTTCTGTCTGTGCTACCGTGGGCTACCGTGCTGTCAGACAGAGTCCATGCGCACGACGGATCACGTTTGCTATCGAGTTCTGAAAATGATCTGGAGTGGCCCAGCAAGGCGCCGCTACTCGGTCCTTCGATCGTCTATTGCGTGGGACGCCTGCAGTCTCGGGGATATGTTGAGCTTGAGGCGCCGTCTCTGCCAGCAAAGATGTGCCCTGCGTGAGGAAGATGAAAGAGTATCATCGCGGCGTCCGTTCCGCCAGTCAGAATCTTCTAGACAGAACTGTCTCCAGATTGGAAGGAAATGCCAAAGACTAGTAGCGGCCCGGAGGACGGCGCAAATACAGACCTTGTGGACGGTCTGTCCAGTTATCGGAGCTCAACCAGTGCTGTGCATGCAGCTGTTCCCCATACGTGTACGCGATCTACGAACACTGCATGCACACATGCCCTATAACACGTTCGCGTCGGACTCTACATACGCCTGTTGTATCTTCGGCAACCAACTAAGAACGGGGTTGTCATGAAACACGCTGATGATGCAATGGAGAGGACTCGTTACGGCGCGCACGCCGCTTTGAGGCCACGATCACGCTACGGTATGTGCGGGTCCAGGAAAAGTCTTGAGTCTTCGGACTGGGGCCGACCGACCACACTGCGATTGCACCTCCCCAACAGCTTCAGATGCATGCATCGCTTGCCAAATGCGTGATTCCGAGGCCGGCATAGCATCTGCTTGCCGCCGATAAGCGCTGTCTGGGCGGACGCCGTTTACGCCTCTGACGCGACTGACGTACCGGCGTACCGGCTGAAGCCGAACCCACGTGAATTATTACCCGTCCCTTGAATCGGTGCTCGAGCCTGGCCATCCACTTCAGGCCCCACCTTGGATTATACTCGGACTTGACCAAGTCACCGTTGCTCACCCCATCACCAACCACAACCATGGCCTCGCCGCGCAACATATCCAAGTCCCCGAGGCCCTCGGACGACTCGGAGCAAGCGCTCTCGTCGTCTGTCGCCCGTGCGCAGGCCAGTGGCTCACTCACCGTCGGCACCCCTCCACTCCCTCAGATCCCGCGCCGAGAGATCTCCAACTCTTTTCAAGCTCGCACTGTCGCCGAGCGATCAAGCGCTAAAGGCGAAGAACCGGCGTCAAGCGGCTCCTCGCTGTCTGGCCTCGGTAACAAGGCCGCTCTCCCTGCCCAGCCCACCTCTTCGAACCTGACGGCTTCCCTCACCCTCGACAAGGACCACAACCATAGCAAGGATCCAATCGACCGCACCGGCACTCCCGATCTCGACGGGACGCTGACACCTCAACCGGACGAGTCAGCGTTTTCCGCTGTAGCCGGAGTTCCGGACGAAGAGAAGGCCAAGGTACTCCGGCGCCACCTTGTGTCCGCCGAAGAACGCACTTCCAACGCACCCACGCCATCAGCGAAGCTCAGCCCCGCGGCAAGTCCGGGACCCAGCAGCCGCAATGAAGATCCCGGCGAGAGCGCGATCACGCGGCGCAGCGATGGCGACGACGACCCATTCCCAATCCCTTACGACGCGCCAGGTGGCGACGTGACGTGAGTCGTACCTTGCGTTATCTGAATAGAGCTGATAAGCTAGTCACGAGGTCTACAAGTGGCAACAAGACCATCAGCGGACGAGGCGCAGCAGCCGCGCGCAGTCCTTCTCGCATGCGGACCGTTCCGCCATCATCGACCCGCAGCTTGCGCAGATGAAAGAGCCGGGAGGGTTCCGCCGCAACTTTGTCGTTGCCCGCGCACAGGAGCGTGGCGTCGAGGAGCCGCCGATGATCCGCAACTTTGTCGACTTCCTCTTCTTGTACGGTCACTTTGTGAGTGCGAGTTTTGGCCCGGCCAATGCAAACATGTCGCTGATAGGGATTAGGCGGGAGAAGATCTCGACGAAGACGAGGACATCGACGACGAAGACGATCACGCAATCGCCGAGGAAGGGCGAGGCGTGTCGCGAGTCGCCGGCAGCAGCCGAGATGCGACCGAGAGGACACCTCTGCTTCGGTCTCGAAGCTCGACGAGACGCCCGACCCGACCCGGACAAGGAACTGCGAGCCTGACGCAAGCCGTTCTCATGGTGAGTGTGATGGTTGATCGTCGCTAACCCTGCAGCTGCTCAAAGGCTTCGTCGGCACCGGCGTTCTGTTCATGGGCAAGGCCTTCTACAATGGAGGTGAGTCGAGATTCCTAGGCTGTTAAGCTGACCTCAGGCATCCTTTTCTCTACGGTCGTAATGCTTTCCATCGCCGCGATCTCACTGTGGTCGTTCCTCTTACTTGTGAAGGCATGGATGAAGGTCCCCGGATCCTTCGGAGGTAGGTGCTGCCTGACGGCTGGACGTTGACCCCAGATATCGGCGGAGCCCTTTACGGAAAGTACATGCGTGATACCATTCTGTTCTCGATTACCGTGTCACAGATTGGCTTTGTGGCGGCATACACGATCTTTATCGCGGAGAATCTGCAGGCGCTTCTTCTCTCTGTCAGCGACTGCAAGTGGAACGTGCCCATCGGCACTCTCATTTTCGGCCAGCTCCTTCTCTTCCTTCCGCTCGCCATGATCCGTAACCTAGCAAAGTTGTCGGGAACGGCGCTCGTTGCCGACGCATTCATCCTTGTGGGCCGTAAGTCAATCGGGCTGCGTCGAGCGCTGACCGTCCAGTCGTTTACATCGCATCGTGCGAGATCGACACGATCATCACAAAGGGTGTTGCCGACGTTATGCTGTTCAATCGCGACAACTTCCCGCTGCTGATCGGCACTTCGGTCTTTGCGTTCGAGGGCATCGGACTGTAAGTGTGTGCCAAGAACTAGCTGACAAGCAGTGTCATTCCAATTACCGAGTCGATGAAGGAGCCGCAAAAGTTCCCCCGCGCTCTGTCTGCTGTCATGTTTGTTGTTGCCGTTCTCTTTGCCGGCTTCGGAGTCCTCGGCTACGCCGCCTACGGCAGCGACGTGCAGACCGTAGTTCTCACGAACCTGCCGCAGGACCAGAAGTTCGTGCAGGTCTCTCAATTCCTTTGTAAGTTGCCGTTGGGGCGCACAGAGCCTGCCCCTTGCCGACCGCGTCGGTGAGACATCCTTATTGTGCGCTGACACAAACAATAGACTCCATTGCGATCCTGCTTTCCATTCCGCTTCAGCTTTTCCCAGCCGTGCGTATCATGGAGACGGGACTCTTCTCGCGCAGCGGCAAGCACAACCCTCGCGTCAAGTGGCAGAAGAACATTTTCAGGGCCGGCACCGTGCTCTTTTGTTCGATGCTGTCCTGGGCGGGCTCCTCTGAGCTCGACAAGTTTGTCTCCTTGATCGGCTCCTTTGCTTGGTGAGTATCTGCTATGCTGCAACGGCATTGCCCTCGTGAAACGGGACTGACCTACCATCATAGCATTCCCCTCTGCTTCATTTACCCACCGATGCTGCATCTCAAAGCTTGTGCAAGAACACGCACCGAGAAGGCCCTTGACTATCTTCTCATTGCATTCGGCGTCATCGTGGGCCTTTACACCACCGTTCAAACTATTCGCAGTTTGTTCGATTCAAGCTCGAGCGAGTTGCCTCGCTCCGGCAAATGCGACAATCCTCATTGAGAAGATCGCACGCAACTTACCGGTGCAGGTACTCGGTCAGGCGACTCTCTTAGATGGGCCAAGGTATTATAACTTGGACATCGAGGCTGATGCTCGTGCGACGATGTAATGCGCAATCTTTACATATACTCTGGCAGCATGATCTCAACTTTCTCTGGGGACATGATCTCAGATCTCGGCTCTCCGGACTGCGCATAAGTGGAACAAGGACGGGTCCTCCCGGTAATGTTCGCCGGGAGCGTCCGCCGCTTGCTGACCGTGACGGCCACCCCTTCCGTTCTTGTCCTCTTTCGACCATTCTTGCGCCGCCCTTTGTACTCCTTTGAGATGTATTCCGGCGAACAGGACGAAGGCGAGCGACACCCAGTGTCTGTTGGTGTGTCCGCAATGCGGGGCGCTCTGGCGGTATCCGACGCGCTGACGACCATCTGTATGTTAGTCTCTGTGAGCACGAACTGCTGGTGTCTCATGGCGAACTGACCTCTTCGATACACGAGCGCGCCTTGTCGTTGGCAAAATAAGATCGCATCTTCGAAATTGCGTCGGACGCTTCCGGTTCCAAACTCCTTGCTTCATACCGTTGTATGAGCAATCGCATCCCAGTTCGACTCTGACCACCCCACTTCCTTCGGACGGCCGACCATCCTGAACGACGCCGCCAGTTTGTGAAACTGGACTCTACGTTTCGAGGCGTCGTACTCGCGATGGAAGCCATTTTCTGCCTTTCGGCTCGCGAGGGAAAAGGATGAGCTAGATTGGAGAGGAACCATGAGCGCAAGTAGTGGACGCCAGCGGCCTCACGACGCGTTTGATGGAATGACCAGTCATCGTCATCGTTCGCAGAGGTAGGCGACGTGGGCAGCAAGACTTGCGTTGCTGTTAGTAGCCGCAGGAAAAAGGCGACGTACCTCTGGATATCGCAACATCCTCTTCCTCTAAGATCGCGTCGATAGCTCTCAAGGCGTCTGCCATCAAATCGGGATCAACCACAACATGGTTGGCGCAGGGGCAGTGGGTATGTCGCTCCCCATGGGGCGCGGCCCCGGAGAGTTTTTGCTGAAACGCATCTTCCATGTATGCGTAAGAGTTGTTGGGGGACTGTAACTGACGAGGGAGAATGAAGTGGAAGGACAGAAGATGCCTTTAAAGTACTCTGGCCGTAGTAAGAGAACAATAAGCAATAGTGAAACAAGCTCTTCGGGGCCCCGGAAACCGAGTGTGACACGCAATAGTTGACACCGTTTGCGGATTGAAAAAGCGCGGACGATTGGATTGTATCTCTCGACTAGATCGTCCAGAAAGTGGTTTCCACGATTTGGGTCTTTCTCGTCCCAGGTCTAAAGCGGTAAAAACGGCACCCAGTCTATAATCCAGGAGAATCTCACCCGCCAAATCGGGGGACTGTCCCGCGCGGAGACGGCGGCGCCGCCATCCAGTGTGTAACACAACCGAACACGCAGTCAGGACATCAGTGCGGACTACAGACACGCCAAGAACAGGGAGAGAAGTCCTGACTGCCCAATAGAATTCATCTGGGGAGTACAGACGTATCAAAAGATACTTTTACTCCTCGTCGTCAACGTCGTCCTGGTCAACCTTGAAGTAGCGGAGAGAGTAGGTGTCCTTCGAGGTGGCGACGACGCTGTCAATGTCAGTATATTCTTCACGCTGGCATGATGCAAGAGAACTCACCGGAGGAAGTTCTCGAACGAGTTCTTCTTGAGGTGCTTCTTGGTAAGGTACTGCAAGTCAGCTGAAGCTGTTGATTGGGCACTGTACCTTGAGGTAGCGCTTCGAAAAGGGGATGTTCGAGGTCAGGACGAGCTTGTTACCCTCCTTCGACAGCTGGATAGAGTCACCAAGCTGGCCAGGCTTGCCGTCGACCTTGATGCGGTCGTGAAGGAACTTCTCGAACGCGGCAGGGTCGAAAACGTTGTCGTTGGCAGGGACAGAGTAGTCGACGTAGAACTTGTGCAGGGGCTTGCCCGCAGTCTTGGAGGAAGTGGCCTTAGGCTGTAACGAGGTGCATGTCAGAATCCATGAACGCGCGGAGAGCTTGTGAAACATACCATGTCTACAGTTGATTCTGCAAAACGTTGGTTGATGAATATCGAAAATCATGGTGGCAAATTGATAAATAACTGTGCTGAGTTTGGTGCGGTGAATAACGGCGTTAAGACTGTGGCAGATGGCCCTTGATACAAATGCATATATAGATTAAGGACAGCATTATTGACGTCGTCAAATCCGAAGATCAAGTAGTTATCCCTGAGAGTCAGGACTAATCGAAGGGGTTAACTAGCTACTGACCAAGGTCTGTCGGAAGCGCAACAGAGGTGCAAGTTCTTTGACAGGACATGCCAGTCGAAGGAAGGGGTGCTGCAAGGCGTCAGTGAAGTTGCAATTTAAAGGTCGCTCCTCACCTTGAGCAGCTCCGTTGAAGTAGCGCGGAAATTGACATCAACGCAAAGGCAGACGCTTAAAAACTGCTTCAAGTCTTGGCTCAATTTGTCGGGCTGCTTGAGGGTAGGAGTACCATTTGTGGCGATCAGATACAAGGCCTTCAACGGTTCCTCATCCAGGTACGGCGGTTCGTTTTCGATCATCTCAATCGCCATGATACCCAAAGACCAAATATCGACCTTGGCTCCATACTCCTTTTGCTTCACCACTTCCGGTGCCATCCAGTATGGGGTCCCAACCATGGTTGCACGCTTGGATTTCTGATCCGTGAGTTTGGCGCAGAAGCCGAAGTCCGCTGCACTGTCAACAATGTTTCGCGCGCGAAGACCCACTGATCTTGACTTCTCCGAACGCATTCATCAAGAGATTATCAGACTTGATGTCGCGGTGAATGATTGAACGGGAGTGAAGATGTTGCAATCCTCTACAGGTCTGGTCCCTCAGCAACGTTTCTGGGAGCGGGCCTTACCTCAAGACAGATTGATGCAATTTGCTCCTCTGAGAGCTTGTTGTTCTCGATGACGTCCGTGAGCGCGCCACCCTCCATATACTCCATGACGACCCAGAGCTCAGTGCTCTTGACCAAGAACGCCTCCAAAAAATTAACGACATTTGGGTGGCGAGATTCCTTCATGAAGATGATCTCGTTCACGATAAGCTCCTTGCGAGGCTGCTGAGCCAAGTCCATTTGCTTGATGGCCACCTTCTTCCCGGTGTTGATGGTCTTTGCAACGAAGACCATTCCAGATGCGCTACTAGTCAGCACAGCTACATATTTGAGTTCACGTACCCTTGCCCGACTTTCTTGATCTTGGCGTACATCGTCGAGGGATCATCGGCGCTGACAACTGACCGAAGCTTGTCCATGATCTGTGCTTCGTTCATAGTGCTAATGCGCTTCTCCACATGACGTGACGGGGCTGCGGGAGTCGGTGCAACTGCTGGGGGGGCAGGCGGCTCCGACGGTTTGGTCCGCGACGATGGAGGCGCAACTGGCTCTGTCACAGCAGCGGGTGTCTTGACTTCCGCTACCGGAGGCGTGGGCTGAGCTGGTCGCGGGGGTGGGGGGGCCTTGCGCTCTGCGACCAGCTGCGTCCTCTGTGCAGGTAGCGGCTTGATATTCTGACTGTCAAAACCTGTGCTCAGATCTCACACTCACATCTTCACGAGCAGCGTCGGGGCTTCGAGAAACCTGGGCATGAGAGTGCGACGACAAATCTTTCTGAGGAGGACCCGCCGAGGACGGAAGAGGTGTCGGCGCCGAGCTAGAGGGACCTTGCCCACCGAGACCCAAGCCATTGAATCGGCCCTTGCCCACGGAGGTGTCTTGAGGATAGATAGGTCCGGCTCCATAAAACTGTTGCGAAGACTGTCCCAGCTGCTGGTTGATATAAAACTGCAGCACATCTACGACAGCTTCGGGATCGCGAGCTGCATCCTCCTGGGTGATGGCTGAGGACGTGAGCAGCTTCGTCCACTGTGGGGGAAGGCCCTGCAGTAGTCAGTAAAACGCGCGCTTTCTACTCACGATGAATCCCCCGGATACTGGATCGAAACCGACATGAACTTGGTGCACAAAGTTGATCGGTTGACTAACGCCCATAAGTGGTGAGCGCGAGTTGATGTCGTCCATCCACCCATAGACTTCTTCGTCCGACCGGAACGCGAAATACAGCAACTTCTTGTCCTTCATCTCCACCTCGACACAGAAGGGTTTGAGATCCACGCGCTGGACATCCACAACCTCAGCCAGTTGACAAACAACGGAGGGCGAAGAAGATTGCTGATTGTCAGCCCAACTGGCTCACGTCGCAATGGTTGACTCACTTCGTTCTTGAATATCTGCAACTCGGACACGGTGAGCACAAGCCATCGCTTACTCCACAGGAAGCTGCGCAGACCTTCCTCCTTCATATTTGCAGCTCCCATCCGGATGATAGCACTTGAGACATCGCTGGGCCCTTTATTGCCAGTTTGCATTGTTGGGAAGGAGTTGGCATACGACTTGGAAGTGTAGATTGGAGTCGCAGCAACAGCTGGTAGACGGCCATTGGATCTTGATGGTGGTAAACTGGAGGGAGAGCCGCGCGCTCCTGGTGGTGCAGGGGCTGGTCGAGACGGCGTGAGGGAAGCTTGCGACCACTGTGACATGGCGGAGTAGATGTCTGACAGATCGAACTGAGCAGGTGTCGATCGATGAGGGGAGTCGGCGGCGACGGCGTATCCGGGGGAGACAATAAGCGTCGTGCCGTATGCAAGCTATGCCGTGGAGATTGAACCTGTGAAGGGGCTAGAGTTGGATGGATGTTGCAAACGTGAAGTGTAGGACAGGTCCGGCGATGGATGGAGTGACAGGTGACGAGTGACGAGGTTAGGAGAGCCAGGGTGGATGTGTGTAGGCGTGTAGGCGTGAATGAGGGACATGTCTGATGGGAGGGGGGGCCGGGTGGGATGGCGGCGGCGGCCCGGCAACTCCAGCGCTTTAGGGCGTCACTGGCTCGGTAGGACGACACGGTGTGCCCTCTGAAGCCTCCCTGCTCCCTGCACGCGATTGTTCCATCCCAGACGCGTACGGTGATAACCATCCTCCCCTCATGCTTGCATGCATGCAAGCGTCAAGGTCCAATTCCTCGTCCTACCAACACTACTTCCGGCAGAGATCGGCTCACGCTAGATACAGTGATTGCAAACTGAATGCATGGCCAGGAGGAGTGGAGAGGATATGGGACTCGGGGAAAGCGGCCCATGGCCCAGGGCCCGGGCATTAGGGCTTTGGAAACAGCGCAAGTACTACATTAGGGGCAGGTCGGTAATTCGGTAAGAGTGGTGTTGTATGTCGATGTAACAGCCTGCCTTCAGCCCCTGCCCTTTTGATCCTTTCAGTACCCACCCCGCCATTGGAGATTGTAAGTGACCCACGAAGTGTAACAGGCGTTATTCCATCCTCAGGGCCACGGGGTCAACGAAATGGAGGGAGCCTGTCAAGCAATCACCCAACGCAGGTTGCCAACTGCTCTTGCTGTCCTTGTCGGTTTGTTGATCTTCGACTACGTGATCATCATCGCCAGTGTGATTTCGTTGCTACGAAGAATGATAGAGCGCATGCACCAGGTTAACGCCGAACACCTCCTGTCCCGACACTGTCCAGACAGTGCTACAGCGGCAGGCAACTGGGAATGTCATGGCCAGCAAAACGACGCGCTTATAAGGTCTGATGCACATAAATGACAACTACAGTATGCTACATAAGGTTTAGTGCCGCTTTCCGGCGGCTCTGCTTCCCATTGCTTTCAAGTTTGACAGCATTCAACGTCTGGATCTGTTGGGCCAAGAACTCCTGGGTGCCATCTCTGTTCGTCAGCGGCGACACAATTTCTTCAACTCACCTCATCCTCAGGATCTTCATGATCAGCTCCGTCCTGTCCTCCCCCGACTTTTGATTCATCGTTCTCTTCGCCGTTTTTCTCGCTCGGATAGTTCCCAAATTCCGTTGACCGATAATGGATTTACTGGGCTTCATAGCTTTATGCTTTAATGTGTTCTGGAATCCACGAATGCATTCCTGAAGTCAGCTCGGGTCAACAGAGTAAGCGCCTACCTCCATAAGTTCGTCGGTGCTCCAATCGTAGTACATGCTGACGCTCATGATCTCGTTAAATTTCGCGTTCTGCAGGATGTTGAGCGGTACCCCACTGTCGTCACCCCCTGCGAAGAAGAAGTCTCTCAAGAATTTCAACCACCGGAGAGCGATGTCCAGCTCGCTATGCGACAAGGCACGCATTTGGCTCGGCTTATCGCTCAGCGGAGGCACTATGAGAGCCTCAATAGTCGTCAGGATCTGCTTCCAGAGCTTCGCCATCACCATTTGCATGGCGTCAGAGGAGAGAGTTGAAGCAAGGGTGTGGTTGTTGGTATCCAGATAATCGAAGAGAGGGTGGATCGCAGTTTCGATTTCTGCTTCTGTAGGGCCGCGCTTAAGAGTTGCAGATTGCGACTTCGCGGATTGGACCTCGGATGGCGGCAATGGAATACTGTAATCGCCTTGAGCTGCACTAACAGCGTTACGATACGCCGCCGAGATCCGGCCTATGGCGTCATTGGAGATACGCAACGCGTCGTTGTAGTCAATGCCGGTGTTGGGTTTCAGTACCGACTTGATGTTGTTCCTCGACAGTGTATGTCGCAATACGGGAGTCATCTACATGTAAGTGTCGTGTATCTTCATTCGAGCTCACCTTGTCAACGAAAAGACGAACCATGTCGGACTCGGTTCGTTTCAGCCATCGGAAGGCTCTGCCGAAATGGAACTGGATATCATCACGTTCCCCTTCCATGCTAACGCGCAGCAAGACGTGTCCCTTGGTGTTCAAAGGTAACAGAACGTCTTTGCTTATGAAATCCACGTATTGCGAGGGGTCGAGTCGAAGGTAGGCCCGGCCAACAAGGTCATGCTTTCCTGACAGACTGCGATGACGGACGGTGACCATGAACCAGGATGGTTGCCGGATAGCGATGTCGAACGTTTCATCCCATCGCGGATCGAAGTCATCGTAAATAGTGCGGGTCTTGGCGTATCGATTGCCATGTTCATCTGAAAGCACCACAAAGCTGTCCGGAGCTTTGGCGCCACCATCGACTTGAAGCCCTTCCCCTAAGACAATTTTGATGGTGAACAGAGAGCTCTGTCCCGTAGAAGCAGACACCGGTTGGTTGACGTCCAGAGACGCGAACTCATCAACGCGCATGTCCAGGTACAGGCGGTCAAGTTGGTGGCGCATCGCGTCAATGTTGTTCAATTTCACACAAGACTGAGGCGGTCAGCATGTCGTCCACCCTTATAACTAACCTCGGGGGTGAAATTGAAAAAAGCTTGAAGCTTGCGGTCGCCTTGCAGATGGGCGATCGTGCTCTTGGCTTTCTCTATCCAGGCTTGCTGCTTTGCGGAAGACGCGTGTGATTCAGATTCCTGCATGTCCCTGGCAAAGAGTTGCTCCATTTTTGTGCAGTAATCATCAATGGACAAGCTGATCATCTAAAGGTTAGCGTGCCCATCGTCATCCATACCTTTGCCAAGCGCGTTGCGAAAGTAGCCATTTGTTCCGGGTCATCCCATCTCAGACCCAGGAGGAACGAGATAGCGCTGTGGAAAGAATCGAAGAGGTCGGTCACCGAAGATGAGTGGCTGTTGGCACTAACCGGAGTGAACTGGAGTCAGCACGGTAGTGTTTTAGATACGAACGTCGTCTAGTTGCAGAGCCTGGTCGACCCACTGGCGCATTTTCACCTCGGTACTATCCAACCACGCCGACACGATGGGGCTAAAAATTGTGGACAGAACAAGCTGAGAGCTCTCCCTGCCTGTTAGAAGAAGCCGACATGATGCACTCACATTCCGAACGCTGTGCCCATGTCTTGAAGCTTCTGGGCTCGTTGATATATCTCTAGTGCCTCTTCAAGGTGGTTTTCCGAGTCGTTGTTGCCAACCGAAAGCATCGCTTCCTCCAGGTCACGGATCCACAGAGACAAATGCTGATGCAGAACCAGAGAGACGACGTCGACTTGGCTAATCATCAGCGCCTGGACCACGGCGTACTTACGGGGATATGGGTTCGGGGAACCACTTGTCCAACTTCTTAGCACCTGACTCGATCCACGATGCCAGAGCCAGAGCAAATTGTCTGTTCTTCCCTCCCTCTCTAGCGTACATCTCGCTTGCTTCATCAATGTAGTTGGTGTAGGCTTGTTGCCGCAAGCGATCGCAGATCGCGCGTTGTATCCGCTGCAACACCACGTGGTCCTCGTCAGTGGCATCAAGTAATTGCCATTGAGACACCGCCTGGCGGAATTCTGGGGAGAGATACCCTTTGGGGGAAGTCAAAGCCACCTCGACATCGTTTAGAAAGAAGGTGTTTCTTCGAAGTAGCACAGTCTGCAGGCCGCTCTGATCTGATACTGGCCATTCGGACACTGGCAGCTCCTGTGAAGCGCGTCCTACCCCTCCCACAGCTTCAAAAACGCAGTCGGGGGGTACCTCGCCGTGCTCGTAATGCTCTTGGATTGCCTCCAAGAACACCCAGGATCGGAAGGACAAAGGCAGTCGCCACCGATTGGCGCATTCAGTGAGAAAGTCGGTATGCTCGGCGGAAAGAATGCCAAGCGAGACGTCTTGGTCCTCCGGCAGAGTGCGAAGCACCTGAAGGTCATAATCCAAGCACACGCGTAAGAGTTGACGATAAGTTTGGCGTGGGTCTGTTGGAATATAGAAGAAGCGATGAGGTCCCAGCCCCGTGCTGTCCAGGGCAGCAGTGATCCCGTTCACCTCGCTTCGATCGCCGCTGCGATCTTTCGTCAACTCTAGGTTTTGAAGCTCTCGCGAGAGTTGTAATAGTGCAGACCTTTCTCGGGCTTGAAAGTCTGACCACGTTCGCTCATCTGCAAACTCATCGCGGTCGTAAGGGCTTTCGTTTCCGGCGTCCAATCTCTGCAACAGGATCTGTCGTCAGCATCATTATCTCGTTCCAACTAACCTTGAGATCCTCAAGAGCAGCTTCCACAGAGCTGCTGCTGCGAAGGGCATCCACGGCCTCAGCTAATTTGGAAGACTCAACGGGTAGAACTTTCAGGACAACATCGAGTTCAAAGGCAGAACGAGCCATCGGACGATTGTCTTCTGGCAATGCACCCACGGTCGGTGCTGAAGATGTGACTCCAGTGTTGTCGCTTTGGAGGCGAGAGCGATATGTGGACAAGCGTGCCCGCAGTTCTGTCCCCCCTGACCCTACTGAGCTCAGACTGTCGTGTAGCAAATCCAAAAACATGAGAATCTGGGGGTTGAGTTCGGCTTTCCAACCCCCATCTGCTAAATCGTGTTCCTTCCGTAGAGATTTGGTCGCCGCTGAAACGAAGGCAAGGATGATGTCTTCGAGTTTGCGAGACTCTTTCAGTTGTCGCTGAAACGTCTTATCCGCCCAGCTCGACGACCAGAAGAAGGCCACAGCCCGCCGGAACCTCTGCTCCGAGAATCTGGACGTCAGTCAAATCTCGGCTGCCACTCACTTAGAATCCTGGCCCATAGCGACTTTCTGAAGAATACCATCCAAAGTCTTGATGTACTTCTCCGGATATCGCGGAGATTTGGAAGCATCGCGGCCGATGAGCGAGCCAAGATCCAACGAGAAGCTTGCGAGAGAGTCTTGAGCCTTCTGAGCAGCACTGGCCGCCTCCTGCATCAAAAGTACCTTCTGATTGAGGCGCTTATCGATAGCCTCTTGCAGAAGACTGTCAGTCAGTACGACGCGAAAAGATGATGAGATGAACGCACGCAATTCGAAGAGCATACCTAGCACTGTCAGCGGAAACCTGAAGGAATGAAGTCTACTTACTCATGACACTCCTCCAGCTCGGTTGACATGTTGACACCAACAAGGACAATCTCTTCTAGCTTGATTGAGTGTTGTGTTAACAACGGAGTGTATCCCGCTATGACGATGGACACGACACGGGACACCATGAGCTCCGAGCACACCACGTGGTATTACATAAACTGCATCCCTGACGTCTGGCCGTGTATACCCCACGCTGGTCGCACCTACAGCTGCCGTACTGTCATAAACATCTATATACAAACCAAATTGATGACGGTCCTGCTATCTAGAGCAAAGCAAGTCTAGCATCGGCCCCTGGACTGGGTTTCGAAGGTTGGATTGACCGAGCCTCTTTGACGGAGTCATCCTCAATTCTCCCTTGACGTCAGGTCTATTCCGGTTCGCGACTCACGGGATGCGGTACAGCGTAATTTCTTGCTGCTTGAAGTACCTTCTATTCTCTTCGTCGATGAGGACTAAACTGAGAAAGTATCGAGTGGAGAACTTTTTGTTCACGTCACGGAATGTCGGTGTCAGCTCAAAGCCTCCCAAAAATAGTCGAATGGGGATTGTCTCTCCTCGCACGGGAGCTCCGTCCATGATCTCGAACTTCGTGATCGTCTCCGACTCGTTGTACAGGTTGGGTGCGGCGCCGGTAGTTTCGCGGCGGATTATGGAGAGCTCCATATGTTTGATCTTGATTCTGACTAGCAGGAAGTAGACCTTGCCAACGATGACATCTTTCAAGTGATACCTGCAACCGTCAGCCCATCATAGAGTTTCAGGACTGACTTGGGCTTGTTGAATTCGAACTCGATGTGCAGGCAATCCTCTATGCCGACTTCCATCTTCTCACTGGTGTTGGTTTTCGGTGGCATATGGTAAGAGTGCACCCAGAAGTCGCGCTCCTTTGTCACCTCCCCAATGCGGCGCATAAGGGTCACTCGTATGAAGTATCTTTGACGTAAGTGTGAGTAAGCGTAGGCGCCTACCTCAGCTTCACATTTATTCCCGAGTAGCTCTCGTATTGCTTCTCAACATTCTTGAATGTGAAGTCAAAGGTCTGAGCCTGCCTCATCTCTCCTGGCCCCGCAAGCTCTTGACTGAGAGATACAAAGTCATAGCGATTGCCCCGATCGTAGAACAGCTCTGCACTGTCAATCCCCTCGCGCCGCGCCCTCCAGCGGATTGCTGCGTTCCTTGTGTGAACATACCGATGGAACCTACAAGTTCAATGCGGATACCATCGTGTTGGAACTTCTTCCCGTCCTTAACGCGAACGACAACCTCGATCAGTTAGGACCATGCTCATATCCCTAAGCCTCCATAGACTCACCTTGCCTTCCACGCTTTCGCCATCATAGTACACAGGGCAGAGTTCTTTCTTGTCGTGCTCCCCCTTTACTTCGACTTGCTTCCGATCGTCCTCTCCGTTTAAACGAATTTCCACATCCACCGGCGCTGAAGCGAATCCGAAGAAAGAAGCCATGGTCGTTGGGTGAATGGTTGATATCAACAACGAACGATGACGGGCAACCGGATCTGAGGCACATATTACGTAACTGCATCCTCTGGATACGTCATGAGCTTACTGCCAGAGCCATCAACGGACCCTCCTCAACACCTCCATCCTCTTCGACGAGACTTGCATCGACAACAAATGGAACCGCCGACAACGGGATACAACCAGGCGTGGACGCCAATTGGGTATGTTCTTGGTCAATGTCAGCTCTCTGACTGCTCAGCGAGACCCCCCACCAACTCATAGTCTATCATCCTCCCTCGCATGCCATTCAGGTTGTCCCTCACCCAGACCGCGAGGGTCCAACCACGACTGGACCTGTCGAGCTGGACGATGTTGACGAGCAAGGCGAGGGAAAGCCAAGAGAATGCCCGCTTTGCCGTCGCCCTTGGTCCCCCGTAATCACCCCATCAGCTCGTCCTTCGCGAACGTTAGGCCGGGGAGACTCGAGCTATTTTCGCGTTCTTGAGCGTGCACATGGGTTTAGTCAACCTGGAACTCCCATCGATGCTGAGAGCAACAGGGACTCAACGACCCCTGTTGAGCCGTCATCTACCTCAGGCGCTGATGACATGATTGACATAAATGACCTCCCTGCCATGGGCTACTATCGCAGGTTCTTCAAAGAAGAGGCTCGCCTTGGGATCGGAGCGGAGGGTAGTGTCTATCTGGCCACACATGTCATTGGTGGCAATGCTCTAGGTAGGTCATAAAGCAAAAGAAGATTCTGACAACCAAGGAACTTATGCAGTGAAGAAGATCGCCGTTGGTACTTCGAAGACGTACCTGGTGCGGATGCTCCGAGAGGTTCGTCTCTTAGAAGCTTTGCGGCATCCGAACATCATCCCCTACTATCACTCATGGGTGGACGAGACACAGTTCTCGTCGTTCAGTCCTCCTATCCTGGCACTGCATGTGCTCATGATGTACGCCTCTGCAGGGAACCTCGATGCGTTTCTCATCAATCGGAGCCACGCCGCTTCCGTTGACACAGAGAGCGCAGGCGGATTAGCGCTGAACGACGACTTTGAACACTTGCCGAAGGCAGAAAGGATCAAGGCGTTCAAACGACGTCGGCAGAGTGGAGTGGGTCGTGTGAAGGGCGAAAGTAGGGGCGTTCTTCTTCTTGGCCTGGAGGAGGTGTCGAAGCTGTTTGGAGATGTCGTAGAAGGCTTAGCATTCCTTGTGAGTTGTGTAGACGAGGCGGGATTGACGAAGCAGCACTCGAACTCTATTCTCCATCTTGATCTCAAATGCTCCAATGTGTTGTTGCATTGGGAAGAGGGAGAGGTGACGTAGGTACAAGTGTATGTCTCCTGCTCACTAAGAAGCCCAAAAGCGATGCTTTCTGACTTTGGGACCTCTGAGGAGATGATCCGCGGTCGCCGCCAACGAACAGGACACACTGGGACATTGGAGTATATGGTGCGTTCATGCTTGGCTGACTCGCTCACTGTTTAGGCTCCAGAGACCATAATCATGGACGTAAACGGCGACTGGAGACCGTCTGACTCTCATGCTGACATGTGGTCACTTGGTACGGGCGGTCATGTCTTCTCTGCTCACTCTGTGCAGGCATGATTTTGCACAAGATGCTTTTCCTGAAGTTGCCGTACCAGGCTTCCGACGACCTATCCGCTTTACACGAGGAGATCATTCGATATCGCGGGTTCCATCCCACTCCCGAGGTTATCGAGGTGTGTGAGAGAAGACACATTCCTCGAGCTATGCTCCTCCTACTTGAGAAACTTCTGGACCTGTCACCTGAGCAGCGGCCGAATGCAGAACGCGTAAAACTCGCGCTATCTCGATTCAAAAGCAGTAGTCTTGGAAACAAGCTTGGAAGTCTATGGAAAAACAAATTCAAAGATAAGAGACGGCAAGAGGTAAGTGGAGAAGGCAACCACGCTGACGTCGAGAAACGAGCCGCTGATCGGTCTCCCGTTCGATCCCTACTCGCTCTTCCGTCTCCTCCCGGTTATCCGGAGGTGAAGGTTGCACCAACTGAACCCGCGGTGGAGATTGAAGGCATAGACTGGAGAAGGTATGCGTGGTTGGCCCTGTTCACATTGAAGGTTGGTCTCTCCTTCACTTGCTTTCGCTAACTGTCAAGATCATGACTCTCCAGCCGAACGTCCTTGGGGTACAGCTTCCACCGGCTGTCGTCTTGTGCCTTGTCATCATCGCGGTTGTCGATGTCCCATCAGACTCTACGTCCTTGGCCCTCAGCGGGGGCCTGCTACTCATACATATATCTGCGCTGGTTTCAGCCAAGCTCAACGCGTGAGTAGGTGTGTAAGAATAGTGGTTGTCATGTATATGTTATTTGTATCTTGAGCAGAGACGGGGCACGTCGAGGGTACGAGGTGCATGAGTGTGGTACGGTGCGACTGCCTGTGACCATCACAGCGGAAGCAAACGACCGTCGGAAAGGGACAAGGGGACGATTTGCCAGGCGCGGACTACGGGCCAGCCGCGTCGGCGCGTGCAGTGTGCAGGGGGCGGAGGGGGAATTAGATGAACCGGAACGGACGGGCCCTGAGCCCTGCCGCCTCCAGGTTGCGTCCGCGGGTGCGCCGTATAATAGAGCATGGAGCTCTCGATCTGGAGCTAGCTAGCTAGGAAGAAGGGACAACGCTCGGGGTCGGTCGCCTGGCGGACCCGTATGGGACCTGAACCTCAGGTCTCCCAGTCATCCATATCATCCAGGCTGGGTAACTCATTCCTGCCTGTCTGGTCATTCCTGCATCCTGGACACCACCTCATTCTCCGTCGTAAACGCCATTGCAGCGATCGACCACCACCCCACGCCATCACCCCTCACCGGCCTCCCGTCTCAACATCCCAATCAACACTCTTTTGCCACATCTCTGTCCTCGGTCCCAGTCGACCTTTGTTTGCATCGCGTCCTGCGAACGCATGCGCGGGTCTCATACGCCTCCCACATTGCCTTAACTCACCGAAATACTCACTGGCACAACGTCAGCGGTCTCGGTACGTCGTTCCCCTTTGTGCGGTCTTGCGCGGCAGTGCTGATGCCTTGGAGCCGTCCTTGATGACTTGAGCTCGACATCTGTACGGTTCATCCTGGCTACCGTTTTCGTTGCTGCTCGTCATGCAGTCCGCAGCTACTCATCAAGATGATGAATCGTCCACAACACCCACCTCCGAAGGTTTCGCAATGAAGAGCGATGCCGACGGCGCAGCACGAAACGGTCAACACCGACCGACGACCCCGCCTCTCCTCAAAGCTCCACCCGGGCAGACCTTTGGCGCGCACGTTCGGTTGTGGGGAGACGCGGAGATTGCCTCATTCCTCAACATGTACAAGTGCGACCAGTACATTGAGCTATTCAATCGGAATGATATTGATGGCAAGGTTCTGTTGGACCTTGACATGTCTAGTCTCAAGGAAATCGGCATCAGCAAGATAGGAGATCGCGTCAAGCTATTAGGGGGCGTGAGAGATCTGAGGAAGCGTGCAGCGCGGACTCCCTCCTCGGCAATACTCGGCGCCCGTATGCTACCCACGCTCGTCCCTGCTGTGGATGGTAGCCCTGTACCAACAAGTGACGCGCGTAGTTCTCAAGTCCAGAAGCGTCTCGCCACTGCTCTATTCTCCAAAAGACTTGCGTCCTCGCGCCCACCGCCGTTGAATCTGCAAAGACCGAACCCTCTACCCTCCACCGTCGATGGATCAGCATCTGGCGGGTCACCGAACTCGCGTTCAGTGACCCCGAAGTCCGGCCCTCCCAAGCAAATCTCGGCATTGACGGAGGCAGGCAGCGCTCGGCCGCCTCTCCCTCCTCAGGAACCGTCCATCTCCTTGCGGCCGCCTGCAGGTCGAGAGATGAGAAGATCGCCGAGCCCGGTAGCTGGGCAGACTCATTCAAATCCAAATTCTAGGGGTGGAGTGCCATCCGGTGACATCCCTGCTCAGCTAGTTGATGACTCTTGGACTAATATCAGTGCAGCGGCCAAAAGTTCCGATCGCCGTCAAGGTGTTCATCGATTCGGGGATGCCCGCGCCGACTTCATGGTTAGTGGAAAGGCCATCAGCCCCACTCAGCCACAGATCCGGGATAACGTACAACCACATCCGTTTGCCAACGTCATCCGAAAGGACGATGCCAGCAGCTCCGAAAATCATAAACGAGGCGCGCCACCCCGTAATGGTATGCCTGCGAACTCGACTGGAGAGGCAATTCAGCATCGTACAATTCCGCTGGAGGACCTGTGGCGCCACTTGGTCAAATTCGTGAACTCTGAAGACGGGACTTCGAGAACCGTCAATGTATCGAACTGCACCAGCGGCTTAGCTGTTCTGGATTTGGTCCTCAAAAAGTTCGGTAAGGGAGGCTCCAACTGGAACCCAGACTCCGAATCTGGGGATAGTGATCGCCTAGAATGGGACGGCTGGGGTGTCTTTACGCGGAAGGAGAACGGGGAGGAAGGTATGAGTCTGCGCACCGCGATCTTCATTTACTGACGTACCGCAGATCAACAGTTATCCGAGTCAGCTTTACTTGACATATGTCACGACCAGCGATCCGTCAAGCTTGGCGGTCTTGACTCTACTGTCGTCAGGGAGCGGGGTCTCCTAATCAAACGCGTATCTCAACAGCCGAATCGCAAAAACATGGAGATATTTTTCGGCGAAGCTCCTCCTCCACCTGGATCTCCAAACTCCCCTTCCCATTACGGGGTACCGCGCTTAGGAAGGCAAGCCGAAGACCGACGCGACAGCGCTACGAAACCGGCAGCGAATAAGCAGATGAACCGAGCCAGTACTGTATCGATCATGTCCGGACTTGGTGTCCCAGGAGCTGTGGATGCTTCGCCTTCCGTCAATACATCCAGAGCGTCTTCGACTGGCAACGTCTCCTCCCGCACGAAGAGGATGTACAACTTCTTTGGCCACCGTCCCCCCAGCGAACTCATCTCCAATCACCTCTCAGAGTACTTCCCCTCCGCTCGCAAGCGTGACTTGGAGAAAACTGTTCGGCAGAGCATGCGCTTGTCTCAAGCGCCGGCGGATCGACTTGGTCTAGGAGGAGCTCTTGGCGCTGCGTCCCCACTGTCGGCTAGCTTGGAAAACGTAGCCAGCCCCAATCGTAAAGCTCGGCCGCCATCTACAAGAACGGTTTCCTCTTCTACCACTCCAGCTGTGATCCCCGAGGAAGTTGAAACTGCTCACCCGGATGTGACAGGCCGAAACCGAGCGTCTGCTGAGCAAGATGAAAACGGTGCCCCTGTCGGTAGCCACCCTCCACTTCTCCCGCCCTTTGAGTCCACAGGCGAGAGCCTTGTCGACTCATTGCAGGAGTACTCTCCTGCGCCGACTTCCGTGCGTCCTGCCTTGCGACCCGGTCGAAGGGGCTCAACAGGATCTACATTGAGCCGTATTAGCGTGATCTCGTCCGTGAAACGGAACAAAGATAAGAGTGATACGGCGAGCCTCTTGACCGTGGACGAGATAACGGCAGAGGTGGAGAACCGTCGAGCGAGCATGGCTACTACAGACTTGTTTGACACCGACCCGTCGCTTACTTCCGCATCCTCTTCTGTCATCTCTGTTCCCGACAGTGATGATGACTCCAGCAGCTCTGAAGCTTCTGAAGACGAAGAAGAGGACTCCGCAACCAGTGATGATGACGAGAGGGATCAGGGCCGAGCCTTAACTTCCACCGGCTGTAAGTGCATTGCTCGTCGCTCCATTGCAGCTCAAGCTGACTGCAGCCCGCCGTATGATCAAGTGGATCAAAGGTGCTTTGATCGGTCAAGGCTCCTTCGGCTCTGTGTTCTTGGGCATGGATGCGCAATCGGGCCTTCTTATGGCAGTTAAGCAGGTGGAGCTTCCTTCTGGTGACGCTCGCAATGAGGAGAAGAAGAGAAACATGGTACAAGCTCTTGAAAGAGAAATAGAGTTACTCAAAGAACTCCAGCACGAAAATATCGTGCAGTACCTGGGTAAGTCGCATTGTTCAGGACACACGTTGATCAGCCAGACTCTGCCACAGACGGCAACCACTTGTACATTTTTTTGGAGTATGTGCCGGGTGGCTCGGTGGCCGCATTGCTCAACAATTACGGTGCATTTGAAGAAGCCCTCGTGCGCAATTTCGTTCGTCAAATTCTGACGGGCCTCAACTATCTTCATGAGAGAGGCATTATTCATCGCGACATCAAGGGTGCTAATATCCTGGTCGACAACAAGGGGGGCATCAAAATCTCTGACTTTGGGATATCAAAGAAGGCCGAGAACAGTGAGTTATGACCTATCGTGAGTCTGACCTTAGAATTCATGGCCGGCATTGCGATGCGAGCCAACCGACCCTCTCTGCAGGGTTCCGTTTTCTGGATGGCTCCAGAGGTCGTGAAGCAAACAATCTATACGTCGAAAGCCGATATCTGGAGCGTCGGTTGCTTGGTAGTTGAGATGTTGACCGGCACACATCCCTGGGCGGAGCTTGATCAAATGCAAGCGTTCTTCAGGGTATGTCCTCGAAGATTACTTCTCCTGCTCATAACAGATCGGATCAATGGCACGACCCGCCACGCCTAGTGACATCTCGACGGATGCGGCAGAGTTTTTGCAACGTACTCTAGAAATCGATCATGACCTACGTCCCACAGCGTCGGCGCTACTTGAACACACCTTCATCACGGCACAGGCTGCCGCAGTCCCTGGGGCCGTATCCATTGAGCAGGCAAACGCCACAATGGATGCGGTCGCTGCCGCTCGACGGAATCCCATGCCCGGTTTACCCCCTGTTGTCTAGTATTGATACTGTACTGTAATGATAATGACGCGATCAGATAAGATAGTACATGCAAACTGCTCGTTCTTTACTCTACATCCATAACGCTGTCGCCTTTGACGCCTCCCGAAGACTCTAGCAGTAACGAGCTCGATTGCTAGCCATCAGCTCATCGTCGAGACCAGAGGAGACCTACCTTGGGGAATTGACGCTTGTACAGGTTCATGCACACCGTGTCCATTTGTTGTATGGGGCCGTCGAAATGCGCCTTGAAGTAGCCGTGCGTGCCCAAAGCTTCCTTGATGTGACCAGTCCGGCCATACTTCGTGTGAAGCTCGACAGACTGGAAGTACGCCACGTCGTCACGGTTGAAGAACATGTACCTGATGGTCGCAGTCTTCTTATGCACCTTGTAAGGATGGCCGGTAAGAACGATACGTTTAGCGATAATGCGCGTGGGGTCGGACGACATGAACGAGCCCGTAGCAACGAGGCTCGGAACTGGCGCTGACATTAGTATGGCGTCCTTTGTTTGTCGTACACTCACCATCGCTTTCGCGGAGAAGAAGACACGGGGCCTTACCGAAGCAAACGGGTCCAAACGTCGTCAAGACGGTGGCAGCGCCATGACGGAGGAATCGCTCCGACTTGTGAACGTTGTTCACCCCCTTGCCGCCTCCCCGCAAATGCTGTGAGAAGAGTGGGTTGATGTGGTACCGCCGAGGTCCTGCGCAGAGTACCAGAGGGTCCTGGATCGTCAACTGAGTTCTCACTGAACCAGAGTAAGCTAACCTTGGCTCTTACTGTCTCGGAATACTCGGTGTTCCGCTGCACGACGAAATGCAGAACCGTTTGCTTATGCTCATGTCGCAAAAGGCCGTGCACAATCAGGGGGGCGCTAGGATTGCGCGAGAGGATGGTCTTGGGGACCTGTCCGATCACCAAAGTTACACGGGTACCAATCTAGGAGGTTAGACGAAAAAGAATAGGGACATAGTACACTCACCTCCACACCTTCCTCGGAAGCCTCGGCCTCGACACGGCGCTTCGTAGCCTTGAAATTCTCAAACTGGAAGATCTCACCATACTCCAACGGCAGATTCTCATAAGGATCCCACGGGCTTGTTCTGAAGCTTCGTAACCCGCGATAGCGCTGGAAGCGAGTGCGAGCGGCGATATGGCGCGGAGTGTCGATCTCATCCGGGAAAGCCATATCTTCTTTCTGAGCCCGCTCGCGCTCACGCAGATAGGCCGCATACCTGATCGTTAGAATCCTGAAGAGAAAGAAGCAAACGGTACTTACTGCTCTTCTTCGTCTTCTGGAGCCATATCGTCGTGCTCTTGCTCACGAGAATCCAGTTCGATCTCTTCCATTTCCTCCTCCTCCGAGACTAAGGTCGTTAAAAGGAATCGGCGTGTGCAAACTCACGATGATGGGACGAATGACCATCTGCGCCGTCTTGTGAACCCATCCCGCTACCAGATTCATCGTCATCGTCGACGTCGACGTCGTCATCATCATCCACAATCCACGCTGCCTGATAGGCGCTAGTGCCCTTGGGCACTCGCTTTATACGAGGCTTTTGAGTTTCACGACCGCCGCTTTGAGCAGCGGGCGCCGAATTCATTTCTTCCTCCGTTGGCCATGTTTGCTCATTGGCAAGCAGATCGGGGACGTTGTTCGACGTAAGATCATCGGCCGACTCAGACTGGGTCAACAGCAGCTCGCCAGTAGAGACAGCTTGGTCTCGAAGTTGAAGTGGGCTACGAATGATCTGTTGTCAGATAGGCCGACGATCGAACTCACCTTTTCAACTTGGAAATCACCATAACCAGGGATGTGAACAAGACGGTCTGCGCTCATGCGCCCCCCTCGAACCGTGCCCGTGACATACAGCGCGCCCAGATCACCCGACTCCGCGTTGGAAGGCTCCCAGGTCGCACATTCACGACCTTCTGCGACAAGCCAAGACCTTCCCTCCTGGTGTTCAATGTTGGAAGGCAGCACCTCGCAGATGGCGCGGGCCAGCAAAGAAGCGTCGTTCGCGTTGTCGTTAGAGTAAACCTTGTGAACGTTGGGAAAGAAGTAACGGGTGAAGGACAGAAGAGACCTCTGAACGGACGAGCGCCCAGATGCGTCCAACATTTGAGATTCAGAGTACTGCGGGTAAGCATGTCACGAGATCTGGCAACTCACCTGGACACAAGGCATAACTGTCACATTGCCAGCCTGACCCTGCAGAGAGCGGAGGATGGCTTCGCCCTCTAGCTGGACCTCATCTGTACTGCTCATTAAAAGCAAGACAGCATCGCTGACAAGGGCGACATCCAGACTGGCGTAGAGATCCAACGACGGCACAATATTCACCACGAGGTTTGTCTTGAACCGAGGAGCCGGAACAAAGATAGAGCAGTGGGGCTGGTATTGAGCTGAAAGTGCCTCGATCTCTTCGGCAGACAAAGCCAGAGAATGAAGCAACTGAATGAAGAACTTCTCCGTAGATATCGAAGGAAGCAAGGGAATAATGGAGATGACGCGAGGTACCTTTCCTTGCATTGTCAGCGCTACTTCGAAGGGCAAGCTCACCTCCATTTGAGCTTGTAGAGAAGAACTTGGCGCTCTCACGCGCGGCCCTCTGCTTAGAGTCACGCTTTTGAGCCTGCTGATGGATCCTATCCCTCTTCGATCCAGCCTCTATGCTTCGAGAATGAGAGGAGACGCCGAGAGATGCTGTTTTGCCTGCAATTGTTCAGTTGATACCCAAACCATTTCACGCACCCTTGGCGGCGGCCTTCAACGAGCCTTTCGTGGCATGCTTAGACTTGAACGATTTGTTTTTCTGGGATCAGAATCTACATGTATATCTTGGATATACGCACCTGCTTGAGCGTTGATCTATGGTGGTGCGCCTGAGGTGCCATGGTAGATTGCAAGAACGCAGAATGGAGCACCATAGCTAATGGGCATTGACCAGCAACTTTTTGGAGAGTGGAGGCCCTCGTGTCACGTGACTAGGAGTTGGAACTGACGGTCATCCACAAGTCACTGTCCATCCTTCGTGTCATCTTCGTCCACTCTTGCACGGGAAAATGATCTCGCAGTGATGACATTAGACAGGAGTTTCTTGCTTTTCGCAATTGCTACTGCGCTTTTTTGGTAGGATGGTCGTAAAAGGGACTCGCTGACCTACAGCTTTTCTGCCATCATATACTGCTTTCTGTCGACATGCCTTGGGGTACAAATTTGTCGTTCAAATGTTCGCGATGCGTTCCGGATCGGCTTCTCAGCGTCTGGTGAACCGCGGAACTACAACTATGCTCGTCTTCGCGACGATTGCGATACGATAGCTGCCCCGATGTGGTCTGGAGTAGGCAGCTCTGACATCTCGAACGAGGCAATCGAGTTAGTTTCGACCTCGAGCAGACTCGACAGATATTGATGCAAGCGCACTTGTAGTTCTATTAATATTAATGAAATGAGCTCCGATACGATTGTATATTGCATAGCATGGTACACCTAATGAGAGGAAGCGGATCCGGCCCTTAAGCGACGAATGTCGCGAGCCTCCTGATGAGAGGGACATTGAGCCATGCCGGTACGTCTGGGTCACGTCAGTTTGGTAGGTCTGGGACGACTTACAAGTTTCAAGACCGGCGATGTCTCGCGGCGGAGGGATCTGGTATGGCCCAACCTCGTCCTGCTCTGTCTGCAGAAGCAGCTGATCGTTCTTGTCCTCTGGTCGAACGCGTGCAGCCACAGCCTTGAGAATGTCAGGTGAGATGGGAGCCTCGTAGTCGGCATTGTGATATTGTGAGATAAGTTTCTGGATCTGAGAGGGAGAAAGGATCCAACAAACATCGAACAAGATTTCGATGTCGCCCATCGACGCCTGGTCACATCAGTAAGAACTCCAACAGCCGGCGTACCTTCTTGAGCTGCAGCAACTTCGTAGCTTGCATGAGATGTTCGAGCTGAAGTAGCCCTTCAGGCATGTCATGAGCCTTACACCATTCTACGGTCAGTCCCCCTACTGCCGGATCTCCTTACCTTCAATGCGAGTGATATTGTACTGAATTTGCATGGCTGGCGTCAATCACGAGCCCATTCCCAATGACTCACCCCTCTTCCATGAGCAGAAGTTGCGGCGCATGATAAGGTCATTGAAGGCGATGGTGCCAATCAGCTTCAGCAGTTCGGTAACGACCTGCTGCATGACGCTCTCCTCCATGTAGTAGCTCTTAAGGCACTTCCAAACCTTATTGAGCAGGCTCAGGATGTCGTCCATACTTGCAGTCGGCTGGTTGTTTCCCCCGCCCATTCCAATCATGCGCTGGAACATCCGACCACTGCCGTCCGAGGTAATGAATCCTGGGAGCGATTGCGACTCGATTAGGGCAGGAATCACCATCTTTCCAAGCTTCTTCTTGACCTCCAACATCCAGGTGTGGTAGATGTTGTACTCCAGACTGTCAAGATCATGTTTCACGATGCCTACCAATCGCTCATAGGCTTCCCAATCGAGTTCGCGGCCGCCGGGTTCATCCATACCCGGTGCGATGCCTTGTTGCGCATCAGACTCAGCCACACAGATGAAAGACAAAATCTCCTGGACGTTTGAGAGCCAGAAGATTCCGGGAACAATGACTTCCTCGCCCTTAAATTGCTGAGGCATGTTAGCTTCGAAGCGAATGGTCCACAAGACGAAAATACTCACCATCACATAGCTTTGGATGCTCTGCATGACATTCGCCAGGAACCGTTCACTCTCCGGAATCATTCCAAGCTTCCACATTTCGTTCGAGACCAAGCTGATGAGATGAGCAGGGAAGATCACCTCCTTGGCGAGAGGAGGGTTGTGGAGGCTTGCGGCGGGGATCTTCAAGCTCGCAATGAGACCGTGCAAAACATCGTCGTCCAAACCCTCTTCGTCCTCCAAGAGACGGGCAACCTCATCTGCAGAGGAATCATTCAGTGTCGGTAAGCCATTAGAGTCCCGAGGGCGTAAGAGATTGTTCTGGGGGAACATGACAGACACGGCGCGAGGGGCATTGAGGCCGGGCTTCCGGAGGTCCAACGCATCTTCCTCAGAGTGAGGAACCACTGCGCCATGACCTGTCGTACTGTGTCTGCGAATGCGCCTTCTGGCCGGTGGGTGGTTGCGAGCCTCACCGCCGTGCAGACCGTTTGCGAAATCACGCAGACCACGGTCCATTGTGGGAGACGGGGGAGCATCGCGACCACCCTTGGTCAACGCCTGCAAGGCGCTTGCGCGGCTGATCTGTTCCTTCAGCGAAGTAATCTCGTGCCGCAAACTCTGGATGGTGGACTCGTCCTCTCCGTGCTTCGCAACTGCAGAGTCGATTGCAGCCTGTCGCTCGTTCGCGTCGACAGTAGCACGCTCAAGCTGAGTCGACAGCCGCGTGATTTCCTCGTCTAGCTCGGTCATGCGCCTGGTAGCAGTGCGAAGACGTTCTTCGTGCTCATTTCTGGAAGCCATCACCTCGTCGAACTTGTCTCGAGGTACTGTGGGTTCGGCAAGTTTGGACTCGAGCGACGCTGAACGGGCCTGAGCTTCTTCATGTCGTAACTGCCACGCCGCAAGCTCCTTCTCCAGGTCCGAGATGCGGGCCTTGAGGGACTTGTTCTCGCCCGTGCGCTTCTGAAGAGTCTTGGTAAGCTCCACCACCTTGTTTTCCAACTGATAGGAAATCTCCTTAAGCTTGTCAGCCGATTTGGCTTCAGCCTTCAGAGTCTTAAGCTCGCGAACAGCAAGCTTCCGCCTCCACTGCGACTGCAGAACGATGATCCTGCGGATCTCCCCACGGTATCGAAGCCGAGTAGCACTGATCGTTAGCTCCGCGAGTGACTGAAACTCACTGTCCACGGAAGAGACTCTGCAGCTGGAGGACTGCGGACTCGGTTCGCTGTTCTCTGAATCGCTGCCGTGCTTGATGTCCTCGGATAGCTGCTGTCAGCCTAATCTCCACAAAAGTGACCCACCAGCCTGGATTGTGACAACAGCCTGTCGCGTGTCGGCATACGCGCGGCGTTGGAGCACTCCACGAGCAGCTCTCTGCAGCAGCGTAGCAGCCGCGTCCCTTCTCATTTGTTCCACTAGGCGACGGGCTTGAATGCCTCTCCACCATGACTGGATGGTAATGGTCCGGCGACGCAGATCCTGGTAGTGCTTGTACGCAATGCGACGCCGCACGTTCTTTTGCACCAAAGTAACGAGGGCGTTAAGCCGTGCGGTTCTGAGAGATTCCAGAAGAGCCACCATGCCGGCGCGGAAGAAGATCTTCGACAGGCCAATCTGGTATTTGTTCTCATCCTTCAGTGTACGTTGCAGCAGGAGCTGGCAGAAGGCCTTGACGTCCGAATTACCCTCCCACTCCTTGGAGTTGACCAGGACATAGTAACTGAGGTTAGAACGGCGCATAGATGTACACTCACCGGCTTGCAAACTCGGCGAAAGTCCAGCGACTCGGGTAGCCGGCGCAACTTATCCTGATTGTCTCCAACACACCACAGGCTCGCAGCTGCGATAAGACTTGTTGCGGCTCGAAGGTCCACGCTTTCTTCGCTTCATTCGGCTTGATGCAACGAATATAGTGGACATTGGTGTGGTTGATCGTGTCCATCAAGCTAATAAGCGAGTGCTTGAAAATCGACCCAAGCGTCGGCTTCCGGGTTGCACCCCCCCTCTTCGGGCCTGGTTTAGCCTCAACGACTGGAGCTGCCGACGAGCTAGCGGCTTGGTCAAGAGAGCGCGTAATGGCTTCACGCAAAAAGTCATTGCTGGAGCTCTGGAGTAGCGCGAGGTGTTCATCGGAAACGGTGTCGCGATTCTTTTCAAGGAAGCCGTCAGCATCGTAGGTAACGTCGTGCGCATAATGGGCGATTGTGAAAGCGTTCTGATTGAATCGGGGTTTCTTGAAAACATCTTTGTACTCAGGCTTGGGTCCCAATTGCTGGTGAAGCTTGTTGGCAAACGAAGCGTCTGCCCCGGACGGCAAACGGGACTCTTCATCAAGCAAAGTGAGCACACCCATCTTGCCCTCAATGACATCGATGCAAGCTTGGTTGTCCGTGAAGTCGATAAAGGTCCAGTTGATTTCTTCCCTCATGTATTCCTCCTGTTCGAGCTGACAACGTCAGCTTGAAAGCACGCTAATCCATACCTTAAAAACGTGTGCGTTGAACTGATTGTCAGTTAGAGAGCCCCCTTGGCACGCACCTCCTGCTGCAGTTTCTCATTCGCCCAGTTGATGCAGAACTGTTCGAAGGAATTTTTCTTGAAGTGCTCGAAGCCGTACTTGAACCGTCAGTAAGGTCAACGTATTGACGCACGATATCCAGAACACCGATGAACCTGTTGGACGTGCTGGCGTTCTCGCCGGACAGACTGTCATTTACTGCACCGACAAGCCACTGTCAATGTTAGCGGTTTCGAATCATTGGCAACATACGTCGAACAAGCACGAGTAAATGAACTTGGCCACGGAATCGCGAACGACAGTCGCTTGGGCCGAACCAAGATTTGTGACAATTTTCTCACTTCGGGTCGTCAACTGCTTCTTGATGGTCCACTTTTTAAACTCAGAGAGCGGCAGTCCGAGAAGAGACGTTGCCAAGGCGAGGGCCGGGTCGTCGTCTGCCAGTACGGCATCCGTTCGAGATTGAGTGATCTTGACATTGCTAAGGTGCAGCAAGGCGGCCAAGACCTTGAAGATATGCCACTGGCGTTCAACGGAAATGCCCACGGTACTGAGCGCCTCTTGTGTGTCTCGGAACTCCTTGGCATCGTCGACTCCTGCAATGAAGGAAGACGATGGACCACCGCCCGCCAGGTACGCAAACTGTTGAGGATCGGCAGGCAGAGACAGATCTTTACGCTCCTTGGCGGGGGCTCCGGCTAGCAGCTGGTAAAAAATGTGATAGTTTCGCTCCGTGTCTGGTTGGTAAACGAGTCGAGAACGTTCAAGGAGATATGTGCGGATCCTGGCGCCGACGATCTCGTTCTCGTTATCAAAGAGAACCTGCCAGTCAGCCATGCCCTGCCCTCTGAACTGAAGACAAACCTCGATGTACTTGCCAAAACGCGAACTGTTGTCATTGCGGGTCGTCTTGGCATTGCCGAAAGCCTCCATGATGGGATTACTGGCAAGGATCTGGCGCTCAATTTCGCTCATACCTTCGTCATCCCCACTCGAGTCCAAGCGGCGGCGTTCTACTGGTGTCTCTTTCGACGCATTGATGACAGATGCAAAGTAGCGAAGAATATACTTTGCGGAGACGGTCTTGCCCGCACCGCTGACGACTGTCAATGACCTGTCGCGATCGGAATTGCACTCACCTTTCACCGCTGACAACGATAGTTTGATCGCCAGCACCGGTTGGATCCACACCTCCGTTTCCGCTGCCCCTCCGCATCAGATCCAGCGCTTCCTCCGCAATCGCAAACAAGTGCGGTTCCATATCGCCTTTCCGTTTACCCGCGTACGCTTGCAGAATGTCATTTCCATCTCGCTCGTCAGCCTTCATAAGTTATCAGACACTTACACAACGGTACGGGGCTGAAGGGGTTCAACGCAACCTCACGGTCAGCTCCTATCGAGTGGTTTGCAACTTACCAGGACGATGCCAGAATAGGTGTAGGGCTGGTGCGTTGCGTATCGAGTTGCAATTGCATGGAGAACTGCGGTCAGGATGGTTGCTAAGAGAGGCGGGATACATACCACTGGGCTCGTTCAAGTTACTCAAGCTTGCTAGATCTTCCGAGCTCTCCAGGAGCGGCGGATTTCTCAGCGGTGGAAGAACGTCTTGGCTAGAACCCAGAGAGAGGTTGTTGCCATTCGACTCTGAGGCGGATTGCAAGGTCGCAAACGAGCATTTGAACTCTTTCGAGCCTCCCTCATCCGAAGCTCTGCCATCGATAGACACGGTAATCACGACTTCAGAGTCTGGGTTCGGAACGCCAGGTATCGCTACCGAGGTGACAGTGCCGGGCACCCATCCGGCCTCTTTGTCGGGGAGCCAGACACGCGTCCCCTTGGTGTACACCGAGGCCATCGTGCCGCGGGGTTGGATGACGGTGGTAAAAGGGTAAGAAAGTCGAGCGAACGCCTAGAGATCGTTGCACTGAGGATGGCGGGGTCAAGGTGGCGAGTGTGTCGACGTCCAGCAGAAGGAGGACCGTGAGACGACGCGTGCACAAAACCGGGCTGGTAGGTCCACCGAAAGGACGGATGGGCGTTGGCACGGACGAGGGGAAGAACGAAAGTGGGTGAGAAGAAAGAAAAGTGGAACGGCGGAGAATGCGGAAGGGCCAGACAAGGGCTGAGGATGCTTGGAGAAGACGAAAGGCGGCTCTGGTGAGGAGGAGAGCAGAAGATGGCGACGGCCAGCGGTGCAGCGTACGGAGGGCAGCGCGGTGACCCGGAGGCCCAGTGTGATACGGACGAAACGTGTCGTGCCCTGTGATGTGCCCGGATCACTCGCTCCCTCTCTTAGGATCGTAGGCCGGTCAAATGGTCAGGCCAGGGCAGGCACACAGAAGCTAGGCGGGCTGGCGCACTGGGGTGCACGCGCGCGCTCAATAGTACATCTCAGCACTCGGTAGCCCAGCAGCCCAGCGGTCAGTGGCCCCAGAGTTCGCAGCCAATGCACGGGCGTTACTATATTCCGCTACAGAC